AGGTCCCAAGAAGGCAGAAACATCCCACATAAAAGATTGCAATGACCATTATTTGCCATACTGATTGCGACAATGGCTGACCTATATCTTAATAGTAAGCAACTGTTACCTTAGATTCAAAAGGATATAAACTAGGATATTTCCTGGTTTGTCAATGTCTGTTACATATGTATAGGTGGGATTGAGATAATGCTGTTTAAATTATTTAGTGGTGTCATCTGCTATGGTAGACCTGTAGAGGATGCATGACTTTGTGCTGCACTTTTATTGGCAGTTGCTACAGTGAGCACGACCACCTGTCTGCCCTAAGAGTTCATGGGGGCTTTCAAGAGATAATACAGACCATGAGTAAGGTCCCAGGAAGCTCAAAGTTTATGCAAAGGAGGTCTTCTTATACAAAAAAATTGGCTGCACTATTTGACAACGATGAGTCATCTGGAAAGCTTTTATGGCTGTCCTGTAAGTGTTTTATTACCTTAGATTCAAAAAAGGTAAACAAGGAAATCCCCAATTTCTGTATTGGTGGAATTGAGAGAATGCTATTGAAGAAGAACTTGCTAAGTTCGCAACGTCAGGCCACATTAATTTTTAGAATGCTATTGACTGCAATTTTAACAGCCTTTCCTTAAAGGCCCGCTGTTGTCAAAGATCTCTTGACAAGATCCAACAAGCTAGGTGGAGATCTTTCAGAGCTGGATGATTGAATCCTGATACTGGGTAAAACAAAAGATATACATAGTCTTCGAGGCAAAACTACCAGTTGATGCAAAAGAAATTTGACAAGCCTTGTAAACAACGGCTGGCATGGCCGTGATGCAGCAATGAGAAGAATGCTCCTTTGATTAGAACTCGCCTGAGAAGGGACATGGGAGGGAATTAAGCATAACCTGGCATGAGATCCCATCAGATTGACAGTGCATCGATGTGCCATGCTTGAGAATAGAGTATTCGAAAGCAGAACAATGGTAGTTGGTTGTTCATTGCCAACGCGAACAGATCTATATGCAGTTAGTCTATCAGAGTGAATAATGCCTCCACTACGTTGGGTCGAAGTGTCAATTCTGTTGGAATAATGGTCCTTTGAGATAAATCATCGGCAATGGCATTCTTCTCGCATGGAAAATGTGTTGCTTTGAGGGTGAGTCTGTTCTGGATTCACCATTGGAAAAGTCTCTAAGATAAGAGGCAATGTTAGACTGACTGAGTGCCTGATCCTTGGAGATTATGTATGACACAACTGTGGTGATCAGTATACTGACCGACTTGAAACTGCCAGACGAAAATGCTGGAGGTCATTGAAACCTACTAAATCTCGAGGATATGAGATGAACAGGGCTAGGGGTCCCATCTGCCTGATACTTGGCGTGGTGGTAATGTGGCTCCCCAATCAAGCTGGGAAGTATTCGACAGTATCACTACTGCATGGAGGTGGGGATATCATTTGTGACATCCCTGGAGTATTGGGGGGGAGGGCAGGTGACTTAAATTACCACTAGGCTGAGATCGATGGTGGACTTGGTTTGGTCGTCAACGAAGTCTACGAGTGGTATTTAGAAAGGTCTGAAAAGATTGGCAAGCAGGGATCGTTTGGTGCTTTTGTGCTCTCTTGTGGCGGTTTGGATAGGCTTATACGCATGTTGATTGTCAGTGGCTTCTATGCATTTGAAAATAGCCTGTAAATGAGTCATTGCCCGCCAACGAGAGGTCATCAAAGCGCTTACCAGCCCTTCAGTTGGTAGAAAATAACATCTAAGACCCTTGCCGGGATGATGTAGCAAGTGTTGAATCTCTTGTGATTTGCTTGAGGAAAATATGCAGACTGTTGTATGCAATGATGCATTCTGTGTCCTGCACCCGATTGGACGCGATGTGTAACAACCCGAGTTATGACATGTGACTTTGCAACTTTGCAACGCATGCTAATCCACTCACGAAACTTGTGATGTGTTAAACTGGTTGGAAGTTGCTTGACAACAGCAAACACGTCAAAGTTACGATGTGTTTAGTGGTCATTGCAAAATAAGAGTCCTCTTCTTAGCCAGTTTTATGCATACACATTTACGAGACTATAATACCATGACAATGTGTGTAAAGTTGTAAATGGAAATGCATTGAAGTAATTACGAATTAGCCTGGAATATTGCAGTTGAAATGACAAAGTAGCTAGGAAGTCCACCGCAAGCTTGTTTTCCTTTAAAACTGCCACACCTTGGCCATTTTGTTTTACGTTTAAAAACCTTTTTTGAGAGATCTCAACTCTTTGAGAAGCAGACGACTATTAACTTTACACTGAATAAATATAACAGTCACCGTGCTGTGATATAAATACACCTACGACGCACTCCACTTATGACGCATTTTGTGAAATGAATTGCAGGCCGCGTCGCAACTGCACTGCGCATTAGGGATGCGTCGCAGTGCTGCAATGCATCGTAAGTTACGATGAGTTTTGTGAAATCTGATGGTGACGATTTGTATTCAGAAGAATCCTCGTTAAATTCTGATGAAGAATAGTGGGTACAAGTGACAGAATCAGACCAGGATTCTTGTGGCCATGCATAACCTGTTCATCTGAGACCGAAAGACATGTGATTCACACGGTGCGCCTAGCACCGAGGGGTCGGTGATCTGCTTTCCAGTATTAGATTGCACCACAGCACACAGGACTCGAAGGTATATGCCTAGCGAGAGGCACTGCAGTTGGAGCCAACATGCTCACACATAGAGCTGCCGACTCACGACCAGAAAGCGTGGAACCGTATCAGATACACTACCAGCTACATGTAGTTTGGCGGCCTGCACATGAGACTGTTTTCGGCATATATGCTGTGCCTCGATCTTGAGTGAGGGTACAAATGCTGTTAGTGGCTTGGGATTTGCTCTTGGTCTTTACAATCTTTGGCAACAAGCTTTTCATGTTTTGGTTCAATCCCAACTGCACTCGGGCCACGGTAGGGAGCTGGCTATAACCCTTTGCCTGGCATGCATGGCCTCCAGTCATGTGGGAAGAAATCCTATATTCTGAAAAGACCAACAGTCATGCCCTTCCGAATTGTGACAGTTTTTAATTACATGTTATCACAGCTCTTAACTAAATTTGAAAAAAAAAAAAAAACAAGACGAAGCACCCAATTTATGTAGGTACTGGAAAACAGGTCTTATCTGTCCTGCTGCTAAGAGAAAAGAGGAAACCAATTAAAGATGTCCAGGAACTCAACTTGTTGTTTTCTGTAACCTATTTTTTGTCTGAAACCACTTTATCACTCTTTATTTGATATATGATTTATATCGATACCTATAACAAAAGGTCAGCTCAGAAAAATGAGCGTAGACAAAAATCAAACCCAACCAATCGGCCACCAACGGCCAGGGTATTTTGCTGTTTTTCCTTCATAAACTGTTAGACTGACAATCTAGCTATGAAAATAAAATAGCGTAATTTTCGCCAGCCCGGTGATCAGAATACAACTGCTGAGCAAGACAAACAGCACTCTCTATTGACAAACAATGAAGACAGGAATTCCCTTTCCAATCCCAGTGTTCTGTAGTGAGTGCGCCTCACGTATTGGACATGTACATGACACATGTACATCGATGTTACATTTTTACCGAGTGTCCTTAGCGTGAAAGGTAAAAATTTCGCACAAGCAGGTTCTTTGTAGGGTTTTGATGTAAAGTAGATCAGCTATATGTCCAAAACTTTCTAGTGAAGTTTAAAAAGAAAATGTTATTTTCGTTAAGTTAAACTACACGTGCCACACATTAACTTTTATTCAAAATGTCATGTGTTTAAGTATCACTTTGGACTATAATTGTAGCTCAGTTTATTTGGGAACAGTCCCTTTCTATTTATGAAGAGGGGAAAGCGTTCAGTACGATTCTGTTTGACTTTCACTTACAGCAAAACCTGGTCTGCAGGTATTCTTCACTAGTTTTTTTTTCTTTAAGAAACAAACTGGGCGAATCTACAAAATATGTTTACAAAGAAGTATCTCAAAGTAAAACGTAGGCACCGATCTACTACCAGCTTCACAAATGTTGCCTATTAATGACCTGGACACCAATGCACTGAGAAAATCCTACATAGAATCAGATTATTATACAGCAAATACAAAACAATACAAAACAGCAAATACAAAACACGTCCCAGTGACAAACAACAAAGTGTGACTTGATGAGTTTTATAGTTGGTCAGGCAGATTCTGCGATTGCATGAGTAAGGAACACAATGAAAGGGTAACTTTTATAACACGTTCCTTAGCCCAGCATAAACCTCACTCATTATTTCTTAAATGAGTAAGGTATAAAGTCATTTTGACTATTTAAAAAAAAAAAAAAATTGATCGCCCTCTCTTCCCCCAAACCAAAAAGCCGAAAAATATCACCTGAATAAAACGTACAATACTTCACCTGCGTCGCATGCATTATCAATTATATTTCCCAAATTTCGAAGGAAAACAAATTAAAATTAATCTACATTCCTTCGAAAATGAACATTCTCCAGTAGATTGATAAGTCCCATTTGTGTAGATTGAATAAAAAAAATAGGTAAATCTTACTTTAAATCTCACAAAATAGTGCAATGAACATATGTCGTCCTAGATTGGCAAAGTTTCAATCTGAAAAAATAGTTGTCACACTACTCACCAACGGCGAGCAAAATCTACATCTTTTTGACAAAGATGCACGTGCTGATGAACTTGGAACAAATTCTACATGGTAATTGATCACATTTGCCAGTGAGGGGAATAGGCAAATGTAGTGGCCCTACAGGTAAGTTGAGTGAAGTAGATTTCATAGTTTTATCCTAATTAAATACATACTGTAAATGTAAGAAATCTCTATGGGAGAATATTTCCAAATTACAGTTGAGGGTTAAGATTAAGGTTGATTCATTATTGGTGAGTTACACATTGCAACAACCAATCCTCATACTGTTCGGTCATTTAAAATTTTGCTTAGTATTGTTTGCCTTCCCACTGCCCTTTATAATTACTTACCTGTTTCTTCACATCCCCTCAAAGATACGGTGTAGCTAGTATTCCTGCTAACATCAGATCCAGACACAATATAGATGTTCAAACGCCACAAAAACGGAGTGCCTTTAGGAAGATAAAGCTTCTCCCCCGCAAAGCCATAGAAGATACGGTTGTCATCTTCACTTATCATATCCATGGTGGATGTAGAACCAGTCGGAATAAATGTGAAAGCCACGCTGATAGGTCGTTCCAAGCCATTTTGGGGATAAATTATGATGGACGTGATATTGACACTTGGAGTGAATTCAACAACCAGATGACGTCTGAAGTAAACATCCTCTTCGTCTTCAGGCATTGGTATATCGGGAGGAATCCACCCCTCATCTGGTAAAATTGGTATCTCCGATTCAGAAGGGCGTCGACGAACCGTTACTGGCACGTAGTCTTCATCCATGTCATCATCACAAACATACTCACGAGTAGTAGTTGATGGCTTTGTGGTTGCTTTGGACAAAAGAATTCCGAAAGAAAATAAGTCAACACATGAGTATATGCATGGCCTTTATTAAAAAATGAATTCCCAGGTATTTTACTACTTCTTGAAGACTTGATTTAAAGAGAGAATAAACATTCTCTTTGAACATTCTCCAACTGGGGAAATCATCAGTGAATCCTGTATTTTGCAAGCCAAAATAATGTCATCTTACCACCAACCAATATTTATCATTTGCAATATATACAAAATATAGAATGGCAAACGTTTCAGGCCAAATGCAACCTAATATTAAGAAAAGTTGGTTGAATAAACACAAATGCCCCACAACAGTGACTGTTCCCAGGATATGACACCTCCCTGTTAACATCAACTTACCTGGGTCATATATGCAACATTCATTTACATCGTTATTATTTTCTTTAGTTTATATTGAGTGAGTGAATAGATACTGTACAAGAAATACAAGTAAAAAGAGACAAGACCAGTGGGTACATACATGTATAGTGCAAATGCATGTAAGCAAAATGTGAGGTATACTAAAATAATCACAAACATCACATAAAAATAGTAACCTGGAAAAAAAAAAGTGGTTTACTTTATTCAATGAGTTATCACCATTCTTTCAATTTCAACCGTGGTGATCTGGCAAGCCATGGAATTTGGATTACATTTCCATGTATGCTAAAAGTGTACAGCTGGCTGGTGAGTAACTGACAGTACACAATTTACAAAAAGCAAACTACAAGTTATTATGTGTACATGCAATAGTGTATGTACACATGCGTTTTTTTATGGTGTAAATTGAGGACACACATGTGCAACATCATCACTGAATTGAAGACAGGAACCAAATTGAGGACTCCTCGGTTAGGAAAAGTGCACAAAACCAATGAGAGCTGTTGCAAAAAAAATATAAACAAAGGAATAGGGAAGAGGAACAATAGAAAATCCTCGATTTACACCATAAACAAATGTGTATGTACATGTTGAAGTTTGCATTCAGTACACTTTAAAGGTTGAAAGGTGCCACATCCATGGAAAAAGAAATGTCTGTATAAGTTACCTGTCATGTTGCCTGACAAGTAACTTATCATGATGACATTATTTCTTGTATTTTAATTAGAACCTTGCCATTTGGCCTATGGGCTCAAAAAAGTGACCTGAAAATCCTACGAACAATTACCCACGTACTTGCACCTACCAAGTCCCAAGTCGATATGCCAAATTTTTCTTGAGTAACCTCTGTATAATGCTGAGAAAACTACTGATGTTGTTTCCACTTATTTTAATAACAACCTTGACCTTTGGCATATGGGGTCCAAAAAGTGACAGGTTTCTGAATGAACCCCAGACTAACCATAATACCATGTTTTAAAGCTATAGTCCATCATTTGCAGCCATCCGAAAAGTAACTGGCATAATTATTGTTGAAAAACAAACTTGGTTGAAAGATAGTAAGGAAACTAAACTCCCTGTAAAATTATTCTTTCTGGGAAGCTGTCATTTTGAAGTAATCAACGAAAGAAGGCATTTTCAACGGTGATTCTTAAGAAGCACCGTAGGCAAATTTAAATTAGTAGTTCGTTTTGTTATTCAGCGCAGCACGCACAAGTATTGGAACGATGCACACGCGTGCGCGGTTGTTGTAATTTGTCGGATCAGTGTGTGACGTCGCGTATAGCTGCAATTCAAAACAATTCAAAACATGATTCAGTAACTTTTGATTTGAAATTGAGATCTTAGAATGCTGTTTTTCTCGGAATGTACAGCTGAAGCTTAACTGAAACTTCATCAGGTTAGTTGCTCAGTATCCTTCATTGGATTTTGAACACTTTTGTTGCTTCAAACGAACAAAATGCACTAATTACAAATGATGGACTATAGCTTTAAGTTGACATGACAAGTCTGGTTGTGTCATGGTGGGAAAACTAATTGTTTTAACCATAATGACCTTGGCCTTTGTCCTCTGGGGTCAAAACACATTAAGCTTATTAAGGTTGCAATAGCAAGCTACCTATCAAGGTTCATGACATACATGTTCATGTTCATCAAGTCCAACTCGAGTTATCACTATGAAACCAAAAGTGTGATGCACGCACACACACGCAGATTTGTATCGACCTCCCACCATGGACATCCTACTTTGTAACTTTTTAGGAAGACTCCATATGTTTTGTACACAATCCCGATTGCGGACGTATGCTTGGAACGCGGACCTTATTGTTCTCTTTTGTTCTCCGTCATTTTTCGTCAACGGTTTGAATGCATGAACACGCCCACACAAACTTGTTCCATAGTTGTGGGGACCACACACGAGTTGTCACATGGTACTATGGGGACTGAAGACGCTGTGGGGACAGCAGAAAGTCCCCACAACTAGGTCCTAATTTGCCTAATAAAAAAAATTCCCCCATAACGCGGTGACAGCCCGCCCACACACACGAACACTGATGGACAAGGCAGAAACAGTATGCCCCTTCCACTTTGCCGGTGGGGCATAACAAATAATAATTGATTAATTATTATCTATTCATAAGAGCAAGATTGAAAGCTCCCAATTGGGAAAATTGGCATGTTTCAATTAAAACATACATACTTTGTGTCCCAAGCCAGGTTACTTTTAAAGAGATTTCATCCCAAACTTTTTACAAAATGTCCAAGAAATGGAAGAAGTCTTTCTGTACTGTGGCTGTCCACCCTATTTTGTAAGTTCTTTTCCCAAAGCATTTTCTCTCAGTCACAGAAGGGTAAATCCTGATACACTGGTGAAAATGACATCCGAAAATTCAAGTTCTATCAACAGTTTTTGTTTTAATGCTAAAGAAATGTAATACCTTCCAAAACACTGTCAAAAGTAACAAGTTAGGCATATAAATTACACATTTTCTCCTTTGTAACATATGTTACCATTGCGTTCATGGAAATAACGTGAATTGATACATTACTAGGATCTGTCAAATAGAATGCATCCTCCATTCTCAGACCTATTGAATACATTGTGAATGTTGGGCAAACAAATGTACATTGTTTATAAGATGGAATTTTGCGTCGGGGTGATATAAATCAAATTAGGTTTTGCCCTTCACCAACGTTTTTGATCTACATTGTAGATCTACAAATCTGCATTGTTTGTTTCTCAGCAAGAAAATGTGGGAGGAGGGAGCCCATGCACACCCCCCCCCCCCCACTCCCCCCAGTCAAAAAGTGGGGGGGGGGGCGGGATTGCTTTTGATTATTATGCAGACAGCAACATGTTTTTTGGTCATCGAAAGTTGAATTTTTTGGCGGCGATTTTGTTTTGTTTTGTTAATTTCTGATTTTGTTTGGGCAGCAGATCTGTAATCCAAGTAATAACAAAAAATGGCATCAGGAAGAAGCAAGACTGCATGAGCTTGTACATTGTGCAGGGACATCAAACATTGATATCATTGGGAATACAAGAACACTGACGGTCCACAGTGATCCATTTAGATTCAGCAGACTGAATGGATACTACCCCATTACATCATCAGCTTGGCGGAATGAGGCTGGGGCATCTCAAGGAGGTGTTGGTCTACTTCTTAGTGGAAGAGCCAGATAAACCCTCATGGGTGCACACTCCCACTCAGAGACGATCCAGGTGGTAGAGTTTAATGGTAACCCAGTTATGTCAGTGATTGTGGTATATTCTCCCACTGATTCAGCTCCCATTGATGAGATTGAGCAGTTTCACAGATATTTATGTGCTGCTACTAGCGATATTCCAAAGCATAAGTTTCTGATACATCTTGGTGAATTCAATGAAAGACTAGGTCATCATGCATGATGAACAGTTTTCTTACAGAAACGGATCTGACATGGCAGACTTCATGTTAGAACATAAACTTTTAGCAGTTAACACAATTTCAGGAGAGGGAAAGCGGTGGACATTTAGTTACAATGGTACCGGTACACTTTATCAACTTGACTACATCCTGGTGCGTTACAAATGGAGGAAAGGTGTACTTAGCGCAGAGCTGTACAACTCCTTCCATCCAGTTGGATCTGACCACCAAACATTGATTATGAGTGTCAAATAGTCTCTTATAATGGCTCACTTGTAGTTATATTAAACAGCTCACCCTTGTAATACAGCAAATTGACCCTTCGACCTTTGTTGCTCCTATACTACATGTGCCTGCTCAATCCCCAAGACTCTGTGGTTATTAATGTGGACACTATGTTCGCAGCAGTTCCAGGCAACCAGCCGAACCCTATGGTGACCGTAGTTTCTACTGTATCCTCTCCACCCACTGCCGTACAACCTGCCTCAGCCCAGCCAGTCCCAATGGGGACGCCCCCACAGCTGTCGGCATCCGCACTACCATTCCCAAATGTGGGTGACCAGTCTACGCCCATGGTGACTGTAATCTCTACAGTTTCTCCATCCAAATGACAACGCCTACACAGCTGTCTGCACTGGCACCGCCATTCTCATATCCCGTTCCACAGCCGTACCTCTACACTCCTATACCTGGTGCATGGCCGATGTATGGAAATGTACCGTATCCAGATGGACCTGCACCAGCAGCCCCACCAATGCGAAATGCTACGGAGCTGCTAACTGCCTCTTCATATGGCATACTAAGGCCTACGCTCCCCACCTTCAGCAGTGGAAGGGAGAAGGATTTACACCCTGTCTGACCTCACCAAATGGTTGCACAGCAAGTCTCGGGGAAAGCAGATTGCAGGCCAAGCTGTAGTCATATACAGAGGTGACAAGAAGGGGAAGTTCCCACAAAAAATGGAATCAGACCCCTGCGTTCTGAGGCAATTTCTGACCACTAAAAACAGATTTTTTTTTAGCAAAAGATCATCTTTTAAACATCATTTATGAGTTTGGAGTCAATGAATCAGCTATTTTGAGTTATAGAATCATTATAGCAGGCTACAATTTTCATTCAGGAATGAAAAAAAAGTTTGTGTGTGTGTGTGTGTGTGTGGGGGGGGGGGGAACAAATGATATGATATCCCCCACTTTAAAAAGGGGGGGGGGGGGGAGGGGACATGCCTACACGTGTCGCCAAAGGACAACCTTAGTGTCAGATACCCAATCAATAGAACGTTTACAGCAAACAACCTATGGAGGAAGGAGACATCTGTGACCAGTGGCTCACTTGGGAACATGAGTTCTGTGACCTCCCTCTTGTCAAACTGCCACACAGCACCTGATGTCAACAAAGTGAGAGCCAACCGCCAAGTACATATCTTCTGTGATGCATCAGAATGAGAATATGGATCGGTAGCCTTTCTCCGTTCCAAAGATGACAAGGGAAATATCCATGTCAGCTTTCTCCTGTCATGATCCCCAGTGGCACCAAAACGACAGCTGTCAATGCCTCGCCTTGAGTTATCAGCAGCCCTTACTTGTGCTCAGCTAGCGGATCTACTAAGCAAAGAGCTTATTCTACCCATCCAGACTGTCATTCTTTGGACTGACTCAACTACTGTCCTTCAGAGGTTGCAGTCAGAGTCGTGTCGATACAAAGTTTTTGTTGGCCCACAAGTATCTGAAATTCAGACCCTAACAGATGAGCAGAACTGGCACACTTATATTAAATAGCTCACTCTTGTTATACAGAAGATTGACCCTTTGACATTTGTTGCTCCTAATACATGTACCTGCCCAATCCCCAAGACTCTGCGGTTATGAATGGGCTACTGTTTCCCAAGTAGAACCAGTCTCTGCATGGGCTAGAGTATAATATTATATGAATTATGTAGGTTGGGTCCAGGCTCGGAATGTGGATGAAGTAATGTCTAGGTTTGCCTTGCCTAGGTTTCAGACAACAGTGGTTTCTTTATTCCTTTTTAGCACTGCCAGGGTAACTGGTGCCCTTCTGTTTATATGCATTATGTATTTAGCACTAGATTTAGGGACCATTTAAGCCTTGCTCCTTTGTCTCATTCTCACACTCTTTCCTTTGCCGATCAGTCCATGTTATTTTCTCCAAAAGTTATCCCTGTATTTCTCCAATTTTCCTTTAATTACTCAAAGCCGTGAGAGCTTTGTGAATAACCACGGCTTCCACGGGTAACCTGGTAACCAAAACACAGTAATCAATGCCAACACTGTAACCAGGCCATAGCTCTTCCAGGTCAAATAAATACAGTCCACCAGTGAGCCTCAATTACCATTTGCCCGTGTACCATTACACCCTGTTTTCAATGAGGATTTGCCTTCAACTAGAATATGTAAGTCTTGCTTCAACTAGAATATACAGGGTGGATAAAAAAAACCGAGATATTATTGCTAATTGGAAGAGAAGTAGGGCACATGTGAATCAAAGGGAGATATCTTCTGTTAGGGTTGAATCTCCTCTTTAAAATGACACCCTGGTCATGTCATTACATTCACGAGTGACTAAGCAGTGACCAATTTTATGAAAGGGTCTATTTAGAGATTTGGGCCACTTTTCAATTGTGGTTTTGTTGTGTCAATTGTCACAGAGAGAATGGCTATTGTTGCCAATCAAGGCAGGAGGAAAAAAGAAGAGATTTCACCATGGAAAGTGGCGTAAGTCTCTAAATAGACCCTTTTATAAATGGAACTTTCATGTAGTGAATATGATTGTCTTCTTGAAGATGAGCTAGAGGTGACTATTCAAGCAGTGGAAAGAGTACATGGCGGTAACCAACATCAAGAAGCTTGGAATGGCATTAATGACAATTGTGGGCATAAGAATGCTCAAATATAGCCTTGGTCAAGGCGCTAGTTGTTATTCATCCGGCCGTAACGCGGTAAATGATATCTTCGCTAGTGCTATGCATGCAGTCATATGTCTATGCATGCAGTGCTTTAAAAATACAGCGTGAACAGCGACCTCACGCGGCTATTATTTTTATGCAAATCAGTTGGACCCAATCTAGCGCCTTGGTTCAATCGTCCATGTGAGGTTTTGGGGGTGGTGCTCATTATGTTAATAGCCTTAGCTGACCTGAAATGTCATTTTCTTATTGGTCGATCGTTGTGTGGAAACTTGCATAGTGAAACGTGGAACTGTACATAATCCATGCATGTACACATTGTGTATCTCTGCACACGGCACCAATGCACAAAAACTGTGGTTCCTGTCACGTCCGCAAAAGGCGAATAGCTGCAAATAATTTGACGACGTCCGGATTTACCAAGGTGTGATTGGACACTCCACATATTAGCCCCGCCTACACTTATCTGTATTTGCATACGAGGTTGTGCGCTAGAAATCCAGCGCAAAATAAAGAAAAACATAAGCTTTTGCCGACGATTGAACCAAGGCACTAGATTGGGTCCAACTGATTTGCAACCAAAGAAGAACGTGTTACCACACTGCTCACACATGTGTAATGGACCAGGATGAGGAGATCCCCCTACTGTCTTCAGGGACTTGGATATTGATGACAATCATTTTACACTTGCTGAACTTATTAAGGCTAAGGCTTCTCTCAAGGCTAAGGCTTCTCTCAAAATTGGCAAAAGTAGTGGTCCAACAGCATTCCTGTAGAGGTGCTGAAGAAATGCAATCTAGATGACATTCACCAAACTTGTAACCTCTCCCTCATGAGGAATGAGCCAGAGCAGTAGCAAATATCAACATCATTCCAGTTCCAAAAACAATGAACAATTATCACGGAATCAAAACTAAAAATATAAGTAATATATGGTTACGTATGTTTCATACCACAAATCACCTTTAATACTGGTGTTGGGACATTATTAGTTATGAAGGGCGCCACTGTGTCTTGAATTAAAATACATATTGTTATTGAAATGAAGCATACCAGTTCAAGAAAATATGAATGTAAAAGATACTAACCAATAGTTGTTGGTGCTTGAGTTGTAGTTGGTAAGGCTGTTGAGGTGGGGGCTGTAGGGAATTGGAAACACAATTTAAACTAGTGTATTTGAGTAGTATCTTTAAATTGACATACAAATTATGAAATCTGATAACTGTAGAATAAAAAATTTAAAAAAAACCCCAAAATACCTACAATTGTTCAAATAATAATCCTGCTTAGTTCCAGATCAGGGAAACCAATGAAAAACGGAAGCATATTGGGGACCATTAAAAATATTTATTTTGTTTGAGTGAAATGTGGGTTGGTTGCTCAAGCTAAATAATTACTAATCACTTTACAAAGTGCATAAAAAACCTCCTTTGATTCACCGGTACAGTGTACATGCATTCTGATGTTTTGTTTGTTTTGTTTCAACCCCATCCCCATATGGACGGGATAGAGTGTGTGACCCTTAGAGCACCATGGGGTCCTAGCCAGGCATTCAATAGCGCTGGCACCCACTGTATTTTGGAAATCAGCACTATAAGCTTAGTGGCGGCTCTACAGGAGGGCACGGGGGGCATTCTCCCCCCCCCCCCCCAGTTTGCCCCAAACACGTTATCTACAACTACATTTATTACATTTATTTTCTTCGCTGTTAAGATTCATTGTTGAAAATAGAGAGTGAATCATCGGTTCTGTGGACACATTTTTGCCAATGAAAGCATTAGCTTCATACATTTCTCACTCATAAAAACGACTACACTTCTATTTCCGAACTATTGACAGTGGGCACACGTGCGTACACAGGCTTTTAAGTTGCCATTAAGTTATTGGGCTAGCTCTTCCTTACTTTCCCCTTAGATTTTCGATATCATCAGATTTTCTTTTGACTGGACCCACAAAATATTTCCTTGCCCCCCCCCCCCCAGTACACTTTTAAGCATTGCGAAAGCTGAGGTGACTTCCAATGTGTGCATGATTTGGTGAAAAGCTACAAACGACAATAACACATGTTCCTACGAACAGAAAGCAATACATGTACTGTGCAGTGCATGCCAGTGTGCACAGTGTGCTTTGGACAACATCATTTGTGGTGCTAATTCCGAAGGGCAACATTCCTGCCAAAATAATAAAATACAGGAATTAATATCAATCCTATATTTGCTTTGAGTGACTAATCAGTCACTGATTAATTGGCCAATTATTACTGATCTTAAAGGCCTCTAAGGGTTCTAGTATGATGGGTTCACTTAAAGATGAAGTGGAAGTCCTACCAGATGTTGTTTCAACTGTGGTTGACTCTATTGTGGTTGCCTGAGGTGTTGTGGTCTTCAAAGTTGTTGTCAAGACCTCAGTTGTTGTGGGTACAGGAGCGGTGGTTGTAGGAGCGTGCCTCGTTGTCACCAGAGTAGTTGACTTTTCTGTTATTTTCATTACAAACAATAGAAAGGCAGGATAATGCTATTTATTGAAAAACTTTTCCATTCAAACATCGTATTGTGCATATTATTAACATACCAGTAGTCGTCTCCTCTGTTGTTGTCAAAAATGTGGTAATCTCCCGCGTTGTAGTTGCCTCTGGAGTCGTGAATAAAACAATTGTTGTTGAAGCTTTTTCAGTTGTTGTAGGTGAAGCTGTTGTTGATGTTGTGGTTGTTTTAACGGTTGTTGATACCTGTGTTGTTGACTCTGATTCAACAATAGAAAACAAAATTAAAATCCCTGATACCAAATCTCATCTCATTGGGCCTATCATTATTAATATTAATAATGATATCATTATTAGTATTAATAATGATAATCGATTTTGATTTTTTAAAGACAATCAAAATCACTGGATTTAATAATATATATATATATTACATGATCTTTTGTACCTTAACATCAATTAAACTTGATCTATGTTTTAAAATTTGTTCTTTTTGATTGGCATGTTTGTCCTTGAAAATGTAAGGGAACAAATCTAGCATTGAAGTTAAACAACTGACCTTTTGTGGTTGGTGATTCAGTTGTTGGTGTCTCGGTTGTAGTAACTGCGTGAATTAAGAAAAGGAGTTTGAAATAATTTTGAACACCCGTGTCAGTTATGTGGAACAGCGACGGCGGAACGGTTTCAAACTGGGTCGGCACCACCAAGAAGGGGCACTTTTTTGGGAGGGGGGGCACATCAGTGCTGAAATGTCAACACTTTTTTTTTCACCAGACACTTGGCCTCCGTAAAATCAAATACCGGTAGTGTGTGTGGGGTGGGGGGGGGGGGGCTGGTACCATCTTCCAAAATATAATAGGGGGTGCTCTTCAAAACCGGCCATTATGCAAACAAATAAGCATTATGTGCCCATTTTCAGGGTGCATTGTAACGGTTTGGGGGGGGGGGTTCATATTCTTCGTTCATATCAGAACTCTCAATACCATATTGGGAAATGGTTACTGAAAACAAATCCGCAATTTTTGTGAGGGGGCACATGTATGCTCGAGGGGGCACATATATGGCTGCTAGAGGGGCACTTGGGCAAATTGGGGGGACCGATTCCTCTGCCCCTAATGCAGAATGAATCATTTAAATAAAAAAAACAGTTTAAACAGTTCTCATCTTGTAGTTAAAGTTGCTCTCCCCAAGCTATTTTCGAGTTTCAACCTAAAAAGCTTGTTTTTAATTGCTAATGTGTTAGCAATACACAACTTATCCATACATAAATGAGATGTCAAATGCAAAAACAAAAATATTTATTGAGTAAATACTTTAAAAATACTTAACTATTGTTGCCCAAAAATTGTTCAGCCAAACTTAAAAAAAAAAAAAAAAATTGCAAAAGTATAAAAAGCCTGTTTTAGTCCAGTCAGTTTAAGTTTTGACCTAGAACTAATTGCAATAGAAATCATTCAAGTGTCAAACAACTTCAAATAAATAAACAGACAACATGTTACAGGAAAAAGTTTTCCAGTGAAGTGAAAAGGATTTTTTTCAAGCAAATTTTGGAGACTTTTGTATCTAAACAATGGAAGGCGCATTTTGTTGATTCCTCTCTCTGCTAACATGCTTTGATTTACATGCACTGTAAATGTTTATGTTTAGGATTCATAACCATAATGCAAGTGCCCTACACGACAGTTCTTCGGAAACTTAAAGCATTTTACGTGAGAAAGAATTTCTTTTGCTACTTGCATAAACTTTTCTTCTTGAAGAAAAAAAAACTTAAACTTTCTATGAAGAGCAATTAAGGTTTGTACATAAAAATTGGTCCACATTTATGCAATTGACACAGATGTTGTCCGTTTCAAGTCAGAATTCCATACAGGGCATTCATATAGACATACAGCCCGGTTGTGCGTAATGTGTCCACAGATATACAAGATGTTTCCGTAAAGGGATAGCATCATGTCAGGGAATAAATAAGGCTTGTGAAGCAGCAGAGGATTCCCTAAGTCAAGGCACGCCAGAGTGTCCATGTTGCCACAAATACTGCATTGAAAGCTGCTAAAAAGGATCATACGATTCAGCGTGTTGCATTTTGCATCTCCCATGTATTTGAAGAAAAAATCAGTGTGATTTTCAGAATTGAGAAACATGTCCCAAAGTGTATGCAGATGAAAGTGATATCCTTTAAACAGGGACTCATTATTTTGAAAGTAAAGGGAGAAGCGTTTAATTAAAGAACTAATGAAGCACCTCAAAAATCTCGTTAATGAACAAACAAAAGTTTCAGATTTAGTGAAGAAAATACTTGGCTCGGGTGGGGCTTACATAATTTTGTAAGTAGACGAATCAACAAATCTCAAAACACCATGATTACAGAGTAATAATTTCTAAGGTAGATGGAAAACAAATGTAATTCAAGATGTAATCACTGTCAATGCTACTGTTATTGATCTCCAATATGGAGGGTGTCCCTTAACACCACGTCCAAGATGGTCTGGCCTGAGATCCTGAAGTTTGAACAGTAGTCTTCTTGTAGACATTCTCAGGGAACTGCAACACTCCAATAAATAATATTGGACACAGGCCTATGTGCGTGGACATCTATATTTGATTTGGGTCGGGATTTCCGCCCCTCTTGCAAGAGTAGACCTATGTATGCAAAACGTAAAGCGCAGCCAGGCATCAGACTATTTCTAATTTTGCATACGAATCCATATTTGTTGGATATGCAAATGATCCAGCGCAGGCTAGGTAGTGGTGGGATGTACTGCTCGACACAATGGGAATGAGGTTAAGCCAACTAACAAACAAGCAAACAAGAAACGTTATCATGAGCCTATTTTTTTTTTTACAAACTAATTTAATCTCAAGGCCTTGAATATAAGAACAAATGTTTATACCTTCATGTTCACATCCGTTGAAAATCACTTTGTAACCATCTGGGTTTGAGGTGATGATGCAAACTTTGAGTCCCGTCACCAACGTCATACTGGATGGTAGATAGATCTTTTGATCTGTTTTGCCAATAAAGATACGAGAACCATGTTCATCTACTACAGGGTAGTAGTGTAGCCTGTCACCCGGCTGAAACTTGAAAGAAATGGTTATAACGTTTCCAGGTGGGTCCTGCTCAGTTTTGATGATGACGGACGTGATGTTAACTCGTGGGCTAAAAGTAGCCTCCAAGCATGATCCGCTGTAAGGCATGGCGTCGTTAGTTGGTGGATTGCTAGGGTGCCACCAATCTGCAGGTGTTAAGCTGTTGCCCGTTTCTGTATCCTCTCGTGTTATTGTCACATTCGGATTATTGTCAAGATTATCTTCGCATATCCCAGGTGTTGTCGACGTGGGCAGGATAGTTGTCACTGAGAGGGAACAAAAAGGATGGAAACCAATTAATGACAGTTTTATAGGAAGTCAGGCCTGTGGCTGGTTGAAGGTGGGGGGGGGGATGTGGGACATTGGGGAGCGGCAAGGGAGGTGGTGAAATTAAACTTCATGTTTATTGTGATCCTTCGATGTATTTCTTCAGATAAAAACAAAACAAAAAGTATAAGGGGGACAAAAACATTGCGGAGTGTCACAGTGAAAGTTTAACCATATCTTTCCCGCGTTTCATTTGTTTCACAAAGGTAAGTATGAGAAATTTCTCTGCAATTATTTTCTCCTATTGTAGCGGAAATGTATAATTTCCTGGATTTAATGCAGTATACAATAAGCACATGTAGGCTAACTACAGGGTACCTCTGAAATAGCCTTCAAATTCTACTGTTAGTCTTTCACAGAATGATAGGATATGAATGGAATGCTGAGTGTAGCCATTACCATGGGTTCGTAAATAAAAAGAATAGAATTTACAGAGTATTATATTAACAGACAATGTACTTGGTGGTCAGACTTTCACCTTAAGATTTGAGCATTTCATGACTCACCACCTATAAAGATGGCTAGGGCAATCTTGGGTGATAAAAGAGACGGCTTTTATTTTAAAGTATACACAAAAAATGTGAAATATCAACGAGGTCTGTACCTTCTGTTGTCTGTATTGTAGTTGTCTCTTTTGTGGTTGATTCAGGTGTCGTTGTGACAACAAAAGTGGTGACTTCCTCGGTGGTTGAAGGCTTAGACGTGGTTGAGGGCACTTCTGTGGTTGACAAACGGGTAGTAATCCTCTCCGTAGTTGATGGGGCTTCTACATACATACAAATGTGTCACACAAGTATGGCATCGCACATGTTATTGAAACTGGTTATTCTTCAAGGCTGGTATTTTGTAATCTTTCTTCAAAACAAAACAATCGTAAGTTCTATATAATTCCCTCACTGGCGTATTACTCAGCAGGGTGAACAGAAGTACAACAAATCAATGCTAAGGTTTTCAGGACAAATTTTCAAATAGAAAAATGCTGTGTTCCTACTTGAAATTTTACTGTACTTTTATAATAAAAAGCCTAATTCATACAAATAAAAACTAGAAGAAATTATAACAATCAATTTGATAGTTTATGATGCTTCAATACAGCTTTTGTTTTACCAGTTGTACTTTCTTCAGTGGTGCTTTGTACTGTAGTCGTCTCTTCAACAGTAGTTGACTCTGGAGTAGTTGTGTACACAACAGTGGTTGTCACCTCCTCAGTAGTTGATGGTGCCTCAGTAGTTGATGGTACAGTAGAAGTAACAGTAGTACTCACAACAGTGGTTTTAGCTTCTGTCGTTGAGGTTTCTGTTTGTGGTCAGGTTAAACACTATTAAATGTGTTTTCTATCCTTAATACAGGACAAAACCAACAATACTGTGCACAGGGGTGTGAGTGGAGTAAAAAAAAATAGCTGAAAATAGCTGAACCTGTAAATAACCGAACCTGCGAGCGCATAGCGCGAAGCCCTTAGGGCGTGGGTTTAAAGAAATTTTGAAATGTAGATGCTCTGTGGTGCATTTTAAAGCCTCCTGGCATGCCTGGGCTAGCCCCATAAATGTGGCCAATTTACTGGACTACCTCCGTAAACATATGCCACACATCCGCCAGCACTGAACCTACTCGCACAAGTTTGCAAAGTTATTTCCACATTGCGACTTCAGACCCAGTTCATTTATGCTTTAAAAATACACTCACCCTCTTAATAACAAAGTTTGAACCTGCTTCTAGTGTCAGTTGCCCAGCTGCTGCGTAATTTACGATTATTTCTGGAGGCTTCTTGGCAAATTTTTGGTCCAACTGAACAACAACCTCGCGCAATACATGACGGGATACGAACCAATATGCAGGGATCGTTCACCTGTCAATCACACATGCATGAGGCACGCCGCAGGCCCGGTGGTAGTCTTTTAATGAGATGAAGTCTTTTTCCACTGGTTCGTGGAGTTTGGTTTGCAGTGCAGGGGTTTCATGAAAGTCATCTATTACTACCGTACCCTTACTTTCTCTTGTGGAAATTATGGTTTGGGCGTATTTAATGCCAATGCCCGGCAAGGTTGTCAATTCCTTAAGGGAAGTCTTATTTATGTTCAGGGCCATATTGGGGCTTACAGGTTTATACCTAGAGCACAAACCGGCAAAATCAGATTTACGAAATATGAAAGTTGGTATTTAATGAGTGGCTTCAATTGCCCGTCACTTGTGATATACATATACGTGCACTGTCAACGCCCCTGTTGTAGTGACGCACAACAGATTGACCTGATTGACAGTACAATTTCGTACATGTACTTTGAATGCGTATCGTCAAAAATAAATGAAAACTGCAATTTTTAATTTCCGTTAGGCAATTTGGACAAATTTAACGTAGCACATGACGCTCGCAGGAATACCAACTTTCTAGATACATATGTACATAATTATATCAATATACAAGTATACAGAGATTTAATATAGTGAAACATTGCTCTAGCGTATTTCAATACTTTCAGCGAATACAGATTGTATCGAAATATATGCTCAAAGAGGATAATGCCGATGTATATTGTAATACTGGAATTCGACTGACGTCACCAACATTCAACAGACGTAGATTATTGTCGACAAACAAATTTAGTCTAAAAACATACTCTACCTACTCTGAAAGTTGAATATAGGTGTATTCCAAAATAGTTTCTGAAATTCTCAAATGAGCCGAAAATATTCTTGGAAAAACTGTATGAGTCAATTCCAAAAATCTCACACAGTATAAATATTTTTTACCAACTAGTAATCTCACATCAAAAATTGAGAATATTATCGCACGTAATGATTTATCCTCGTCGCCAATGTTGTAATTTTCGTACCTTAAGTTAATAGGTCAGTGCCCGCGCCCGCTGGTCCTGGAGGGAACAGACAACGAATTGACGCTCACTCTGGTATTGCTGGACACGGACTGCCGTGCGGCAGGGCTGCACAATGCTGCCCAGCCACCGGTCACGCCTAACTGGTTTATTATGCAACACTTATAAACATAGTCATTACGTGTATTCACTACACACATGGCATCGTATGTAGGTACGTATGTACAATGTACAATGTACAATGTACATTGAATGCTCGCTTGCGATTGCACGCACCCCAGAGCTACGTGTATGTTGTAGAGAGCGGATCGCATGCGTTCGGCGGCAGCGGAAAATAAAATAAACGGAAATAAAATCAATGCTTATGCGCGGGGGAAAAAGCGGGGGGAAATCTGGACCATCGGAAGAAAAAAAGCAGAAAACAAAATGTGGCACGCTGAACAAAAAAGCGGAAATCTGCTAAATAGCCGAGATTTCACAACCCTGTGTGCAACTGTCAATTTACATTTCATGTTGCGTAAAAATTGCAAGTCTACAAATGAAGTGATCAATCCAGGCCCTGAAAGTGTGATGCTATTCTGTATTTGAGGCATGTCTCATTTTTGTTCCCTTTAAAATTTTCATAGTCTTCTGTGGCAGAATTAAGTCCCAAGGATATAAAAATTGTAACAGTCTCTTTACAAAAATGAGCCCTGAAACCTTTTAGGTACAACAGCATTTTACTAAGGGATAACTATGTGCTTCGCTGGTTTTAAACAAGTTCATGTACGTTTTAAAACTGTTACAAGTACTCAGGAATGCAATTTTCAAAACGTGCAACACCAAGAACCAAGTTTGAGTTTTGTAACTAATTGCCTATAGATGGCATTGAAAGTGATCTTACCTGTGTACACATGTAAGATCAACATTCCAAATAACATTGCCAAAATTCACAAATTGTCTCTTTAAACATTAAACAAATGAAAGAATTTCATATAATTTCGGAACTGATAATCACAATTAAAGAGGTTGTGGAATGCTGAAAATCGTTTTGTTTTTTATATTTTTATATTGTAGAGTAGACCCATATATATCATAATGACAAACTCCCATTCTTTTCTAATGTGCGTTTATATGTTTATAAAACTGAAATTCATCGAGTAATTTGTTGGTCAGCGAGCGCATAATTGAAATCAACAGTCGTCGGGTACTTCATAAAATCAGAAAAATCGTGACGTAATAAACAGGTCTCGACTGTTTACTGCTGCACAACCCACCCCGTCAGCACGTGTGACTCGCAGTCAAGCAGTGAAAATCAACATTTTGTAAAAGACTTGCGGAGATTAATGTTCCTTCCCATCGTTTAATTGTTGGATGAGTATATTGTACAAGGAAACGGTGACCTCTGAGCTGTTCTTCCGTATAAATTTGAGCCCCAACTGCCCGGAAAAAAAAGACCAGCGAAAACACGGATACTGCAACTGGCCAGCTGAAAACGCCAGGCAACGCGGCTCTGATGAGTGGTAGGTCTGCGACGTTTGCGTAAAAAAAAACAGCTGTGTTTTATCCAAGGACTCAAAGTATTATGTTCATTATAACATTTTTAGATTAGCATCAAAAGTCCTACCGCAACTTTCTTCGTGATTTACAGACAATCTCAAACGTTATTCTGGTGAATAATTAGTCCAAAGAGACGACAAATCGTCAGGTTGTTTTCGAATTATACGCGTACGGCACGCATAACGCATCACGGCAGTTGATGTGGTCGACCGTGTCCATAACTAATTTAACGAGCACTATCAATTTTTTTCAGTACCTAATTAAGACCCTATTCAAGAAATTTCAGTGCCAGAGAATTTTTCATTCGATCAAAAGAAGTTCTAGGATATGGAGGCCTGTCACATTAATCAGCACTAACGTAAGGAAAGCTACGCGGTCCTTTTTTCTACGCATTTACCTTCGATTTGTGTGTGACAACGCGTGCGCATATGCTGCGCAGATAATGGAGGGTCGAAGATACATTTGAACGGGTCTACGGTTCTTCGAGATTGGCAATGGACAAATGGTCCAAAACAGTCTTCCCTATTAAATCATTAACAAATCATATCTCTATTATTTTTTGTCCAATTTTAACAATTGTACAAAGAATTACCTGAACATTGAAGATGAACAAAACATAGCTCTCTTGTATGCACTTTGAAAAATGGTGTGTGGTCTCGTCCGCGGCCCCGTTCTGTGGAAGGGGCCAGGCTGGCCGGAGAATATGGCTCATCATATGGTTGCCTTATACTGTCGGGATCGAGTGTCAGTACAGCACCATTGTTTTTCTGTACAGTCGTAGCAATTCCAAATTATCTCTTGAGAAAAGAAGACTCTTGCCCTACAAAATGTACAGTGCATGATCAGCGCTCTATTGGCTGAAATCCGATCTCGTGTTTCGCACGGTACCCTGTCGGACAAACTGCACGGCACTAGCATGACTAGGGAGGATTCTTATTCCTCCATGATGACTGACACCCAGACGGGAAAGCTGGAAATTTATTGCAAACAAAATGTGGTGTGATTACAGCCAGCGACTGACACAATAAGCATATAGGTTTGCCTTGGCCTAGTGCGTTCGTTTACCGGTGTCATTAGAATTTCGGGGGTAAAAGCTGTTGCCAACTACGGTTGAATTTATGGAGCATGTGGCTGCCCATACAAAATGTCGCTCAGTGGATTGTAAACAAAATCATGTCGTTGCGCGGAGTGATTTGCAAAAAGTTTCGCTGCATCGGGAGTCCTGTTTATTACGTCACGATTTACAGTGTTTTGTTTGCTGCCCCCAACGACGACTTTTACACAAATTGCACGTTCGGGTCGAAACAGGACCCGAAAAACAGCTCTCAAAAGTACCTTTTGTATTCATTTCATGACAGAAACAATAGTCGTTTTTATTTCATCACACCTAAGGCCACATATACCAGAAAAATGATGTAAATGTCTTCGAGCATTCCACAACCTCTTTAAAAAACCAATACTAATAATAACTCACACAGTCCCTTTAACCATACGTTTATCAGAATCAAATATCAGTCTATCCAAAAACCTCTAACCTGTTGTGGACTCCACTGTGGTGACTTCCTTTGTGGTAGATTCAGGGGTAGAAGTCACAACTGTTGTTACCTCCTTGGTTGTTGAAGGTGGGGCAGTTGTTGAGGGTGGGGCAGTTGTTGAAGGTGGGGCAGTTGTTGAAGGTGGGGCAGTTGTTGAAGGTGGGGCAGTTGTTGAAGGTGGGGCAGTTGTTGAAGGTGGGGCGGTTGTTGAAGGTGGGGCAGTTGTTGAAGGTGAGGCAGTTGTTGAAGGTGGGGCATTTGTTGAAGGTGGAGCAGTTGTTGAAGGTGGGGCAGTTGTTGAAGGTGGGGCAGTTGTTGAAGGTGGGGCAGTTGTTGAGGGTGGGGCAGTTGTTGAAGGTGGAGCAGTTGTTGAAGGTGGGGCAGTTGTTGAAGGTGGAGCAGTTGTTGAAGGTGGAGCAGTTGTTGAAGGTGGGGCAGTTGTTGAAGGTGGAGCAGTTGTTGAAGGTGGGGCAGTTGTTGAAGGTGGGGCAGTTGTTGAAGGTGGGGCAGTTGTTGAAGGTGGGGCAGTTGTTGAAGGTGGGGCAGTTGTTGAAGGTGGGGCAGTTGTTGAAGGTGGGGCAGTTGTTGAAGGTGGGGCAGTTGTTGAAGGTGGGGCAGTTGTTGAAGGTGGGGCAGTTGTTGAAGGTGGGGCAGTTGTTGAAGGTGGGGCAGTTGTTGAAGGTGGGGCAGTTGTTGAGGGTGGGGCAGTTGTTGAAGGTGGAGCAGTTGTTGAAGGTGGAGCAGTTGTTGAAGGTGGAGCAGTTGTTGAAGGTGGGGCAGTTGTTGAAGGTGGAGCAGTTGTTGAAGGTGGAGCAGTAGTTGAAGGTGGAGCAGTTGTTGAAGGTGGGGCAGTTGTTGATGGTGGGGCAGTTGTTGAGGGTGGGGCAGTTGTTGAAGGTGGGGCAGTTGTAGAAGGTGGGGCAGTTGTTGAAGGTGGGGCAGTTGTTGAAGGTGGGGCAGTTGTTGAAGGTGGAGCAGTTGTTGAAGGTGGGGCAGTTGTTGAAGGTGGGGCAGTTGTTGAAGGTGGGGCAGTTGTTGAAGGTGGGGCAGTTGTTGAAGGTGGGGCAGTTGTTGAAGGTGGGGCAGTTGTTGAAGGTGGAGCAGTTGTTGAAGGTGGGGCAGTAGTTGAAGGTGGAGCAGTTGTTGAAGGTGGGGCAGTTGTTGAGGGTGGGGCAGTTGTTGAAGGTTGGGCAGTTGTTGAGGGAGCCTCAGTAGTTGTCACACGAGTAGTTGACTTCTCCGTTGTACTTGGAGGACCTAAAAGATACAGTCCAGTAAGTTTTAATTTGAGTGGGGTTAAAACAAAATAATATTTTGCTCTAATTGCTCTTTACTGATCTGCATTTCATTCTGCATTTCAAATTTATTTTCTATTCCATTGTAAAGGCCTAAAGGACACAAACATTCCTGATGTATTCCTTATTAGGGTCATAATTAAGGGAATAAATGTGTGCTTGGCCGGTCTTAAACTCTCTGTGTAAGACCAGTTGGAGTCTGGACACTGATAATAACCCGAGCTGGATTACCAGACGCCAACTGGTCTTAAAGGGAAGATACAACAGTTGCGAACATCAAAAAAAGAAACAATCAAATTATCAAAAAATATTTTACTGGATAATAAAGGAATGACAGTCCAAAGCACCTTTTAAAATTGTGGCTCCAGGTGTGCTGACATTTCAGGAAAACTTGTATTTTTCCAACGCTGGCCAGCCAGCATTGGAGAAAACTGGCTTTTTTTCAAAAACTGCTTCTAAGTTTTCATATTTAGTTATTGCACATTTTCTTTGCAATTGATTACACACCTGTGAAGGGGTACATGCCTGCTAGACTGATTCTGTGACCTTACAATTCCCTAAAGTATATAAATTGTTCAATTTCATCTTCAGTGGGGTCAGGGGACCAGACTACAAGAAAATGGTTGATTTTTGTGATTTTCCAGCATCTCCTAACACAAAACGTGAAGCAAGTCAATTTAACAATATTTGCTATAACATACTAATCTTCCAAATTCATTTATTTCTGACAATTGAAGCAAATGTTGTACATTCCCTTTAAACAAAGTGTTTAATACCGGTCAAGTACATATTTATTCCCATTCATCAATACCTTTTCGGTCAAATAATCAAAACTTTTCAGTCCAAAAGTCAAAAGTGTTCAACATGTTTACCTCATGCTTTTTTTGGACACCCCTCAAGCATTATTATGGTATGTCTCACGAGTATTGTAAACAACTCCTTATAAATTACGGAGATTGGTGTGTGCATCACACGCACTAGCAATGTGGCGCATAACGTAGCTGTGCCGGTGTATTGTAAATTTAGGACTACGTAATTCTGAACCACCGGTAGTATTACGCATGCCTATGTGAGCCAAATTGTGACCTTCAACCGATAAAACGGTAAAGCACCAGATTTCATAGGAGTCCAAATTTCATGTGACTAGTGTTCAACACCAGCCAGCCATGTCTTTATTAACCGTTTAAGACCGGCCACGTGACATACTCTTGACCAAGAGGAATGGGGAAAAACTGTCTTAGGTATTTATGAATATAAATGACATTTTGCACCTTCAAATTCATGGAAGCACTTGGTAAAAGAGAATTATTGGTCTTGAATTACCAGTTGTACTTTCTTTAGTTGTGCTCAGTACTGTAGTCGTCTCTTCAACTGTAGTTGACTCTGGAGTAGTTGTGTACACAACAGTGGTTGTCACCTCCTCAGTAGTTGATGGTGCCTCAGTAGTTGATGGTACAGTTGAAGTAACAGTAGTACTCACAACAGTGGTTCTAGCCTCTGTCGTGGAGGCTTCTGTTGTTGGGAAAATGATCAAATGTTTCTAACTTTTAATTGTTAAAAGTATAAAAGACAAGTTTCTTGCATATAATAAGTTATTAATTTTACCAATTTCTTTTCTGTATGTTTGTTTTCCCTGGACGATTGTAATGCAGATCATTCCAGGGAGTTCTCTGAATATTCTAGGCATTTTCATTTCTTTATTGAATGTTTTATCTTCAGCATTTGTATATATAAACATGCCATAATATTATATGTATGGGACAGCATGTATAACCCACTTAGCCAACAAATGTCAAGTCATTCAATCCTCAAACTTCCCCAAACAGCCCTAGCACTCCACAGTTTTATTGATTTATGGAGTAAATGCAATGTAATAGAATTTCGTACAAGTGGTAAAGGGTTCAATCCCCTACTCGTAAGGGCAGGCTTCAATATTGACTGTTCGCGAGGTCAGCGAAATTCGCGAACTAATTTTGATCCCAAGGCTCTGCAGGTTCATTTGCATTGCATGACAATGTGCCTTTGTTATGCTAAAACTATGCTAATATGATACGCGTAGTTCGCGTAACCAGCTACCGGTCACTGCTCCGGTAATATTCAGGCTTTTGTTGCCTCAGCGGTATTTCTTATTAAACTAGGAGCAAGGTGCTGTGTTTTCGAATATTTTCCTGAGATTTGTTTTTGATAGGTGGCAGATTTCCTACACATCGTTTGTTAAATGTTGACAAGTGGAAATCAACTTCCTGAAATCGGAATGAAATTCCTTACCGCAAATTTCTTGACCCTTAGGCGATATTTTAACTTCGCACCCTGCGGTATTCATCAATTACAAAAACTGCAAAAATGTATTGTCATGAACCATTTTCCCTCAAAATACAATCTAATTTATTTGTACATGAACTGCACTTTTATATATAATCAAGCACCGATTGTCGTGAAAAGTGTACTATCCATGGCTTCTGATTTCCGCATTCTATATAACTTATTTATTGGAGATGTCTGCATGTAGTCCTTTCTATTTTTCCTTCGTAATGTAGAATTAGTGAAGAAATGTCCATCGGGCCTAATACGTTTAGCAATAAAACAACTTCAAGTTAATTGCTCTTGATCTCCCCGGCCGTGCTCAGAGTTTCTCCTCAAAATAAAAACTTCCGTCTTTTGTGAAATGCATTTTTTTTTTAGCAGTACAAAACAAATTCACTTTAGAAGGAGGTATCAATATAAATTTTATTTCAATGCACCCAAACCAAATATTGGAGCCTAACAATAATTCACTTTTATGCGTAATGCCTGCAAAAGCAATTAAAACATCAACCGTTATTTTAGAGGGATAATAAACAACGTCCAATTAGGATGGAATATATCATTTCCCGTTTCTTCAAAACCGTATGAAAATTTTGTTACAGAATTGAAAAGAAAATATTATAGCATAAACTGAAGAGAATGGGTAAATCAACTTCCACCATGCAGTTTAGAAACTGTATCATGAATATTTACGAAGCCGACACACGTCACTAGATATCCTTGACAATAATGTTTCTATGGTTATGCCTTGCACTAGTCAACCTATATATGGGATGTTTGGGCGGGTCTTATTGCCATCAGTTAACTCCAGTTTGGCGGGAACATTTTCACAGCTCATCGCATTAGTGGTGACATTTCGTCGTCATGACGATCTACCTGTCTGTCTTGTTTTGGCAAGAAGCCAAACCAACCATACCCTTTTCGCGCCAGGCATTGTTTGGAGTTGCCGACGGCTGTTTACTGTGCAGGCTGTTGGGCTCACGAAGCACATGCTCAGTTGTGCTGCTGTCGTGATCCCTGCTTCAATATATTGCAATATGGATTCTACTCGCCATGAAGTTCTAAAGTATTTTTTATTAATTTACCATAACTAATGTATATTGTGATTCATCTTTTTTTTCTCTTCACTGTGTTCGGGTGATTTGATGACGCTGAAATAACCAAATGTTCTTCCGTTCGACGTTTTCAAAATACGGGGGGGGGGGGAAGGATTTTGCCTGCTCATTAATTAGTTTTGTTAAAATGTGTAATTGTGCATTTTTGTATGTCGTATATCAGCCAACTTTCATCAATGCTGCAGTCCATGTCTGGAACAGACTGAGAATGTGCAGTTGGAGAGGTTCAAATCAGAGAAGGCTGGTGTTCAAAGGCACAGTGCTTCGCGAGACCCATCAAGACCCATTTAGCTGTACTCTTGCATATTTCCACTACTTTGACTATTATTCATCTAAGCATTTTATATTAAAAAAAATTCAACAGTAATAGATCGGCCTGTATTTGCCTTTGGATAGGGAAATTATGAAACTAAACCTAAAAAATGGTGCTCAGTTTTTATTCTTGAATTAATTTTTTCCGGAAATTGTTTATTTATTATGTCATGCTGTCTGGGTCATTTTAGAAACCCATGAGAATGCTTTAACTTGTCACGGCTTGTATGCTACACTTTTCTACAGAAGGATAATTGGGGATCTATGATTTGCATTCTGATGGACCTGATTGGCGTATGTAACACTATTAAACACCTGTCGCTAAAAAAATGCAAACAATTTAATCTTCAATACACTGATTACAAAATACATGATGGCAAATTTGCTCACACACTATCAAAAAACGAGGCATTAAACATTTAAACTCGGACAGCTTAGAAATGCAATGTGTATTGCTGGGGACGGTTTTGAATATAAATGCATATTACAATTTTATTCTCGTCAAGTAATCTCTATTAGGGTCTGTGCATTTCTAATATGCTTAATTGTTCTGGTACACTTATTAGGAAATAAAGCTTAAATTAGTGTGTTGAAGGACTCTGTTTCATTATGAGAACAAATAGACTCCTATAATAATATGTTTGTTTTAGGACCTAAATGTTTGGCTATACATGTATATCGTCATAGTTCGCCAAGATAATGTTGAATATCAGCTGGCTTAATTTTGTGGGAATAGGGCATATATTTGTGAAGGGAAATAAAATAAAAGGAGTGTCCTAAAGTATAATTATTACAATATACACAATTACCTTAAATTGTATGATAATTGATATACATGAACATTGAAGCCAGCAAAAAAATAACTCATCACTCTCTGAGTCTTTCCACAATTTCATCAAGTGTAACACTGCCCGGCGCGGTTGGCCCATATTCAGGGGTGTTGGGCAGTACCACAAGACAAGACGAGACAAGTACATGTATTCGCATAATTGTGATGGCAACGGAAGGCAAAGCAAATCGTCATGTTTCCCTGCAGAGTTGGTCTGTACTGCTGCTCGGCAAAATGAGTACATCAGCAAGTTCTTGATATGTAGCTCTGTTCCTCGTTTACGATATGAAGGGCTCAGCAAAGAAGGCAAAATTCTGCACCTCATTCTGCACCTCATTTCTCACTGGACACGATGCCTCTTTGCCGCATATGTTCACGAACAAGTACATGCGCTGGCAGTCATCGTGTTCCCAGAATTGATAGGTACTCAATGCGTGCATTGTTCGGCCCCGGTATCGGGAGCTGACTATTTCTAAGTCATTGCGTGCTAGCTTTGATTTCGTGCTCATGAAAAAGTCACGCATTATTTACAACGGCTGTTTCATGCATATGTATTATATTATTCATATAATCAGACTGCGTTGTTTTGTTTTTTATTAAGGCCGACAGTATAAGTGAAATAAACTAATAAAAAAGAACAAACATTGTTTTCACAATAAATAATGTTAATAAATATGGATAAGTACCTTTGAACAGCTACTTTTACAATTACTTTCGTGGATTTCATGAGTGAGTGTTTTTTTTTCAACATCACTCTATGCCGTTCGTCAAAGATATATTTGATAGAATCAATAATTTTGATTGCGTTACCTTATCACTGCATAAAGGTTATTGTCAATTTTTTTAGAAACAATTCAATAGCAACTTTTCAACCTGATTTGTGATCCATTTTTCCGGCAAAAAAAAACCTTTCAAAATGGTCTCAATTAATGGCAAACTTCCCCTTTGTTCCACCATTTTTCAGACCGTAGCGCGCGCAGTCTGGTTGGATCAGCTTCTGGACGGGAAGTTCCAGTGATCCGGACTGCATGGCTTCCCTGCACCCAATATTTTGAACCAGCGGAATGGACTTACCTGTTTCGGTTCATTTCTTCAACCATGTTTTAATAGCATAATACGAGATTTTAAGTTACAGCATAATTGACATCATCGTCAAAACTAATCACAATATTATATTAAACTGAAGAGAATCGTTTTTTTTTCTACGTCACCGTCAGCATTCGGTGTGAATCCTCAATCATTTTTTACATCGTGTTTTTACATTCAGTTTTTCCCTACAATCGTGTTTTCTTCAACTTAATTTTCAACAGGCTAGTGCTTGTGCTATATTTAACCGAAAAATATTAGTAAGTTGTCCCAATATCCGTTAATGTTTTTGATTAACTTCTGCATTGAAATTGTTATTAGATATTTCACATGCCACTTATCAAAACCTTTCGCCGCTCGTGCTCGCGAACATTAACCTCAACACATTTTGGGCATGCACGTTCACTGACTTCGCGTTATTATAATAAGACGTCCAAGTGCTGTGAATTATTCAGTACGAACATTAACATAACAAAGGCGCAGGTTTCATGACTACCTTATAAACTTGACCACAAATGGATGAGTAGCTCCGCGAAGTTCGCGAACTGCTTTGCTCTTGGCGTCGGACAGATATTCGCAAACATTCATGAACGGTTAAGTGCACCTAATAAATGCTGTTTATTATTATCATCATTTTTTCCATTTCCTTAATGAATGTTTAATCTGATAGTCGATAAATACACAGCCAAATAGCTATGTGTTGACACGCTCAATAGGTGGAGGAACCAAGATTGTCAGCTGCTTGCCAAAGAGGGCATGTCAGGCTCCAAGCCTCAAGTGGAATTCAAACTCACAAACCAGACACTAACATGGAAAGAACAAAAACAGTCTGTCTAACCATTCCAACATCAGATCCAAATGCCACATGAGGTTAAATATCTAACCTGTTGTAGACTGCACTGTGGTGACTTCCTTTGTGGTAGATTCAGGGGTTGTGGTCACAACTGTTGTTACCTCCTTGGTCGTTGAAGGTGGGGCAGTTGTTGAAGGTGGGGCAGTTGTTGAGGGAGCCTTAGTAGTTGTCACACGAGTAGTTGACTTCTCCGTTGTACTTGGAGGACCTATAAGATACAGTCCACAAAGTTTAAATTTGAGTTGGATGAAAACAAAATAATCTTTTGCTCTTTGCTCTTAACTGGTCATTATTTTTTTTAAATCTCCTGATGTATTCCATATAAGGGTCATAATATCAATTAAATCTTGAACCTTCATGGAAGCACTTGGTAAAAGAGAATTATAGAACTTGAATTACCAGTTGTACTTTCTTCAGTGGTGCTCAGTACTGTAGTTGTCTCTTCAACTGTAGTTGACTCTGGAGTAGTTGTGTACACAACAGTGGTTGTCACCTCCTCAGTAGTCGATGGTGCCTCAGTAGTTGATGGTACAGTAGAAGTAACGGTAGTACTCACAACAGTGGTTCTAGCCTCTGTTGTGGAGGCCTCTGTTATTGGGAAAATGATAACATGTTTGTCAGTTGTAATCTTCAAAGGTATAATAAACTTGAAGATAATAAGCTATGAACTTTACCTATTTCCTTTCCTTGATTTTTTGTTTTGTACAAAATTGTGGTACAGATCATTCCAGCGAGTTTTCATAATACTTGAGGCACCTTTGAATGTCATAACGATAAAGTGCACCTTATAAATGCTGTTTATTATTGTTATTATTTTTTTCCATTTCCTTATCTTATAGTTGATCAATATAATTTAAGCAATTGTATATAAAAGTGCCATAATATTAAATATCAACACAGAAGGGTCAGTATAATCAACCACTTAGCCCTCAAAGCGCCAACAAATGTCAAGTCATTCAATCCTCAAATTTCCCTAAACAGCTCTAGCACTCACAAGTTTTATTGATTTTTCGAGGAAATACAATGTAATACAATTTCATACAAGTGCTAAAAAGTTAAATTCCCTACCCGTTAGAAAAATGCTCAAAGCCAAATAGCTATGTGTTGACACGCTCAATAGGTGGAAAACCAAGATTGTCAGCTGCTTGCCAAAGAGGGCATGTCAGGCTCCAAGCCTCAAGTGGAATTCAAACTCACAAACCAGACACTAACATGGAAAGAACAAAAACAGTCTGTCTAACCATTCCAACATCAGATCCAAATGCCACATGAGGTTATATCTAACCTGTTGTAGACTGCACTGTGGTGACTTCCTTTGTGGTAGATTCAGGGGTAGTGGTCACAACTGTTGTTACCTCCTTGGTCGTTGAAGGTGGGGCAGTTGTTGAAGGAGCCTTAGTAGTTGTCACGCGAGTAGTTGACTTCTCCGTTGTACTTGGAGGACCTATAAGATCCACAAAGTTTCAATTTGAGTTGGGTGAAAACAAAATAATCTTTTGCTCTTTTTGCTTTACTGGTCTTTATTTTCTAAAAATCTCCTGATGTGTTCCTTATAAGGGTCATAATATCAATTAAATCTTGAACCTTCATGGAAGCACTTGGTATAAGAGAATTATTTGTTTTGAATTACCAGTTGTACTTTCTTCAGTGGTGCTCTGTACTGTAGTTGTCTCTTCAACAGTAGTTGACTCTGGAGTAGTTGTGTACACAACAGTGGTTGTCACCTCCTCAGTAGTTGATGGTGCCTCAGTAGTTGATGGTACAGTAGAAGTAACGGTAGTACTCACCACAGTGGTTCTAGCCTCGGTTGTTGAGACTTCTGTTTAGAGTATTAAAGTCATAATAATGTTACATGCTGGTTTCTATTTTCAATGCAGAAAATTCAAGTGAACACAATCTAGATCACGTTGCATATAATCTGGTAGCACACCGCTACTGTTGGTAATAACATTGATTAACTTTCTCTTCCATAGTTTGATACAAGTTGTTATAGATGATGGCCCAATTTGACACTCTGTTGTCCCCCTTTTGTTGAATTCTTTCTATCTCACAGTCATTTGGCAATTGTTGACTGCTGTGATGTGGGATATGACGTTTTGAACACCCGAGGATACGCCCCTCGGGTGTTCAAAAGGTCATTATGCCACATCACAGTAGACAATTATTGTTTTGTTATACCTCTGTCTTGGATTCTTTGGAGTGTGATATGAAAAAAAAGGAGTATACACAACAATCATGACAATCGAACGTCGACTCACATGCATGTCGTGTGCTAAAAACAGCTGATCATCTGCTACTTCGCTGCTCGCACTCATGTGAGAAAACATGGTGAAAATAGCGTGGGTACTAACAATACAAGCTTTTAACACTGTACTTCCTCTATGAGTGTGCCATGACTTTTTACACAAACTGAACGTGTGATCGTTCTAGGCCAATAAAAATACAGTATTTTAAAGACAGAGGTATAAAAAAAATTAGTATTAAATCCCTCATACAGTCACATCTAGTTCTGGACAGTCGTGAATTATAATTATATAACCGACATACAGATCCTTGTCATTTGATTGGTGGAACTCGCATAACGTGACATTTATTTTTTTTTCCATTCACACTGTGGCTCAAAAAGTACTATCTGCCCATGGGGAATGGGAAATACTATTCAACAGTTGGGATCATGATGCAGTATTTGTGTGCAAATGCATGCTGGTGTGCACGTTCAGCATTGAGCGTAGCGTGTATTGTTCCAAAGAGCCAGCACTACTGCCTTGGGTTCAAACATTTTCATGAAGGGGTGGTTTGGAAGAGAGAAATACATTTTTCACCAATTTTGTATTGAAATAAAAGTTCAAACTTATCAAAAGACAAGGATTTATATGTCAGTTATATAAAACAAATATTGAGTGGCTTTCAATTGTGAAATGGGAGGAATATTATTGCTCGGTAAAATCTGGACTTTTCCAGTTCACTCGGTTGGCCTCGTGAAATGGAAAAGTCCAGATTTTAATTTGCAATAATATTCCTCCCATTCCACGCTGATCCACTCAATATTTGTATACTGTTTGATTATCAACATTTTCCCATGCATCAAATATTGTTTAGCAAGTCCTGTTGGAGCACTTGTAGACAATTTTTGCTTTTTTGAGGATTAGCAACAAAACCGTTAGCTCACCTGTTGTTGAGGGTGCCTCTGTTGTTGAGGGTGCACTGGTTGTAGTCACTGTGTTGTTTAAGAAAGCACAATCAAGTATCAATATATTTTTGATCCTACTCTTTTTATAAACAGAACTAAACAACTACTACAAAAATCAACAACATTTCATGGCCTAATGTTTTGATCCTAGTAGAAAGTTTGACAAAGTTCCTCTAACGATCAGCCATTGACAAAGGTCCTGCTGATTAGGCCATTCACCATTCTTTGATTTGTATGTTTCAGGTCAATCCAGTCAAGTAAGTAGTTTGCAGCAGTTTGATTCATTTTTCAACGAATAACAAGAAAAGTTGTGTTGAATAAGCTAAAACGCCCCACAACTGTGACTGTTCCCATGACATGACACCACTCTTTTAACATCAACTTACCTGGGTCACATGGAACGTTCATTTACATCATTATCATATCTTTAGGTTACACTGTATTAACGCCTATGACCCCGGAATACAAATTATTTGTTTGCTTTTCCACTTGGAAGTCATTGTATGTGATTTAAAAGAGTGAGTGAATGTGAATAGATCGTGTACCAGGAACATGAATAAAAGGAGACCAGACCAGTGGGTACACATAGTGCAAAATGTATGTAGGCAAAATGTGAGGTGCATGTATACTTAAACAATCACAAGGAATAGTTTCCTATTCCTGTATTCAATGAGTACATATGATATCACTATTTTTTCAATTTCAACCATGATGATCTGACAAGTCAAACATGAGTTATCAAATTTGGAGTACATATAAGTGTACAACTGGCTGGTGAGTTACTGACGGTACACATTTTACACAATGCAAAATACAAGTTATTATGTGCACATGTAATAGTGCATGTACACATGTACACGTTGAAGTGTGCATTCAGTACACTTTAAAGGTTGAAAAGTGCCACATCCATGGAAAAAGAAATGTCTGTATAAGTTACCTGTCATGTTGCCTGACAAGTCACTTATTATGATGACATTATTTCTTGTATTTTAATTAGAGCCTAGACATTTGGCATATGAGTCCAAAAGTGATTTGGAAACCCCCAAAACATTCCACCTATTTGCATCTACCGTACCAAGTCCCAAGTTGATATGCACAGTTTTTCTTGAGTTACATGTAAATGCTGAGAAAACTATTTCTGATGTTTTAATAAACACATTGACCTTGGCCTAAGGGGTCCAAAAAGTGACAGGTTTCTGGAGGATCCCCATGATAAATTGATTTGACCAGTTTTTTGTGTGTTATGGCGGGAAAAACTTTTCTATTGCTTTAATGAACCAGGGTCCAAACACATTAAGCTGAAGGTGGCAATAGCAAGCTACCTATCAAGGTTCATGACATACATGTCCATCAAGTCCAACTCGTGCTATCATTTTGAAAGCAAAAGTGTGATGCACGCACACATGCTGGCACATAGGTTTGTTCATGGTGTAAATCAAGGATTTTCTAAAGTTCCTCATCATCGATCTTTTGTTGATAGTCTACCTTTTTTGCTACAGCTCCCATTGGTTTTGTAAACGTTTTCCAATACTGCAGATAAATCTCCTTGTTTTCATCATCTCTTTTCATATTTCCTCATTTCATTCAATTCTACAGTCGTTCCATCATTATGCTCAAGAAGTAAAGAGAAAATAAGTGACTTTAAAAATACCTCCGTGTTCACAACCGTTGAATATCACTTTGTAACCATCTGGGTTTGAGGTGATGATGCAAACTTTGAGTCCCGTCACCAACGCCATACTGGATGGTAGATAGATCTTTTGATCTGTTTTGCCAATAAAGATAGGAGAGCCAGCTTCACCTACTAGAGGCAGGTATGGTTGCCTGTCACCTGGTTGAAATTTGAAGGAAACAGTTATGTCTCCCGGTGGGCCTTGTTCTGTCTTTATGATGACCGACGTGATTTCAACCCGTGGGCTGAAGGTAGCCCCCAAACATGATCCATTGTGTGGTGATGTAACATCGTTGGGTGGGTTGCTAGGGCGCCACCAGTCAGTCGGAGGTAATTCATTGCCTGATTCTGGGTCTTCGCGTATTATCGTCACATTTGGCAATTTGTCAAGATCATCCGCACATACCTCTGGAGTAGTTGATGGTGGTGAAGTAGTTGACACTGATGTGATTCAAAATAAAAATGAAGGAAATAAAAAACATAACGATGCATACCATTGAAAATGATGAAAAGATGATGAATGAGAAGTTTGCGGAAACACCATGTGGGAATAATTTCTCAATAAGAGAATGGTTCTGAAAAGAACCAGAGGTATTTAGAGCCATTCTCTTAGTTTAAGAAGTTATTCCCACATGGTGTTTCCGCAAACCTTTCATTTATTAGTACCTCCACAACGTAAAGCCTCAAATCTTACTTATGAAACAATAATTTAGTAATTTCTGCTTCATTCTTGCCCCTTTCAGTGGTGTCACTGGGAGTCACAGGCTTTGAGTGGGCAGGGGGAATCCCCTTCCCCATACTCCCCTTTGTTACACTACTGGTCCTGTTAATTTTTTGTGAGTGTGATTTTATAAGCAGTAATTTTAATACAGGAATTTATATAACATCTGTTTATAAAAAATGAATCCAGTGTCTTGAATGGAGGTATAAATCTGAAACAACCTTACTAATGAAATCAGAATCATTTTTTATACCAATTACGGCCCAATGCACTGAAATAGTGAAATGGCAAGAGGTACCCAGCAGTAGAAAATTTGGGGAAAAAACAAATTTTGGGGGTCGCTAACCTAAAACAGCATTGCAAGCAATCCAAACAGTTCAAGACTCAGGCCAAACATCATTGGAGCAATGCTGTAAGTAACTCAAACATTCCCTTTAACCATGCGACTATCAGAATCGAATGTCTATCCCAAAACCTCTAACCTGTTGTCGATTCCACTGTGGTGACTTCCTTTGTGGTAGATTCAGGGGTGGTAGTCACAACTGTTGTTACCTCCTTGGTTGTTGAAGGTGGGGCAGTTGTTGAAGGTGGGGCAGTTGTTGAGGGAGCCTCAGTAGTTGTCACACGAGTAGTTGACTTCTCTGTTGTACTTGGAGGACCTAAAAGATAAAGTCCACAAAGTTTTAACTTGAGTGGGGTTTAAACAAAATAACATTCAGCTCTTTTGCTCTTTACTGATCTTCATTTCAATGAGAAACTTATTTTCTATTCCATTGTAAAGGCCTAAAAGGAAACAAAAATTCCTGATATATTCCTTATTAGGGTCATCATTAGGGAAGATACAACATTTGCAAACATCAAAAAATGAAATGATCAAATTATCACAAAATATTTTATTGGATTGTAAGGGAATGAAAGTCCAAAGCATCCTTTAAAATTGTGGCTCCAGGTGTGCTGACATTTTCAGGAAAACTTGTATTTTTCCAACGCTGGTCGGCCGACCAGTGTTGGAGAAAACTGGCTTTTTTTATCAAAAACTGCTTCCAAGTTTTCATATTTAGTTATTCCACATTTTCTTTGCAATTGATGACACCTCTGTGAAGGGGTTCAAGCCTGCTAGACTGATTCTCTGACCTTACAATTCCCCAAAGTATATAAATTGTTCTGTTTCATCTTAAGTGGGGTCAGGGAACCAGACTATAAGAAAATGTTTGGTTTTCTTGGATTTTCCAGCATCTCCAAACCCAAAATGTGAAGCAAGTCAGTTTAACAATATTTGCTATGACATACTAATCTTCCAAATTCATTTATTTCTGACAATTGAAGCAAATGTTGTACATTCCCTTGAAACAAAGTGTCTAATACCGGTCAAGTACATATTTATCCCCATTCATCAATACCTTTTTGGTCAAATAATCAAAACTTTTCAGTCCAAAAGACAAAAGTGTTCAACAAGTTTACCTCATGTTTTTTGGGACACCCTTCAAGCATTATTATGGTATGTCCAGTCTCGCGAGTGTTGTAAAAAAACTCCTTATAAATTACGGAGATTGGCGTGCGCATCACACGCACTAGTGATGTGGCGCATAACGCAGCTGTGCCGGTGTATTGTAAATTTAGGACTACGTAATTCTGAACCACCGGTAGTATTACGCATGCCTATGTGAGCCAAATTGTGACCTTCAACCGATAAAACGGTAAAGCACCAGATTTCATAGGAGTCCAAATTTCATGTGACTAGTGTTTAACACCAGCCAGCCATGTCTTTATTGACCGTTGAAGACCAGCCACGTGACATACTCTCGACCAAGAGGAATGGGGTTTTTAAAAACTGTCTTAGGTATTTATGAATATAAATGACATCTTGCACCTTCAAATTCATGGAAGCACTTGGTAAAAGAGAATTATTGGTCTTGAATTACCAGTTGTACTTTCTTCAGTGGTGCTCAGTACTGTAGTCGTCTCTTCAACTGTAGTTGACTCTGGAGTAGTTGTGTACACAACAGTGGTTGTCACCTCCTCAGTAGTCGATGGTGCCTCAGTAGTTGATGGTACAGTTGAAGTAACGGTAGTACTCACAACAGTGGTTCTAGCCTCTGTCGTGGAGGCCTCTGTTATTGGGAAAATGATAAAATGTTTGTCAGTTGTAATCTTCAAAGGTATAATAAACTTGAAGATAATGAGCTATGAACTTTCCCTATTTCCTTTCCTTGATTTTTTGTTTTGTACAAAATTGTGGTACAGATCATTCCAGCGAGTTTTCATAATACTTGAGGCACCTTTGAATGTCATACCGATAAAGAGCGCCTTATAAATGCTGTTTATTATTGTTATTATTTTTTCCATTTCCTTCATGAATCTTATCTTATAGTTGATAAATATTATTTCAGCAATTGTATATAAAAGTGCCATAATATTAAATATAAACACAGAAGGGTCAGTATAATCAGCCACTTAGCCCTCAAAGTGCCAACAAATGTCAAGTCATCCAATCCTCAAACTTCCCTAAACAGCCCAAGCACTCAAAAGTTTTATTGATTTATGGAGTAAACACAATGTAATACAATTTCATACAAGTGCTAAAAAGTTAAATTCCCTACTCGTTAGAAAAATGCTCAAAGCCAAATAGCTATGTGTTGACACGCTCAATAGGTGGAAAACCAAGATTGTCAGCTGCTTGCCAAAGAGAGCATGTCAGGCTCCAAGCCTCAAGTGGAATTAAACTCACAAACCAGACACTAACATGGAAAGAACAAAAACAGTCTGTCTAACCATTCCAACATCAGATCCAAATGCCACATGAGGTTATATCTAACCTGTTGTAGACTGCACTGTGGTGACTTCCTTTGTGGTAGATTCAGGGGTAGTGGTCACAACTGTTGTTACCTCCTTGGTCGTTGAAGGTGGGGCAGTTGTTGAAGGTGGGGCAGTTGTTGAAGGTGGGGCAGTTGTTGAAGGTGGGGCAGTTGTTGAGGGAGCCTCAGTAGTTGTCACGCGAGTAGTTGACTGCTCCGTTGTACTTGGAGGACCTATAAGATACAGTCCACAAAGTTTCAATTTGAGTTGGGTGAAAACAAAATAATCTTTTGCTCTTTTGCTTTACTGGTCATTTTTTTTTTTTAATCTCCTGATGTATTCCATACAAGGGTCATAATATCAATTAAATCTTGAACCTTCATGGAAGCACTTGGTAAAAGAGAATTATTTGTTTTGAATTACCAGTTGTGCTTTCTTCAGTGGTGCTCAGTACTGTAGTCGTCTCTTCAACAGTAGTTGACTCTGGAGTAGTTGTGTACACAACAGTGGTTGTCACCTCCTCAGTAGTCGATGGTGCCTCAGTAGTCGATGGTGCCTCAGTAGTTGATGGTACAGTTGAAGTAACGGTAGTACTCACAACAGTGGTTCTAGCCTCTGTCGTGGAGGCCTCTGTTATTGGGACAATGATAAAATGTTTGTCAGTTGTAATCTTCAAAGGTATAATAAACTTGAAGATAATAAGCTATGAACTTTCCCTATTTCCTTTCCTTGATTTTTTTTTTGTACAAAATTGTGGTACAGATCATTCCAGCAAGTTTTCATAATACTTGAGGCACCTTTGAATGTCATACCGATAAAGCGCGCCTTATAAATGCTGTTTATTATTGTTATTATTTTTTCCATTTCCTTCATGAATCTTATCTTATAGTTGATAAATATGATTTCAGCAATTGCATATAAAAGTGCCATAATATTAAATATCAACACAGAAGGGTCAGTATAATCAGCCACTTAGCCCTCAAAGTGCCAACAAATGTCAAGTCATTCAATCCTCAAACTTCCCCAAACAGCCCTAGCACTCAAAAGTTTTCTTGATTTTTGGAGTAAATACAAGGTAATACAATTTCATACAAGTGCTAAAAAGTTAAATTCCCTACTCGTTAGAAAAATGCTCAAAGCCAAATAGCTATGTGTTGACCCGCTCAATAGGTGGAAAACCAAGATTGTCAGCTGCTTGCCAAAGAGGGCATGTCAGGCTCCAAGCCTCAAGCGGAATTCAAACTTACAAACCATACACTAACATGGAAAGAACAAAAACAGTCTGTCTAACCATTCCAACATCAGATCCAAATGCCACATGAGGTTATATCTAACCTGTTGTAGACTGCACTGTGGTGACTTCCTTTGTGGTAGATTCAGGGGTAGTGGTCACAACTGTTGTTACCTCCTTGGTCGTTGAAGGTGGGGCAGTTGTTGAAGGTGGGGCAGTTGTTGAGGGAGCCTCAGTAGTTGTCACGCGAGTAGTTGACTGCTCCGTTGTACTTGGAGGACCTATAAGATACAGTCCACAAAGTTTCAATTTGAGTTAGGTGAAAACAAAATAATTTTTGCTCTTTTTGCTTTACTGGTCTTTATTTTCTAAAAATCTCCTGATGTGTTCCATATAAGGGTCATAATATCAATTAAATCGTGAACCTTCATGGAAGCACTTGGTATAAGAGAATTATTTGTTTTGAATTACCAGTTGTGCTTTCTTCAGTGGTGCTCTGTACTGTAGTCGTCTCTTCAACAGTAGTTGACTCTGGAGTAGTTGTGTACACAACAGTGGTTGTCACCTCCTCAGTAGTCGATGGTGCCTCAGTAGTTGACGGTACAGTTGAAGTAACGGTAGTGCTCACAACAGTGGTTCTAGCCTCTGTCGTGGAGGCCTCTGTTATTGGGAAAATGATAAAATGTTTGTCAGTTGTAATCTTCAAAGGTATAATAAACTTGAAGATAATAAGCTATGAACTTGACCTATTTCCTTTCCTTGATTTTTTTTTGTACAAAATTGTGGTACAGATCATTCCAGCGAGTTTTCATAATACTTGAGGCACCTTTGAATGTCATACCGATAAAGCGCGCCTTATAAATGCTGTTTATTATTGTTATTATTTGTTTCCATTTCCTTCATGAATCTTATCTTATAGTTGATAAATATGATTTCAGCAATTGCATATAAAAGTGCCATAATATTAAATATCAACACAGAAGGGTCAGTATAATCAGCCACTTAGCCCTCAAAGTGCCAACAAATGTCAAGTCATTCAATCCTCAAATTTCCCCAAACAGCCCTAGCACTCAAACGTTTTCTTGATTTTTGGAGTAAAAACAAGGTAATACAATTTCATACAAGTGCTAAAAAGTTAAATTCCCTACTCTTAGAAAAATGCTCAAAGCCAAATAGCTATGTGTTGACCCGCTCAATAGGTGGAAAACCAAGATTGTCAGCTGCTTGCCAAAGAGGGCATGTCAGGCTCCAAGCCTCAAGTGGAATTCAAACTCACAAACCAGACACTAACATGGAAAGAACAAAAACAGTCTGTCTAACCATTCCAACATCAGATCCAAATGCCACATGAGGTTATATCTAACCTGTTGTAGACTGCACTGTGGTGACTTCCTTTGTGGTAGATTCAGGGGTTGTGGTCACAACTGTTGTTACCTCCTTGGTCGTTGAAGGTGGGGCAGTTGTTGAAGGTGGGGCAGTTGTTGAAGGTGGGGCAGTTGTTGAGGGAGCCTCAGTAGTTGTCACGCGAGTAGTTGACTGCTCCGTTGTACTTGGAGGACCTATAAGATACAGTCCACAAAGTTTCAATTTGAGTTGGGTGAAAACAAAATAATCTTTTGCTCTTTTTGCTTTACTGGTCTTTATTTTCTAAAAATCTCCTGATGTGTTCCTTATAAGGGTCATAATATCAATTAAATCTTGAACCTTCATGGAAGCACTTGGTATAAGAGAATTATTTGTTTTGAATTACCAGTTGTGCTTTCTTCAGTGGTGCTCTGTACTGTAGTCGTCTCTTCAACAGTAGTTGACTCTGGAGTAGTTGTGTACACAACAGTGGTTGTCACCTCCTCAGTAGTTGATGGTGCCTCAGTAGTTGATGGTACAGTAGAAGTAACGGTAGTACTCACCACAGTGGTTCTAGTCTCGGTTGTTGAGACTTCTGTTTAGAGTATTAAAGTCATAATAATGTTACATGCTGGTTTCTATTTTCAATGCAAAAAATTCAAGTGAACACAATCTAGATCACGTTGCATATAATCTGGTAGCACACCGCTACTGTTGGTAATAACATTGATTAACTTTCTCTTCCATAGTTTGATACAAGTTGTTATAGATGATGGCCCAATTTGACACTCTGTTGTCCCCCTTTTGTTGAATTCTTTCTATCTCACAGTCATTTGGCAATGGACCGATCCAGTAAGCCCCTCCCACTGCGCACGTGGGCAAATTAACACGTGCTCCTCTCCAATGCCACACTGCATTTTCCGGCTGCGCGCGTCATACGCGCGTGCTCGCATGTCGGACTTTTGTGCACGCATGTCGGACATAAATCACGACTGTGATTGGTCAGAATACCATGGGGCAGTGCTTACTGGATCGGTCCATTGTTGACTGCTGTGATGTGGGATATGACGTTTTGAACACCCGAGGATACGCCCCTCGGGTGTTCAAAAGGTCATTATGCCACATCAGCGTAGACAATTATTCTTTTGTTATACCTCTGTCTTGGATTCTTTGGAGTGTGATATGAAAAAAAGGGAGTATACACAACAATCATGACAATCGAACGTCGACTCACATGCATGTCGCGTGCTAAAAACAGCTGATCATCTGCTACTTCGCTGCTCGCACTCATGTGAGAAAACATGGTGAAAATAGCGTGGGTACTAACAATACAAGCTTTTAACACTGTACTTCCTCTATGAGTGTGCCATGACTTTTTACACAAACTGAACGTGTGATCGTTCTAGGCCAATAAAAATACAGTATTTAAGACAGAGGTATAAAAAAAATTAGTATTAAATCCCTCATACAGTCACATTTAGTTCTGGACAGTCGTGAATTATAATTATATAACCAACATACAGATCCTTGTCATTTGATTGGTGGAACTCGCATAACGGGACATTCGTCATTTTTTCCATTCACACTGTGGCTCAAAAAGTACTATCCGCCCATGGGGAATGGGAAATACTATTCAACAGTTGGGATCATGACGCAGTATTTGTGTGCAAATGCATGTTGGTGTGCACATTCAGCATTGCGCGTAGTGTGTATTGTTCCAAAGAGCCAGCACTACTGCCTTGGGTTCAAACATTTTCGTGAAGGGGTGGTTTGGAAGAGAGAAATACATTTTTCACCAATTTTGTATTGAAATAAAAGTTCAAACTTATCAAATGACAAGGATTTATATGTCAGTTATATAAAACAAATATTGAGTGGCTTTCAATTGTGAAATGGGAGGAATATTATTGCTCGGTAAAATCTGGACTTTTCCAGTTCACTCGGTTGGCCTCGTGAAATGGAAAAGTCCAGATTTTACTTTGCAATAATATTCCTCCCATTCCAGGCTGATCCACTCAATATTTGTATACTGTTTGATTATCAACATTTTCCCATGCATCAAATATTGTTTAGCAAGTTCTGTTGGAGCACTTGTAGACAATGTTTGCTTTTTTGAGGATTAGCAACAAAACCGTTAGCTCACCTGTTGTTGAGGGTGCCTCTGTTGTTGAGGGTGCACTGGTTGTAGTCACTGTGTTGTTTAAGAAAGCACAATCAAGTATCAATATATTTTTGATCCTACAAACAAAGTTCCTCTAACGATCAGCCATTGACAAAGGTCCTGCTGATTAGGCCATTCACCTTTCTTTGATTTGTATGTTTCAGGTCAATCCAGTCAAGTAAGTAGTTTGCAGCAGTTTGATTCATTTTTCAACGAATAACAAGAAAAGTTGTGTTAAATAAGCTAAAACGCCCCACAACTGTGACTGTTCCCATGACATGACACCACTCTTTTAACATCAACTTACCCGGGTCACATGGAACATTCATTTACATCATTATCGTTTCTTACACTGTATTGACGCCTATGACCCCGGAATACAAATTATTTGTTTGCTTTTCCACTTGGAAGTCATTGTATGTGATTTAAAAGAGTGAGTGAATGTGAATAGATCGTGTACCAGGAACATGAATAAAAGGAGACCAGACCAGTGGGTACACATAGTGCAAAATGTATGTAGGCAAAATGTGAGGTGCATGTATACTTAAACAATCACAAGGAATAGTTTCCTATTCCTGTATTCAATGAGTACATATGATATCACTATTCTTTCAATTTCAACCATGATGATCTGACAAGTCAAACATGAGTTATCAAATTTGGAGTACATATAAGAGTACAGCTGGCTGGTGAGTTACTGACGGTACACATTTTACACAAAGCAAAATACAAGTTATTATGTGCACATGTAAAAGTGCATGTACACATGTACACGTTGAAGTGTGCATTCAGTACACTTTAAAGGTTGAAAAGTGCCACATCCATGGAAAAAGAAATGTCTGTATAAGTTACCTGTCATGTTGCCCGACAAGTAACTTATTATGATGACATTATTTCTTGTATTTTAATTAGAGCCTAGACATTTGGCATATGAGTCCAAAAGTGATTTGGAAACCCCCAAAACATTCCACCTATTTGCATCTACCGTACCAAGTCCCAAGTTGATATGCACAGTTTTTCTTGAGTTACATGTAAATGCTGAGAAAACTATTTCTGATGTTTTAATAAACACATTGACCTTGGCCTAAGGGGTCCAAAAAGTGACAGGTTTCTGGAGGATCCCCATGATAAATTGATTTGACCAGTTTTTTGTGTGTTATGGCGGGAAAAACTTTTCTATTGCTTTAATGAACCAGGGTCCAAACACATTAAGCTGAAGGTGGCAATAGCAAGCTACCTATCAAGGTTCATGACATACATGTCCATCAAGTCCAACTCGTGCTATCATTTTGAAAGCAAAAGTGTGATGCACGCACACATGCTGGCACATAGGTTTGTTTATGGTGTAAATCAAGGATTTTCTAAAGTTCCTCATCATCGATCTTTTGTTGATAGTCTACCTTTTTTGCTACAGCTCCCATTGGTTTTGTACACGTTTTCTTATCGAGGTCGTCCTTGACTCCTGTCCTTAATTACTCGATGATGCTTCACTTGTGTGTACTCGATTTCCACCATAAACATGCACCCATCTTTGTAAACACTGGCAAACGTGGACCCCTATTGTCCCTAATCCTCATTCCTTTGTTTTTACTCAGTACTTTGTTTGTACTTTTTAGCAAGAGCGCTCACTGGTTTTGTACACGAATATCAATCATGGAATATCGGTCAATCATGGACCCTTTGTTTGTGCCCTAACTCTTTTGTCCCTAGTCCATGATTGCCTGTGTTTACATACTCACGCACACAGACGAGGCAGAAACAGTATTTTCACCGGCGGGGCTTAAAAAAGCAGCACAAACTACTTTTCACTCTTCATTCACATTGCTTTTGTTTTCCTATACTGCAGATAAATCTCCTTGTTTTCATCATCTCTTTTCATATTTCCTCATTTCATTCAATTCTACAGTCGTTCCATCATTATGCTCAAGAAGTAAAGAGAAAATAAGTGACTATAAAAATACCTCCGTGTTCACAACCGTTGAATATCACTTTGTAACCATCTGGGTTTGAGGTGATGATGCAAACTTTGAGTCCCGTCACCAACGCCATACTTGATGGTAGATAGATCTTTTGATCTGTTTTGCCAATAAAGATAGGAGAGCCAGCTTCATCTACTAGAGGCAGGTATGGTTGCCTGTCACCTGGTTGAAATTTGAAGGAAACAGTTATGTCTCCCGGTGGGCCTTGTTCTGTCTTTATGATGACCGACGTGATTTCAACCCGTGGGCTGAAGGTAGCCCCCAAACATGATCCATTGTGTGGTGATGTAACATCGTTGGGTGGGTTGCTAGGGCGCCACCAGTCAGTCGGAGGTAATTCATTGCCTGATTCTGGGTCTTCGCGTATTATCGTCACATTTGGCAATTTGTCAAGATCATCCGCACATACCTCTGGAGTAGTTGATGGTGGTGAAGTAGTTGACACTGATGTGATTCAAAATAAAAATGAAGGAAATAAAAAACATAACGATGCATACCATTGAAAATGATGAAAAGATGATGAATGAGAGGTTTGCAGAAACACCATGTGGGAATAATTTCTCAATAAGAGAATGGTTCTGAAAAGAACCAGAGGTATTTAGAGCCATTCTCTTAGTTTAAGAAGTTATTCCCACATGGTGTTTCTGCAAACCTTTCATTTATTAGTACCTCCACAACGTAAAGCCTCAAATCTTACTTATGAAACAATAATTTAGTAATTTCTGCTTCATTCTTGCCCCTTTCAGTGGTGTCACTGGGAGTCACAGGCTTTGAGTGGGCTGGGGGAATCCCCTTCCCCATACTCCCCTTTGTTACACTACTGGTCCTGTTAATTTTTTGTGAGTGTGATTTTATAAGCAGTAATTTTAATACAGGAATTTATATAACATCTGTTTATAAAAAATGAATCCAGTGTCTTGAATGGAGGTATAAATCTGAAACAACCTTACTAATGAAATCAGAATCATTTTTATACCAATTGCGGCCCAATGCACTGAAATAGTGAAATGGCAAGAGGTACCCAGCAGTAGAAAATTTGGGGAAAAAACAAAGTTTGGGGGCCGCTAACCTAAAGCAGCATTGCAATCAATCTAAACAGTTAAAGACTTTGGCCAAACATTATAGGAGCAATGCTGTAAGTAACTCAAACGTTCCCTTTAACCATGCGACTATCAGAATCAAATGTCTATCCCAAAACCTCTAACCTGTTGTCGACTCCACTGTAGTGACTTCCTTTGTGGTAGATTCAGGGGTAGTAGTCACAACTGTTGTTACCTCCTTGGTTGTTGAAGGTGGAGCAGTTGTTAAAGGTGGAGCAGTTGTTGAAGGTGGGGCAGTTGTTGAGGGTGGGGCAGTTGTTGAGGGTGGGGCAGTTGTTGAAGGTGGGGCAGTTGTTGAAGGTGGAGCAGTCGTTGAAGGTGGGGCAGTTGTTGAAGGTGGGGCAGTTGTTGAAGGTGGGGCAGTTGTTGAGGGTGGGACAGTTGTTGAGGGAGCCTCAGTAGTTGTCACACGAGTAGTTGACTTCTCTGTTGTACTTGGAGGACCTAAAAGATAAAGTCCACAAAGTTTTAACTTGAGTGGGGTTAAAACAAAATAACATTCAGCTCTTTTGCTCTTTACTGATCTTCATTTCAATGAGAAACTTATTTTCTATTCCATTGTAAAGGCCTAAAAGGAAACAAAAATTCCTGATATATTCCTTATTAGGGTCATCATTAGGGAAGATACAACATTTGCAAACATCAAAAAATGAAATGATCAAATTATCACAAAATATTTTATTGGATTGTAAGGGAATGAAAGTCCAAAGCATCCTTTAAAATTGTGGCTCCAGGTGTGCTGACATTTTCAGGAAAACTTGTATTTTTCCAACGCTGGTCGGCCGACCAGCGTTGGAGAAAACTGGCTTTTTTTTTCAAAACTGCTTCTAAGTTTTCATATTTAATTATTCCACATTTTCTTTGCAATTGATTACACCTCTGTGAAGGGGTTCAAGCCTGCTAGACTGATTCTCTGACCTTACAATTCCCCAAAGTATATAAATTGTTCTGTTTCATCTTAAGTGGGATCAGGGAACCAGACTACAAGAAAATGGTTGGTTTTCTTGGATTTTCCAGCATCTCCAAACCCAAAATGTGAAGCAAGTCAGTTTAACAATATTTGCTATGACATACTAATCTTCCAAATTCATTTATTTCTGACAATTGAAGCAAATGTTGTACATTCCCTTGAAACAAAGTGTTTAATACCGGTCAAGTACATATTTATTCCCATTCATCAATACCTTTTCGGTCAAATAATCAAAACTTTTCAGTCCAAAAGACAAAAGTGTTCAACAAGTTTATCTCATGTTTTTTGGGACACCCTTCAAGCATTATTATGGTATGTCCAGTCTCGCGAGTGTTGTAAAAAAAACTCCTTATAAATTACGGAGATTGGTGTGTGCATCACACGCACTAGCAATGTGGCGCATAACGCAGCTGTGCCGGTGTATTGTAAATTTAGGACTACGAAATTCTGAACCACCGGTAGTATTACGCATGCCTATGTGAGCCAAATTGTGACCTTCAACCGATAAAACGGTAAAGCACCAGATTTCATAGGAGTCCAAATTTCATGTGACTAGTGTTTAACACCAGCCACCTTCAAATTCATGGAAGCACTTGGTAAAAGAGAATTATTGGTCTTGAATTACCAGTTGTACTTTCTTCAGTGGTGCTCAGTACTGTAGTCGTCTCTTCAACTGTAGTTGACTCTGGAGTAGTTGTGTACACAACAGTGGTTGTCACCTCCTCAGTAGTTGATGGTGCCTCAGTAGTTGATGGTACAGTTGAAGTAACGGTAGTACTCACAACAGTGGTTCTAGCCTCTGTCGTGGAGGCCTCTGTTATTGGGAAAATGATAAAATGTTTGTCAGTTGTAATCTTCAAAGGTATAATAAACTTGAAGATTATAAGCTATGAACTTTACCTATTTCCTTTCCTTGATTTTCTGTTTTGTACAAAATTGTGGTACAGATCATTCCAGCAAGTTTTCATAATACTTGAGGCACCTTTGAATGTCATACCGATAAAGCGCACCTTATAAATGCTGTTTATTATTGTTATTATTTTTTCCATTTCCCTATCTTATGGTTGATCAATATAATTTCAGCAATTGTATATAAAAGTGCCATAATATTAAATATCAACACAGAAGGGTCAGTATAATCAACCACTTAGCCCTCAAAGCGCATACAAATGTCAAGTCATTCAATCCTCAAACTTCCCTAAACAGCCCAAGCACTCAAAAGTTTTAATGATTTATGGAGTAAATACAATGTAATACAATTTCATACAAGTGCTAAAAAGTTAAATTCCCTACTCGTTAGAAAAATGCTCAAAGCCAAATAGCTATGTGTTGACACGCTCAATAGGTGGAAAACCAAGATTGTCAGCTGCTTGCCAAAGAGGGCATGTCAGGCTCCAAGCCTCAAGCGGAATTCAAACTCACAAACCAGACACTAACATGGAAAGAACAAAAACAGTCTGTCTAACCATTCCAACATCAGATCCAAATGCCACATGAGGTTATATCTAACCTGTTGTAGACTGCACTGTGGTGACTTCCTTTGTGGTAGATTCAGGGGTAGTGGTCACAACTGTTGTTACCTCCTTGGTCGTTGAAGGTGGGGCAGTTGTTGAAGGTGGGGCAGTTGTTGAGGGAGCCTCAGTAGTTGTCACGCGAGTAGTTGACTGCTCCGTTGTACTTGGAGGACCTATAAGATACAGTCCACAAAGTTTCAATTTGAGTTAGGTGAAAACAAAATATTCTTTTGCTCTTTGCTCTTTCCTGGTAATTTTTTTTTTTAAATCTCCTCATGCATTCCATATAAGGGTCATAATATCAATTAAATCTTGAACCTTCATGGAAGCACTTGGTATAAGAGAATTATTTGTTTTGAATTACCAGTTGTACTTTCTTCAGTGGTGCTCTGTACTGTAGTCGTCTCTTCAACAGTAGTTGACTCTGGAGTAGTTGTGTACACAACAGTGGTTGTCACCTCCTCAGTAGTCGATGGTGCCTCAGTAGTTGACGGTACAGTTGAAGTAACGGTAGTACTCACAACAGTGGTTCTAGCCTCTGTCGTGGAGGCCTCTGTTATTGGGAAAATGATAAAATGTTTGTCAGTTGTAATCTTCAAAGGTATAATAAACTTGAAGATAATAAGCTATGAACTTTACCTATTTCGTTTCCTTGATTTTTTTATGTACAAGATTTTGGTACAGATCATTCCAGAGAGTTTTCATAATACTTGAGGCACCTTTGAATGTCATAACGATAAGCGCACCTTATAAATGCTGTTTATTATTGTTATTATTTTTTTCCATTTCCTTATCTTATAGTTGATCAATATAATTTCAGCAATTGTATATAAAAAGTGCCATAATATTAAATATAAACACAGAAGGGTCAGTATAATCAACCACTTAGCCCTCAAAGCGCCAACAAATGTCAAGTCATTCAATCCTCAAACTTCGCCAAACAGCCCTAGCACTCAAAATTTTTATTGATTTATGGAGTAAATACAATGTAATACAATTTCATACAAGTGCTAAAAAGTTAAATTCCCTACCCGTTAGAAAAATGCTCAAAGCCAAATAGCTATGTGTTGACACGCTCAATACGTGGAAAACCAAGATTGTCAGCTGCTTGCCAAAGAGGGCATGTCAGGCTCCAAGCCTCAAGCAGAATTCAAACTCACAAACCAGACACTAACATGGAAAGAACAAAAACAGTCTGTCTAACCATTCCAACATCAGATCCAAATGCCACATGAGTTTATATCTAACCTGTTGTAGACTGCACTGTGGTGACTTCCTTTGTGGTAGATTCAGGGGTAGTGGTCACAACTGTTGTTACCTCCTTGGTCGTTGAAGGTGGGGCAGTTGTTGAAGGTGGGGCAGTTGTTGAGGGAGCCTTAGTAGTTGTCACGCGAGTAGTTGACTTCTCCGTTGTACTTGGAGGACCTATAAGATCCACAAAGTTTCAATTTGAGTTGGGTGAAAACAAAAAATCTTTTGCTCTTTTTACTTTACTGGTCTTTATTTTCTAAAAATCTCCTGATGTGTTCCTTATAAGGGTCATAATATCAATTAAACCTTCATGGAAGCACTTGGTATAAGAGAATTATTTGTTTTGAATTACCAGTTGTGCTTTCTTCAGTGGTGCTCAGTACTGTAGTTGTCTCTTCAACAGTAGTTGACTCTGGAGTAGTTGTGTAAACAACAGTGGTTGTCACCTCCTCAGTAGTTGATGGTGCCTCAGTAGTTGATGGTACAGTAGAAGTAACGGTTGTACTCACCACAGTGGTTCTAGCCTCGGTTGTTGAGACTTCTGTTTAGAGTATTAAAGTCATAATAATGTTACATGCTGGTTTCTATTTTCAATGCAGAAAATTCAAGTGAACACAATCTAGATCACGTTGCATATAATCTGGTAGCACACCGCTACTGTTGGTAATAACATTGATTAACTTTCTCTTCCATAGTTTGATACAAGTTGTTATAGATGATGGCCCAATTTGACACTCTGTTGTCCCCCTTTTGTTGAATTCTTTCTATCTCACAGTCATTTGGCAATGGACCGATCCAGTAAGCCCCTCCCACTGCGCACGTGGGCAAATTAACACGTGCTCCTCTCCAATGCCACACTGCATTTTCCGGCTGGTTCGGTTCGCCTCGGTTCGCCTCGTGAAATGGAAAAGTCCAGATTTTACTTTGCAATAATATTCCTCCCATTCCAAGCTGATCCACTCAATATTTGTATACTGTTTGATTATCAACATTTTCCCATGCATCAAATATTGTTTAGCAAGTTCTGTTGGAGCACTTGTAGACAATTTTTTTTGCTTTTTTGAGGATTAGCAACAAAACCGTTAGCTCACCTGTTGTTGAGGGTGCCTCTGTTGTTGAGGGTGCACTGGTTGTAGTCACTGTGTTGTTTAAGAAAGCACAATCAAGTATCAATATATTTTTGATCCTACTCTTTTTATAAACAGAACTAAACAACTACTACAAAAATCAACAACATTTCATGGCCTAATGTTTTGATCCTAGTAGAAAGTTTGACAAAGTTCCTCTAACGATCAGCCATTGACAAAGGTCCTGCTGATTAGGCCATTCACCTTTCTTTGATTTGTATGTTTCAGGTCAATCCAGTCAAGTAAGTAGTTTGCAGCAGTTTGATTCATTTTTCAACGAATAACAAGAAAAGTTGTGTTAAATAAGCTAAAATGCCCCACAACTGTGACTGTTCCCATGACATGACACCACTCTTTTAACATCAACTTACCTGGGTCACATGGAACGTTCATTTACATCATTATCATATCTTTAGGTTACACAGTATTAACGCCTATGACCCCGGAATAAAAAGTATTTGTTTGCTTTTCCACTTGGAAGTCATTGTATGTGATTTAAAAGAGTGAGTGAATGTGAATAGATCCTGTACCAGGAACATGAATAAAAGGAGACCAGACCAGTGGGTACACATAGTGCAAAATGTATGTAGGCAAAATGTGAGGTGCATGTATACTTAAACAATCACAAGGAATAGTTTCCTATTCCTGTATTCAATGAGTACATATGATATCACTATTCTTTCAATTTCAACCATGATGATCTGACAAGTCAAACATGAGTTATCAAATTTGGAGTACATATAAGTGTACAGCTGGCTCGTGAGTAACTGACGGTACACATTTTACACAATGCAAAATACAAGTTATTATGTGCACATGTAATAGTGCATGTACACATGTACACGTTGAAGTTTGCATTCAGTACACTTTAAAGGTTGAAAAGTGCCACATCCATGGAAAAAGAAATGTCTGTATAAGTTACCTGTCATGTTGCCTGACAAGTAACTTATTATGATGACATTATTTCTTGTATTTTAATTAGAGCCTAGACATTTGACATATGAGTCCAATAGTGATTTGGAAACCCCCAAAACATTCCACCTATTTGCATCTACCGTACCAAGTCCCAAGTTGATATGCACAGTTTTTCTTGAGTTACATGTAAATGCTGAGAAAACTATTTCTGATGTTTTAATAAACACATTGACCTTGGCCTAAGGGGTCCAAAAAGTGACAGGTTTCTGGAGGATCCCCATGATAAATTGATTTGACCAGTTTTTTGTGTGTTATGGCGGGAAAAACTTTTCTATTGCTTTAATGAACCAGGGTCCAAACACATTAAGCTGAAGGTGGCAATAGCAAGCTACCTATCAAGGTTCATGACATACATGTCCATCAAGTCCAACTCGTGCTATCATTTTGAAAGCAAAAGTGTGATGCACGCACACATGCTGGCACATAGGTTTGTTTATGGTGTAAATCAAGGATTTTCTAAAGTTCCTCATCATCGATCTTTTGTTGATAGTCTACCTTTTTTGCTACAGCTCCCATTGGTTTTGTACACGTTTTCTAATCGAGGTCGTCCTTGACTCCTGTCCTTAATTACTCGATGATGCTTCACTTGTGTGTACTCGATTTCCACCATAAACATGCACCCATCTTTGTAAACACTGGCAAACGTGGACCCCTATTGTCCCTAATCCTCATTCCTTTGTTTGTACTCAGTACTTTGTTTGTACTTTTTAGCAAGAGCGCTCACTGGTTTTGTACACGAATTTCAATCATGGAATATCGGTCAATCATGGACCCTTCGTTTGTGCCCTAACTCTTTTGTCCCTAGTCCATGATTGCCTGTGTTTACATACTCACGCACACAGACGAGGCAGAAACAGTATTTTCACCGGCGGGGCTTAAAAAAGCAGCACAAACTACTTTTCACTCTTCATTCACATTGCATTTGTTTTCCAATACTGCAGATAAATCTCCTTGTTTTCATCATCTCTTTTCATATTTCCTCATTTCATTCAATTCTACAGTCGTTCCATCATTATGCTCAAGAAGTAAAGAGAAAATAAGTGACTATGAAAATACCTCCATGTTCACAACCGTTGAATATCACTTTGTAACCATCTGGGTTTGAGGTGATGATGCAAACTTTGAGTCCCGTCACCAACGCCATACTGGATGGTAGATAGATCTTTTGATCTGTTTTGCCAATAAAGATAGGAGAGCCAGCTTCATCTACTAGAGGCAGGTATGGTTGCCTGTCACCTGGTTGAAATTTGAAGGAAACAGTTATGTCTCCCGGTGGGCCTTGTTCTGTCTTTATGATGACCGACGTGATTTCAACCCGTGGGCTGAAGGTAGCCCCCAAACATGATCCATTGTGTGGTGATGTAACATCGTTGGGTGGGTTGCTAGGGCGCCACCAGTCAGTCGGAGGTAATTCATTGCCTGATTCTGGGTCTTCGCGTATTATCGTCACATTTGGCAATTTGTCAAGATCATCCGCACATACCTCTGGAGTAGTTGATGGTGGTGAAGTAGTTGACACTGATGTGATTCAAAATAAAAATGAAGGAAATAAAAAACATAACGATGCATACCATTGAAAATGATGAAAAGATGATGAATGAGAGGTTTGCAGAAACACCATGTGGGAATAATTTCTCAATAAGAGAATGGTTCTGAAAAGAACCAGAGGTATTTAGAGCCATTCTCTTAGTTTAAGAAGTTATTCCCACATGGTGTTTCCGCAAACCTTTCATTTATTAGTACCTCCACAACGTAAAGCCTCTAATCTTACTTATGAAACAATAATTTAGTAATTTCCGCTTCATTCTTGCCTCTTTCAGTGGTGTCACTGGGAGTCACAGGCTTTGAGTGGGCTGGGGGAATCCCCTTCCCCATACTCCCCTTTGTTACACTACTGGTCCTGTTAATTTTTTGTGAGTGTGATTTTATAAGCAGTAATTTTAATACAGGAATTTATATAACATCTGTTTATAAAAAATGAATCCAGTGTCTTGAATGGAGGTATAAATCTGAAACAACCTTACTAATGAAATCAGAATCATTTTTTATACCAATTACGGCCCAATGCACTGAAATAGTGAAATGGCAAGAGGTACCCAGCAGTAGAAAATTTGGGGAAAAAACAAAGTTTGGGGGCCGCTAACCTAAAGCAGCATTGCAAGCAATCCAAACAGTTCAAGACTTTGGCCAAACATTATAGGAGCAATGCTGTAAGTAACTCAAACATTCCCTTTAACCATGCGACTATCAGAATCAAATGTCTATCCCAAAACCTCTAACCTGTTGTCGACTCCACTGTAGTGACTTCCTTTGTGGTAGATTCAGGGGTAGTAGTCACAACTGTTGTTACCTCCTTGGTTGTTGAAGGTGGAGCAGTTGTTGAAGGTGGGGCAGTTGTTGAAGGTGGGGCAGTTGTTGAGGGTGGGGCAGTTGTTGAGGGTGGGGCAGTTGTTGAAGGTGGAGCAGTCGTTGAAGGTGGGGCAGTTGTTGAAGGTGGGGCAGTTGTTGAAGGTGGGGCAGTTGTTGAGGGTGGGACAGTTGTTGAGGGAGCCTCAGTAGTTATCACACGAGTAGTTGACTTCTCTGTTGTACTTGGAGGACCTAAAAGATAAAGTCCACAAAGTTTTAACTTGAGTGGGGTTAAAACAAAATAACATTCAGCTCTTTTGCTCTTTACTGATCTTCATTTCAATGAGAAACTTATTTTCTATTCCATTGTAAAGGCCTAAAAGGAAACAAAAATTCCTGATATATTCCTTATTAGGGTCATAATTAGGGAAGATACAACATTTGCAAACATCAAAAAATGACATGATCAAATTATCACGAAATATTTTATTGGATTGTAAGGGAATGAAAGTCCAAAGCATCCTTTAAAATTGTGGCTCCAGGTGTGCTGACATTTTCAGGAAAACTTGAATTTTTCCAACGCTGGTCGGCCGACCAGCGTTGGAGAAAACTGGCTTTTTTTTCAAAACTGCTTCTAAGTTTTCATATTTAGTTATTCCACATTTTCTTTGCAATTGATTACACCTCTGTGAAGGGGTTCAAGCCTGCTAGACTGATTCTCTGACCTTACAATTCCCCAAAGTATATAAATTGTTCTGTTTCATCTTAAGTGGGATCAGGGAACCAGACTATAAGAAAATGGTTGGTTTTCTTGGATTTTCCAGCATCTCCAAACCCAAAATGTGAAGCAAGTCAGTTTAACAATATTTGCTATGACATACTAATCTTCCAAATTCATTTATTTCTGACAATTGAAGCAAATGTTGTACATTCCCTTTAAACAAAGTGTTTAATACCGGTCAAGTACATATTTATTCCCATTCATCAATACCTTTTCGGTCAAATAATCAAAACTTTTCAGTCCAAAAGACAAAAGTGTTCAACAAGTTTATCTCATGTTTTTTGGGACACCCTTCAAGCATTATTATGGTATGTCCAGTCTCGCGAGTGTTGTAAAAAAAACTCCTTATAAATTACGGAGATTGGCGTGCGCATCACATGCACTAGTGATGTGGCGCATAACGCAGCTGTGCCGGTGTATTGTAAATTTAGGACTACGTAATTCTGAACCACCGGTAGTATTACGCATGCCTATGTGAGCCAAATTGTGAACCTTCAACCGATAAAACGGTAAAGCACCAGATTTCATAGGAGTCCAAATTTCATGTGACTAGTGTTTAACACCAGCCAGCCATGTCTTTATTAACCGTTGAAGACCAGCCACGTGACATACTCTTGACCAAGAGGAATGGGGTTTTTAAAAACTGTCTTAGGTATTTATGAATATAAATGACATCTTGCACCTTCAAATTCATGGAAGCACTTGGTAAAAGAGAATTATTGGTCTTGAATTACCAGTTGTACTTTCTTCAGTGGTGCTCAGTACTGTAGTCGTCTCTTCAACTGTAGTTGACTCTGGAGTAGTTGTGTACACAACAGTGGTTGTCACCTCCTCAGTAGTCGATGGTGCCTCAGTAGTTGATGGTACAGTTGAAGTAACGGTAGTACTCACAACAGTGGTTCTAGCCTCTGTCGTGGAGGCCTCTGTTATTGGGAAAATGATAAAATGTTTGTCAGTTGTAATCTTCAAAGGTATAATAAACTTGAAGATTATAAGCTATGAACTTTACCTATTTCCTTTCCTTGATTTTTTGTTTTGTACAAAATTGTGGTACAGATCATTCCAGCAAGTTTTCATAATACCGTAATTTCCTGCGGATAAGGCGCGCGGCGGATAAGGCGCAGGTCCCTAAAATCACCCCCAAAAAATTCAAACGCCAACAGATAAGGCGCACCGCCGCATAAGACGCATGTTTGACCGCACACAGAAGAACACCAGGCGTCACCCGGTGTCGGTACATCGCCACAAAGGGGCCATTGTGTTGCCTTAGAAAGATCACACTATTCGGAGGATGAATTAAACCGTAACCACATTGGCTGGTCACATGTAGAGCCAATGAAGAAAAGACCAATGTAAATTGATACCGACCTTCATCCATTCTGATCCGGCAATTTGACCTGTTAACATCCGCCCGGTGCACGAGTGGCGCGAACATGTTGCGGTCTCATGAACGAAGAAACACGTTTTCAGGCGTGTAGCTCATGTGAACCTTTCCAGCGTATACAACATGCACAATAAACAACCGCTGAACTCAGGCTAGCACCGCGCATGCAAAAGCGCACGTGGTATCCTAAAACTACACTATAGGCCTTATTTTTGTTGCGTGTTCGTCCATTACTAAACCTTTTTCATTCCTGAAATTGTACTTATTTTTCCATCCATAAATGACTCTGAGTCCGCACTCACCAAAAGACTTCACTTTGGCACAGAATCATGGAAAAGCTTACGAGTATGCGGATGAGAATAGTGCCGATAACGCGGTACGTACGGAGGTGACAAATCTGAAGTATTGATTATAGAAAATTGGAAAATGATGTCGTAGTACATCATGTGACCGTTTCTAACCAATGAGAAGCTTCAGAACCAGGGAATCCCTTATCGATGCATTGGTTTCTGCCGTGATGTCACACAATGAGCGGCTCTGTTGGATTTCACCTGTTAATTTATGCACGCACGGATCCTCTATGGATCCGTGATTTATGTTGGTGAATTCGCGTAATTTTTTGTCTGTGAATTCTGATAGTGCTGTTTGAAAACTGACCCATCCTGGCCTAGCATGCAACCATGCAACAATGGCACTCCCACAGAGCGCGCGTAATTCCGAACTCAGTGACCTTTCGGACCCAACATTTCCGTACGAAAAGGTGGATCAAGCATAAGTGGGAACGCGACTTGCGGTTTCGTTGCGGTAAGATAACGATCACACCAAAATGCCGGATCTTGATCCACCTTTTTCCAATTCAAGTGGGAACGCGGTGTTAGATAATACAAATTCCCATAATACTTTTTAAAACAAACGTCTAAAAAGAGGCAATTAATAAATGAACGATTTGAACGTTTAATGAAACAAACGAAAGTGCAACAAATAAATGCAACAGCATTTTCGGAATGAAAAAACGGCCACAAAGAAAAACGTTTGTATGACGGCATTGTTGGAACGAAAGCACGATCACTAAGGGGGATCAACGCATTGCGGCATTGTTGGAATGAAAGCACGATCATGGGGGATCAACACATCGCGGCATTGTTGGAATGAAAATACGGTCACAATGTCTGGAGAGTTGAGCCTTGGTTGACCGCATTATTGATTGCGGCATTGAAAGAATTCTTCACACAAAGACCGTCACTTTGAACTCAAGCGACATCAGATAAGGCGCACCTGTAGATAAGGCGCAGCGATGTTTTTGTGGTATAGAAAGTCAGATAAGACGCGTCTTATCCGCAGGAAATTACGGTACTTGAGGCACCTTTGAATGTCATACCGATAAAGCGCACCTTATAAATGCTGTTTATTATTGTTATTATTTTTTCCATTTCCCTATCTTATGGTTGATCAATATAATTTCAGCAATTGTATATAAAAGTGCCATAATATTAGATATCAACACAGAAGGGTCAGTATAATCAACCACTTAGCCCTCAAAGCGCATACAAATGTCAAGTCATTCAATCCTCAAACTTCCCTAAACAGCCCAAGCACTCAAAAGTTTTAATGATTTATGGAGTAAATACAATGTAATACAATTTCATACAAGTGCTAAAAAGTTAAATTCCCTACTCGTTAGAAAAATGCTCAAAGCCAAATAGCTATGTGTTGACCCGCTCAATAGGTGGAAAACCAAGATTGTCAGCTGCTTGCCAAAGAGGGCATGTCAGGCTCCAAGCCTCAAGTGGAATTCAAACTCACAAACCAGACACTAACATGGAAAGAACAAAAACAGTCTGTCTAACCATTCCAACATCAGATCCAAATGCCACATGAGTTTATATCTAACCTGTTGTAGACTGCACTGTGGTGACTTCCTTTGTGGTAGATTCAGGGGTAGTGGTCACAACTGTTGTTACCTCCTTGGTCGTTGAAGGTGGGGCAGTTGTTGAAGGTGGGGCAGTTGTTGAGGGAGCCTCAGTAGTTGTCACGCGAGTAGTTGACTGCTCCGTTGTACTTGGAGGACCTATAAGATACAGTCCACAAAGTTTCAATTTGAGTTAGGTGAAAACAAAATAATTTTTGCTCTTTTTGCTTTACTGGTCTTTATTTTCTAAAAATCTCCTGATGTGTTCCATACAAGGGTCATAATATCAATTAAATCTTGAACCTTCATGGAAGCACTTGGTATAAGAGAATTATTTGTTTTGAATTACCAGTTGTGCTTTCTTCAGTGGTGCTCTGTACTGTAGTCGTCTCTTCAACAGTAGTTGACTCTGGAGTAGTTGTGTACACAACAGTGGTTGTCACCTCCTCAGTAGTCGATGGTGCCTCAGTAGTTGACGGTACAGTTGAAGTAACGGTAGTGCTCACAACAGTGGTTCTAGCCTCTGTCGTGGAGGCCTCTGTTATTGGGACAATGATAAAATGTTTGTCAGTTGTAATCTTCAAAGGTATAATAAACTTGAAGATAATAAGCTATGAACTTTCCCTATTTCCTTTCCTTGATTTTTTTTTGTACAAAATTGTGGTACAGATCATTCCAGCGAGTTTTTATAATACTTGAGGCACCTTTGAATGTCATACCGATAAAGCGCGCCTTATAAATGCTGTTTATTATTGTTATTATTTTTTTCCATTTCCTTCATGAATCTTATCTTATAGTTGATAAATATGATTTCAGCAATTGCATATAAAAGTGCCATAATATTAAATATCAACACAGAAGGGTCAGTATAATCAGCCACTTAGCCCTCAAAGTGCCAACAAATGTCAAGTCATTCAATCCTCAAATTTCCCCAAACAGCCCTAGCACTCAAACGTTTTCTTGATTTTTGGAGTAAATACAAGGTAATACAATTTCATACAAGTGCTAAAAAGTTAAATTCCCTACTCGTTAGAAAAATGCTCAAAGCCAAATAGCTATGTGTTGACCCGCTCAATAGGTGGAAAACCAAGATTGTCAGCTGCTTGCCAAAGAGGGCATGTCAGGCTCCAAGCCTCAAGTGGAATTCAAACTCACAAACCAGACACTAACATGGAAAGAACAAAAACAGTCTGTCTAACCATTCCAACATCAGATCCAAATGCCACATGAGGTTATATCTAACCTGTTGTAGACTGCACTGTGGTGACTTCCTTTGTGGTAGATTCAGGGGTTGTGGTCACAACTGTTGTTACCTCCTTGGTCGTTGAAGGTGGGGCAGTTGTTGAAGGTGGGGCAGTTGTTGAAGGTGGGGCAGTTGTTGAGGGAGCCTCAGTAGTTGTCACGCGAGTAGTTGACTGCTCCGTTGTACTTGGAGGACCTATAAGATACAGTCCACAAAGTTTCAATTTGAGTTGGGTGAAAACAAAATAATCTTTTGCTCTTTTTGCTTTACTGGTCTTTATTTTCTAAAAATCTCATGATGTGTTCCTTATAAGGGTCATAATATCAATTAAATCTTGAACCTTCATGGAAGCACTTGTTATTTGTTTTGAATTACCAGTTGTACTTTCTTCAGTGGTGCTCTGTACTGTAGTCGTCTCTTCAACAGTAGTTGACTCTGGAGTAGTTGTGTAAACAACAGTGGTTGTCACCTCCTCAGTAGTTGATGGTGCCTCAGTAGTTGATGGTACAGTAGAAGTAACGGTAGTACTCACCACAGTGGTTCTAGTCTCGGTTGTTGAGACTTCTGTTTAGAGTATTAAAGTCATAATAATGTTACATGCTGGTTTCTATTTTCAATGCAAAAAATTCAAGTGAACACAATCTAGATCACGTTGCATATAATCTGGTAGCACACCGCTACTGTTGGTAATAACATTGATTAACTTTCTCTTCCATAGTTTGATACAAGTTGTTATAGATGATGGCCCAATTTGACACTCTGTTGTCCCCCTTTTGTTGAATTCTTTCTATCTCACAGTCATTTGGCAATGGACCGATCCAGTAAGCCCCTCCCACTGCGCACGTGGGCAAATTAACACGTGCTCCTCTCCAATGCCACACTGCATTTTCCGGCTGCGCGCGTCATACGCGCGTGCTCGCATGTCGGACTTTTGTGCACGCATGTCGGACATAAATCACGACTGTGATTGGTCAGAATACTTTGGGGCAGTGCTTACTGGATCGGTCCATTGTTGACTGCTGTGATGTGGGATATGACGTTTTGAACACCCGAGGATACGCCCCTCGGGTGTTCAAAAGGTCATTATGCCACATCAGCGTAGACAATTATTCTTTTGTTATACCTCTGTCTTGGATTCTTTGGAGTGTGATATGAAAAAAAGGGAGTATACACAACAATCATGACAATCGAACGTCGACTCACATGCATGTCGCGTGCTAAAAACAGCTGATCATCTGCTACTTCGCTGCTCGCACTCATGTGAGAAAACATGGTGAAAATAGCGTGGGTACTAACAATACAAGCTTTTAACACTGTACTTCCTCTATGAGTGTGCCATGACTTTTTACACAAACTGAACGTGTGATCGTTCTAGGCCAATAAAAATACAGTATTTAAGACAGAGGTATAAAAAAAATTAGTATTAAATCCCTCATACAGTCACATCTAGTTCTGGACAGTCGTGAATTATAATTATATAACCAACATACAGATCCTTGTCATTTGATTGGTGGAACTCGCATAACGGGACATTCGTTATTTTTTCCATTCACACTGTGGCTCAAAAAGTACTATCCGCCCATGGGGAATGGGAAATACTATTCAACAGTTGGGATCATGATGCAGTATTTGTGTGCAAATGCATGCTGGTGTGCACGTTCAGCATTGCGCGTAGTGTGTATTGTTCCAAAGAGCCAGCACTACTGCCTTGGGTTCAAACATTTTCGTGAAGGGGTGGTTTGGAAGAGAGAAATACATTTTTCACCAATTTTGTATTGAAATAAAAGTTCAAACTTATCAAATGACAAGGATTTATATGTCAGTTATATAAAACAAATATTGAGTGGCTTTCAATTGTGAAATGGGAGGAATATTATTGCTCGGTAAAATCTGGACTTTTCCAGTTCACTCGGTTGGCCTCTTGAAATGGAAAAGTCCAGATTTTACTTTGCAATAATATTCCTCCCATTCCAGGCTGATCCACTCAATATTTGTATACTGTTTGATTATCAACATTTTCCCATGCATCAAATATTGTTTAGCAAGTTCTGTTGGAGCACTTGTAGACAATGTTTGCTTTTTTGAGGATTAGCAACAAAACCGTTAGCTCACCTGTTGTTGAGGGTGCCTCTGTTGTTGAGGGTGCACTGGTTGTAGTCACTGTGTTGTTTAAGAAAGCACAATCAAGTATCAATATATTTTTGATCCTACAAACAAAGTTCCTCTAACGATCAGCCATTGACAAAGGTCCTGCTGATTAGGCCATTCACCTTTCTTTGATTTGTATGTTTCAGGTCAATCCAGTCAAGTAAGTAGTTTGCAGCAGTTTGATTCATTTTTCAACGAATAACAAGAAAAGTTGTGTTAAATAAGCTAAAACGCCCCACAACTGTGACTGTTCCCATGACATGACACCACTCTTTTAACATCAACTTACCTGGGTCACATGGAACATTCATTTACATCATTATCGTTTCTTACACTGTATTGACGCCTATGACCCCGGAATACAAATTATTTGTTTGCTTTTCCACTTGGAAGTCATTGTATGTGATTTAAAAGAGTGAGTGAATGTGAATAGATCGTGTACCAGGAACATGAATAAAAGGAGACCAGACCAGTGGGTACACATAGTGCAAAATGTATGTAGGCAAAATGTGAGGTGCATGTATACTTAAACAATCACAAGGAATAGTTTCCTATTCCTGTATTCAATGAGTACATATGATATCACTATTCTTTCAATTTCAACCATGATGATCTGACAAGTCAAACATGAGTTATCAAATTTGGAGTACATATAAGAGTACAGCTGGCTGGTGAGTTACTGACGGTACACATTTTACACAAAGCAAAATACAAGTTATTATGTGCACATGTAAAAGTGCATGTACACATGTACACGTTGAAGTGTGCATTCAGTACACTTTAAAGGTTGAAAAGTGCCACATCCATGGAAAAAGAAATGTCTGAATAAGTTACCTGTCATGTTGCCCGACAAGTAACTTACTATGATGACATTATTTCTTGTATTTTAATTAGAGCCTAGACATTTGGCATATGAGTCCAAAAGTGATTTGGAAACCCCCAAAACATTCCACCTATTTGCATCTACCGTACCAAGTCCCAAGTTGATATGCACAGTTTTTCTTGAATTACATGTAAATGCTGAGAAAACTATTTCTGATGTTTTAATAAACACATTGACCTTGGCCTAAGGGGTCCAAAAAGTGACAGGTTTCTGGAGGATCCCCATGATAAATTGATTTGACCAGTTTTTTGTGTGTTATGGCGGGAAAAACTTTTCTATTGCTTTAATGAACCAGGGTCCAAACACATTAAGCTGAAGGTGGCAATAGCAAGCTACCTATCAAGGTTCATGACATACATGTCCATCAAGTCCAACTCGTGCTATCATTTTGAAAGCAAAAGTGTGATGCACGCACACATGCTGGCACATAGGTTTGTTTATGGTGTAAATCAAGGATTTTCTAAAGTTCCTCATCATCGATCTTTTGTTGATAGTCTACCTTTTTTGCTACAGCTCCCATTGGTTTTGTACACGTTTTCTAATCGAGGTCGTCCTTGACTCCTGTCCTCAATTACTCGATGATGCTTCACTTGTGTGTACTCGATTTCCACCATAAACATGCACCCATCTTTGTAAACACTGGCAAACGTGGACCCCTATTGTCCCTAATCCTCATTCCTTTGTTTGTACTCAGTACTTTGTTTGTACTTTTTAGCAAGAGCGCTCACTGGTTTTGTACACGAATTTCAATCATGGAATATCGGTCAATCATGGACCCTTTGTTTGTGCCCTAACTCTTTTGTCCCTAGTCCATGATTGCCTGTGTTTACATACTCACGCACACAGACGAGGCAGAAACAGTATTTTCACCGGCGGGGCTTAAAAAAGCAGCACAAACTACTTTTCACTCTTCATTCACATTGCTTTTGTTTTCCTATACTGCAGATAAATCTCCTTGTTTTCATCATCTCTTTTCATATTTCCTCATTTCATTCAATTCTACAGTCGTTCCATCATTATGCTCAAGAAGTAAAGAGAAAATAAGTGACTATAAAAATACCTCCGTGTTCACAACCGTTGAATATCACTTTGTAACCATCTGGGTTTGAGGTGATGATGCAAACTTTGAGTCCCGTCACCAACGCCATACTGGATGGTAGATAGATCTTTTGATCTGTTTTGCCAATAAAGATAGGAGAGCCAGCTTCATCTACTAGAGGCAGGTATGGTTGCCTGTCACCTGGTTGAAATTTGAAGGAAACAGTTATGTCTCCCGGTGGGCCTTGTTCTGTCTTTATGATGACCGACGTGATTTCAACCCGTGGGCTGAAGGTAGCCCCCAAACATGATCCATTGTGTGGTGATGTAACATCGTTGGGTGGGTTGCTAGGGCGCCACCAGTCAGTCGGAGGTAATTCATTGCCTGATTCTGGGTCTTCGCGTATTATCGTCACATTTGGCAATTTGTCAAGATCATCCGCACATACCTCTGGAGTAGTTGATGGTGGTGAAGTAGTTGACACTGATGTGATTCAAAATAAAAATGAAGGAAATAAAAAACATAACGATGCATACCATTGAAAATGATGAAAAGATGATGAATGAGAGGTTTGCAGAAACACCATGTGGGAATAATTTCTCAATAAGAGAATGGTTCTGAAAAGAACCAGAGGTATTTAGAGCCATTCTCTTAGTTTAAGAAGTTATTCCCACATGGTGTTTCTGCAAACCTTTCATTTATTAGTACCTCCACAACGTAAAGCCTCAAATCTTACTTATGAAACAATAATTTAGTAATTTCTGCTTAATTCTTGCCCCTTTCAGTGGTGTCACTGGGAGTCACAGGCTTTGAGTGGGCAGGGGGAATCCCCTTCCCCATACTCCCCTTTGTTACACTACTGGTCCTGTTAATTTTTTGTGAGTGTGATTTTATAAGCAGTAATTTTAATACAGGAATTTATATAACATCTGTTTATAAAAAATGAATCCAGTGTCTTGAATGGAGGTATAAATCTGAAACAACCTTACTAATGAAATCAGAATCATTTTTTATACCAATTACGGCCCAATGCACTGAAATAGTCCAATGGCAAGAGGTACCCAGCAGTAGAAAATTTGGGGAAAAAACAAAGTTTGGGGGCCGCTAACCTAAAGCAGCATTGCAAGCAATCCAAACAGTTCAAGACTCAGGCCAAACATTATAGGAGCAATGCTGTAAGTAACTCAAACGTTCCCTTTAACCATGCGACTATCAGAATCAAATGTCTATCCCAAAACCTCTAACCTGTTGTCGACTCCACTGTAGTGACTTCCTTTGTGGTAGATTCAGGGGTAGTAGTCACAACTGTTGTTACCTCCTTGGTTGTTGAAGGTGGAGCAGTTGTTAAAGGTGGAGCAGTTGTTGAAGGTGGGGCAGTTGTTGAGGGTGGGGCAGTTGTTGAGGGTGGGGCAGTTGTTGAAGGTGGGGCAGTTGTTGAAGGTGGAGCAGTCGTTGAAGGTGGGGCAGTTGTTGAAGGTGGGGCAGTTGTTGAGGGTGGGACAGTTGTTGAGGGAGCCTCAGTAGTTGTCACACGAGTAGTTGACTTCTCTGTTGTACTTGGAGGACCTAAAAGATAAAGTCCACAAAGTTTTAACTTGAGTGGGGTTAAAACAAAATAACATTCAGCTCTTTTGCTCTTTACTGATCTTCATTTCAATGAGAAACTTATTTTCTATTCCATTGTAAAAGCCTAAAAGGAAACAAAAATTCCTGATATATTCCTTATTAGGGTCATAATTAGGGAAGATACAACATTTGCAAACATCAAAAAATGATATGATCAAATTATCACGAAAAATTTTATTGGATTGTAAGGGAATGAAAGTCCAAAGCATCCTTTAAAATTGTGGCTCCAGGTGTGCTGACATTTTCAGGAAAACTTGAATTTTTCCAACGCTGGTTGGCCGACCAGCGTTGGAGAAAACTGGCTTTTTTTTTCAAAACTGCTTCTAAGTTTTCATATTTAGTTATTCCACATTTTCTTTGCAATTGATTACACCTCTGTGAAGGGGTTCAAGCCTGCTAGACTGATTCTCTGACCTTACAATTCCCCAAAGTATATAAATTGTTCTGTTTCATCTTAAGTGGGATCAGGGAACCAGACTACAAGAAAATGGTTGGTTTTCTTGGATTTTCCAGCATCTCCAAACCCAAAATGTGAAGCAAGTCAGTTTAACAATATTTGCTATGACATACTAATCTTCCAAATTCATTTATTTCTGACAATTGAAGCAAATGTTGTACATTCCCTTGAAACAAAGTGTTTAATACCGGTCAAGTACATATTTATTCCCATTCATCAATACCTTTTTGGTTAAATAATCAAAACTTTTCAGTCCAAAAGACAAAAGTGTTCAACAAGTTTATCTCATGTTTTTTGGGACACCCTTCAAGCATTATTATGGTATGTCCAGTCTCGCGAGTGTTGTAAAAAAAACTCCTTATAAATTACGGAGATTGGCGTGCGCATCACATGCACTAGTGATGTGGCGCATAACGCAGCTGTGCCGGTGTATTGTAAATTTAGGACTACGAAATTCTGAACCACCGGTAGTATTACGCATGCCTATGTGAGCCAAATTGTGAACCTTCAACCGATAAAACGGTAAAGCACCAGATTTCATAGGAGTCCAAATTTCATGTGACTAGTGTTTAACACCAGCCAGCCATGTCTTTATTAACCGTTGAAGACCAGCCACGTGACATACTCTTGACCAAGAGGAATGGGGTTTTTAAAAACTGTCTTAGGTATTTATGAATATAAATGACATCTTGCACCTTCAAATTCATGGAAGCACTTGGTAAAAGAGAATTATTGGTCATGAATTACCAGTTGTACTTTCTTCAGTGGTGCTCAGTACTGTAGTCGTCTCTTCAACTGTAGTTGACTCTGGAGTAGTTGTGTACACAACAGTGGTTGTCACCTCCTCAGTAGTCGATGGTGCCTCAGTAGTTGATGGTACAGTTGAAGTAACGGTAGTACTCACAACAGTGGTTCTAGCCTCTGTTGTGGAGGCCTCTGTTATTGGGAAAATGATAAAATATTTGTCAGTTGTAATCTTCAAAGGTATAATAAACTTGAAGATTATAAGCTATGAACTTTACCTATTTCCTTTCCTTGATTTTTTGTTTTGTACAAAATTGTGGTACAGATCATTCCAGCAAGTTTTCATAATACTTGAGGCACCTTTGAATGTCATACCGATAAAGCGCATCTTATAAATGCTGTTTATTATTGTTATTATTTTTTCCATTTCCCTATCTTATGGTTGATCAATATAATTTCAGCAATTGTATATAAAAGTGCCATAATATTAAATATCAACACAGAAGGGTCAGTTTAATCAACCACTTAGCCCTCAAAGCGCATACAAATGTCAAGTCATTCAATCCTCAAACTTCCCTAAACAGCCCAAGCACTCAAAAGTTTTAATGATTTATGGAGTAAATACAATGTAATACAATTTCATACAAGTGCTAAAAAGTTAAATTCCCTACTCGTTAGAAAAATGCTCAAAGCCAAATAGCTATGTGTTGACACGCTCAATAGGTGGAAAACCAAGATTGTCAGCTGCTTGCCAAAGAGGGCATGTCAGGCTCCAAGCCTCAAGCGGAATTCAAACTCACAAACCAGAAAACACGGAAAGAACAAAAACAGTCTGTCCAACCATTCCAACATCAGATCCAAATGCCACATGAGGTTATATCTAACCTGTTGTAGACTGCACTGTGGTGACTTCCTTTGTGGTAGATTCAGGGGTAGTGGTCACAACTGTTGTTACCTCCTTGGTCGTTGAAGGTGGGGCAGTTGTTGAAGGTGGGGCAGTTGTTGAGGGAGCCTCAGTAGTTGTCACGCGAGTAGTTGACTGCTCCGTTGTACTTGGAGGACCTATAAGATACAGTCCACAAAGTTTCAATTTGAGTTAGGTGAAAACAAAATATTCTTTTGCTCTTTGCTCTTTCCTGGTAATTTTTTTTTTTAAATCTCCTCATGCATTCCATATAAGGGTCATAATATCAATTAAATCTTAAACCTTCATGGAAGCACTTGGTATAAGAGAATTATTTGTTTTGAATTACCAGTTGTGCTTTCTTCAGTGGTGCTCTGTACTGTAGTCGTCTCTTCAACAGTAGTTGACTCTGGAGTAGTTGTGTAAACAACAGTGGTTGTCACCTCCTCAGTAGTTGATGGTGCCTCAGTAGTTGATGGTACAGTAGAAGTAACGGTAGTACTCACCACAGTGGTTCTAGTCTCGGTTGTTGAGACTTCTGTTTAGAGTATTAAAGTCATAATAATGTTACATGCTGGTTTCTATTTTCAATGCAAAAAATTCAAGTGAACACAATCTAGATCACGTTGCATATAATCTGGTAGCACACCGCTACTGTTGGTAATAACATTGATTAACTTTCTCTTCCATAGTTTGATACAAGTTGTTATAGATGATGGCCCAATTTGACACTCTGTTGTCCCCCTTTTGTTGAATTCTTTCTATCTCACAGTCATTTGGCAATGGACCGATCCAGTAAGCCCCTCCCACTGCGCATGTGGGCAAATTAACACGTGCTCCTCTCCAATGCCACACTGCATTTTCCGGCTGCGCGCGTCATACGCGCGTGCTCGCATGTCGGACTTTTGTGCACGCATGTCGGACATAAATCACGACTGTGATTGGTCAGAATACCATGGGGCAGTGCTTACTGGATCAGTCCATTGTTGACTGCTGTGATGTGGGATATGACGTTTTGAACACCCGAGGATACGCCCCTCGGGTGTTCAAAAGGTCATTATGCCACATCAGCGTAGACAATTATTCTTTTGTTATACCTCTGTCTTGGATTCTTTGGAGTGTGATATGAAAAAAAGGGAGTATACACAACAATCATGACAATCGAACGTCGACTCACATGCATGTCGCGTGCTAAAAACAGCTGATCATCTGCTACTTCGCTGCTCGCACTCATGTGAGAAAACATGGTGAAAATAGCGTGGGTACTAACAATACAAGCTTTTAACACTGTACTTCCTCTATGAGTGTGCCATGACTTTTTACACAAACTGAACGTGTGATCGTTCTAGGCCAATAAAAATACAGTATTTAAGACAGAGGTATAAAAAAAATTAGTATTAAATCCCTCATACAGTCACATCTAGTTCTGGACAGTCGTGAATTATAATTATATAACCAACATACAGATCCTTGTCATTTGATTGGTGGAACTCGCAAAACGGGACATTCGTTATTTTTTCCATTCACACTGTGGCTCAAAAAGTACTATCCGCCCATGGGGAATGGGAAATACTATTCAACAGTTGGGATCATGATGCAGTATTTGTGTGCAAATGCATGTTGGTGTGCACATTCAGCATTGCGCGTAGTGTGTATTGTTCCAAAGAGCCAGCACTACTGCCTTGGGTTCAAACATTTTTCGTGAAGGGGTGGTTTGGAAGAGAGAAATACATTTTTCACCAATTTTGTATTGAAATAAAAGTTCAAACTTATCAAATGACAAGGATTTATATGTCAGTTATATAAAACAAATATTGAGTGGCTTTCAATTGTGAAATGGGAGGAATATTATTGCTCGGTAAAATCTGGACTTTCCCAGTTCACTCGGTTGGCCTCTTGAAATGGAAAAGTCCAGATTTTACTTTGCAATAATATTCCTCCCATTCCACGCTGATCCACTCAATATTTGTATACTGTTTGATTATCAACATTTTCCCATGCATCAAATATTGTTTAGCAAGTTCTGTTGGAGCACTTGTAGACAATGTTTGCTTTTTTGAGGATTAGCAACAAAACCGTTAGCTCACCTGTTGTTGAGGGTGCCTCTGTTGTTGAGGGTGCACTGGTTGTAGTCACTGTGTTGTTTAAGAAAGCACAATCAAGTATCAATATATTTTTGATCCTACAAACAAAGTTCCTCTAACGATCAGCCATTGACAAAGGTCCTGCTGATTAGGCCATTCACCTTTCTTTGATTTGTATGTTTCAGGTCAATCCAGTCAAGTAAGTAGTTTGCAGCAGTTTGATTCATTTTTCAACGAATAACAAGAAAAGTTGTGTTAAATAAGCTAAAACGCCCCACAACTGTGACTGTTCCCATGACATGACACCACTCTTTTAACATCAACTTACCTGGGTCACATGGAACATTCATTTACATCATTATCGTTTCTTACACTGTATTGACGCCTATGACCCCGGAATACAAATTATTTGTTTGCTTTTCCACTTGGAAGTCATTGTATGTGATTTAAAAGAGTGAGTGAATGTGAATAGATCGTGTACCAGGAACATGAATAAAAGGAGACCAGACCAGTGGGTACACATAGTGCAAAATGTAGGTAGGCAAAATGTGAGGTGCATGTATACTTAAACAATCACAAGGAATAGTTTCCTATTCCTGTATTCAATGAGTACATATGATATCACTATTCTTTCAATTTCAACCATGATGATCTGACAAGTCAAACATGAGTTATCAAATTTGGAGTACATATAAGTGTACAGCTGGCTGGTGAGTAACTGACGGTACACATTTTACACAATGCAAAATACAAGTTATTATGTGCACATGTAATAGTGCATGTACACATGTACACGTTGAAGTTTGCATTCAGTACACTTTAAAGGTTGAAAAGTGCCACATCCATGGAAAAAGAAATGTCTGAATAAGTTACCTGTCATGTTGCCCGACAAGTAACTTACTATGATGACATTATTTCTTGTATTTTAATTAGAGCCTAGACATTTGGCATATGAGTCCAAAAGTGATTTGGAAACCCCCAAAACATTCCACCTATTTGCATCTACCGTACCAAGTCCCAAGTTGATATGCACAGTTTTTCTTGAATTACATGTAAATGCTGAGAAAACTATTTCTGATGTTTTAATAAACACATTGACCTTGGCCTAAGGGGTCCAAAAAGTGACAGGTTTCTGGAGGATCCCCATGATAAATTGATTTGACCAGTTTTTTGTGTGTTATGGCGGGAAAAACTTTTCTATTGCTTTAATGAACCAGGGTCCAAACACATTAAGCTGAAGGTGGCAATAGCAAGCTACCTATCAAGGTTCATGACATACATGTCCATCAAGTCCAACTCGTGCTATCATTTTGAAAGCAAAAGTGTGATGCACGCACACATGCTGGCACATAGGTATGTTTATGGTGTAAATCAAGGATTTTCTAAAGTTCCTCATCATCGATCTTTTGTTGATAGTCTACCTTTTTTGCTACAGCTCCCATTGGTTTTGTACACGTTTTCTAATCGAGGTCGTCCTTGACTCCTGTCCTCAATTACTCGATGATGCTTCACTTGTGTGTACTCGATTTCCACCATAAACATGCACCCATCTTTGTAAACACTGGCAAACGTGGACCCCTATTGTCCCTAATCCTCATTCCTTTGTTTGTACTCAGTACTTTGTTTGTACTTTTTAGCAAGAGCGCTCACTGGTTTTGTACACGAATTTCAATCATGGAATATCGGTCAATCATGGACCCTTTGTTTGTGCCCTAACTCTTTTGTCCCTAGTCCATGATTGCCTGTGTTTACATACTCACGCACACAGACGAGGCAGAAACAGTATTTTCACCGGCGGGGCTTAAAAAAGCAGCACAAACTACTTTTCACTCTTCATTCACATTGCTTTTGTTTTCCTATACTGCAGATAAATCTCCTTGTTTTCATCATCTCTTTTCATATTTCCTCATTTCATTCAATTCTACAGTCGTTCCATCATTATGCTCAAGAAGTAAAGAGAAAATAAGTGACTATAAAAATACCTCCGTGTTCACAACCGTTGAATATCACTTTGTAACCATCTGGGTTTGAGGTGATGATGCAAACTTTGAGTCCCGTCACCAACGCCATACTTGATGGTAGATAGATCTTTTGATCTGTTTTGCCAATAAAGATAGGAGAGCCAGCTTCATCTACTAGAGGCAGGTATGGTTGCCTGTCACCTGGTTGAAATTTGAAGGAAACAGTTATGTCTCCCGGTGGGCCTTGTTCTGTCTTTATGATGACCGACGTGATTTCAACCCGTGGGCTGAAGGTAGCCCCCAAACATGATCCATTGTGTGGTGATGTAACATCGTTGGGTGGGTTGCTAGGGCGCCACCAGTCAGTCGGAGGTAATTCATTGCCTGATTCTGGGTCTTCGCGTATTATCGTCACATTTGGCAATTTGTCAAGATCATCCGCACATACCTCTGGAGTAGTTGATGGTGGTGAAGTAGTTGACACTGATGTGATTCAAAATAAAAATGAAGGAAATAAAAAACATAACGATGCATACCATTGAAAATGATGAAAAGATGATGAATGAGAGGTTTGCAGAAACACCATGTGGGAATAATTTCTCAATAAGAGAATGGTTCTGAAAAGAACCAGAGGTATTTAGAGCCATTCTCTTAGTTTAAGAAGTTATTCCCACATGGTGTTTCTGCAAACCTTTCATTTATTAGTACCTCCACAACGTAAAGCCTCTAATCTTACTTATGAAACAATAATTTAGTAATTTCTGCTTAATTCTTGCCCCTTTCAGTGGTGTCACTGGGAGTCACAGGCTTTGAGTGGGCAGGGGGAATCCCCTTCCCCATACTCCCCTTTGTTACACTACTGGTCCTGTTAATTTTTTGTGAGTGTGATTTTATAAGCAGTAATTTTAATACAGGAATTTATATAACATCTGTTTATAAAAAATGAATCCAGTGTCTTGAATGGAGGTATAAATCTGAAACAACCTTACTAATGAAATCAGAATCATTTTTTATACCAATTACGGCCCAATGCACTGAAATAGTGAAATGGCAAGAGGTACCCAGCAGTAGAAAATTTGGGGAAAAAACAAAGTTTGGGGGCCGCTAACCTAAAGCAGCATTGCAAGCAATCCAAACAGTTCAAGACTCAGGCCAAACATTATAGGAGCAATGCTGTAAGTAACTCAAACGTTCCCTTTAACCATGCGACTATCAGAATCAAATGTCTATCCCAAAACCTCTAACCTGTTGTCGACTCCACTGTAGTGACTTCCTTTGTGGTAGATTCAGGGGTAGTAGTCACAACTGTTGTTACCTCCTTGGTTGTTGAAGGTGGAGCAGTTGTTAAAGGTGGAGCAGTTGTTGAAGGTGGGGCAGTTGTTGAGGGTGGGGCAGTTGTTGAGGGTGGGGCAGTTGTTGAAGGTGGGGCAGTTGTTGAAGGTGGAGCAGTCGTTGAAGGTGGGGCAGTTGTTGAAGGTGGGGCAGTTGTTGAAGGTGGGGCAGTTGTTGAGGGTGGGACAGTTGTTGAGGGAGCCTCAGTAGTTGTCACACGAGTAGTTGACTTCTCTGTTGTACTTGGAGGACCTAAAAGATAAAGTCCACAAAGTTTTAACTTGAGTGGGGTTAAAACAAAATAACATTCAGCTCTTTTGCTCTTTACTGATCTTCATTTCAATGAGAAACTTATTTTCTATTCCATTGTAAAGGCCTAAAAGGAAACAAAAATTCCTGATATATTCCTTATTAGGGTCATAATTAGGGAAGATACAACATTTGCAAACATCAAAAAATGATATGATCAAATTATCACGAAATATTTTATTGGATTGTAAGGGAATGAAAGTCCAAAGCATCCTTTAAAATTGTGGCTCCAGGTGTGCTGACATTTTCAGGAAAACTTGAATTTTTCCAACGCTGGTTGGCCGACCAGCGTTGGAGAAAACTGGCTTTTTTTTCAAAACTGCTTCTAAGTTTTCATATTTAGTTATTCCACATTTTCTTTGCAATTGATTACACCTCTGTGAAGGGGTTCAAGCCTGCTAGACTGATTCTCTGACCTTACAATTCCCCAAAGTATATAAATTGTTCTGTTTCATCTTAAGTGGGATCAGGGAACCAGACTACAAGAAAATGGTTGGTTTTCTTGGATTTTCCAGCATCTCCAAACCCAAAATGTGAAGCAAGTCAGTTTAACAATATTTGCTATGACATACTAATCTTCCAAATTCATTTATTTCTGACAATTGAAGCAAATGTTGTACATTCCCTTGAAACAAAGTGTTTAATACCGGTCAAGTACATATTTATTCCCATTCATCAATACCTTTTTGGTTAAATAATCAAAACTTTTCAGTCCAAAAGACAAAAGTGTTCAACAAGTTTATCTCATGTTTTTTGGGACACCCTTCAAGCATTATTATGGTATGTCCAGTCTCGCGAGTGTTGTAAAAAAAACTCCTTATAAATTACGGAGATTGGCGTGCGCATCACATGCACTAGTGATGTGGCGCATAACGCAGCTGTGCCGGTGTATTGTAAATTTAGGACTACGAAATTCTGAACCACCGGTAGTATTACGCATGCCTATGTGAGCCAAATTGTGAACCTTCAACCGATAAAACGGTAAAGCACCAGATTTCATAGGAGTCCAAATTTCATGTGACTAGTGTTTAACACCAGCCAGCCATGTCTTTATTAACCGTTGAAGACCAGCCACGTGACATACTCTGGACCAAGAGGAATGGGGTTTTTAAAAACTGTCTTAGGTATTTATGAATATAAATGACATCTTGCACCTTCAAATTCATGGAAGCACTTGGTAAAAGAGAATTATTGTTCATGAATTACCAGTTGTACTTTCTTCAGTGGTGCTCAGTACTGTAGTCGTCTCTTCAACTGTAGTTGACTCTGGAGTAGTTGTGTACACAACAGTGGTTGTCACCTCCTCAGTAGTCGATGGTGCCTCAGTAGTTGACGGTACAGTTGAAGTAACGGTAGTACTCACAACAGTGGTTCTAGCCTCTGTCGTGGAGGCCTCTGTTATTGGGAAAATGATAAAATGTTTGTCAGTTGTAATCTTCAAAGGTATAATAAACTTGAAGATTATAAGCTATGAACTTTACCTATTTCCTTTCCTTGATTTTTTGTTTTGTACAAAATTGTGGTACAGATCATTCCAGCAAGTTTTCATAATACTTGAGGCACCTTTGAATGTCATACCGATAAAGCGCGCCTTATAAATGCTGTTTATTATTGTTATTATTTTTTCCATTTCCCTATCTTATGGTTGATCAATATAATTTCAGCAATTGTATATAAAAGTGCCATAATATTAAATATCAACACAGAAGGGTCAGTTTAATCAACCACTTAGCCCTCGAAGCGCATACAAATGTCAAGTCATTCAATCCTCAAACTTCCCTAAACAGCCCAAGCACTCAAAAGTTTTAATGATTTATGGAGTAAATACAATGTAATACAATTTCATACAAGTGCTAAAAAGTTAAATTCCCTACTCATTAGAAAAATGCTCAAAGCCAAATAGCTATGTGTTGACACGCTCAATAGGTGGAAAACCAAGATTGTCAGCTGCTTGCCAAAGAGGGCATGTCAGGCTCCAAGCCTCAAGCGGAATTCAAACTCACAAACCAGACACTAACATGGAAAGAACAAAAACAGTCTGTCTAACCATTCCAACATCAGATCCAAATGCCACATGAGGTTGTATCTAACCTGTTGTAGACTGCACTGTGGTGACTTCCTTTGTGGTAGATTCAGGGGTAGTGGTCACAACTGTTGTTACCTCCTTGGTCGTTGAAGGTGGGGCAGTTGTTGAAGGTGGGGCAGTTGTTGAGGGAGCCTCAGTAGTTGTCACGCGAGTAGTTGACTGCTCCGTTGTACTTGGAGGACCTATAAGATACAGTCCACAAAGTTTCAATTTGAGTTAGGTGAAAACAAAATATTCTTTTGCTCTTTGCTCTTTCCTGGTAATTTTTTTTTTAAATCTCCTCATGCATTCCATATAAGGGTCATAATATCAATTAAATCTTGAACCTTCATGGAAGCACTTGGTATAAGAGAATTATTTGTTTTGAATTACCAGTTGTACTTTCTTCAGTGGTGCTCTGTACTGTAGTCGTCTCTTCAACAGTAGTTGACTCTGGAGTAGTTGTGTACACAACAGTGGTTGTCACCTCCTCAGTAGTCGATGGTGCCTCAGTAGTTGATGGTACAGTTGAAGTAACGGTAGTACTCACAACAGTGGTTCTAGCCTCTGTCGTGGAGGCCTCTGTTATTGGGAAAATGATAAAATGTTTGTCAGTTGTAATCTTCAAAGGTATAATAAACTTGAAGATTATAAGCTATGAACTTTACCTATTTCTTTTCCTTGATTTTTTGTTTTGTACAAAATTGTGGTACAGATCATTCCAGCAAGTTTTCATAATACTTGAGGCACCTTTGAATGTCATACCGATAAAGCGCGCCTTATAAATGCTGTTTATTATTGTTATTATTTTTTTCCATTTCCTTCATGAATCTTATCTTATAGTTGATAAATATGATTTCAGCAATTGCATATAAAAGTGCCATAATATTAAATATCAACACAGAAGGGTCAGTATAATCAGCCACTTAGCCCTCAAAGTGCCAACAAATGTCAAGTCATTCAATCCTCAAATTTCCCCAAACAGCCCTAGCACTCAAAAGTTTTCTTGATTTTTGGAGTAAATACAAGGTAATACAATTTCATACAAGTGCTAAAAAGTTAAATTCCCTACTCGTTAGAAAAATGCTCAAAGCCAAATAGCTATGTGTTGACCCGCTCAATAGGTGGAGGAACCAAGATTGTCAGCTGCTTGCCAAAGAGGGCATGTCAGGCTCCAAGCCTCAAGCGGAATTCAAACTCACAAACCAGACACTAACATGGAAAGAACAAAAACAGTCTGTCTAACCATTCCAACATCAGATCCAAATGCCACATGAGTTTATATCTAACCTGTTGTAGACTGCACTGTGGTGACTTCCTTTGTGGTAGATTCAGGGGTAGTGGTCACAACTGTTGTTACCTCCTTGGTCGTTGAAGGTGGGGCAGTTGTTGAAGGTGGGGCAGTTGTTGAAGGTAGGGCAGTTGTTGAGGGAGCCTCAGTAGTTGTCACGCGAGTAGTTGACTGCTCCGTTGTACTTGGAGGACCTATAAGATACAGTCCACAAAGTTTCAATTTGAGTTGGGTGAAAACAAAATAATCTTTTGCTCTTTTTGCTTTACTGGTCTTTATTTTCTAAAAATCTCCTGATGTGTTCCTTATAAGGGTCATAATATCAATTAAATCTTGAACCTTCATGGAAGCACTTGGTATAAGAGAATTATTTGTTTTGAATTACCAGTTGTGCTTTCTTCAGTGGTGCTCTGTACTGTAGTCGTCTCTTCAACAGTAGTTGACTCTGGAGTAGTTGTGTACACAACAGTGGTTGTCACCTCCTCAGTAGTTGATGGTGCCTCAGTAGTTGATGGTACAGTAGAAGTAACGGTAGTACTCACCACAGTGGTTCTAGTCTCGGTTGTTGAGACTTCTGTTTAGAGTATTAAAGTCATAATAATGTTACATGCTGGTTTCTATTTTCAATGCAAAAAATTCAAGTGAACACAATCTAGATCACGTTGCATATAATCTGGTAGCACACCGCTACTGTTGGTAATAACATTGATTAACTTTCTCTTCCATAGTTTGATACAAGTTGTTATAGATGATGGCCCAATTTGACACTCTGTTGTCCCCCTTTTGTTGAATTCTTTCTATCTCACAGTCATTTGGCAATGGACCGATCCAGTAAGCCCCTCCCACTGCGCACGTGGGCAAATTAACACGTGCTCCTCTCCAATGCCACACTGCATTTTCTGGCTGCGCGCGTCATACGCGCGTGCTCGCATGTCGGACTTTTGTGCACGCATGTCGGACATAAATCACGACTGTGATTGGTCAGAATACCATGGGGCAGTGCTTACTGGATCGGTCCATTGTTGACTGCTGTGATGTGGGATATGACGTTTTGAACACCCGAGGATACGCCCCTCGGGTGTTCAAAAGGTCATTATGCCACATCAGCGTAGACAATTATTCTTTTGTTATACCTCTGTCTTGGATTCTTTGGAGTGTGATATGAAAAAAAGGGAGTATACACAACAATCATGACAATCGAACGTCGACTCACATGCATGTCGCGTGCTAAAAACAGCTGATCATCTGCTACTTCGCTGCTCGCACTCATGTGAGAAAACATGGTGAAAATAGCGTGGGTACTAACAATACAAGCTTTTAACACTGTACTTCCTCTATGAGTGTGCCATGACTTTTTACACAAACTGAACGTGTGATCGTTCTAGGCCAATAAAAATACAGTATTTAAGACAGAGGTATAAAAAAAATTAGTATTAAATCCCTCATACAGTCACATCTAGTTCTGGACAGTCGTGAATTATAATTATATAACCAACATACAGATCCTTGTCATTTGATTGGTGGAACTCGCATAACGGGACATTCGTTATTTTTTCCATTCACACTGTGGCTCAAAAAGTACTATCCGCCCATGGGGAATGGGAAATACTATTCAACAGTTGGGATCATGACGCAGTATTTGTGTGCAAATGCATGTTGGTGTGCACATTCAGCATTGCGCGTAGTGTGTATTGTTCCAAAGAGCCAGCACTACTGCCTTGGGTTCAAACATTTTCGTGAAGGGGTGGTTTGGAAGAGAGAAATACATTTTTCACCAATTTTGTATTGAAATAAAAGTTCAAACTTATCAAATGACAAGGATTTATATGTCAGTTATATAAAACAAATATTGAGCGGCTTTCAATTGTGAAATGGGAGGAATATTATTGCTCGGTAAAATCTGGACTTTTCCAGTTCACTCGGTTTGCCTCGTGAAATGGAAAAGTCCAGATTTTACTTTGCGATAATATTCCTCCCATTCCACGCTGATCCACTCAATATTTGTATACTGTTTGATTATCAACATTTTCCCATGCATCAAATATTGTTTAGCAAGTTCTGTTGGAGCACTTGTAGACAATTTTTGCTTTTTTGAGGATTAGCAACAAAACCGTTAGCTCACCTGTTGTTGAGGGTGCCTCTGTTGTTGAGGGTGCACTGGTTGTAGTCACTGTGTTGTTTAAGAAAGCACAATCAAGTATCAATATATTTTTGATCCTACAAACAAAGTTCCTCTAACGATCAGCCATTGACAAAGGTCCTGCTGATTAGGCCATTCACCTTTCTTTGATTTGTATGTTTCAGGTCAATCCAGTCAAGTAAGTAGTTTGCAGCAGTTTGATTCATTTTTCAACGAATAACAAGAAAAGTTGTGTTAAATAAGCTAAAACGCCCCACAACTGTGACTGTTCCCATGACATGACACCACTCTTTTAACATCAACTTACCTGGGTCACATGGAACATTCATTTACATCATTATCGTTTCTTACACTGTATTGACGCCTATGACCCCGGAATACAAATTATTTGTTTGCTTTTCCACTTGGAAGTCATTGTATGTGATTTAAAAGAGTGAGTGAATGTGAATAGATCGTGTACCAGGAACATGAATAAAAGGAGACCAGACCAGTGGGTACACATAGTGCAAAATGTATGTAGGCAAAATGTGAGGTGCATGTATACTTAAACAATCACAAGGAATAGTTTCCTATTCCTGTATTCAATGAGTACATATGATATCACTATTCTTTCAATTTCAACCATGATGATCTGACAAGTCAAACATGAGTTATCAAATTTGGAGTACATATAAGAGTACAGCTGGCTGGTGAGTTACTGACGGTACACATTTTACACAAAGCAAAATACAAGTTATTATGTGCACATGTAAAAGTGCATGTACACATGTACACGTTGAAGTGTGCATTCAGTACACTTTAAAGGTTGAAAAGTGCCACATCCATGGAAAAAGAAATGTCTGTATAAGTTACCTGTCATGTTGCCCGACAAATAACTTATTATGATGACATTATTTCTTGTATTTTAATTAGAGCCTAGACATTTGGCATATGAGTCCAAAAGTGATTTGGAAACCCCCAAAACATTCCACCTATTTGCATCTACCGTACCAAGTCCCAAGTTGATATGCACAGTTTTTCTTGAGTTACATGTAAATGCTGTGAAAACTATTTCTGATGTTTTAATAAACACATTGACCTTGGCCTAAGGGGTCCAAAAAGTGACAGGTTTCTGGAGGATCCCCATGATAAATTGATTTGACCAGTTTTTTGTGTGTTATGGCGGGAAAAACTTTTCTATTGCTTTAATGAACCAGGGTCCAAACACATTAAGCTGAAGGTGGCAATAGCAAGCTACCTATCAAGGTTCATGACATACATGTCCATCAAGTCCAACTCGTGCTATCATTTTGAAAGCAAAAGTGTGATGCACGCACACATGCTGGCACATAGGTTTGTTTATGGTGTAAATCAAGGATTTTCTAAAGTTCCTCATCATCGATCTTTTGTTGATAGTCTACCTTTTTTGCTACAGCTCCCATTGGTTTTGTACACGTTTTCTAATCGAGGTCGTCCTTGACTCCTGTCCTCAATTACTCGATGATGCTTCACTTGTGTGTACTCGATTTCCACCATAAACATGCACCCATCTTTGTAAACACTGGCAATCGTGGACCTCTATTGTCCCTAATCCTCATTCCTTTGTTTGTACTCAGTTATTTGTTTGTACTTTTTAGCAAGAGCGCTCACTGGTTTTGTACACGAATTTCAATCATGGAATATCGGTCAATCATGGACCCTTTGTTTGTGCCCTAACTCTTTTGTCCCTAGTCCATGATTGCCTGTGTTTACATACTCACGCACACAGACGAGGCAGAAACAGTATTTTCACCGGCGGGGCTTAAAAAAGCAGCACAAACTACTTTTCACTCTTCATTCACATTGCTTTTGTTTTCCTATACTGCAGATAAATCTCCTTGTTTTCATCATCTCTTTTCATATTTCCTCATTTCATTCAATTCTACAGTCGTTCCATCATTATGCTCAAGAAGTAAAGAGAAAATAAGTGACTATAAAAATACCTCCGTGTTCACAACCGTTGAATATCACTTTGTAACCATCTGGGTTTGAGGTGATGATGCAAACTTTGAGTCCCGTCACCAACGCCATACTGGATGGTAGATAGATCTTTTGATCTGTTTTGCCAATAAAGATAGGAGAGCCAGCTTCATCTACTAGAGGCAGGTATGGTTGCCTGTCACCTGGTTGAAATTTGAAGGAAACAGTTATGTCTCCCGGTGGGCCTTGTTCTGTCTTTATGATGACCGACGTGATTTCAACCCGTGGGCTGAAGGTAGCCCCCAAACATGATCCATTGTGTGGTGATGTAACATCGTTGGGTGGGTTGCTAGGGCGCCACCAGTCAGTCGGAGGTAATTCATTGCCTGATTCTGGGTCTTCGCGTATTATCGTCACATTTGGCAATTTGTCAAGATCATCCGCACATACCTCTGGAGTAGTTGATGGTGGTGAAGTAGTTGACACTGATGTGATTCAAAATAAAAATGAAGGAAATAAAAAACATAAAGATGCATACCATTGAAAATGATGAAAAGATGATGAATGAGAGGTTTGCAGAAACACCATGTGGGAATAATTTCTCAATAAGAGAATGGTTCTGAAAAGAACCAGAGGTATTTAGAGCCATTCTCTTAGTTTAAGAAGTTATTCCCACATGGTGTTTCCGCAAACCTTTCATTTATTAGTACCTCCACAACGTAAAGCCTCAAATCTTACTTATGAAACAATAATTTAGTAATTTCTGCTTAATTCTTGCCCCTTTCAGTGGTGTCACTGGGAGTCACAGGCTTTGAGTGGGCAGATGGAATCCCCTTCCCCATACTCCCCTTTGTTACACTACTGGTCCTGTTAATTTTTTGTGAGTGTGATTTTATAAGCAGTAATTTTAATACAGGAATTTATATAACATCTGTTTATAAAAAATGAATCCAGTGTCTTGAATGGAGGTATAAATCTGAAACAACCTTACTAATGAAATCAGAATCATTTTTTATACCAATTATGGCCCAATGCACTGAAATAGTGAAATGGCAAGAGGTACCCAGCAGTAGAAAATTTGGGGAAAAAACAAAGTTTGGGGGCCGCTAACCTAAAGCAGCATTGCAATCAATCTAAACAGTTCAAGACTCAGGCCAAACATTATAGGAGCAATGCTGTAAGTAACTCAAACGTTCCCTTTAACCATGCGACTATCAGAATCAAATGTCTATCCCAAAACCTCTAACCTGTTGTCGACTCCACTGTAGTGACTTCCTTTGTGGTAGATTCAGGGGTAGTAGTCACAACTGTTGTTACCTCCTTGGTTGTTGAAGGTGGAGCAGTTGTTAAAGGTGGAGCAGTTGTTGAAGGTGGGGCAGTTGTTGAGGGTGGGGCAGTTGTTGAGGGTGGGGCAGTTGTTGAAGGTGGAGCAGTCGTTGAAGGTGGGGCAGTTGTTGAAGGTGGGGCAGTTGTTGAAGGTGGGGCAGTTGTTGAGGGTGGGACAGTTGTTGAGGGAGCCTCAGTAGTTGTCACACGAGTAGTTGACTTCTCTGTTGTACTTGGAGGACCTAAAAGATAAAGTCCACAAAGTTTTAACTTGAGTGGGGTTAAAACAAAATAACATTCAGCTCTTTTGCTCTTTACTGATCTTCATTTCAATGAGAAACTTATTTTCTATTCCATTGTAAAGGCCTAAAAGGAAACAAAAATTCCTGATATATTCCTTATTAGGGTCATCATTAGGGAAGATACAACATTTGCAAACATCAAAAAATGATATGATCAAATTATCACGAAATATTTTATTGGATTGTAAGGGAATGAAAGTCCAAAGCATCCTTTAAAATTGTGGCCCCAGGTGTGCTGACATTTTCAGGAAAATTTGTATTTTTCCAACGCTGGTCGGCCGACCAGCGTTGGAGAAAACTGGCTTTTTTTTTCAAAACTGCTTCTAAGTTTTCATATTTAATTATTCCACATTTTCTTTGCAATTGATTACACCTCTGTGAAGGGGTTCAAGCCTGCTAGACTGATTCTCTGACCTTACAATTCCCCAAAGTATATAAATTGTTCTGTTTCATCTTAAGTGGGATCAGGGAACCAGACTACAAGAAAATGGTTGGTTTTCTTGGATTTTCCAGCATCTCCAAACCCAAAATGTGAAGCAAGTCAGTTTAACAATATTTGCTATGACATACTAATCTTCCAAATTCATTTATTTCTGACAATTGAAGCAAATGTTGTACATTCCCTTTAAACAAAGTGTTTAATACCGGTCAAGTACATATTTATTCCCATTCATCAATACCTTTTCGGTCAAATAATCAAAACTTTTCAGTCCAAAAGACAAAAGTGTTCAACAAGTTTATCTCATGTTTTTTGGGACACCCTTCAAGCATTATTATGGTATGTCCAGTCTCGCGAGTGTTGTAAAAAAAACTCCTTATAAATTACGGAGATTGGTGTGTGCATCACACGCACTAGCAATGTGGCGCATAACGCAGCTGTGCCGGTGTATTGTAAATTTAGGACTACGAAATTCTGAACCACCGGTAGTATTACGCATGCCTATGTGAGCCAAATTGTGACCTTCAACCGATAAAACGGTAAAGCACCAGATTTCATAGGAGTCCAAATTTCATGTGACTAGTGTTTAACACCAGCCAGCCATGTCTTTATTAAGGGAATAAATGTGTGCTCCGGAGGTTTTTATCACTCGTTTAATACCGCTTAGAGTCTGGGTGCTGATAATTACCCGAGCCGGAGGCGAGGGTAATTATCAGCACCCAGACTATAAGCGGTATTAAACAGAGTGATAAATACCGACCGAGCACATATTTATTCCCATTCATAAATACCTTATCCGTAAAAAATATCAAATAATTCGTTCAAAAAATCCCGATTTTGTTCAACAAGTTCACTTCATGCTTTTTGAAACATCCCTCTAGCAAAATAATGGAGTGTTCTGCTGGCGAGTAAGATGTAAACAACCCTTTTATGGAGATTGACGCGCGCGTAACATGTTCTGCGCGATGTCACGCAGAACGCACCTGGGGCGTTGCGTTTTGAATTTAGAACTATAAAATTCTGACTCGCTTGTAGTGTTGCGCATGCCTACGTGAGGATTGTGAACGTTCAACCAATGAAACGGTAAGAGGCACTGGATTTTTAGGAGTCCACATTTTATTGTGACACTGGAAAAGTGTTTAAGACCAGCTAGCCATGTCTTTATCATCCGTTTAAGACCGGCCACGTGACGGGCTCTCGACCAATAGGAATAGCTAAACTGTCTGAGGTATTTATGAATAACCGTTGAAGACCAGCCACGTGACATACTCTCGACCAAGAGGAATGGGGTTTTTAAAAACTGTCTTAGGTATTTATGAATATAAATGACATCTTGCACCTTCAAATTCATGGAAGCACTTGGTAAAAGAGAATTATTGGTCTTGAATTACCAGTTGTACTTTCTTCAGTGGTGCTCAGTACTGTAGTCGTCTCTTCAACTGTAGTTGACTCTGGAGTAGTTGTGTACACAACAGTGGTTGTCACCTCCTCAGTAGTCGATGGTGCCTCAGTAGTTGACGGTACAGTTGAAGTAACGGTAGTACTCACAACAGTGGTTCTAGCCTCTGTTGTGGAGGCCTCTGTTATTGGGAAAATGATAAAATGTTTGTCAGTTGTAATCTTCAAAGGTATAATAAACTTGAAGATTATAAGCTATGAACTTTACCTATTTCCTTTCCTTGATTTTCTGTTTTGTACAAAATTGTGGTACAGATCATTCCAGCAAGTTTTCATAATACTTGAGGCACCTTTGAATGTCATACCGATAAAGCGCACCTTATAAATGCTGTTTATTATTGTTATTATTTTTTCCATTTCCCTATCTTATGGTTGATCAATATAATTTCAGCAATTGTATATAAAAGTGCCATAATATTAAATATCAACACAGAAGGGTCAGTATAATCAACCACTTAGCCCTCGAAGCGCATACAAATGTCAAGTCATTCAATCCTCAAACTTCCCTAAACAGCCCAAGCACTCAAAAGTTTTAATGATTTATGGAGTAAATACAATGTAATACAATTTCATACAAGTGCTAAAAAGTTAAATTCCCTACTCGTTAGAAAAATGCTCAAAGCCAAATAGCTATGTGTTGACACGCTCAATAGGTGGAAAACCAAGATTGTCAGCTGCTTGCCAAAGAGGGCATGTCAGGCTCCAAGCCTCAAGCGGAATTCAAACTCACAAACCAGACACTAACATGGAAAGAACAAAAACAGTCTGTCTAACCATTCCAACATCAGATCCAAATGCCACATGAGGTTGTATCTAACCTGTTGTAGACTGCACTGTGGTGACTTCCTTTGTGGTAGATTCAGGGGTTGTGGTCACAACTGTTGTTACCTCCTTGGTCGTTGAAGGTGGGGCAGTTGTTGAAGGTGGGGCAGTTGTTGAGGGAGCCTCAGTAGTTGTCACGCGAGTAGTTGACTGCTCCGTTGTACTTGGAGGACCTATAAGATACAGTCCACAAAGTTTCAATTTGAGTTAGGTGAAAACAAAATATTCTTTTGCTCTTTGCTCTTTCCTGGTAATTTTTTTTTTTAAATCTCCTCATGCATTCCATATAAGGGTCATAATATCAATTAAATCTTGAACCTTCATGGAAGCACTTGGTATAAGAGAATTATTTGTTTTGAATTACCAGTTGTACTTTCTTCAGTGGTGCTCTGTACTGTAGTCGTCTCTTCAACAGTAGTTGATTCTGGAGTAGTTGTGTACACAACAGTGGTTGTCACCTCCTCAGTAGTCGATGGTGCCTCAGTAGTTGACGGTACAGTTGAAGTAACGGTAGTACTCACAACAGTGGTTCTAGCCTCTGTCGTGGAGGCCTCTGTTATTGGGAAAATGATAAAATGTTTGTCAGTTGTAATCTTCAAAGGTATAATAAACTTGAAGATAATAAGCTATGAACTTTACCTATTTCGTTTCCTTGATTTTTTTTTATGTACAAGATTTTGGTACAGATCATTCCAGAGAGTTTTCATAATACTTGAGGCACCTTTGAATGTCATAACGATAAGCGCACCTTATAAATGCTGTTTATTATTGTTATTATTTTTTTCCATTTCCTTATCTTATAGTTGATCAATATAATTTCAGCAATTGTATATAAAAAAGTGCTATAATATTAAATATAAACACAGAAGGGTCAGTATAATCAACCACTTAGCCCTCAAAGCGCCAACAAATGTCAAGTCATTCAATCCTCAAACTTCGCCAAACAGCCCTAGCACTCAAAATTTTTATTGATTTATGGAGTAAATACAATGTAATACAATTTCATACAAGTGCTAAAAAGTTAAATTCCCTACCCGTTAGAAAAATGCTCAAAGCCAAATAGCTATGTGTTGACACGCTCAATAGGTGGAAAACCAAGATTGTCAGCTGCTTGCCAAAGAGGGCATGTCAGGCTCCAAGCCTCAAGCGGAATTCAAACTCACAAACCAGACACTAACATGGAAAGAACAAAAACAGTCTGTCTAACCATTCCAACATCAGATCCAAATGCCACATGAGGTTGTATCTAACCTGTTGTAGACTGCACTGTGGTGACTTCCTTTGTGGTAGATTCAGGGGTAGTGGTCACAACTGTTGTTACCTCCTTGGTCGTTGAAGGTGGGGCAGTTGTTGAAGGTGGGGCAGTTGTTGAGGGAGCCTTAGTAGTTGTCACGCGAGTAGTTGACTTCTCCGTTGTACTTGGAGGACCTATAAGATCCACAAAGTTTCAATTTGAGTTGGGTGAAAACAAAAAATCTTTTGCTCTTTTTGCTTTACTGGTCTTTATTTTCTAAAAATCTCCTGATGTGTTCCTTATAAGGGTCATAATATCAATTAAATCTTGAACCTTCATGGAAGCACTTGGTATAAGAGAATTATTTGTTTTGAATTACCAGTTGTGCTTTCTTCAGTGGTGCTCAGTACTGTAGTTGTCTCTTCAATAGTAGTTGACTCTGGAGTAGTTGTGTAAACAACAGTGGTTGTCACCTCCTCAGTAGTTGATGGTGCCTCAGTACTTGATGGTACAGTAGAAGTAACGGTTGTACTCACCACAGTGGTTCTAGCCTCGGTTGTTGAGACTTCTGTTTAGAGTATTAAAGTCATAATAATGTTACATGCTGGTTTCTATTTTCAATGCAGAAAATTCAAGTGAACACAATCTAGATCACGTTGCATATAATCTGGTAGCACACCGCTACTGTTGGTAATAACATTGATTAACTTTCTCTTCCATAGTTTGATACAAGTTGTTATAGATGATGGCCCAATTTGACACTCTGTTGTCCCCCTTTTGTTGAATTCTTTCTATCTCACAGTCATTTGGCAATGGACCGATCCAGTAAGCCCCTCCCACTGCGCACGTGGGCAAATTAACACGTGCTCCTCTCCAATGCCACACTGCATTTTCCGGCTGGTTCGGTTCGCCTCGGTTCGCCTCGTGAAATGGAAAAGTCCAGATTTTACTTTACGATAATATTCCTCCCATTCCAGGCTGATCCACTCAATATTTGTATACTGTTTGATTATCAACATTTTCCCATGCATCAAATATTGTTTAGCAAGTCCTGTTGGAGCACTTGTAGACAATTTTTTTTGCTTTTTTGAGGATTAGCAACAAAACCGTTAGCTCACCTGTTGTTGAGGGTGCCTCTGTTGTTGAGGGTGCACTGGTTGTAGTCACTGTGTTGTTTAAGAAAGCACAATCAAGTATCAATATATTTTTGATCCTACTCTTTTTATAAACAGAACTAAACAACTACTACAAAAATCAACAACATTTCATGGCCTAATGTTTTGATCCTAGTAGAAAGTTTGACAAAGTTCCTCTAACGATCAGCCATTGACAAAGGTCCTGCTGATTAGGCCATTCACCTTTCTTTGATTTGTATGTTTCAGGTCAATCCAGTCAAGTAAGTAGTTTGCAGCAGTTTGATTCATTTTTCAACGAATAACAAGAAAAGTTGTGTTAAATAAGCTAAAATGCCCCACAACTGTGACTGTTCCCATGACATGACACCACTCTTTTAACATCAACTTACCTGGGTCACATGGAACGTTCATTTACATCATTATCATATCTTTAGGTTACACAGTATTAACGCCTATGACCCCGGAATAAAAAGTATTTGTTTGCTTTTCCACTTGGAAGTCATTGTATGTGATTTAAAAGAGTGAGTGAATGTGAATAGATCCTGTACCAGGAACATGAATAAAAGGAGACCAGACCAGTGGGTACACATAGTGCAAAATGTATGTAGGCAAAATGTGAGGTGCATGTATACTTAAACAATCACAAGGAATAGTTTCCTATTCCTGTATTCAATGAGTACATATGATATCACTATTCTTTCAATTTCAACCATGATGATCTGACAAGTCAAACATGAGTTATCAAATTTGGAGTACATATAAGTGTACAGCTGGCTGGTGAGTAACTGACGGTACACATTTTACACAATGCAAAATACAAGTTATTATGTGCACATGTAATAGTGCATGTACACATGTACACGTTGAAGTTTGCATTCAGTACACTTTAAAGGTTGAAAAGTGCCACATCCATGGAAAAAGAAATGTCTGTATAAGTTACCTGTCATGTTGCCTGACAAGTAACTTATTATGATGACATTATTTCTTGTATTTTAATTAGAGCCTAGACATTTGGCATATGAGTCCAAAAGTGATTTGGAAACCCCCAAAACATTCCACCTATTTGCATCTACCGTACCAAGTCCCAAGTTGATATGCACAGTTTTTCTTGAGTTACATGTAAATGCTGAGAAAACTATTTCTGATGTTTTAATAAACACATTGACCTTGGCCTAAGGGGTCCAAAAAGTGACAGGTTTCTGGAGGATCCCCATGATAAATTGATTTGACCAGTTTTTTGTGTGTTATGGCGGGAAAAACTTTTCTATTGCTTTAATGAACCAGGGTCCAAACACATTAAGCTGAAGGTGGCAATAGCAAGCTACCTATCAAGGTTCATGACATACATGTCCATCAAGTCCAACTCGTGCTATCATTTTGAAAGCAAAAGTGTGATGCACGCACACATGCTGGCACATAGGTTTGTTTATGGTGTAAATCAAGGATTTTCTAAAGTTCCTCATCATCGATCTTTTGTTGATAGTCTACCTTTTTTGCTACAGCTCCCATTGATTTTGTACACGTTTTCTAATCGAGGTCGTCCTTGACTCCTGTCCTCAATTACTCGATGATGCTTCACTTGTGTGTACTCGATTTCCACCATAAACATGCACCCATCTTTGTAAACACTGGCAATCGTGGACCCCTATTGTCCCTAATCCTCATTCCTTTGTTTGTACTCAGTACTTTGTACTTTTTAGCAAGAGCGCTCACTGGTTTTGTACACGAATTTCAATCATGGAATATCGGTCAATCATGGACCCTTTGTTTGTGCCCTAACTCTTTTGTCCCTAGTCCATGATTGCCTGTGTTTACATACTCACGCACACAGACGAGGCAGAAACAGTATTTTCACCGGCGGGGCTTAAAAAAGCAGCACAAACTACTTTTCACTCTTCATTCACATTGCATTTGTTTTCCAATACTGCAGATAAATCTCCTTGTTTTCATCATCTCTTTTCATATTTCCTCATTTCATTCAATTCTACAGTCGTTCCATCATATGCTCAAGAAGTAAAGAGAAAATAAGTGACTATAAAAATACCTCCATGTTCACAACCGTTGAATATCACTTTGTAACCATCTGGGTTTGAGGTGATGATGCAAACTTTGAGTCCCGTCACCAACGCCATACTGGATGGTAGATAGATCTTTTGATCTGTTTTGCCAATAAAGATAGGAGAGCCAGCTTCATCTACTAGAGGCAGGTATGGTTGCCTGTCACCTGGTTGAAATTTGAAGGAAACAGTTATGTCTCCCGGTGGGCCTTGTTCTGTCTTTATGATGACCGACGTGATTTCAACCCGTGGGCTGAAGGTAGCCCCCAAACATGATCCATTGTGTGGTGATGTAACATCGTTGGGTGGGTTGCTAGGGCGCCACCAGTCAGTCGGAGGTAATTCATTGCCTGATTCTGGGTCTTCACGTATTATCGTCACATTTGGCAATTTGTCAAGATCATCCGCACATACCTCTGGAGTAGTTGATGGTGGTGAAGTAGTTGACACTGATGTGATTCAAAATAAAAATGAAGGAAACAGAAAACATAAAGATGCATACCATTGAAAATGATGAAAAGATGATGAATGAGAGGTTTGCAGAAACACCATGTGGGAATAATTTCTCAATAACAGAATGGTTCTGAAAAGAACCAGAGGTATTTAGAGCCATTCTCTTAGTTTAAGAAGTTATTCCCACATGGTGTTTCCGCAAACCTTTCATTTATTAGTACCTCCACAACGTAAAGCCTCTAATCTTACTTATGAAACAATAATTTAGTAATTTCTGCTTCATTCTTGCCTCTTTCAGTGGTGTCACTGGGAGTCACAGGCTTTGAGTGGGCAGGGGGAATCCCCTTCCCCATACTCCCCTTTGTTACATTTCTGGTCCTGTTTTTTGTGAGTGTGATTTTATAAGCAGTAATTTTAATACAGGAATTTATATAACATCTGTTTATAAAAAATGAATCCAGTGTCTTGAATGGAGGTATAAATCTGAAACAACCTTACTAATGAAATCAGAATCATTTTTTATACCAATTGCGGCCCAATGCACTGAAATAGTGAAATGGCAAGAGGTACCCAGCAGTAGAAAATTTGGGGAAAAACAAAGTTTGGGGGCCGCTAACCTAAAGCAGCATTGCAAGCAATCCAAACAGTTCAAGACTCAGGCCAAACATTATAGGAGCAATGCTGTAAGTAACTCAAACATTCCCTTTAACCATGCGACTATCAGAATCAAATGTCTATCCCAAAACCTCTAACCTGTTGTCGACTCCACTGTAGTGACTTCCTTTGTGGTAGATTCAGGGGTAGTAGTCACAACTGTTGTTACCTCCTTGGTTGTTGAAGGTGGAGCAGTTGTTGAAGGTGGGGCAGTTGTTGAAGGTGGGGCAGTTGTTGAGGGTGGGGCAGTTGTTGAGGGTGGGGCAGTCGTTGAAGGTGGAGCAGTCGTTGAAGGTGGGGCAGTTGTTGAAGGTGGGGCAGTTGTTGAAGGTGGGGCAGTTGTTGAGGGTGGGACAGTTGTTGAGGGAGCCTCAGTAGTTATCACACGAGTAGTTGACTTCTCTGTTGTACTTGGAGGACCTAAAAGATAAAGTCCACAAAGTTTTAACTTGAGTGGGGTTAAAACAAAATAACATTCAGCTCTTTTGCTCTTTACTGATCTTCATTTCAATGAGAAACTTATTTTCTATTCCATTGTAAAGGCCTAAAAGGAAACAAAAATTCCTGATATATTCCTTATTAGGGTCATAATTAGGGAAGATACAACATTTGCAAACATCAAAAAATGACATGATCAAATTATCACGAAATATTTTATTGGATTGTAAGGGAATGAAAGTCCAAAGCATCCTTTAAAATTGTGGCTCCAGGTGTGCTGACATTTTCAGGAAAACTTGTATTTTTCCAACGCTGGTCGGCCGACCAGCGTTGGAGAAAACTGGCTTTTTTTATCAAAACTGCTTCCAAGTTTTCATATTTAGTTATTCCACATTTTCTTTGCAATTGATTACACCTCTGTGAAGGGGTTCAAGCCTGCTAGACTGATTCTCTGACCTTACAATTCCCCAAAGTATATAAATTGTTCTGTTTCATCTTAAGTGGGATCAGGGAACCAGACTACAAGAAAATGGTTGGTTTTCTTGGATTTTCCAGCATCTCCAAACCCAAAATGTGAAGCAAGTCAGTTTAACAATATTTGCTATGACATACCAATCTTCCAAATTCATTTATTTCTGACAATTGAAGCAAATGTTGTACATTCCCTTGAAACAAAGTGTTTAATACCGGTCAAGTACATATTTATTCCCATTCATCAATACCTTTTCGGTCAAATAATCAAAACTTTTCAGTCCAAAAGGCAAAAGTGTTCAGCAAGTTTATCTCATGTTTTTTGGGACACCCTTCAAGCATTATCATGGTATGTCCAGTCTCGCGAGTGTTGTAAAAAAACTCCTTATAAATTACGGAGATTGGCGTGCGCATCACATGCACTAGTGATGTGGCGCATAACGCAGCTGTGCCGGTGTATTGTAAATTTAGGACTACGAAATTCTGAACCACCGGTAGTATTACGCATGCCTATGTGAGCCAAATTGTGAACCTTCAACCGATAAAACGGTAAAGCACCAGATTTCATAGGAGTCCAAATTTCATGTGACTAGTGTTTAAACACCAGCCAGCCATGTCTTTATTAACCGTTGAAGACCAGCCACGTGACATACTCTTGACCAAGAGGAATGGGGTTTTTAAAAACTGTCTTAGGTATTTATGAATATAAATGACATCTTGCACCTTCAAATTCATGGAAGCACTTGGTAAAAGAGAATTATTGGTCTTGAATTACCAGTTGTACTTTCTTCAGTGGTGCTCAGTACTGTAGTCGTCTCTTCAACTGTAGTTGACTCTGGAGTAGTTGTGTACACAACAGTGGTTGTCACCTCCTCAGTAGTCGATGGTGCCTCAGTAGTTGATGGTACAGTTGAAGTAACGGTAGTACTCACAACAGTGGTTCTAGCCTCTGTTGTGGAGGCCTCTGTTATTGGGAAAATGATAAAATGTTTGTCAGTTGTAATCTTCAAAGGTATAATAAACTTGAAGATTATAAGCTATGAACTTGACCTATTTCCTTTCCTTGATTTTCTGTTTTGTACAAAATTGTGGTACAGATCATTCCAGCAAGTTTTCATAATACTTGAGGCACCTTTGAATGTCATACCGATAAAGCGCACCTTATAAATGCTGTTTATTATTGTTATTATTTTTTCCATTTCCCTATCTTATGGTTGATCAATATAATTTCAGCAATTGTATATAAAAGTGCCATAATATTAAATATAAACACCGAAGGGTCAGTATAATCAACCACTTAGCCCTCAAAGTGCATACAAATGTCAAGTCATTCAATCCTCAAACTTCCCCAAACAGCCCTAGCACTCAAAAGTTTTATTGATTTATGGAGTAAATACAATGTAATACAATTTCATACAAGTGCTAAAAAGTTAAATTCCCTACCCGTTAGAAAAATGCTCAAAGCCAAATAGCTATGTGTTGACACGCTCAATAGTTGGAAAACCAAGATTGTCAGCTGCTTGCCAAAGAGGGCATGTCAGGTTCCAAGCTTCAAGCGGAATTCAAACTCACAAACCAGACACTAACATGGAAAGAACAAAAACAGTCTGTCTAACCATTCCAACATCAGATCCAAATGCCACATGAGTTTATATCTAACCTGTTGTAGACTGCACTGTGGTGACTTCCTTTGTGGTAGATTCAGGGGTAGTGGTCACAACTGTTGTTACCTCCTTGGTCGTTGAAGGTGGGGCAGTTGTTGAAGGTGGGGCAGTTGTTGAGGGAGCCTTAGTAGTTGTCACGCGAGTAGTTGACTTCTCCGTTGTACTTGGAGGACCTATAAGATCCACAAAGTTTCAATTTGAGTTAGGTGAAAACAAAATAATCTTTTGCTCTTTGCTCTTTCCTGGTTATTTTTAAAAAAAAATCTCCTCATGCATTCCATATAAGGGTCATAATATCAATTAAATCTTGAACCTTCATGGAAACACTTGGTATAAGAGAATTATTTGTTTTGAATTACCAGTTGTGCTTTCTTCAGTGGTGCTCTGTACTGTAGTCGTCTCTTCAACAGTAGTTGACTCTGGAGTAGTTGTGTAAACAACAGTGGTTGTCACCTCCTCAGTAGTTGATGGTGCCTCAGTAGTTGATGGTACAGTAGAAGTAACGGTTGTACTCACCACAGTGGTTCTAGCCTCGGTTGTTGAGACTTCTGTTTAGAGTATTAAAGTCATAATAATGTTACATGCTGGTTTCTATTTTCAATGCAGAAAATTCAAGTGAACACAATCTAGATCACGTTGCATATAATCTGGTAACACACCGCTACTGTTGGTAATAACATTGATTAACTTTCTCTTCCATAGTTTGATACAAGTTGTTATAGATGATGCCCAATTTGACACTCTGTTGTCCCCCTTTTGTTGAATTCTTTCTATCTCACAGTCATTTGGCAATGGACCGATCCAGTAAGCCCCTCCCACTGCGCACGTGGGCAAATTAACACGTGCTCCTCTCCAATGCCACACTGCATTTTCCGGCTGCGCGCGTCATACGCGCGTGCTCGCATGTCGGACTTTTGTGCACGCATGTCGGACATAAATCACGACTGTGATTGGTCAGAATACTTTGGGGCAGTGCTTACTGGATCGGTCCATTGTTGACTGCTGTGATGTGGGATATGACGTTTTGAACACCCGGGGATACGCCCCTCGGGTGTTCAAAAGGTCATTATGCCACATCACAGTAGACAATTATTTTTTTGTTATACCTCTGTCTTGGATTCTTTGGAGTGTGATATGAAAAAAAAAGGAGTATACACAACAATCATGACAATCGAACGTCGACTCACATGCATGTCGCGTGCTAAAAACAGCTGATCATCTGCTACTTCGCTGCTCGCACTCATGTGAGAAAACATGGTGAAAATAGCGTGGGTACTAACAATACAAGCTTTTAACACTGTACTTCCTCTATGAGTGTGCCATGACTTTTTACACAAACTGAACGTGTGATCGTTCTAGGCCAATAAAAATACAGTATTTAAGACAGAGGTATAAAAAAATTAGTATTAAATCCCTCATACAGTCACATCTAGTTCTGGACAGTCGTGAATTATAATTATATAACAGACATACAGATCCTTGTCATTTGATTGGTGGAACTCGCATAACATGACATTCGTTATTTTTTCCATTCACACTGTGGCTCAAAAAGTACTATCCGCCCATGGGGAATGGGAAATACTATTCAACAGTTGGGATCATGATGCAGTATTTGTGTGCAAATGCATGCTGGTGTGCACATTCAGCATTGCGCGTAGTGTGTATTGTTCCAAAGAGCCAGCACTACTGCCTTGGGTTCAAACATTTTCGTGAAGGGGTGGTTTGGAAGAGAGAAATACATTTGTCACCAATTTGGTATTGAAATAAAAGTTCAAACTTATCAAATGACAAGGATTTATATGTCAGTTATATAAAACAAATATTGAGTGGCTTTAAATTGTGAAATGGGAGGAATATTATTGCTCGGTAAAATCTGGACTTTTCCAGTTCACTCGGTTCGCCTCGTGAAATGGAAAAGTCCAGATTTTACTTTGCGATAATATTCCTCCCATTCCACGCTGATCCACTCAATATTTGTATACTGTTTGATTATCAACATTTTCCCATGCATCAAATATTGTTTAGCAAGTTCTGTTGGAGCACTTGTAGACATTTTTTTTGCTTTTTTGAGGATTAGCAACAAAACCGTTAGCTCACCTGTTGTTGAGGGTGCCTCTGTTGTTGAGGGTGCACTGGTTGTAGTCACTGTGTTGTTTAAGAAAGCACAATCAAGTATCAATATATTTTTGATCCTACTCTTTTTATAAACAGAACTAAACAACTACTACAAAAATCAACAACATTTCATGGCCTAATGTTTTGATCCTAGTAGAAAGTTTGACAAAGTTCCTCTAACGATCAGCCATTGACAAAGGTCCTGCTGATTAGGCCATTCACCTTTCTTTGATTTGTATGTTTCAGGTCAATCCAGTCAAGTAAGTAGTTTGCAGCAGTTTGATTCATTTTTCAACGAATAACAAGAAAAGTTGTGTTAAATAAGCTAAAATGCCCCACAACTGTGACTGTTCCCATGACATGACACCACTCTTTTAACATCAACTTACCTGGGTCACATGGAACGTTCATTTACATCATTATCATATCTTTAGGTTACACTGTATTAACGCCTATGACCCCGGAATACAAATTATTTGTTTGCTTTTCCACTTGGAAGTCATTGTATGTGATTTAAAAGAGTGAGTGAATGTGAATAGATCCTGTACCAGGAACATGAATAAAAGGAGACCAGACCAGTGGGTACACATAGTGCAAAATGTATGTAGGCAAAATGTGAGGTGCATGTATACTTAAACAATCACAAGGAATAGTTTCCTATTCCTGTATTCAATGAGTACATATGATATCACTATTCTTTCAATTTCAACCATGATGATCTGACAAGTCAAACATGAGTTATCAAATTTGGAGTACATATAAGTGTACAGCTGGCTGGTGAGTAACTGACGGTACACATTTTACACAATGCAAAATACAAGTTATTATGTGCACATGTAATAGTGCATGTACACATGTACACGTTGAAGTTTGCATTCAGTACACTTTAAAGGTTGAAAAGTGCCACATCCATGGAAAAAGAAATGTCTGTATAAGTTACCTGTCATGTTGCCTGACAAGCCACTTATTATGATGACATTATTTCTTGTATTTTAATTAGAGCCTAGACATTTGGCATATGAGTCCAAAAGTGATTTGGAAACCCCCAAAACATTCCACCTATTTGCATCTACCGTACCAAGTCCCAAGTTGATATGCACAGTTTTTCTTGAGTTACATGTAAATGCTGAGAAAACTATTTCTGATGTTTTAATAAACACATTGACCTTGGCCTAAGGGGTCCAAAAAGTGACAGGTTTCTGGAGGATCCCCATGATAAATTGATTTGACCAGTTTTTTGTGTGTTATGGCGGGAAAAACTTTTCTATTGCTTTAATGAACCAGGGTCCAAACACATTAAGCTGAAGGTGGCAATAGCAAGCTACCTATCAAGGTTCATGACATACATGTCCATCAAGTCCAACTCGTGCTATCATTTTGAAAGCAAAAGTGTGATGCACGCACACATGCTGGCACATAGGTTTGTTTATGGTGTAAATCAAGGATTTTCTAAAGTTCCTCATCATCGATCTTTTGTTGATAGTCTACCTTTTTTGCTACAGCTCCCATTGATTTTGTACACGTTTTCTAATCGAGGTCGTCCTTGACTCCTGTCCTCAATTACTCGATGATGCTTCACTTGTGTGTACTCGATTTCCACCATAAACATGCACCCATCTTTGTAAACACTGGCAATCGTGGACCCCTATTGTCCCTAATCCTCATTCCTTTGTTTGTACTCAGTACTTTGTTTGTACTTTTTAGCAAGAGCGCTCACTGGTTTTGTACACGAATTTCAATCATGGAATATCGGTCAATCATGGACCCTTTGTTTGTGCCCTAACTCTTTTGTCCCTAGTCCATGATTGCCTGTGTTTACATACTCACGCACACAGACGAGGCAGAAACAGTATTTTCACCGGCGGGGCTTAAAAAAGCAGCACAAACTACTTTTCACTCTTCATTCACATTGCATTTGTTTTCCAATACTGCAGATAAATCTCCTTGTTTTCATCATCTCTTTTCATATTTCCTCATTTCATTCAATTCTACAGTCGTTCCATCATATGCTCAAGAAGTAAAGAGAAAATAAGTGACTATAAAAATACCTCCATGTTCACAACCGTTGAATATCACTTTGTAACCATCTGGGTTTGAGGTGATGATGCAAACTTTGAGTCCCGTCACCAACGCCATACTGGATGGTAGATAGATCTTTTGATCTGTTTTGCCAATAAAGATAGGAGAGCCAGCTTCATCTACTAGAGGCAGGTATGGTTGCCTGTCACCTGGTTGAAATTTGAAGGAAACAGTTATGTCTCCCGGTGGGCCTTGTTCTGTCTTTATGATGACCGACGTGATTTCAACCCGTGGGCTGAAGGTAGCCCCCAAACATGATCCATTGTGTGGTGATGTAACATCGTTGGGTGGGTTGCTAGGGCGCCACCAGTCAGTCGGAGGTAATTCATTGCCTGATTCTGGGTCTTCACGTATTATCGTCACATTTGGCAATTTGTCAAGATCATCCGCACATACCTCTGGAGTAGTTGATGGTGGTGAAGTAGTTGACACTGATGTGATTCAAAATAAAAATGAAGGAAACAGAAAACATAAAGATGCATACCATTGAAAATGATGAAAAGATGATGAATGAGAGGTTTGCAGAAACACCATGTGGGAATAATTTCTCAATAACAGAATGGTTCTGAAAAGAACCAGAGGTATTTAGAGCCATTCTCTTAGTTTAAGAAGTTATTCCCACATGGTGTTTCCGCAAACCTTTCATTTATTAGTACCTCCACAACGTAAAGCCTCTAATCTTACTTATGAAACAATAATTTAGTAATTTCTGCTTCATTCTTGCCTCTTTCAGTGGTGTCACTGGGAGTCACAGGCTTTGAGTGGGCAGGGGGAATCCCCTTCCCCATACTCCCCTTTGTTACATTTCTGGTCCTGTTTTTTGTGAGTGTGATTTTATAAGCAGTAATTTTAATACAGGAATTTATATAACATCTGTTTATAAAAAATGAATCCAGTGTCTTGAATGGAGGTATAAATCTGAAACAACCTTACTAATGAAATCAGAATCATTTTTTATACCAATTGCGGCCCAATGCACTGAAATAGTGAAATGGCAAGAGGTACCCAGCAGTAGAAAATTTGGGGAAAAACAAAGTTTGGGGGCCGCTAACCTAAAGCAGCATTGCAAGCAATCCAAACAGTTCAAGACTCAGGCCAAACATTATAGGAGCAATGCTGTAAGTAACTCAAACATTCCCTTTAACCATGCGACTATCAGAATCAAATGTCTATCCCAAAACCTCTAACCTGTTGTCGACTCCACTGTAGTGACTTCCTTTGTGGTAGATTCAGGGGTAGTAGTCACAACTGTTGTTACCTCCTTGGTTGTTGAAGGTGGAGCAGTTGTTGAAGGTGGGGCAGTTGTTGAAGGTGGGGCAGTTGTTGAGGGTGGGGCAGTTGTTGAGGGTGGGGCAGTCGTTGAAGGTGGAGCAGTCGTTGAAGGTGGGGCAGTTGTTGAAGGTGGGGCAGTTGTTGAAGGTGGGGCAGTTGTTGAGGGTGGGACAGTTGTTGAGGGAGCCTCAGTAGTTATCACACGAGTAGTTGACTTCTCTGTTGTACTTGGAGGACCTAAAAGATAAAGTCCACAAAGTTTTAACTTGAGTGGGGTTAAAACAAAATAACATTCAGCTCTTTTGCTCTTTACTGATCTTCATTTCAATGAGAAACTTATTTTCTATTCCATTGTAAAGGCCTAAAAGGAAACAAAAATTCCTGATATATTCCTTATTAGGGTCATAATTAGGGAAGATACAACATTTGCAAACATCAAAAAATGACATGATCAAATTATCACGAAATATTTTATTGGATTGTAAGGGAATGAAAGTCCAAAGCATCCTTTAAAATTGTGGCTCCAGGTGTGCTGACATTTTCAGGAAAACTTGTATTTTTCCAACGCTGGTCGGCCGACCAGCGTTGGAGAAAACTGGCTTTTTTTATCAAAAACTGCTTCCAAGTTTTCATATTTAGTTATTCCACATTTTCTTTGCAATTGATTACACCTCTGTGAAGGGGTTCAAGCCTGCTAGACTGATTCTCTGACCTTACAATTCCCCAAAGTATATAAATTGTTCTGTTTCATCTTAAGTGGGATCAGGGAACCAGACTACAAGAAAATGGTTGGTTTTCTTGGATTTTCCAGCATCTCCAAACCCAAAATGTGAAGCAAGTCAGTTTAACAATATTTGCTATGACATACTAATCTTCCAAATTCATTTATTTCTGACAATTGAAGCAAATGTTGTACATTCCCTTGAAACAAAGTGTTTAATACCGGTCAAGTACATATTTATTCCCATTCATCAATACCTTTTCGGTCAAATAATCAAAACTTTTCAGTCCAAAAGGCAAAAGTGTTCAGCAAGTTTATCTCATGTTTTTTGGGACACCCTTCAAGCATTATCATGGTATGTCCAGTCTCGCGAGTGTTGTAAAAAAACTCCTTATAAATTACGGAGATTGGCGTGCGCATCACATGCACTAGTGATGTGGCGCATAACGCAGCTGTGCCGGTGTATTGTAAATTTAGGACTACGAAATTCTGAACCACCGGTAGTATTACGCATGCCTATGTGAGCCAAATTGTGAACCTTCAACCGATAAAACGGTAAAGCACCAGATTTCATAGGAGTCCAAATTTCATGTGACTAGTGTTTAAACACCAGCCAGCCATGTCTTTATTAACCGTTGAAGACCAGCCACGTGACATACTCTTGACCAAGAGGAATGGGGTTTTTAAAAACTGTCTTAGGTATTTATGAATATAAATGACATCTTGCACCTTCAAATTCATGGAAGCACTTGGTAAAAGAGAATTATTGGTCTTGAATTACCAGTTGTACTTTCTTCAGTGGTGCTCAGTACTGTAGTCGTCTCTTCAACTGTAGTTGACTCTGGAGTAGTTGTGTACACAACAGTGGTTGTCACCTCCTCAGTAGTCGATGGTGCCTCAGTAGTTGATGGTACAGTTGAAGTAACGGTAGTACTCACAACAGTGGTTCTAGCCTCTGTTGTGGAGGCCTCTGTTATTGGGAAAATGATAAAATGTTTGTCAGTTGTAATCTTCAAAGGTATAATAAACTTGAAGATTATAAGCTATGAACTTGACCTATTTCCTTTCCTTGATTTTCTGTTTTGTACAAAATTGTGGTACAGATCATTCCAGCAAGTTTTCATAATACTTGAGGCACCTTTGAATGTCATACCGATAAAGCGCACCTTATAAATGCTGTTTATTATTGTTATTATTTTTTCCATTTCCCTATCTTATGGTTGATCAATATAATTTCAGCAATTGTATATAAAAGTGCCATAATATTAAATATAAACACCGAAGGGTCAGTATAATCAACCACTTAGCCCTCAAAGTGCATACAAATGTCAAGTCATTCAATCCTCAAACTTCCCCAAACAGCCCTAGCACTCAAAAGTTTTATTGATTTATGGAGTAAATACAATGTAATACAATTTCATACAAGTGCTAAAAAGTTAAATTCCCTACCCGTTAGAAAAATGCTCAAAGCCAAATAGCTATGTGTTGACACGCTCAATAGTTGGAAAACCAAGATTGTCAGCTGCTTGCCAAAGAGGGCATGTCAGGTTCCAAGCTTCAAGCGGAATTCAAACTCACAAACCAGACACTAACATGGAAAGAACAAAAACAGTCTGTCTAACCATTCCAACATCAGATCCAAATGCCACATGAGTTTATATCTAACCTGTTGTAGACTGCACTGTGGTGACTTCCTTTGTGGTAGATTCAGGGGTAGTGGTCACAACTGTTGTTACCTCCTTGGTCGTTGAAGGTGGGGCAGTTGTTGAAGGTGGGGCAGTTGTTGAGGGAGCCTTAGTAGTTGTCACGCGAGTAGTTGACTTCTCCGTTGTACTTGGAGGACCTATAAGATCCACAAAGTTTCAATTTGAGTTAGGTGAAAACAAAATAATCTTTTGCTCTTTGCTCTTTCCTGGTAATTTTAAAAAAAAAATCTCCTCATGCATTCCATATAAGGGTCATAATATCAATTAAATCTTGAACCTTCATGGAAACACTTGGTATAAGAGAATTATTTGTTTTGAATTACCAGTTGTGCTTTCTTCAGTGGTGCTCTGTACTGTAGTCGTCTCTTCAACAGTAGTTGACTCTGGAGTAGTTGTGTAAACAACAGTGGTTGTCACCTCCTCAGTAGTTGATGGTGCCTCAGTAGTTGATGGTACAGTAGAAGTAACGGTTGTACTCACCACAGTGGTTCTAGCCTCGGTTGTTGAGACTTCTGTTTAGAGTATTAAAGTCATAATAATGTTACATGCTGGTTTCTATTTTCAATGCAGAAAATTCAAGTGAACACAATCTAGATCACGTTGCATATAATCTGGTAACACACCGCTACTGTTGGTAATAACATTGATTAACTTTCTCTTCCATAGTTTGATACAAGTTGTTATAGATGATGCCCAATTTGACACTCTGTTGTCCCCCTTTTGTTGAATTCTTTCTATCTCACAGTCATTTGGCAATGGACCGATCCAGTAAGCCCCTCCCACTGCGCACGTGGGCAAATTAACACGTGCTCCTCTCCAATGCCACACTGCATTTTCCGGCTGCGCGCGTCATACGCGCGTGCTCGCATGTCGGACTTTTGTGCACGCATGTCGGACATAAATCACGACTGTGATTGGTCAGAATACCATGGGGCAGTGCTTACTGGATCGGTCCATTGTTGACTGCTGTGATGTGGGATATGACGTTTTGAACACCCGGGGATACGCCCCTCGGGTGTTCAAAAGGTCATTATGCCACATCACAGTAGACAATTATTTTTTTGTTATACCTCTGTCTTGGATTCTTTGGAGTGTGATATGAAAAAAAAAGGAGTATACACAACAATCATGACAATCGAACGTCGACTCACATGCATGTCGCGTGCTAAAAACAGCTGATCATCTGCTACTTCGCTGCTCGCACTCATGTGAGAAAACATGGTGAAAATAGCGTGGGTACTAACAATACAAGCTTTTAACACTGTACTTCCTCTATGAGTGTGCCATGACTTTTTACACAAACTGAACGTGTGATCGTTCTAGGCCAATAAAAATACAGTATTTAAGACAGAGGTATAAAAAAATTAGTATTAAATCCCTCATACAGTCACATCTAGTTCTGGACAGTCGTGAATTATAATTATATAACCAACATACAGATCCTTGTCATTTGATTGGTGGAACTCGCATAACGGGACATTCGTCATTTTTTCCATTCACACTGTGGCTCAAAAAGTACTATCCGCCCATGGGGAATGGGAAATACTATTCAACAGTTGGGATCATGATGCAGTATTTGTGTGCAAATGCATGCTGGTGTGCACATTCAGCATTGCGCGTAGTGTGTATTGTTCCAAAGAGCCAGCACTACTGCCTTGGGTTCAAACATTTTCGTGAAGGGGTGGTTTGGAAGAGAGAAATACATTTGTCACCAATTTGGTATTGAAATAAAAGTTCAAACTTATCAAATGACAAGGATTTATATGTCAGTTATATAAAACAAATATTGAGTGGCTTTAAATTGTGAAATGGGAGGAATATTATTGCTCGGTAAAATCTGGACTTTTCCAGTTCACTCGGTTCGCCTCGTGAAATGAAAAAGTCCAGATTTTACTTTGCGATAATATTCCTCCCATTCCACGCTGATCCACTCAATATTTGTATACTGTTTGATTATCAACATTTTCCCATGCATCAAATATTGTTTAGCAAGTTCTGTTGGAGCACTTGTAGACATTTTTTTTGCTTTTTTGAGGATTAGCAACAAAACCGTTAGCTCACCTGTTGTTGAGGGTGCCTCTGTTGTTGAGGGTGCACTGGTTGTAGTCACTGTGTTGTTTAAGAAAGCACAATCAAGTATCAATATATTTTTGATCCTACTCTTTTTATAAAGAGAACTAAACAACTACTACAAAAATCAACAACATTTCATGGCCTAATGTTTTGATCCTAGTAGAAAGTTTGACAAAGTTCCTCTAACGATCAGCCATTGACAAAGGTCCTGCTGATTAGGCCATTCACCTTTCTTTGATTTGTATGTTTCAGGTCAATCCAGTCAAGTAAGTAGTTTGCAGCAGTTTGATTCATTTTTCAACGAATAACAAGAAAAGTTGTGTTAAATAAGCTAAAATGCCCCACAACTGTGACTGTTCCCATGACATGACACCACTCTTTTAACATCAACTTACCTGGGTCACATGGAACGTTCATTTACATCATTATCATATCTTTAGGTTACACTGTATTAACGCCTATGACCCCGGAATACAAATTATTTGTTTGCTTTTCCACTTGGAAGTCATTGTATGTGATTTAAAAGAGTGAGTGAATGTGAATAGATCCTGTACCAGGAACATGAATAAAAGGAGACCAGACCAGTGGGTACACATAGTGCAAAATGTATGTAGGCAAAATGTGAGGTGCATGTATACTTAAACAATCACAAGGAATAGTTTCCTATTCCTGTATTCAATGAGTACATATGATATCACTATTCTTTCAATTTCAACCATGATGATCTGACAAGTCAAACATGAGTTATCAAATTTGGAGTACATATAAGTGTACAGCTGGCTGGTGAGTAACTGACGGTACACATTTTACACAATGCAAAATACAAGTTATTATGTGCACATGTAATAGTGCATGTACACATGTACACGTTGAAGTTTGCATTCAGTACACTTTAAAGGTTGAAAAGTGCCACATCCATGGAAAAAGAAATGTCTGTATAAGTTACCTGTCATGTTGCCTGACAAGTCACTTATTATGATGACATTATTTCTTGTATTTTAATTAGAGCCTAGACATTTGGCATATGAGTCCAAAAGTGATTTGGAAACCCCCAAAACATTCCACCTATTTGCATCTACCGTACCAAGTCCCAAGTTGATATGCACAGTTTTTCTTGAGTTACATGTAAATGCTGAGAAAACTATTTCTGATGTTTTAATAAACACATTGACCTTGGCCTAAGGGGTCCAAAAAGTGACAGGTTTCTGGAGGATCCCCATGATAAATTGATTTGACCAGTTTTTTGTGTGTTATGGCGGGAAAAACTTTTCTATTGCTTTAATGAACCAGGGTCCAAACACATTAAGCTGAAGGTGGCAATAGCAAGCTACCTATCAAGGTTCATGACATACATGTCCATCAAGTCCAACTCGTGCTATCATTTTGAAAGCAAAAGTGTGATGCACGCACACATGCTGGCACATAGGTTTGTTCATGGTGTAAATCAAGGATTTTCTAAAGTTCCTCATCATCGATCTTTTGTTGATAGTCTACCTTTTTTGCTACAGCTCCCATTGGTTTTGTACACGTTTTCTAATCGAGGTCGTCCTTGACTCCTGTCCTCAATTACTCGATGATGCTTCACTTGTGTGTACTCGATTTCCACCATAAACATGCACCCATCTTTGTAAACACTGGCAATCGTGGACCCCTATTGTCCCTAATCCTCATTCCTTTGTTTGTACTCAGTACTTTGTTTGTACTTTTTAGCAAGAGCGCTCACTGGTTTTGTACACGAATTTCAATCATGGAATATCGGTCAATCATGGACCCTTTTGTTTGTGCCCTAACTCTTTTGTCCCTAGTCCATGATTGCTTGTGTTTACATACTCACGCACACAGACGAGGCAGAAACAGTATTTTCACCGGCGCACAGTGGTTTAAGACCCAGACATCGGGTCCAATTTTTTTTTTTAATTTTAGTAAAAAAAACCTTCGATTGGAGTCTGAAAATCAAGTTTTTAGTATAAAAAAAACTATTTTCAAATTTAATGCACTGTTTTAGAGATATAACAATTGTTATGTACATTGATGTGTGAGTTAAATGAAATAAAGGATTCATATCTTGTTTAAATATAACGTGTTTGCCAAAGCATATAAAGGCTCGTTTTCAATTTTAATATTGCTTTTAATATTGCCCATCTCATACCCATTCGAATGGTGTATAGTATGATATGGACCAAATATTGGATGACACTGAAACAAAACATTGAAAAAATCGACTAAAATGGAACAAAATGTAATATTTTCATACATTTACGATCGCACATTTTGAAGAGTACCTTCTAGTACCCACCGTAAAATGTCATAAATTGGTAATATTTTGAATGAGTAAACATTCCTTGTCAATATTAAATCGCGGAAAATTATCGGAAATGTTTCTTTTGGCCGTACAAGACGAATTTCGGAACGGTGTTTTCGACAGAAATTCGAAAGAAATATCGCCTCGTGCGCGAAATAGCGCCCTCTGTTGATACGCATGGTCAGCAAAATCGAGCAATGCTTCCCAGTTAGTTTGTACGTCCGCATCGCGTCATGTTTGCATACAGAGAGGAGACTTTTGCGACGAAAGCGAAGTATTTCGTGCATTTACAATAAAGTACGCATATTTACTATCGATTGCATGGATTGTAGGGTAGGTTATTGAAGAAAATTTCGCAAAAACAATGACAGAGAAACGTGGTTTTCGATTTTTTTTTTTTCTTGGACAATCGACACGGGTTGCAATTTATTTTTCGGGCAAAGGAAAACACAGGGGAAAAGTAAAGACCATCTCAGCCAACCAGACGTGTTTTCCCGACCCAGGGAAACCCGATATTCAAGGACTCTGCAACCAACTCCAGACCGGAGCTGTCATTGTGATTTAAACCAGACTTCTTCAGGATTAATTGAAAATAGAGATCTTAATAATTCTTAGAATATTTTTGTTGACATCGACGGCCGTCCATTCCTTTTTGTCCTGATGGAATGTGTACCGGAAAGAGGTCAAGACAGAGCAAAACTTTCACAGATCGTGTCGAATATGTCGATAATTCTCCGTCTGGTTTCATCTACAGAATTTTTCAATTCCGAGAAATTAGATAGCCTTTGCAAAGACACAAGCAGGATGCTCCTAGAGAAGTTTCCAAGCTTCAGATTTACGTGCTCAGTGCACCAGCTTCTCGCACATAGTGCGAGTTGGTCGCAGCGAACAAAAGCCATGGCCTGGGAACACTTTCCGAAGAGGCGCTTGAAAATAACACAAAAAAAACATTCGGAAGTACAGGGAACAGCTATCCAGGAAAACCACACAAGAGGACAATCTAAGTGACGTATTTCATCGTCTTTGGTTAAAAGCAGTACTCCGCAAGTTTCCTGTCCAAAGAGTGAACACCGAAGATGACCTGTTTAATTTCTCCTTCAATAAGTCACAAATAGTACCAGCAGGTATTCCATTCAATTCACGAAGATTGAATCAATCTAATACTCAACAACTGATTACTACATTCAGCATTTTATTATGAAAGGTTTTTTAAAGGACGGTAGAAATATCTTGGGGAAAATTGATTACTATTTAAGTAGTATTTTGGGTCACAAACCAACACATAATGTAAAATAATACCACAAAATCACTACATTAGAACCGTAAATTTGCAACCTAGTATAATCTTTATTTCATCCAGTAAAACAAAAATTAACGAGAAAAAAATGTGTCAATACCGCGCCGGTAATAAGCCGTATGGACGTGGGAAAAATATGAATGCAGAAATTGTCGCAAGAGGGGGCTATGCATAAGTAGCGCCCTCTTTAGAATTTTGCTCCGGATTTTTGACAAAATTGGCGAGTTACGTTTTATATAATTTCCAACCTAGTTTTCTAAACCCAGAGATGGCTTTTGAACATGCTTCGTGTGTTTTATATGAATTTTGACCGTTTATTATCCTTAAATGTACCGATGTCTGGGTCACATATGGTTTTAAACCACTGTGCGGCGGGGCTTAAAAAAGCAGCACAAACTACTTTTCACTCTTCATTCACATTGCTTTTGTTTTCCAATACTGCAGATAAATCTCCTTGTTTTCATCATCTCTTTTCATATTTCCTCATTTCATTCAATTCTACAGTCGTTCCATCATTATGCTCAAGAATTAAAGAGAAAATAAGTGACTATAAAAATACCTCCATGTTCACAACCGTTGAATATCACTTTGTAACCATCTGGGTTTGAGGTGATGATGCAAACTTTGAGTCCCGTCACCAACGCCATACTGGATGGTAGATAGATCTTTTGATCTGTTTTGCCAATAAAGATAGGAGAGCCAGCTTCATCTACTAGAGGCAGGTATGGTTGCCTGTCACCTGGTTGAAATTTGAAGGAAACAGTTATGTCTCCCGGTGGGCCTTGTTCTGTCTTTATGATGACCGACGTGATTTCAACCCGTGGGCTGAAGGTAGCCCCCAAACATGATCCATTGTGTGGTGATGTAACATCGTTGGGTGGGTTGCTAGGGCGCCACCAATCAGTCGGAGGTAATTCATTGCCTGATTCTGGGTCTTCGCGTATTATCGTCACATTTGGCAATTTGTCAAGATCATCCGCACATACCTCTGGAGTAGTTGATGGTGGTGAAGTAGTTGACACTGATGTGATTCAAAATAAAAATGAAGGAAATAAAAAACATAAAGATGCATACCATTGAAATGATGAAAAGATGATGAATGAGAAGTTTGCAGAAACACCATGTGGGAATAATTTCTCAATAAGAGAATGGTTCTGAAAAGAACCAGAGGTATTTAGAGCCATTCTCTTAGTTTAAGAAGTTATTCCCACATGGTGTGTCCGCAAACCTTTCATTTATTAGTACCTCCACAACGTAAAGCCTCAAATCTTACTAATGAAACAATAATTTAGTAATTTCTGCTTCATTCTTGCCCCTTTCAGCGGTGTCACTGGGAGTCACAGGCTTTGAGTGGGCAGGGGGAATCCCCTTCCCCATACTCCCCTTTGTTACACTACTGGTCCTGTTAATTTTTTGTGAGTGTGATTTTATAAGCAGTAAGTTTAATACAGGAATTTATATAACTTTTTGTAAAGTGCTTTGAAACACTGCGTATTAAGCGCTATATAAATGTTAATTATTATTATTATTATTATATAACATCTGTTTATAAAAAATGAATCCAGTGTCTTGACTGGAGGTATAAATCTGTAAAGATCTTACTAATGAAATCAGAATCATTTTTTAGCCAATTGCGGCCCAACGGCAGGTCAGCAATGGGTCAGCAATGGGCACACCAGGTCAGCAATGGGCATGCCGGGCTCAGAAACTGCACTTGAAGAGCTGATGTGCCGCGTGCTTGGTGACCTGCTGAAGGAGGGCATAGTAGCCAAGATCGCAGATGACCTGTATTCTGGTGGCAACACTCACAACGAACTGTTACATAATTGGAGGTGGGTCTTGCATACCCTGTACAAATGCGATCTTCGCCTCACTGCCAAAAAGACTGTCATCTGCCCAAAGACAACCACCATGCTCGGATGGGTTTGGTCACTTGGAACACTCCGTGCGAGTCCTCATTGCATCGCGACCCTTGCATCATGCTCCATCCCTGAGAAAGTCGCAGGCCTGCGTTCTTTCATCGGGGCATACAAAGTCCTTGCCCGCGTCCTTCCCAACTGTGCCTCCATCATATCACCCCTAGATAGCGTCGTGGCTGAGCGTCAATCAGTTGATCGCCTTCAATGAACTGACGACGCTCGCACGGCCTTCTCCAATGCTCAGGCTTCCCTCTCTAAAGCTTGTATGGTCACTTTACCTCGCCCAGATGACCAGTTATGGATTGTCACAGACGGAGCTGTCAAGAATCATGGCATTGGTGCAACTGTGTATGTCACATGCCATGGTACGCTGCTCCTTGCCAGCTTCTTCAGTGCCAAACTCCATGGGCGTCAGCCAACTTGGCTCCCATGTGAAGTAGAGACCCTGTCAATTGCTGCTGCCACTAAGCACTTCAGCCCATACATCATTCAGTCTACACACAAAACATCCATTCTCACTGACAGCAAACCCTATGTTCAAGCTTTTGAGAAGTTATGCCGTGAGGAATTTTCCGCCAGCCCCCGCGTATCTACATTTCTGTTGACTGTTATCCGCTTTCAAGCCACAGTCCGCCATCTCACAGGGTTGGCAAATATCCCATCAGACTTTGCCAGTCAAAATGCCCCAGACTGCACTGACTTTGCTTGCCAAATCTGCTCATTTGTGAAGCATACAGAGGATTCTGTCGTCCAGCGCATCTCTACACAGGACATTGTCACTGGCAAGGTGAAGCTGCCATTCACCAGTCGATCAGCCTGGGCAAACTTGCAGGCAGAGTGCCCAGATTTGCGCCATACGCATGCTCATCTTCTGCAAGGCGCTTGTTCCTCCAAAAAGGTCACCAATGCCAAAGATGTCAAACGGTACCTCAACGTCGCCACCATCACCAAAGATGGGCTCCTGATCATTCGCAGAGATGAACCACTTGCTCCCAAACGGTAGTGCATTGTAGTCCCACGACAGGTTTTGGATGGCCTCCTCACTGCCCTTCACATCCAGCTCAACCATCCATCATGCCAACAACTCAAGTGCGTTGTCCATCGCTACTTCTACGCCCTCGACATGGACAAGTCCATTGAGAATATCTCATCTAGTTGCCACCAATGCGCTGCACTCCGCAATGCCCCCACCACCGTAAAGCCTCAAACCACTGAAGACCCACCAGATGCTGTCGGCATATCCTTCGCGGCCGACGTTATCAAACGAAGTCGTCAGCTCATTCTTGTTGTACGTGAGAGTGTCACATCTTTCACAGCCACATGCTTCACAGAGGATGAACGACACACCTATTTGGGACGCACTTATTACCCTTTGCACTGAGTTACGCCCACTTGACGGACCCCCAGCTGTGATCCGTACTGACCCAGCACCAGGCTTTAAGTCTCTTGTGACTGATGAGCTCCTGCAGCAGCACAGGTTGACCATAGAAATTGGCCGCATCAAGAATATCAGCAAGAATCCAGTTGCCGAAAAAGATGTACGAGAACTGGAAGAGGAGCTTCTGCGCCAAGATCCCATGGGTGGCGCCGTAACACCGCCGACTCTTGCATTAGCCACATCTTGCTTGAATTCCCGCATACGCTCCCGTGGTCTTTCCGCTCGCGAGATGTGGTATCAACGGGATCAGTTCACAAGCAACCAGATTCCCATCACCGACCGGCAGTTGATTTTTGACCAGCACGACCTTCACAACGCTAATCACCCCCACAGTGAAAAGTCGAAGACACCATCAGGCAAAATTGCATCTGACACTGTTGTTGCCATCAGGGACTTAGTATACCTCCATGGTGACCGCAACAAAACAAAAGGACGAAACCGCTACCTTGTGACAGCCATTGATGGGTTGTGGTGCAGTGTCCGTAAATTCATCGGGAACCAACTCCGGAGCACATCCTACCGTGTTAAACGCTCAGAGTGTTTCAAGGTACCTTCCCACTCTGATATCAACCCACCATTTCCATCAGAACGGCCCGATCTTCATGACAGTGCTGATGAAGCAGACGCTGACATAGCACCAGCTCCACCCACACCACCTGCCATACCAATCATACTCTCGACACCTGCTAAGCCAGCTACTGGATCCCCCTCTCTGGAAGTTGAGCATGCACCACAAGTAGCAGAGGTACCTATTCACGTGTCGCCTACTCCACAGCCCACGATTCCTACAAACAGCCTTGGAGACATGAGCATCTCTTGCCCACGCTCACCCGCAAGACGCTCATCCCGCCTACGCAAACCACCCGCATACCTTGATGACTACTTGACTGATTATTGACACTGATCTGTGACTGTGTGAACACTTGTAGTGTTTAGGACAAGATATATAATGCCTTCCTATGGAGTGGCACATTTGGGGCAGAATAATCCCCAGGGCTGGAGGGCAGTCTACCCCTATGAAGGCCCATTTATCTTTCTTTATGTAGCATTAGATTCCATTTTGATCTAACATGTTTAGCTTTTGTTTCTTGTTTCAATTGAGCGCAGCTACAAAAAGCCATATCCTTCGTTCTCCTTCTAATATATTTTCTGTAAGAGGGACTCATTGTTTAAGTTCTTTGCCTTGTTTCAAAAGAGAAACAAATAGGTCACCCCAGTAGTAATGATTACGCCCTCTTGCGTTCGTGACCTTCGACCTGTTTGTCTTCGTTCTATCGTTTATCGCTCAATGTGCGTTCTCGCCTTTGTTCATTAAAGTCTCCCATTATACCCGATAAGTCGATTACCGCTGCTGTTATAGTGTGTGTTGGATTGAACTCTTGTCCCTACTGGCGCAATACACGGAAATAGTCCAATGGCAAGAGATACCCAGCAGTAGAAAATTGGGGGGAAAACAAAGTTTGGGGGCCGCTAACCTAAAGCAGCATTGCAAGCAATCCAAACAATTCAAGACTCAGGCCAAACATTATTGGAGCAATGCTGAAAGTGACTCAAACATTCCCTTTAACCATACGACTATCAGAATCGAATGTCTATCCCAAAACCTCTAACCTGTTGTAGACTCCACTGTGGTGACTTCCTTTGTGGTAGATTCAGGGGTAGTGGTTACGACTGTTGTTACCTCCTTGGTTGTTGAAGGTGGGGCAGTTGTTGAAGGTGGGGCAGTTGTTGAGGGAGCCTCTGTAGTTGTCACACGAGTAGTTGACTTCTCCGTTGTACTTGGAGGACCTACATGTACAAGATACAGTCCACAAAGTTTCAATTGGAGTTGGGTGAAAACAAAATAATCTTTTGCTCTTTTTGCTGTTTACTGATCTTTATTTCAATGAGTAACTTATTTTCTATTCTATTCCATTGTCCAGGCCTAAAAGTAGACTTTAATAAACACATGCATTAGAGTGTGAGGCATGGGTGTACCGGTATGTGCTGCGTAAGTGTGCCTGCCACATCCATCCACGGTCAGTTGTTTCACTGCCTACTGCAAACATCACCAGTGGTCAAGCTCTGTTCATTTACACAAGCCTTTGTACTCTTTCACCAGACCTTTTGCTCTCCAAGCACATCCACAATTATAATAATAATAATAATAATAGTGGATATTTATAAAGCGCACGTATCCACCAGGACTGGTGCTCAAGGCGCTACATCATTATTACCCCTGCTCATTTGGCACATGAAACAATCCAAATACCATCTCAGCTCCCTGGGGAGTATACAGCTCGATGCAGCCTGTTAGGCGCAAGGAAGCTTATTCATTCACAATAACCATCTCTGCCCTCACAGGTACCCATTTACTCCTGGGTGGAGAGAAGCAATGAGTGACAAAGTGCCTTGCCCAAGGGCACACGCACCATGACCCCGCCAGGACTTGAACCCACAACCTGCAGCTTTATCCGCAGACCACGAATCAGTGCCCTTAACCACGAGGCCACAGCACTCCAATTTGTTCATCCCGATTTTTGTTTGCTTGAGAAGTGTTTTTACACAACATCCATTCATGTGCCCGAAGAGCTCCAAATTTGTCTCAAACAATGGATTTCCTAAACTCAACGACGTTTTTCCGAATGGTCCCTAGCAAACTTCAGTCTGGCAGTGATGTGCCATTGTTTAAGCAATGGTTTAACCAATGGTGTTTTCCTTGGTTGATGACCTCGGAGCCTTTTTATATTTATAAAACACTGAAAGTAAAAGATATTTATTCTTTCCAGCTTGGGACTTTCATGCACCAACCAAATCATAACAAATTACCAAAATCCATCCAGGGTTACAAGGCTTACTGTCATGGCTATGTGAATTTTGTGTTTATACAATGTATGTAATTGTCAATTAATATTAATGGGGTCCCTACTCGGCAAGAAGTTGCTTCTTGGGGACCCCCATCCACTTTTAAATGTTCTGGAACATTCTTCTGGAACATTCTTCTGGAACATTCATGAACATGGAAATCTCTGAAAACCCATCATAAAGCAAGAAAACGCCATTCCAGTCCCATTGCTCTCATTTTTTAGAAGTTTCCACAAAGGGGCTAATAATTTTGACTACTGCAAATTAATTTACTTATTCTGCAGCTTTCTGAAAAATTCAAAGAAATTCTAAAATTTCCTCAATGAAGGCCCTTCACTGAGGAATGTTTCACTTAGAAAGCTGTCATGATTACAGTTTTAGTTTGGATTGGTGGAAATGAATGTAAATTTACTATTTCTCACATGGGGCTAATAGTTCTGACCTTTACTGTATATTTTTTTAAAAGTATTCAATTCAATTGTGTAACAGATTTGTTTGATTAATATCTATAATTATTTTGTAAAAGATTTGCCATAGTGTGATTGTTGCTATTGCTCATCCGAATAGTGCATGCATATGTGACTGGTATAATGGATTCTGCACATTTTTGTTGTATAGTGTAAAAGAATGGAATATACATTGTAAATGCATAACTATTTTGGAGTTGCGTTTGTTAATAATAAACATGGCGAAGAGGTAGTGTACTGACAGGTGTGCACAGCTAATGGTTGCTAATGTTTTGTTTCAGTACCTCAGAAATTGAGTAGTAAAGTGAGACTTTAAAGTAAAGTTGCCATTAAACACTGTTTGCCTTTGTAGCTGGCCAGTAACCATTGGTTGGTTTGCATTCTTGACATATTAATATTTGTGCATTTTGCCCTGGTGGCTTGAAAGAGACTGTGCAAGTTAGATTTTGTGGCAGAGAGTTGAATTTGTTTAATAAACTAGCATAAATTTCTTGGTGTATTTGAAATCGAATTTCATTGGTGTGTTTAAGTTGACAATTTTGTTAGTGTATTGGTTATTTATTTGCATTTGTATTTCATTGGTGTACTGATGTGTTAACCAACACATCAGTACACCAATGAAATACAAATGCAAATAAATAACCAATACACTAACTGCTTCATTTTAACATGTTTAACACATGAAAAATGATTGCAATAATGCTGTTAATATTGATGAGAACTGCAAATGAAATGTTAAAGTAAATCAGTGACCTTGGGACTGCAAAAATATAATATTTTTAAAGAAACCACATAGGAAGACCAGATGGGTCCTACGGTAAAAAGGGGCCAGGAATAGCGTAGGTTTGGATTTAATTGAAAGGCAAGCATATAAGTATTGAGTTCAAAATGCTTGTCAATAGGCCAGTGAACAATAGCCACACCAGGCCATGACAGCAGGTGTGTCAGCAGAAGAAAGAGCAATGGCTGTATGCGGTTCACAGATAGTCAATGTCAACGGTGTGACTGCTGCCAGCCAGCCTGTGGGTCAATGGATCCTGGGGAACACTGAACGACCAGAGAATCTAGAGGATACATATCAGTGGCAGTTGGAGGTAGTTTAGCCTTGGTGAGGCATGAGAACAGAACAGTAGAGGAACACTTGCGTTTCTTCAATCTATCTGTGACTAGGTTGAAGTGAGGGAGCCCTATAGTGCAGTCATAAACTTCGACATTGAGCGACCACTTGTAATATATCTAGAGTTGTAATAAAGTCCAGGCAGTTGAGGCCAATGGCCCCAAAAGGGTAGTCGGCTTGAGCCACTGAAGGCTCAGTACATGGTCACAGCCGGTCCAAAGTCAAGCTTTTCGCTAGTACAGGATGAGTAAAATATTATATCTCTTTGGATTAGTTCTTGTCTCCTACAAAAACAAGAAAAGTTACCAGGGTTATTTTTCAGCCAACTATATTGGTCTGGGTATTGACCACGTTCAGTAAAATTTTCATTGATATTCAGACATGCATGAATAGGATACAGACTTTTCTTTTTGACTCCCCGAAAACACTGCCAACACAATGTTCAGAATAGGCCTGTAGCTATCAACACAATAGCATCAATTGGCCTCTAGACAATAAAGGAAATAAAAGTATCACCAGAACAAGGTGTGAATGAAATGGAATTACATTTATTGAATTGGAATCTGAATTACAGACAAGATTCACAATTTCACTGTCATGCTGCTTGACCTTTCACCTGTCTGCCATTCAGTGTTGTCTCTCAGGCGTCGGCCTAATGATCAAGAAACCATCACCAGCAGACTACACATATTGCCAGTCAGCCACTTGGACCGTCTCATAACCCTAACCCCAACCCCAACCCCGCCAACCTGTCAGCTCAAGTCCAGCATAAAATGTTCCTCCCTTTTTTTTGGGGGGGGGGATTTTAAATTTGGTTTTAAATGCTTTCTCTCCGGTTCAAAATGTAAAAAAAGCATTTTTAAAATTTGCCAAAAGAGGCAACATAAGTGATAATTCAAACAAAGATAAAAAGATTACATTTTATTTACAAAATAAAAACAAAGGGGATTCTTGGAAATTTACCAGTGGTAGAAGCTGCCGTGGTAGACAAAGCTGTAGTCATCTGTTCAGATGTTGTAGATTCAGGAGTTGTTGTTAAGACAGTGGTAGTTGTGACTTTTTCAGTAGTTGGCATCCGAGTTGTTGCTGGAACCGTCGTAATTTCCTGAGTAGTGGTAACTGTTGTTATTTCTGCTGTTGTAGAGGCTTTTGTGGTTGATGCAGCTGAGGGTATAGGACAAATTAACCTGCCTTTTTAACCTAATTCCTGCTGAATTTTACTGACTAAAAGAGATCCACAATTGAGGTATGTTTAAACACAACCAATCTATCTACGGTATTGCACAAAAAGACAACTGGTCTGAGGAGTCATTAATCTGATGAATCATTTTCAAAGATATTAGATGAACTTTAATTACCAACACATTATCTTTGATAAAGTTAACAGAATTAAAAAGGAACATGATTTAAGTTTAATCGCGGCTTGAATGCATTCTTTTGCAATTCTGTAGTTGGTTTTCAATAAATTGTTCCCTCTCTGTTTGAATACTTGTACACTATAAGCGATAGGATGCCGTAAGTATTTTTTGAATAAAACCATACGTCTCTCCTACCGACGTATGTTCCTGGGGACATTTAGTTTCTGCGCATGTGTGAAATGAGTGCATAATTTACAATATTCATAAGCCAGGGGAGATATGACGCAGAAATTATGACCTTTAATCATCCTATTGGTTCTCCTGTTGAGCTTTTCATGAATAATTCATATTAACCCAAGGTCACAATAAACTCTTGCACTACTAGTTTTTTCTGTTGATATTTTGTAATTGTTTTGAAAATCAGGATTTTCTTTGCATTTTTTGGGCGCATTGCAAATCAGCATGAAGTAAATGTTAATTACTAGCGTTCTATAAATTAATATAAAACAAAAGCTGAAGTTTTCCTGGAATGTAAAGCAACCCCAAAATGATGGAACTTGGCATGAAGTGCCATGATGTACATTGAGTTTACTACTTGCATTTTTTTAAAGTGAATATAGGAGGGTAAAAGTTGGTTCAAAATCTCATTTTTTATGGACTCAAAAGTAAGATCAAATGTTTTACAAACATCATGATGAGAATAATATGTAGTAAAGGGAAATATGTCATTATTCCTCCAATAATTTCTGAACTTGGATTATACTGAGGTTTATTCAAGCATAAGCGGTCACGCAAAATCACCGTTCATATGCCCCACATGAAGGGATTGTCATGCATTGCAAGATACAGCCCAATTTGCAGAAATGATGCCAATTTCCGGACACGACCGCTTACGCTTGAAACTATGACTGGATTTAATGTTGAAACATAGGAAGAAAAAAAAATCGCAGTAAAACACAAATGCCAAATTGTGACAATAGACACCTTTCTCACACCCTTGCATAGTCTCAAAATTTTGACAAAACTTCAGCAACTTGTTAATTTCCATATAAAATATGTGATTTTCAATTGCAAAACTACAGTCATGACGGAAATCCTAGCACCAAGAATCTCATGATTTTCAGAACCTATAAATTTGCAAAAAATCTTGCTCAGGTGTAGAGAGGAGTTTACACATCAGTGAAAAGGACTGTACTTCATTCAAGTTTATAAATTTAAATTTGGCAGGTATATGGAGGGTAAAGTGTCATTGTTTACGTCATGATTTTCGCGTTGCCATGCGCCCGCGTTACATATGTAAGGCAATATTATCCCCCACGTGGCATGAATCTAAATGTCCACATGGGCAATGGGATTGGAACATACGTGTACTACTTACTGACTACTTTCCCACTTACAAAAAATAAGGCAATACCCTGGCTAAATGCAGCATTCTGGTCGGTTCAATAATGGCTAAGTTTCTAGAGCAAGTTTAATACAAAAGATTTCTAATAAAACATTGAAATAATGATCATCAGATTTGTTTGCAAAATCAGAAGCATATGTTCGTACTTTTCAGGTCATTTGACCACTGACAAATGTAAACATTTGACCTTACTGACAAATGTAAACATTTGACCTTACGTGGTTTATGTCAATGCTTACCTGTTGTTGTCACTGTTGTTGTAACTTCTGGAGTAGTTGACACAATAGTGGTGGTTTCCTTGACTGTAGTTGAAGGCTGTGCGGTGGTGCTTTCGGTGGTGGTCAAACGAGTAGTTTCTGCCTTCGTTGTAGATGGAGCAGCTTGGTCAAATATGCAAAAAAATAGTACCAGTTATTTTTTAAATGCATTTGTAAAACCATCTCTTTAACAATGAAACAAGAAAAACTGACTTACTATAGAATTTTGCTGTTATTATTACATTCCAGTGCTAGAAAGTAGAATCATCACTTGCATATCTGAGCATGTGCACAAGCTCAAATTCCATGGCTACCAGTGAAACATGATGGACCCTGGGTCGCTTCACATACCTGTTGTGGAAGCCTCAGTAGTTGATAGAACCCTTGTAGTCATCTCAGTGGTCGTCACCTCCGGAGTGGTTGTTGTCACAGCCGTGGTAATGGACTCTGTGGTGGTGGTTGGTGTTTCTGTTGTAGTACCTTCATTTGTTGTAAGCTGAGTTGTAACAACTGTCGTTGTTGCTTTCTCTGTGCAGTGAATATTGAAAATCAATTCAAAGCATTTTCAAACCTAGCCGGAGATTGTTGTTAATATTCAGGGAAAGGGAGAAATATTGCCTCTTTTGATTTACATGTAGGTCGGTTATTTCAACATGCTTTGGATTATCGCCACTTGTATGTAACCGTCTATCCATGGGTGTTTTATGTTATGGGAATTGAACGTAAACATCTCTTCACTATATTTTTAAGAGAGTCATTTGGGTACCTGTAGTTGTTTCCACTGTTGTTATTTGTGTAGTAGTAGCCTCCGGAGTAGTGGTCCGAATTGTTGTGGTGTATTCTTCAGTCGTACTTGGCTTGGCAGTGGTACTCACTGTCATTTTGTGACATAATAAAGAGATAATTTAATATTCATACCACAAGTTGCTTGCAGATTATTTTTTACATTCTCTTCAATTAAAGAGTGCAAAGTTTTGTACCATAAAAACATATAACAAAAACATATAACAAAAACATATAAAACTTGTATGAAATCACATACATGTACAACCTGGATAAAGCATTGTGTTTTTTCCTTCAATTTTGACAGTAATGCAATATATCGCAAAAACAAACCTGTTGTTGTAACTTCCGTTGTTGATGGAGCTGTAGTGGTTACAATGGGGGTTGTAGTGGGGAGCTCTGGACATGAGAAAAAGATATAGACTTACACAGCCAATCATGAAATGAAATCAGCACGACAAATGCTCCAATGGATTCTCTGTCTTCCGAAAATTAAAGGATCTTTCACTGAATATCCAAGCACTAATAGGGAACTTTAATAGAAATGTTGGCAAAATATATTTAAGGACTTTTTGTATGTATGTTAATCATAATATGCCAGAAAACTTTTCGAATTTAATACATAAGGTCTGTGAGAAGGGCAAAGTGATTGCAAAGCAAGCTTTAGAAGTAAGATTTGAGGCTTTGCATGGTGAAGATACTAAATAATGAAAGGTTTGCGGAAACACCATGTGCGAATAATTTCTCAACTAAGAGAATGGTTCTGAAACAAGAACCAGAGGTATAAACTCGACGTTCCGGTCAGTATGCTCTGACCGTCTTCAGGAGAGTGCCTAAACTCTAAGAAAGTGAATACTTAAGTAGCAAAAGGTGAAATCAATGGAGTGTGAAGTTGGCAAGGCAAGTTCTACGAGCAAATGGCTGGGACCTCCATGGGATCTCCTTTATCCCCGGTCCTAGCCGACATCTTCATGGAGGAGTTCGAGTCTTCCTCCCTACTCACAGCGGATCTTCGGCCGAGCCTGTGGCTACGCTACGTTGATGACACCTTCGTAGTGTGGCCCCATGGCCCGGACACACTCCAAGACTTCCTCCAGTACCTCAACAAGCAACACACCAGCATCAGCTTCACCATGGAACAAGAGCAGCATGGCACCATTCCTTTCCTGGACGTCAAGATCTCCAGGAATCCGGATGGCACCCTGGGACACAGCGTCTACAGGAAACCCACCCACACCGACCGCTATCTCCACCAGCGGTCGTTCCATCACCCCAGCATCAAGTCATCGGTCAACCGCACCCTAGTACAGAGAGCCTTCGAGGTCTGCGACCAAGACAACCTCAAGCGTGAACTCAAGCACATCCAGACGTCACTACAACGGAACGGCTACAAACCCAACCACATCAAGATCAGCAAACCTGACCAACGGGTCCCCTATACCCAAGGTCCTCCCACTGTATCTCCCTCAGTCACTCTTCCTTACATAGGTCCAGCTTCTCATCATCTGCAACGCATCCTCCGACAAGCCGGCGTCAAGGTGTACCACTCATCTGGCAACAAGCTCCAAGGCAGCCTCCATACTCACAAGGACAAGTAGGACTCCTCTTCCAAGCCGGGAGTCTACCGCATTCCATGCGAATGCGGCAAAGTCTACATCGGCGAAACTGGTCGGAACCTTCCCACTAGGCTCAAGGAACACAGAGCACATGGACGGCGAGGGGATTTTGACAAATCGGCCATTGTCAAACATTCCCACATCAACGACCACAAAGTTGATTGGGATGCGGCCGAACTCATCGCACCGATCCAGTTCTGGCATCCAAGACGCATACGGGAAGCCATCGAGATCCGCAAGCACAACACAGTTCCGCAAGACATCGGGTTTCATCTCAACGACATCTGGCTCCCACTTCTCCAGACTGATGGGTCTCCTATACCCTAGGTCCTCAGCTACTACCTTAGACTGATGGGTCTCCTATACCCTAGGTCCTCCCTCCACTGACACTGCAACCCTACTGTTCCACTTCAGTGGGCACTAAGCTTGCTCAGGGATCCTGTCTACTTGGCATCCTCACAGGATGCAACTTCACACTCCATTGATTTCACCTTTTGCTACTTAAGTATTCACTTTCTTAGAGTTTAGGCACTCTCCTGAAGACGGTCAGAGCATACTGACCGGAATGTCGAGTTTATACCTCTGGTTCTTTTTTCAGAACCATTCTCTTAGTTGAGAAATTATTCGCACATGGTGTTTCCGCAAACCTTTCATTATTAAGCTTTAGAAGAGCGAGGGTGAAGCATTTCATGTATATTTGCAGTTCTAAGGGGTTAATAGTTTAACAAACTATTCTGTTGCTCTTTAGTTTACCCAAGTAACGGTCAGCATTAACCAATGAAGAGGTTTATTATTCTTTGGGAAAGACTGTTTGTTACACGTACCTTCAGTACATCCAAGGAAGTCCAACCTCAGCGTTGAGTTGAACTCAGAAGTGGACATAACAATCAATGTCACATTCATGACAAAACTCATTTCATTTGGGAAAAAGTAGTCGCTTGGTGTATCCCCTGTGAGGGTGGTCTCGAAGGTCTGTAATCAAAGAAGCTCATCAAATCAGTTTGGACCAAGGCCGGATTAAGTGTTTCGTAGGCCCTAGGCACCAGTGTTCCATAGGCCCTACTCCTGTCCTAGGAACCAGTACATGCCCAATCCCTGGTTTATTTTAAAAAGCCATAACAAATCAAATCATCAATAAGTCACCTCAATTTTTATCTGCAACACGTCCCGGTCTACCTACATACCAAGTTTCAAACCAATTTGACTTACAGTTCTGTAGATATATCATGTAGGACTTAAAAAAATGTGCATCTTTAAGATGACATCACATGACCCATGGTGACATCGTCAAAACATCACTCTTCTACTTAAAGAAGAGTGATAAAGTCTTTGCCTATGTTAAGTTTCGTTGGGACGTGACTTTGTTTTATGTCAAAAGTGGGGGCCGGAATAAAACGTATGTGCAATTTATATTTATATTTTCATTTATACGTGCAATGCCGAATGCCTGCTGAACGGGGAGTGCCTCAGCAAGAACATTGTGTACCAGGCCACCGTCACAAGGTGAACTATGTTCAAAACATAAAAAGCATGAACTCATTAAAAAAACAATGCGGAAAAGCCCTATGTTCTGTTCCCTAAACAGACATAGATATCTTCTTTTTTTTTGCTTTTTCTGTTGAAATGTGAAAATGTTTTGATTTGTTCTTATTTTGTTCTTCTTTTTGTTCCATCCCCAATTCCCAAGACTTTGTACATGTTTACTCTGCCCTTCACTTTTGACATTGGGTCATAAAAACTAGCATTTGCTTTTACTACCTATTTTTAAGCATTAACTTGCATTTGTATGAATAAGAATGAAGCAAATGCTTTTACTGGAAAGCATTTCCTACAAGCTAAAAGTATTTACTTTTTACTTTTTAGCTTTTGCTAGACTAGAAGTGTTTACTTAATTTGTATGAATAAAAAGGAGTAAATGCTCACATTTCAAGTATTTACTGGTCATTTTTCAAGTCTGGGTTGGGGCTACCTTAAGAATATAAAGCAAATACTTCTGTGCAAAAATTGCTACATTCATTCGTATTAACTGCACCAAAGCTAACACAAAACGTTAATAAACTACATGTAATAACATACACTTGAATGATGAAAGTAAACTTTCTGTATTCTGCAACTGTTGAAAAGTGAGAATCAAATGTACTCTACGTGCACTGTATGCATCACCTTGATTTGGACTATTACCCTACTTGAAAACCCTATGTGTGTGTGGTAGTTCGTACGCACAAACGAAACCCTATTGTTGACAACATGAAAACAATCCAACAAGAAGCTTTTGCTACCTGTTGTCTAGTGAATGCTGAACAGTACAGGAAAAGTTTTAGTCATACGGAATCAAGCATTTGCTTTTCCTTAATGCTTTTACTCCAAAATAAAGGCTTCAATTACTTTTTGCTTAAACTTCCTAGCATTTGCTAGTTTTTATTTATACGACCCATTGAAAAGACATATATCTAAACCTTAACATAAGGTAGACAAAGATTAAGTGAAATTTATGCCACCAGATAAAATTAAATGAGTTTATTTTTATTTTATTCACCATATTTTTGAGACAACAATTCGACATTTCCAAGAAAACGTCGTTTTAGATCATTGTTTGCTCTCCATTTCCGTGCAATCATTGGCAAAAAGGCCCAACTTAAGTTGGGATTAAAAAAAAATATTATTACAGGATTTACAAGTTATTGCGAATAGGTTTGTGCAGGTGCGGTTCTACGGGGGGGGGGGGGGGGGGGGGGGGGGGGGGGGGCTAGGGGGGGCTGTAGCCACCAAAAATTTTGTCTAGCCCCCCCAAAATAAATTCCGTAAAAAAAAAAAAAGGATTGTGATGTACATGCGAACGGTCTCCCCCTAAAGAAGAAATAGCCGTGACGAGGGTGCATTAGTTAATATAGTGTGAATGATTTTAGGACTTTATTGGCGCTCCCAATTGAAAATATGGCATGAGACACCCCCCCACCCCCCCCCCCCACCCCCACCTATTGATTTTTGGAGGCCTGGGTGTCTGGAAAATAACCGGTCAACATTTCAGCACGCCTCCCTGAAAAAAACTGGATCCACCTTGTTAGCCCCCCAAAAATATTGGTTCTAGAACCGCGCCTGGGTTTGTGTTCCTTAGATGGGTTTTATTTTTGTAGTTTCCGACCATACGTTTAGATGTACGAACCACGAGCCGTCAAAACGATGTCATTAAGCATGGATGGCCAATGTCGGGCCGTACTGGAGCACTGGCCAAGCTTGCTCCATGCAGAAAATCACGCTGCGCTATACGGGTCAGCGGATAAAAACGTATAAGTGGCAGATATGTCATTCTTTCTTGAATTGTCCTATTCGCAATAACTCGAAAATGGTATCATTATTTTCATCTACATGGTAATGCCTTTTATTTGTCCAGGAAACTGTCAAATATTTCTGAAATTGGATTGATTCACGCAGGGTTTTTGAGGTGTTGTTAGGCTTAGATGTCAACGAGGATTTTCAGGAGGAAGAGCAGTAATCCTGTCTATTGGAGGAGGTATCACTCCGATGTTCTAGTAATCAGCAGAACAGAGTAACTTCCCTGAAGCGTCACATCATGTGACGATGAAATAATTAAACTGCTTGTAAAACATTGGTGTTTGTTTCTAGGGTGAAATCGACAAATATTTGGAGCATCATGAGAGATTTGCTAATTGTTGCCAAAATATCATGATGGCGGGTTGATAAGTTGTGGCGTGGGAGTTGACAACTTGCTGTCAATGCGAAGTCACACATTGTTTGGTACAGCTTGGGCAACTTGCTGCCCAAGCATGTAATGGGAGTGAGCGACTTGCAATCTGTGCCAATTAAGCCATGCCGTAGCGGGCGGTAAGAGAAAAATGAAGAACAAGGCAGGCTGGACGAAAGGTATACGGCTAGCGTCCTCAAGGGAATAATGCATATTAGGGCTGTCCACTTTTATAATAATTTTGTTTTTCGATCATTGAAAACTGTGTTTTGACTGAATATTATCATAGCTGCAAACTTTTCAAAATCCAAATGAGTAACCAAACCGCAGTCAGTTTCAACTGTGCACATATTAACAGTGCATGTACCTGCTATACCAAGATCCCATATAGGTACATGATACACATGTATATGCATACCCTTCTTTTTGTGATTAATCTGTAGAGTACTGTAGGATATTTTGAGAATTTGTGAAGTCAAATAAATAATAACAATAATAACATGTGCACATGTTTTTCTGAAATGCATGTAATCGATGCTGAGTTTTGATTTTGTATGGTTTTACACACATTTACATTAGAAGGGCCAATGTGCGCAATAGAAATATCTCGCCAACATACCTTGCAAAACCCATGCTGTTTATTATTTCTGGATGTTGTGATAAACTCAAATACTTGTCACTATAAAATTGTCCCTTTGTTGTTGCCTTGGAAGTCGTGATGATGTCACATAAAGTTCGAAAAACTTTTTGTAAAACGTTTTGGGAATACTACAAACATGATGAAAACTTTGGACTCACATGGCAATCTTTTGGAGGCCATCTTAAAAAGGGAGTGTATGACACACACGCTGGTTCCAAGTCGTTTCACACATATATTATATGAACTGGCTGGTGCCTGGCGGTATCATTGATGTCAGAATTACTTGGCAACGGCTTGATATAACACATACATTACTACAAGGGCAAACAAAATTTGGCTGCCCAAAAAGTGGGTCCAAAAATTGACGGCCTGAGGTTCAGGGCTTGCTGACTGCTGTTACCATATTTTTATGAAGACAAGATGGTGGTGTATGCCATGGCTGTTTTTTTGCGACATCACTATAAAAACAAATAAAACAATTGTTTTTTTCGGGGGGGGGGGGGATGTTTATGGCAGTGGCTGCCATAGACTTATGTGCAATTTCAAACTGAAGCCGAAAGTTCGGACACAGCTTATTTGTAACTGCTTTTTCAGCGTTCGGTTCATAAAATCATGGTATCTAATTAACAATGTAAATGATTTTGAGGAAATTTGTAATAAAGGGCGATAAATTGGTAATTCGGAAAACAGCTTGCAATTTCGTAATTATTCTGACAAATTCGAAATGGTTGGCAGGTATGCCAATATAGTACTACTATACCTAGCACACATTTGCTCACAACATTTTTGTTTGGGGAATAAAAATTTCTCAGATGTTTGCCGAATGCTTTTGCTCAAGGGGAATACCTCGCATTAATAAAAAAAAAGGTTCAACAACAAGCAAAGTGTGAAAGCAGGTTTGCATTTTTACAATCAGAGAAGAAAAACTCACATGGACTGTTTCTTGGATTGCACCTGTCAAGGGGAAAAGGTGCAGGAAGATTGCCTGGAGCTTGTATGTGCCATCTTGGTATTCCGCTGCCTGGAGTCTCACTGCATTAATATGGACCTGCTGCTTGAACAACACAGTGACTTTAGAGTCTGGCACACCGGGGCGCCATGGAATCTCTTCCCCGATGTAGGTGGTGACATCAGCTCCATGTGGTGGTCGGGTCTCTCGTGAATTAGCCTTTTCTAGATCCGTGCCAAATGGGCTCATTGGGTCCAAGCAAACACCTAATTGAGAAAATATATATAATTATTATATGTTCCCTTTACCCCAAGAAACAACTCAAAATAAGTACATGCTGAATGTTTTAACAACTGCCATCTATGTCTTGAAACCTCAGCACGCAGTACAATACTAATTTGAAAAACTTTGCAAGATACTGATTCATTTTTAAAGTTAAATTCATTCCATTCGGATCAGATGGGGGACTTCAGAACATGTACCTTTTTACCATCTATGCTTCTGATTGGAGCCTTCTTATTTAAAATATTTTGGACAATCCTCCAAAAGGCCATGGTTATTTCAGTGATTCACATATTGTTATTTCAGGTATTTTAATGAGTGGGTAACACCAAGATATTCGACAGGAAGCCTACAGTCAACTCTTTGGACTTAATCCTTAACATACACAAATCAATTAAGTCTATGAGGTTTCTCTACCTTGAGTTGTTGGCACTACTGTTGTAACACACTCTCCACGAGGTGGAGGACGTTCACAATAAATTCCAGTAGGGCTCTTCCTTGTGCCAGGAGGACAGCTTGCACATGTAATGCAGTAATCAGGGACATTGACAGGACAAGTCTGCTGGATGAGAACTCCATAACAGTCAACTTCACAGATGCACGGAGGGTTGCAATACTCTGGAAAAAAATTGGGGGGGGGGGAAGAGAGATGAAAAGATGGTACATTTTATTCAACTCAGGTGTTATTTTGTATTGAGGAAGGTGTCACCGTAATTGTTTTCACCTGTTTGACACTTTCTTTCAATTTACAAAACTCACTTGATGAAATAATTGACAGATATGAGGGCTTAATCTCGCATTTTATCAAGGATTTCTGTTTTAACAATTTTCTACGAATGTCACTGTCAACTACACTAGTTAAATTGAACTGTTACAACGTACGTTCTTTTGTGGTGAAGGGTACTCCAGTTGTGGTTGGTGCTGCTGTGGTGATAAGGGTGGTTGGTGGTGCAGTGGTACTTGGTGCAGTTGTCCTGCATGAATCTGGCGAAGGTGGGCGGACACAGTAATGCTGATATCTCTGGGTCGGTGGAGGACAGGTACATCTTATGCACTCCTGTGGAACATTGCTGGGACAACTGTCATTCTCTACTTGTCCAAGGCAATTGAAATCGCAGACACACTGCTCATCACAAGTGTAAGCTATCAAATGTGAAGAGATCAAATGAAAACAAAATGATAACATTTAATGGATGCAAATCTCTCAGATGTGTTTTTCGCTTCTAAATAGGGTAGAACCAAAAAAATCTTACTTGTTGTTGGTGCAATTGTGGTAGTAAGGCGAACAGTTGTTGACGGTGGTGCAGTGGTACTTGGTGCACGTGTCGTTGACGGTGGTGCAGTGGTACTTGGTGCGCGTGTCGTTGACGGTGGTACAGTTGTACTTGGTGCGCGTGTCGTTGACGGTGGTGCAGTGGTACTTGGTGCGCGTGTCGTTGACGGTGGTACAGTTGTACTTGGTGCGCGTGTCGTTGACGGTGGTGCAGTGGTACTTGGTGCGCGTGTCGTTGACGGTGGTGCAGTGGTACTTGGTGCGCGTGTCGTTGACGGTGGTACAGTGGTACTTGGTGCGCGTGTCGTTGACGGTGGTACAGTTGTACTTGGTGCGCGTGTCGTTGACGGTGGTACAGTGGTACTTGGTGCACGTGTCGTTGACTGTGGTACAGTGGTACTTGGTGCACGTGTTGTTGACGGTGGTGCAGTGGTACTTGGTGCACGTGTTGTTGACGATGGTGCAGTGGTACTTGGTGCGCGTGTCGTTGACGGTGGTACAGTGGTACTTGGTGCGCGTGTTGTTGACGGTGGTGCAGTGGTACTTGGTGCGCGTGTCGTTGACGGTGGTGCAGTGGTACTTGGTGCGCGTGTCGTTGACTGTGGTACAGTGGTACTTGGTGCGCGTGTCGTTGACGGTGGTACAGTTGTACTTGGTGCGCGTGTCGTTGACGGTGGTGCAGTTGTACTTGGTGCGCGTGTCGTTGACTGTGGTACAGTGGTACTTGGTGCGCGTGTCGTTGACGGTGGTACAGTTGTACTTGGTGCGCGTGTCGTTGACGGTGGTGCAGTTGTACTTGGTGCGCGTGTCGTTGACGGTGGTACAGTGGTACTTGGTGCGCGTGTCGTTGACGGTGGTACAGTTGTACTTGGTGCGCGTGTCGTTGACGGTGGTGCAGTGGTACTTGGTGCGCGTGTTGTTGACGGTGGTGCAGTGGTACTTGGTGCACGTGTTGTTGACGGTGGTGCAGTGGTACTTGGTGCACGTGTTGTTGACGATGGTGCAGTGGTACTTGGTGCGCGTGTCGTTGACGGTGGTACAGTGGTACTTGGTGCGCGTGTTGTTGACGGTGGTGCAGTGGTACTTGGTGCGCGTGTCGTTGACGGTGGTGCAGTGGTACTTGGTGCGCGTGTCGTTGACTGTGGTACAGTGGTACTTGGTGCGCGTGTCGTTGACGGTGGTACAGTTGTACTTGGTGCGCGTGTCGTTGACGGTGGTGCAGTTGTACTTGGTGCGCGTGTCGTTGACTGTGGTACAGTGGTACTTGGTGCGCGTGTCGTTGACGGTGGTACAGTTGTACTTGGTGCGCGTGTCGTTGACGGTGGTGCAGTTGTACTTGGTGCGCGTGTCGTTGACTGTGGTACAGTGGTACTTGGTGCGCGTGTCGTTGACGGCGGTGCAGTTGTACTTGGTGCGCGTGTCGTTGACGGCGGTGCAGTTGTACTTGGTGCGCGTGTCGTTGACGGTGGTGCAGTGGTACTTGGTGCACGTGTCGTTGACGGTGGTGCAGTGGTACTTGGTGCACGTGTCGTTGACGGTGGTGCAGTGGTACTTTCAATTCCTGTAAGGGTTGCAGAATTAGGTAAAAGGAATATTTACCGTGTCTTATTATTCTTGTTGACCCAATGCCACTTCAATAACAAAAATAACAGCCTTTTCAATAATATACGCATTTGGATTTTGATCGCGTAAATACTCTAACCTTCCAAATACTTACTTATCCTTTCATGTTGAGTTCACAAGAAAGAAACTGAAACACTTTTAGGTATCATAATAAGCAAATATATGGTTGAGGGTACATTAAATGTTCTTGGTCACCTGTTGTGGTGCTGACTAGAGGAGTTGTAAGACACTGCTCTCGAGGTGGTCGACGAACGCAGTAGTCCCCACGCCTCTGTGTACCAACTGGGCAGAAGCAACCTTGACAACTTTCTGGAACTACTGGCGGGCAGGCGGGATCCATGATAACACCATCACAATTCACATCACATTCGCATCTCGGACCACAGTCTCTTTCTGATTAAAAGATATCGACACAATTATACAAGGGAAGAATAAAAAAGACCAAAAGTATGTACTGTCTCCACCCACATCTCACTGTATCAAATATGCATTTTGGAGTCAATAATCAATCAAGTGAAGCTTTTAGTTAACTATTTCAACAAGAAAGAAAGGACTCGCTAATTACTGTTGTTGAGAAAAGATATCATCAACACATGACATCAACAACAATAAAAAGGATTGGAAATAGACAAGATGGAGAATATATCACTGACAGTATAAAGACTGAACATTTTTGTATCCTATATAGAGCAAGTTCACAATAATGCATACATTATGTATGGGGCATTCAGAGAATTCCTCCATCCCAACAACGTAATTCTTTAAATGTAATTTATGTTACCAATTATTTCAGCATTTTATTGGATTCAGATTTTTGGTGAGGCTGTTTCTGTCCAACTGTATTTTCAGTACTTGTGCACATTAGTATGTGAAGACTGGCCAATGACAGATTCACTTTCCATGTTAAAAATGTTGCTTTTCATTGTCTGTATATCATTATTGTCTGTATATCATCTATTAGAGCTGTCATAACCTACAAAGTTTGTATTGTTACCTCTGTTGGTGGCAGTGCTTCAGTCCAACTTTGCTTATTTTCATATTAGTTATTTCGGAGTTATTCAAGCAATTTTGGCTGACAACATACAGGCATTTTAGTAAAGGATAATGCCCGATAATGTTGACCATGCGGAGCCTGGTATAGGCCTAGCTCCTCAGCCCTGGGGCCAGCTATGGCACGCTGTTACACCACATAGACTGTCTTGCATTCAAGGCTAAAAAGGCTACCTGTGATGTCCCCTTATTGTTTCTAGCCCTCCATTATAAAGCATGAATGGACTGACTTATGAAATGGCGTTCATTGACAGCGATAGTGAGTTGTTTTTGACGCACGCAGAATGTGTATCAGTCTCAAGACAGTGAGGAATATCACTCTGATGATACATTAAAAGATACACCTCAGGTGAAATTAGAGAAACTCATGTACCAGTTGACTGCACTATATCAGATGATTACCAGAAGTTACTGCAGACTTCACCTGCCCTGGAAGGACAAGACTGTTTTGGCACACCAAGGGGAAATGAGGAAATTACGCGCATGAGTACAAAAACTAAATAGTAACAACAATCATTGCTTCAAATTAGCTTTGATGCATAAAAGGTATATTTTTTTACCGGTAGAATAAAAGTTTGATATAACTCCAATCTTGCATTCGTTGTCTGATTTAGTTCATTCAGTATGTAAAAAATACTTTGCATGCAACTGGCTCTGAATGAAAGCTTTGTGAATCAACACTGTCCAATACAGTGGATTGTCCCTTTTTATGCTAGTTTATATATTTAAAAGTTAACCAGTTTATGACTCCAAACAGTAATTTTCAGATTTTTTTTTTTAAATTCTAATTACAGAACTGGTGATAATGTAGTGGTAAATTTTTCTGCATTTTGCTGTTTTGGTTTGGTGTTTATGTATTGTATATTACCTTTTTTTGCTATTGTAGCCATTTTCCCCTGTGTCGCATTGGAATTATTGGTGCATGTGCTATTTATTAATGATTTGATATTTTGAATGCTTTTGATTGGCTTTTTAATTTTTTTCTGGCATGTTAACTTGCATTTTAATTATGTTTGCTTCCATGTTGTAGTCCTTAGGTAACTTTTATCTTTTATTCTAAGTATTTTCATTTCCTAGGTATTATAGTTTTTATTGAGAGGCGATTTGCGTGATTTTACATAAAATGCCCAACAAATTTCTTCAGGATGCCCGGTTCTTGCTGATCAAGAAAAAAACAGACGGACTAATGAAGGATTGTGCTAGTATCTAAAACACTGGAAAAAGAAGCCTAAATTAGGGACTCAGTGACACTCACAAGAAAAAGACAAACCTGTCCTGCTGTATTGTCATACTGTATGACACTTATTTTGAGATTCAGCACAAGGAGCAACAGATGCATCCAGATTGCTTGAAATCCAGTCAAAAATATTATTTGCATTGTGGAGAGTGTTAAAATATTTGCTATGTCAGAAAAAGAATGCTTCCTGACTTTCATACAAACACGATGTCAAAATGAATAAGAAAATACATAGCATTCAATTTGACAAATGGTATAGCCAAGCTGCAAATCAGCAAAGTAATATTGTCATTCTTGGTGTTTCTTTACTTTCCAAAGGAATGGAGAGGTATCACCTCCAACGCTCCATTCGTGCAAAATAATGGAGAGATAGGACAATATGGTGACGTCACGGGTGGAGTTTATTCAGCTGCAGTAACAAGTCCAAACAATGTGCAATCACAACAAGTCCAAATAGGGGCTTGTCGTCTTCAGTCAATGTAAGGCTCACTATATGCAAGGAGTTAAACTGAAATGATACTGACATGTGTATGGGGTTTTAACTTTAGTGTTTCAGTTTAACTGATCCGTTAACCTTAACTTCCTATAGCATGATTTACTAGGAACCATACCCATCCTGGCAAATTCCAACACCATATGGGAAACTGCATACACATATTTCTGACTTTGATTCTGGAGGTGTGCCAACCCAATGTAAAAGACTGTCAGTTTAGGGGTACTGTACCCATCCTGACAGATTCCAACAAAACATGCCGTTGGGGTTTGATGGGTTGAGTTCTGTTACGGTTAAATTAATAACTGATTCCTTACGTGGTGTTGTAATTTCCTGTATGGTTGTAGAAGGAGATGTAGTTGTCACAGAAATGGTTGTTGAAACTGAAATTAGAAACAAAAATAATGTGAGTGAGTTTGGGATGCTTTTACACAGAACTTGGACTCAAACACTTTACTGATGTCTGTCAGACAAGTCCGACTCGAATCAACCTAAACAACTACTAACTTAGTACTTATTCAATACAGAGTTTACAATTGGAATAAAGAACAAAGAATTCTACAATTACATTTGCAAAGACATTAAGGTAGCGTGTACCACAGCAAAAAAATAACAGGCATGCTTCACCAGCAGAGGGCACTAACGTAATCAAATATTCGTTCTGTTCACACAGCGTTAAATATCGTGCACATCATGCACATCATGCACATCTTTGTTGCACGTGCTCTGTATTCATAGCATATGCGCAGGTCATCACAAAACGTATGCAGTGTAGAAAATCTTTTACAATCAATAGCGAATGTGGAAGTTGAAACCTCACACAGTTGTATTCATTCATTCTTATTATACTGTTCAAGCAGAAATGGCTAATAATGATTCATAGATTATCAAGAATAGAAACTTGTCCTTTAGGGTATTTGTATCTATACTATCATCTCATTTCTTTTAAATATCTTCATTTCTTAGCAAGAAATGTCTTCCACCTTTTCCACTTTATGAAAACAAACCATTTCTTGTTCATCCCACACTACAGGCAGGATATAGAAGAAAAAAAATAGAAGAAAAAAAATTGAATAAACATATGGTAAAATGTATACCCACCTTCCACATTGCAGCCAAACAAATCAATAGTTTGCGATTCTGAGGTCGAGAATATTATCTTGATGGCATAAATAGAAACATCTTCTGGTTGGTCTGGTATATCAAGTCTCTCCCCTGAGTTCACTATTTCATTACTTCCACCAAACAAATACTTATCCACCACTGTGGAGTCTGGTTGGTATATTACACCGATCTTTACTACAACAAGGGCACCAGAGGTGGTCGTGAATTCCAGCTGGTTGATCCGGGAAGGCTTAGAAAAGACTATGATCAAGCTAGGACCAAATGGTGCAGTGGATGTCCAAGGCTGGTCCGCTGGAATTATTTCTGATGGGTTGTTGGATGCATACCGTGAAACATTCAATTCAGGAATCTTGTCCATGTCGTAGTTACAGTACACTGTGGGGTTGTACCAAATTGATAAATAAAGGTGACGTTTTCATTATATCACCGTATTCAAGGTCTAAAGAAAAGAGTGGGCTTTAACAAACGATAATGTTAAGTTAATTTGCCATTTATTTTGAAAATCATGTATAACATCTTAATCGCAAACATAAACCAACAATTCAAAGGGTGTTCATGTTGCTAAGTATTTGATAATAACATGATTGAACACATGAAAAGGTGACTAAACTTTGATAAATATCAACAAATCCTGTCTTAAAAAAAAACAAAAACAAAACTGACGTTAGTTTGTAACAACACATGGCTGTTTTTTGGCAATGTTCTGGTGACATCTAGAGTGCGTTTAATTATTTCCCCTGCGCTTACTCATGCAAGCGCGACAGCATTCGATTTATCTCTCACGTGACTTCTCCCGCTTACTAGAGCCTGGCCCAAGTAACTGCCTCGCCGAGCTGGTTACATGGGTAGGTATCCCATAAGGCCATGCAATAAACATGGCTGCTGACGGGCGCCTCAGGCCGTGTCCGAAACGGGCGGAAAAAGTGTTGCAACCTGACGCCACTTTTTCCTTCATATATCATCTCAACGAAGGTCATTAATTGTAAAAATTACGATAAGATGTGAATCTGGGATTGAGAAACATTTCCAATTTTGTTAGGAAATACTTTAAAAAAAATTCTTGACTCTCCATAGACTTTGTACACAAACCGCTGTCAGGTTGGCGTCAGGTTGCAACATTTTTTTCCAAAACGGACTTTTCAATGGGCTGCCAGAGCTACGGCTACGTCTATTGTCAGCGCGCCCCTGCGTATTTTCAATGGGCGTGGACCTAGACCTAGCTCTAGACAGTTGATTTGGATGCAGCCTGTGTCATATCAAAGTTCAACTTTCCAGCTCTTGCATGAACTTTACCCGAAACTGTTCCGTTTATTTAGCTCCACTGCGCATGTCTGTCATCACGCGAGGAGCCAGGTGCGAGTAAGCTGGGGAAGTAATCCAACTCACTCCTAGCATGTAGAGTTACATGCAAGTTTCATTCGTTTCGGATGTGTTGTTCTGTATCTTTATATCTTTGTAACTATTCATAAGATGGAATTTAAATCAGGGTTCAAATTACGATATTAGGTTTTGACCTTCACCGACCTATAAACACTGTATACTCAGTACGTGTGTTACCAGCCAAACAATCCCGGCAAGCTCGGTGGTTGAGTGGTAAGACGTCTGCACTAGAAAGCAGGATATTGTGGGTTCGAGTCCCACCTGAGTGATTTTTTTCTCAATTCCTCTCAGGGGGGTTAACACACACTGAGTACACAGTGTTAATAGGTTGGTGAAGGGCAAAACCTAACATCAAATATCTATGACCAAACGCTTGAGAATAAGTTGTTAGACAGTTGTGTTTTGTCTGTCAGGGTCCCCAATATTATACTAGCAAGGTGCTAGCTGTGTATTGTGTTTTTTAAACTAATTCCTGGCCTCGACCTGTCTAATACCTAGACAGTTGAATTCAGACAGTTATTTATACACCCAGTGAAATGCATGCATTACGTTTCCATAGAGAGGGCCAAATCCCAACCATATTGATGGGGAATCATCCATTATTAGAGTGGGGATATCTTTGGCTTGTGTGGCAGGTCTAAATTTATCTTGTATATTTTTCATGTATGTAATGTATAGTGTATTAAATAGGAGTAGCTCCCCTTAGTAAAAAGAAAAATCATTTTTGTTTTAGTTTAGATGTCCCCCCTTTCTTGGTAGTGTGTCCCCCTGGTTGTTTACTTAAGCCCACTATTCCCCCTATATAAGCTGCCACATGGTCAAGTCACACTTCAGTTCAACTAGCAGACCGACAGAGGCAACTTCATAGTATACCGGTATCTTATGTTCCTCCTAACTGGAGTGGTGTGTCCTGTTTGAGCTCTGTCTGCTCGAGTCATTTGATTTTATTCCTGCTTGAGTGTTCTTTGAAAGATCCACTATTCACACTGTGTTGGTTTTAGATTTTAGGGTTTAATTTTCAATTTCTTGGTTTTAAGGTTTAAGTCTCAACTTCTTGGTTTCAGGTTTTTGTAAATAAATTATTTTTGTTCCTTTTTTTTTTTTTAAATCTAGAACTTGTGTCTGTGTCTCTATTAATTCAATTTCCTCGCGACAGTTCCCTTCGAAGATCCTGAGTTTAGTACATTTCATTAGTTAATCCCCATATAGTCTTAGTTTGTGTGAGTTTGTGTGAGTTCCCCCAAGTGTGTTTTTGAACAATTTTCATCAGAAATATTACACTCAGTGGTAATTTAGACAAAATAATGTCAATTTTTTTTTTTTTAATAATGTGATGCATGGGATATCAAAAAGACCGTGGAATCAGCTTTCGACCCCTCAAGCAATCGTTCCACTCCTGACTGTGTCGCGTGCATTCACCACACGTACATTCACGTGCACCGAGACCGGTTAATGCCAGGTATAATCAATATTTCATAACCTTCTGTGTTCTTAGCCAATCACAATACTCTGTCCAATTTTAACAGCAAGTCCCATGCGTTGTGTACAAACCAGGGTACAGATTATTCAAGTCTTAAATTGGGATTGATGTACATGCATATTCGAGCAGAGGTGGCAACACATAACCTCGGACGTCAACACTATGCAATATATGGTACATGTAGTGTCAACACTGGTGGTACATGGTAGCGCGGCGGCACAGACAAACTAAACCCGATCAATTACCAACTTGTTTTCAAGTCTATGACTTAAAAAACTCATTACAAAAAAGAATTTTGAATTCAGCATGTTGCATTCTCATCTATAACACATTCCTGTATGTGTAAATTTTGTGTAAATAACAAACTTTCAAACCCAATTGGCTTTGTTGTTCTGTAGTTATAGGTCAATGAAAGATGCACCTCTAATATGACATCACATGACACATGGTGACGTCAACATGGCATCACTTGTCGTGGCACAACTTTGCTATGGAGTCTATGCCTATGTTTAGTTGCATTTATAAATGAATAAGTTCAAAAATCCGGTAAAGAAAACATCTGAACAAAAGCAAAGGCTTTTCCTTAAAGGTACAGTCAATCATTTGTAACATGTGCATTTTGTTCGTTTGAAGCAACAAACGTGCTTAAAATCTACAGCAGGGTGCTTAAAGGAATGTACATTTGGTTTGCTGTAATTTTCAGAAATAAGTGCATTTGGAGGATTAGTATGTTATAGCAAATATTGTTAAACTGACTTGTTTCATGTTTTGGGCTCATAGATGCTGGGAAACCAAGAAAACCAATCATGTTCTTGTAGTTTGGTTCCTTGAGTCCACTTAAGATGAAATGGAGCAATTTATAGACTTGAAGGAATTGTAAGGTCAGAGAATCAGTCTAGCAGGCTAGTACCCCTTTCACAGGTAATAAATTGCAAAGAAAATGCAGAATAACTAATTATGAAAAACTAGGAGCAGCTTTTGAAAAAAAGCCAGTTTTATTGAGTGCTGGTTGGCCAACCAGCGTTGGAAAAATACCATATTTCTTGAAAACGTCAGCTCACCAGGTGCCACGATTTTACAGGATGCTTAAGACTGTCATTGCCTAACAATCTAATAAGATATGTCTTGAGAATTTGATCACTTTGTTTTCTGATGTTTGCAAATGTTGTATATTCCCTTTAACAGCTAACCTGATGAAGTTTCATCTCAGTTTCAGCTGTATATTTCAAGAAAAACAACATTCTAGGATCTCGATTTCAAATCAAAAGTTGCTGAATCATGTTTTGAATTGGGCCTGGATTCAGCGTCTGAGACACGTTCTCACTGAGTCGACTGCAGCTACGCGATGTCGTTCACTGATCCGATGAATTAATGCAACCAGGCGAGTGTGTGCGTTGTGTCAACGCTTGCGCAAGCTTCACCAAAATAAAAAAGAATTACTAACCGAAATTTCCAACAATGCATCTTTAGATGCATCGTTGGAAAGGCCTTCTTTTGTTGATTTCTTCAAAACGACAGCTTGCCGGAAAGAATAATTTCAAAGGGAGTTTAGTCCCTTTACTATCTTTCAACCAACTATGTTTTTCAACACTAATTATGTCAGTTACTTTTAGGATAGCTGCATATGATGGACTGTAGCTTTAATGTTCATAGAAAAGCCCAAAATCACTACAAAAACAAAGGCTGTTTTGGTAAACTGTTGAAACAGGCAAAAACAAATTGTAAAAAGAACAGAAATCTATCTTACCAGGAGTAATGGTTGTAACAAGTTCTGTTGTGGTTGTAGTTACTTCATGCTCTGTGCTGGAAAGAATGGTTGTCCTTGTAGCTGTTCAAACACAAAATCAAATAAGGTCAGGAGTGATTTTGTCTGCCTTACATCAGTTTTATAGATTTGTGATTTTCCAATTTGTCATTTTTGAAATGACAAGAATCGAACAAGCAAGCTTTGATCCATTTACCAGCTTTTACATTTTGCAGTAGTTTTTACACACTATTACAATGCTCTTACTTGTGGTTGATGGTGCTGAGGTTGTTAGCCTACACCTTGGTGAAGTTGTATCTGGGTAACATGTGATATTGTTGAATAGGCATCGGCATTTTTCACACTCTTGGTTGCTATCCCATTCTTCTTCAGGCTGTTTACAGAAAAAAAAATCAACTCAATAATTGTAGTCTGAGATAAGATGCAGTAAGGACATGTTTAGCTTGAGGCCTGTGGATTGACACTAAATACTTACCCGTAGAGTATTACTACATATGCATTATTTCCTAGGGGGCGCAAGCCATACGCTAAGATTTATTACCCACAGTACCTTGCCACCAGCCCGCAATACTTCCTCCAGGTAAGTATTCACTAGTAGAATCGGCCCACACCTTGGTTGGGGGGGGGGGGGCAGCGTAGGAGGAACCGTATCCAGTTGTGCCGCTGGGGCAGTAGAGAGTGCTGCACGACCAGTTTTGTCATTGGCTTGCAGCACATCCTTCAGATAACAGGAGGTAAAGGTGTTGGAGGACTTCCAACATGTCACTTGCATGATATCTGCAAGGGACACTCCTTTGAAAAAGGCCCAAGAAGTCGTCACGCTGCGAACTTCAGGGGCGTGAACTCTGTTCTGGATAGGCCAGTCAGACGATGTGAGTCGTATGGCCTTCACGACTCAGCGAGCATTTGTGTCGCGGGACGCTGGACGATGTGGTGAAACCGTAGTTATAAACAGTTCTTGCTGGTCACTGCGGATCGATGAGGTTCGATGGAGGTACCACTTGAGGGTTCAGACAGGACACCAGAACTTATCCTCTGGGACAGAGGAGAAGGAACAAAGATGTCAGGTGGGGAGAATGTAGCCGACTGGTTCTTTGTGAGCAAAGAGCGATGGGGGATCAGGCAGACCCCACTGGGTTCCCAATGCAAATGTCAGGGCACGGAGTTCACTCATGCGGCAGGCTGTAGCTGCCCTCAGGAGGAAAGCCGTTTTCAAGGAAATGTTCATTAGAGTAGCTAGGCTGAGAGATTCAAAAGGAGGACAGGCAAGAGCTTGTAAGACCTGCCCTAGATCCGTTGACGGTAGGGGTGGTCGAGAAACATTCATGCCTCTGAGGTGTGTGAGGGCAGTGCAATGGTTAGAGTTGTAGTGAATGGATCCACCGCACACCATCTGCACCATTTATAGAAATGCCTTAGTCCGCTGTCATAAACAGTTTGGGTTGACCAACATCGACTATGGGCCGCGATGTCAGCAGCATCCTGAGAAATTCCAGTGTGTCTGAAGGAGCGCTCGACGATGGCCAGCATGCCAGGTGAAGTGCCCGCCAGATGGACTGCTCTGAGACAGACCACATGCTGGCGACACCAGTGCAGTAGTTGCCATGTTAGTAGGCGTAGGCTTGGGGAATGTGTCCCGCCTTGCCGGTTGATGTAGGACACCACAGTTGTGTTGTCGCAGCGGATGAGAACAGATTGACCCTGCACCATGTGTTGAAATTGGTGAAGGGCATTGAGGACCGCTGTCAGTTTGAGAAAGTTGATGTGGGGGGTTGTCTGTGCCAAAGTCCATGAACCTGCCGTTTCATGAGATTCCATCACCCTGCCCCAATCCCAGCAGTGACGCATCTGTCGTGATGGTCACAGTGGGCCGAGGGGGCTTCAAGGAAAAGCCCTGATTGAAGTTGTCTGGTCTGTAGTTGGAGCGGGTGGATATGTATAGGCGACACAGCGGAACTAAGTCTGTAGGGTTCACCAAAAGGGGCCGAGGAATGACAACCAAGCCAACGCTGAAGCTGTTGGTTGAAGTAAGAGGAAGGAAGCGCATTGACAAACATTGTCTATTTGCTCCTACGTCGGGTAAGCCGTGCCTTGTTGTAGATTGAGGACGGCACCTAGGTATGTGGGCCATTGAAATGGGATTGGCTTGGATTAGGACTCATTGATGAGAAAACCCAGGCCTTCTTGCGGGCCCCAGGCAAGGGAGCGGGACTGATGGACTGAGTGAGCAGCTGCCGCCTGCTATTAGCCGATAATGGGCCAGTCGTTTAGGTACATGAACACCTGTAGACCTTGACGATGGAGGGCACTGGCTAGTGTCTACACAATTCTGTTGAAGACCCGAGGGGCCGTGGACAAGCCAAAAAGAAGGGCTTAGAATTCGTATGTGGTACCTTCGTAGGCAAATCGAAGGAACCTGGTGTGGTCTACATGGATTGGAATGTGCAGATATGCATCCGTGAGATCATGGGAGGCGGCCTGGCAAGGGAACTGCAGAGAGTCGATGACAACCATGAGAGTGCCCATGCGAAATGGTGGGGTCTTATGAAGCGGTTGAAGGGCCGTAGATTTAAGATCGGGCGCCACAACCCTGTGTTCTTCTTGGGTGTCAGGAAGAACGTTGAATGGAACCCCTGAGGTTATAGCCAAATGAGTGGCACCATCAATGTTTTGGAGCGTCTTCTTGTTACGGTTCTGTGCAGCGTCTGGGAACAAGAATGTAGTCAAAGCCCGATGACCAGAATCAGAGGCCAGTTTATCACGCACTTAACCAGCAATGGTATGGGCTTGGTAAGATACTGGGAAGTCTTGTATGTTGGGAAGGAAACTCAAGTGGTGAATATGAAGATGCAGTTTGGGTTTGTCAAACACAGAATGAATCTGTTGTAAGCAAACAAGATCGCAGGGAACCATTGGGGTGGGATTGGGAGTGACTAGCGAGTCAGGAGCCATTAGTCGTTTAAAAGGTGTTTAAAAAAAAAAAAGAAACCCAACCTCAAAGAATGAGTATGGACAGATGATATGTTTACAGGCTATAAAACTGGTATCATCTGAAAGTGTCATCTCTCTGGTTTTCAATGGTACCGTGTTTTCTGAGTCATGCATCAATGAGCATCATTGTTTTGAAAACTGGATGCAAAAATGCAGTTGGTTCACTTTCATAAAAAAAAAAAACCCACTGGGCACAGTGTGCATTTTGTTACGGAAATGTCTGTGAAATGGCTTGAATGTTAATCCTCGGGAAAATGGGAACATTGTTTTGAACATGGCTTGGGCAAAACGAGAAATTCATGGCAAACAATAAAATCCAGTTTGAAGCCAACCTGACTTGTTTTTTGGTTTCTTTTCTTCTTCTTGAATACTTATTCTCATGCACACCATGTCTATTGTGTTTGACATGAAAGTGAACCAAGTGCAATTTTGCATCCAAATCTCATGACAGTGGCGCTCAGTGAAGCATGACCCTAAAAATGTAAACAAGGTATCATTGAAAAGGATAGAGATTACGCTTTCAGATGATACCAGTTTTAAAGCCAGTAAACACTTAGTCTGTCCATACTGGTTCTTCAAAGTTGGGTTTCCTTTTTATTGAAACACCCTGTACAGGTTCAGAAAACTCCAATACATGTGTCATGTCTCGTTGTACCAAGCGATAGAGCATGGCCATGGAAGCTGGCATACTCGAGTCTTCTTCATGTTCGAAATTATCACGCTTATTGGATGGTGACCTAGGTAAGGGGAAAGTGGCTTGCAACTCATGCAACACTTGCCCCGCATAAAGTCTCACTTGTTTGGTACAGCAAAAACTGCCGGTTATAACACGGTAGTGCCAGGTAAATAACCTTAGTCATTTTGAAGACAAAGACTCCAAATAGTCAGTGCAACGTGAGGGATTGGCTAAGTAGCGAATATCACACTGATGGGTCGGTTAGTAGCATAGAGCTATATTAAATTACAAGAGCGCTAACTTTGTGTACAAAGTAATGCCTGCTGGGCGCATCCATGTTTGTGCACAAACCTATGGAGACCTAGAAATTTTGTATGGCTTTTGTACGGCTATTTGCATATCTGCGTTTGTATTCCATACCATTGCGTTATCAAAGCCAATATGCTCAAAACCGAAACGCACAATCAGCAAATGAGCGTGTCATTTTGCTCTACGCAAACAGCGCAATGTATGCATGTATTCGCTGCAGATGCTTTTTGCCGTCACGTTTTTTTTAACCATCAATGATGCGCTTAAGTTGTTTGCGGTGTTCTACTTCCGCGTTGCATGTAGAGTACACTTTCAAAATTCAATCCATCTAATTTCATTATGTTCTACAAACACGCAAATGAATTCAAAATGTTTACACCCAGGATGGCTTCAAAGCGTCTCCGCGTGCAGAATGGCGAGTTAGCACTCTAGTAATTTAATATAGCTTTATGGTTAGTAGTGGGTTAGTGGCTTGCAACTCGTATGATACTCCCCCCCCCCCCCCCCCCACCACACAGAAACCTGTGTGAAGCCCCACTTGCTCAGTACGACGTGAGCTACTTGCAGCCTGTACTAAGCCTCACTTTAAGAAGTGGTCATGTGAATGTGGGAAGCGAGCAGCCTGCAACCTGTGCGAAGCCTTGCTAGATGGGTACGGCGTGAGCTACTTGCAACCTGTGCAAAATGTCAGGCACACGGTCTGGTACCGCAAGAACCGCTTAACAGGAGTGAGGGACTGGCAACCTATGCTGTGCAAGGACTCACTCCAGAAATGTACTCGTAACGACCAAAGAAACACCAAGAAAAACTGACCAAAATAGTACCAAAACTTACTCAACTTGTAGAAACAACAACAGAAGACAAATAGTAGAATAAAGCTATGAACTTAGCTATATAAATGGCTGAGGAAAGACTTTGAAAATTTTGCAAAGCAAGAGCTCTGCAAATAAACATCTTTCACGAAACGTCACTAAGAGAAAAGAGAAGTATGGTGAGCGGGCCGCAAGGTACTGTGGGCAATAAATCTTAGTGTATTGCTGGCGCCCTCTAGGGAATAATGAAAATGTAGTAATACTCTACTGGTAAGTAGAGTGCAGTAGAACCCTCAAGTACAACTACTTCCTCATTTATTCGGAGACCTGAAACGTTGCATACAAAATGGCAGCTCATGTAAAATATTTTTTTTGGCGGGGGAATAATCTTTGCTTTGGTCCTTTAAAATATATCATGTATTTGAAAACATATCATAATCTTTGTTTTAATCAAAGGCGTGATGGGGATGAATGCCCAAGACAAAACGACTGATGAGAAAATGTGACTCTATCAAAATCTTGTGAAATGAAAATCAACAGGACACCTACAATTTTCCCCATGAATAACACTGTATCTGCATAAGAAATTGTCAAAGTGAGCATTTGCCAAACTGAAGAATGAAGTTTGCTCTTTCCACTGGATGTTATTTATTGTTATGAAAATGCAAGTGAAAAATGTCTTCAATATTCATTTGTTGGTTCCAGTAACAATTGTCACCTTCCTACCTGTCTGAGTTGACCATTTTCATCGAGACAAGGGCAGTCCTTCGGTGGTACACACTCGGTCCCGTTATACACTGTTCCAGGCATGCAATCACAGCATATGGTAATCTGGCTGATCGGATCAGTTACTTCAGTCCTGTAGCAGTTACCATCTATGCATGCACGCTGTTGACAGGGTATGTTGCAGTCAGCAGGTTTCAGGCCCATCGGACAAGCTACCATAAAAAAAGGAAGGGGTGTATATGATGAATACATTTCCACAAGCAGGAGAAAACCTGTGCTATCAGGGGTATTAATCATGAAACCTGTGGTAGAACAAATAAAAGCAAACTCCTCAATAGGGCTGAGGTACATTTCTGTATGAAAGGACATGAAGAAATAGGATGCAACATGCCTTTTTTCATTAAATAAAGAAATGAATTGAAAGGAAAAATACAACTTGCATTACATTTATAGCCCATGTACAGGAAAGGCCCATGATTGCATAATATTGCATGTATTAAAAAAGCAACAATCAATGTACTCACTCGGATTTGGAGGTGGTGGTGTTCCCTCTGCGAAAAAGAAAAAGAAAAAAAGTGCAAAAAGTAAATCTAGTTACACAAAACTTACGTCAAAGGGAGACACAATCAAAAGTACCCATTGAAGAGACTCCCTAATTGTGTTGAAGTCCCCCTGCATGTCCACAGCCCTCGGTTCTGGTTGAATGATCGTATCGGAATGGGTGGTACTACTAGGAAATGCTCATACTCTGCCTGGGCGATCTGGTAGTATTTCATTTTCCTTGCACGAAAGGGTCTCCCCATTTTTGCACTCGCGAGTTTCTTCATGCGTTCAGTGCACACCATGTCCAATGGTAAATAAGGAAAGAGTGGGTCCTGAGCTAAAGCTTGGGAGGAGCCTGTTCTACACCTGAACTATTTACTTTCAGGCTGACCGGCTTCATCCACTGTTGGTATTTTCAATACTCAGGCCATTTCCCTCTGTAACAGACGGAGTTGCATCATGAAGGGAGACAGGTCCCCTGGGTCAGGAAAATCATCGGACTCCAAACAAGTTTTGTCCGAGGATGATTCGTAGTTTGGTTTTGCATCACTCCACTCCACGTTTTCAGCACTGTTCTTGGTCTTGTCAGAGAACTGCGAAGATGGTTGGATTGAAATGGATGCATAAGGAATTTCATGCACCTCCTGTGTAACTCCTGAAGTTGAAGGCACATATCTGAATTATCTTGAACCCTCGGCATGGAAGTGTTCTCCCGATTTGGGTATTTTGGATTTTGTTCCACATAAGGGAGGTAAAGACTGGTGGGGCTCTTTGTGCAGCAAGAGCAGATATAGAGTCACTGATAGTCTGAAAGGCTATCATGAAAACCTTGGTAGATACCTCTTTTCTCTTCTGCAAATGACAGGAATGTCCATCGGAAGAGTTGCCTGAAGAGGACGATGAAAATCGGTATCGACGCTTGTATTTTTTAGCGTGTTTCTTATCTTTCTTCGGGGTACAACTTGCAACACCGCCCTGAGTACTTGAAAGACTAAGCACTTGAACTCCAGAACACTGATCAAAATCTGAGCTAGATGCCATGCCGCTCAAGGATGGTTGGGCCAGCGGTAGATCGTCCATTGGTAGAACAGGGGCCGTGGAATTACCGCCAGGACCTCGGGATTTCCCCCTTGTGTCCTTGGAGGATTGGGTTGATCCATTTGATGGTACTATGGTCAATAAGCCAGCAGGTTCCATGGTGTGCACGTGCTATCCGTGATCTTTTTCTTTGGTTTGGGACAGCTGGTAGTTGTTTTAGTGTTCGTTGGTTTCTTTGCTGGGACTTTCCAGCAATTGTTTACCCATAGCGGCGTCAGTCCGCACACTCTCCGCTGTGGGTTCCATTTTATCGGGGGACTATTCCCCTGTTTGCTGCATAAGGCCATAGAAAGGAATACACTGTACTCGGTTGGAAGCACCACAAAAAAGCACTAAAAACAAGGTCTGCTTTCGTTGTAAATGGGTGCGTTGTGACACAACCACTGCACACAGGAATGTAATTAAAATAATAATTGCGTCACTCGCTCACATGTCTGACGTGCTGGTATAGTTAGACGGCTGTTCTAGGAGTAAAAATAAAATCCACCATGGCAAATTGGACGTATTCCTATTAGAATAGGATTACGTACCGGTACATATGCCACTAGCGGTGTATGCTCCCTGTTTCTATCCACTATTGACCAAAGACCACTGATGTGAAAGCAGTAAACGCCCAAGGAAAAAACTGTTGCTTCCTAGCTGTGAAAGGATTAACTTTGTTCTCATCTGCTACTGACCAAGCCCGCTGTGGCAGGAACGACCATGCCCCAAGAAGAAGTCGGTCTCTTCTCAAGAAAAGAGGCAGATTCAGTATGGCGGCAATGCCGTATGGCATTGTGGGTGGGTACCAAGAGGCATATTATTGTGGAGTGCCCCAGCCTCGTGGTCTGGGGCATTGAATTTGTGGTCTGCAGGTAATTCTGCGGGTTGTGGGTTCAAGTCCAGCCTGGGTTAAGGTACGTATGCTCTTGGACAAGGCACTCTGTCACTCATTGCTTCTCCCCACCAAGGAGTAAAATGGGTACCTGTGAGGACAGAGATGGTTATTGTGATTGTATAAGCTTCCTTGTGCCTCACAAGCTGCATCGAGCTGTATACTCCCCAGGGAGCTGAGATGGTATTTGGAATGTTTCATTGTCCCAATGATCAGGGGTATGTAAAGCATTTTTATCTTAGTCAAAAGCGCTATATAAAAACCTGTTATTATTATTGTGCGATTAAACGCTTAGTGAATTGGCCTGCCGGTAAAGGGTAAGTGGAACGAAGTAGACCCTCAAAGTTTTGTTCCAAAGCTAAAAGACAGCCATCAATTTCCTCCATAATACATGTACCAGTAAAGCAGAGAAATAAAGTAAAGGGGTCCTTCCTGTGTGTTGCACAGGACAACAGTGATGATACCGAAGCAATCACTAAACCACGTTACCCCCCTTTTTTGTCCACTTCAATTTTTTTTAAAGTAGAATCTTTTTGAAAATGAGAAGCCCTTTTGGAAGTCAACATACATAAGAGCGGTTAACAACCTATTTCTCAATATGCACAATGTTGTTTCCACAAACAATTCGAGAACTAGGTAATAAAAACTTTAACTTTATTCATGGTACTTACTGATTGTTGTGGAACTGGGTGATGTTGCAGTGGGCGGTGGTGTGGTGGTGGCTGCATTAGGATGAACCATTGATGAATATTGATTTATATGGCAAAGAAAACTTGTTATCACCACAAACAAAGCCAGCAAAAGCAAACAAAGGAAATATTTAAAATTTACGACAACAACATTATGTTCCACTAGCATGCAAAAGCTGAAGGCTGCATTAATTAATTTTTTTGCAAAATAATATACAAATATAACATGGTTTGAGGGTTGACAGTCGATATTAGCTCCCGTCGGCATTGGAAGTTGACAGACTAGTTCCCGAGGCAAAAGGTCTTGTACAGGTCTCTGAGCCAGAGTACTCGGCAATCTCAAAAGCAATTCCTCAAATCTTTGTTCCAAAGCTAAAAGAAAGCCATCAATTTCATCCATAATACCAGTAAAGCAGAGCGGTAATTATAAAAGGGGTCCTTCCTGTGTATTGCACAGGACAACAGTGATGATACCCAAGTGATCACAAAATCATATGATCACTTTGGCACCAGCAAATCTGGTCCTAGCTCGACAGTTACGTCATCATTTCTCCTGAGACTACAGCAATATAATTTTCAAACATTTTTTTTTGTAGCAGGGAAAATTAACACTATTTCAAACTACATATAAAAATTGCCATGCTTATTTTTGTCCACTACAAATTTTCCTTATAAAGTATAATCTTTTTGAAAGTTGGAAGCCCTAAAGGAAGTCTTGAAACATCTACAAGAGTGGTTAACAACCTATTTCTTAATATCAGAGTTTCCACAACTTGATAGATAGGCTCCTTGACCACTTTTAGTAATATTTGAAACCTAAGGAATAAAACTTATATATTATAAATGGTACTTACCGATTGTTGTAGGTGCAACGGTAGTGGGCGGTGGTGCAGTAGTTGCTGCATTAGGAACAATTGATAAATATTGATTTATATGGCCCAAAAAAGCCTTTTTATGGATATCACCGCAAACATGGCCAGCAAAAATAAACAAAAAGGAGATGGATTTACAATTAGAACATTATGTCCCCCTAGGATGTAAAAGACGAAGGCTGAAGTAATTTTTTTTTTAAAGAATATGTAATGGGACACAACAATGTTTATGAGTTTTTTTTCTTCAGATATATTCAAAGTACATCAAATGTAGTTGGAAACACCATCCCTGTCCCAAATGAACCTCCATTTAGTCTACAACTAAGGAACAATCAACCACTTTTACGACAATGCAATACTTCATATTTGCTACACCAAAGGCATTTGTGGTGGGTTCAAGCAGTCTGTGGTGCAAGATATTTGCAGTAGGTCTGCACACTCTGTGCTGCCAGACATTTGTGCGGTCTTTTAACAATGTATGGAGAAACTCCAAAACTTCTGCTAAAGGTTTGATTTTTGATCAAACAAATATCACTCTGATCTGACTTTGCCACAACTTGAGGATACAGACTTATCGGCTGCATATTCTGGCTTGGTAGGGGGTTGTTAGGGGTTGTTGCCAGGAAAAATTGTATTCACTGCAAAATAATAAGGAGAAACCTATTCATCTTGTTCAACCCTGCAGTGGATGCTGCTGTCTTGATCACTTTAGATTCCAGTTTATTTACTTTCAAGGCATCCTTTATGTCCTTGACTAATTTCCACCAAAAAGGTGACTCATCAATGGCAAATTTTGTTTGTGTCTTTCAAATGTTTTGTAAAGCAGTTCATTAAATGCATGCTGTTTTGTAAGAGCCAGACTCTGGCTTGCAGACCCAAGCAGTATCAGTGCTGAAGTGACATGATCATTAACCATACATGTACATGGGTGTCGACAGTCTGGGCAGAATAGATCCACCAAGCATAAAAAAGATGGTTACGAGGCAAAGCTGCTTTCAGCAGGTGATTATGAGAGTTTTTCTTCTTGTCATCATGAGTAACCAAAGACGCTCGAGCTTACTTGAAGGATGCCTTTACCAGACCTAGTCATTCCGGAGCCTTGAAATGTAGTATATGGTTCCTGTTCAACAGGTACTTGATTGGGGCTCTTCGAACTCTTTAAGTCCCAGTTTGTTTCAGCACAGATCTTCCCACCAGGTAAGAACTTTATCCGTCACTGAAATATCCGATGCTTTGTGATGGGGGTTAAAAAAAACCACACCACTTAGATTGTAATGTTCCGGTGTGGTTTCTGTGTCGCCACCAATCTCTGATCATGCCTTCCGACACTTACAGATTCCAAATTCATACCATCTCAAAAGCTGGAACTACCAACCCAAACGAACGGACTCGCTGGCGGAGGAAGTGAGAGTTATCCAGGGGTAAAGGGATTTTCCTAATATCTATGTTACATCTGCTGGGGAGCGTAAGGTGGCCACGCTGTTGTGCGGAGTTCGGACACAGCCAATATGGCGGAGGCAAGGGCACTGCCACATTAAATTGCCGCTGCCCTCTAGCGCTGCTTGCTGCAGGTGGAAAATTCCATTGTTGAACGGGGAAGAAAGACGACCCAAGACGAGGTCTGTCCAGACTTATTTTACTTTTTACCACATGTTTAGTTTGTGGTGCTCTGGACACTCAGGGCATGGAAAGAAGACACTCCCGAGCCTGTGCTGAAATTGAGGAGAGGTGGCCCGCTTTCCACTTCTTCTGCAAGTAGTTCACCAGCCCAAGGCGGGGAAGCAGCTGGAAGATTATGCACTTGTTCAACCCGAGGCAAGGTTGATTAGGCTGAGGATGAAGGTCTCAAACGACCAGGCATGTCTTTAGCCTGCTACTTATCCTTGATTTTCACTTTCTTGGTTGACATATCAGAGTGATAAATGTAGAGAAATTTGAACTGGGTGTAGCTAGCTAGGATTTGTCGAAGACAGGCAACTGAAGCTTTAGTGAAAATACGTGTGGGCTAAACCATACCACAAGAAACAAAGATATACTTCAGTGGCTTCACAGGGGGCTTATACCTGCATGCTAGGGCTAATTTGCTCAAAGCAATCTGGAATAAAAACAAAAAGCATATTAGGAATAAAGAAAAATGATTCCCTCAAATACTGCGTTGTAATTGGCTGCTACCCAAATTGGTAGACATGGTAGATTAGCTCATATACTGTGTTAAACACCCGGTAGAATGACCCAGTCTGATTTTCTGAGCTCACATGAGAATAAAATGTACATTTGTACTTGTTGGTCTGGCACCGCATGATGGCATGCGTGATGTATACACAGCTCATATGCACTACATATTGCACAGACCAAGCAAACCCCAAATTTAACCAAGTCTAGAGTATAATTCGTCGTCTCAGGAAAGGTCTGTAGCAACTTGATTACATTTGTACATTCCTTACAAATACCGCACATTCTTATTTGGAACTTGTACGCATGCGCACCAAGTACTCAGCACACAACATTTGGAGTCTGGATGCCGGACGATTTCCTAAATGCAGTGTACATGGAAAAATGCTCTGACTTTTACAGGCTTCTAAACAGTTTGCAATCAGTCTTCGGAAATGAATGACACGTTGTGATTGTTGAGTAATTTCCCTCGAGTTATTCTTTGAGACTTCGACAACTTTTACATTTCATTTGTGAATATTGACCGTTATCCTGTGAGTTTTGTGGCTTGTGCTCGCCGAGGATTTTGGACCGTTTTTTTTTGTACGAACTTCTTGGAACCACATGTGTAGAGATTTCACACTCAGCTGCAGGCTGACGGTCAATGCACCAGCGTGGGAGAAGTTTTCACACCGCTTTGCTGTACCTTGATGATTGAACTCAAAGTCCCTGGAGTCCAGGTATTTATTGATTCTGACACACGATTGGTAAGTGTTTATAATTTACATCATCATACAGGTTAAAAACCTCTTCATTGGTGACCCTGACGTGATTTGTATCAACTTGTTGTTCTCATCATCAAACTTTAAATACTGTTTTTAATCACTGCACTGATGAGTTCCATTAAAGAACCGCCCACCACCTCGTGTCCCCCCCCCCCCCCACCTCTAGTCATGCCAGTTGCTGCCGTTAGTCTCAAACTACCCCCTTTCTGGTCAAACGACCTGACCCTGTGGTTTACACAAGTGGAAGCCTAGTTTGCTACTAGAGGTATCTCAACACTGGAGACAAAGTTTGCCTATGTCGTGGCATCTCTTCAGCCAGAGATTGCGCAGGAAGTCCGAGATCTATTCATCGATCAACCAGAGACCGAACGGAACAAAATTTTAAAAGCCGAGCTGGTTCGTTGTACTTCTGCATCAGAACAAAAGAAGTTACATCAACTGTTGATCTCCGAGGAGCTCGGTGACTGCAAACCCTCCCAACTGCTGCGCCGAATGAGACAAATGCATGGCGATGGTAAACTCGAGGAGAAGATCCTGAAACAGCTGTTTCTTGAACGCCTACCTCAGAATGTGCAACTCATTTATGCCTCCACCAGTGATGCCGTCAACATTGAACAGCTTGCAGATATTGCCGACAAGATAGTTGAAGTGGCCGTACTATGTGTATCCTCTATTGCTGCTGCCTCCATTTCTCCCCATGCTCCACCATCCCAAATGCAACAACTGCAGATGCAGGTTCAGCAGTTGACATCTGACCGTGGATGAGATCAACCCAGACGAGAAAGTCGTGACAACCCTCAATGTCAGTCGCTTAGTCCAAATGCTCAACGTCATGCAGCGGGCGAGAACTGGTTACCACTGCTGTTTTGGTAAGCAGGCAAAGAAATGCATCCCACCTTGCACCTTTCAGCTATCTCCCAGTACAAATGACCAGGGAAACAGACCAGCCACTACAGGCGACGAGCACAGCTGGTCATCAGGAGGGTCGCCTATTTTACATAACTGATCGAGTGGTTCAAAAATCTAATTGACACTGGAGCGGAGGTTAGCGTCTGGCTGTCAACAGTCCAGGAACGAGGCACACCTAGCAAACTCACCCTCCTGGCAGTTAACCAGTCCTCGATCGTCAATTATACAGTGTGTATCGGGGGTTGAAAAACGTAATTGGCAATTCTGTATCGGGCTGGAATTCTAGCGTATGGGGCCAATACACAAGTTTGTATGTGGGGAGAACCCTGAACACTGCATCCAATTATTTCAAAATCCTGTATCAGTCTGGTGTGGTACGGAGTCATGCTGGAACCCAATTATTCCTAAGTTTTTAATTAAGTTCGACCTGTAAAACATCGAAGAGTGACAACATGCTAAAGATCAACTGTTGCAGTCATTTAAATCAACTCATGACTCTATAATACATGGATTTATACATCAAGTTCACCTTTCTTAAAACAAATCTATTTGGGTTGACTTTAGTTGCACCTGATACTATTATTTTGGTGCGCTGTGGAGCACCAGATTGAATTGACCTATGATACACGGTGAGTGTAATGTAGCCCTTTCAATGCTTTGAACTGCTTTGAATCTTCTAAAGTGAACTTACCACAGTCCTCTTCATCGCTACCATCGTCACAGTCCTCTTGCCCATCACACCTCCACTCGATAGGGATACAGTAGGTGGAGTTGCACAGAAACTCGCCTGGACAAGGATCCTTGACACACTTTGGACAGCATTCACCCGGATCATGTACCAGTTTGTAACCCTGCAGAAGAATGATTAAACGGAGAATATGGATGAAATAGGATGGTGCATGGGCCATCACTTTGTGCGTGTGTAGTGTACTAGTTTGTAATCCTATATGAACATTATCCACAAGAAAGTACGTTAGGAAATAAAATGTCATTTGGGGCATCACTGTGTGTTTGTAACATTACAAGCTGATTTGCCAACAACTCTGCACCCAGAATTTAAGCAGCATCAGGCCCTATTTAATTTACAAACCTTCATCAAGCTAAACACTCCTTCAAAATTCATAAAAGAGAGGCCGAGTGTGTCTTTGCCATTACATTATAGACATGGATTTAAATGGGCCATAGAGGTTAATACTCATGTTCCTGCTAGTGAAACTCGTTCTGCACATTTGTGGAACCTAGAGGTAAAATCTTGTCTAAGGCACTGTAATGAAATGTAAAGAGGGTGTCTTGTAACTGGACTAGGACAAAGTATTTGGTTTATTAAATAAAAAGTCTAATGTACTTCTGGGCAGATGAGTTCCCCACATTCGATTTTAACGCAATGAAGGTACAGTTCATTTGTCCGTTGCTGGCATGTACACGTGCTGCAGTCATCATGCCAAGTCTCATTGACCTGCAAATGAGAAACAACAAATAAACAATTGCTTCTACAGTTTTGAAAGTAGTGTCTTTTCTTTCTTATTTGCAAAGAGTTAAACTAGAGACCAGATGGTTTAAAGTGGAAGTCACTCCTATTTCAGATAGAAATACTTAACAATAATAGTACAACTTTTATAACGCGCCTTAATCATAAATAAAATGCTCTAATAAGGCCCTACACATCGGATAAAAATTCCTATACAGATAATGAAAACCAATAGAGGATTACAATTAAAAAAATTTTTTAAAGACTTGAAGGAACTTGACATATTTAATTTAATGACTTTCAGTCTAAATCTTAACTTGGCCATATATTTCAGTCCGACAAAGTGAAAGTGCACTCAAACAGAAGTGAGAAACTTTACGGGTAAGTACTCGCTAGCACTTACCTGTTAGGGTGGTCTCACTTTCTAGAATATTACTATAGGCAGGTGGGTTCAAGCATATGATAAGAAAGAGTATAAGATGGCCAGTGGGGTGCAAGAAGTATACACGCTACTGGTAAAAACACCCACCTAGCTAAATAAACAACACACCAGTTGTGCTGCTCTGCCCGTGGGACAAGGGCTGCTCGACGGGTCTTGCCTTCGGACTGCAGCCCATCCCTTGAGGTAGCAGGTTGTGAACATGTTGGCAGACTTACATCATCATGCACTTTGTATGATGTCTGTAAGTTTTACGCCATTAAAAAAGGCTCACAAGATAGCTTTACCACTAACTTTGTGGGCATGCACTTTGCCAAGAGGTGGGGAGGATGTCAGGACAATTGGTAAATGTCGGCTATTAACAGTGTAGCAAAATCAGCTATGTGCTGTTGGCATCAAAACAGGGTGCTAGGTAGGCAGTGTAGACTTGGTTCTCCTATGCACATCCGCACATGCTAGGATTCTCTGCTACATGTTATGTCCGCAGCCAGGCTATAAAAACCGTGTGTATTACACACTCTCGTCCTCTCCCTCTCTCTCTTGGATGCGCTCGTGGAGCTACCTTGGTGAGATGCAGATCTGTAGTGACGAACACGGCCTGACAGTAACCACAGATTGCAGCCATCACATGTAAATACCATTTAAGGACAAGGACAGGCGAAACAAAGCTTGTCCTCTGAGACAGATGAGATGAGATCAGTTGTGTGTCTGACAGACTTGAATGAGGGGGCGGACAAGCCTCAAACACTGGCTGGCGAGGTCAGAACAGGGCGACAAGTAGAACCTGGCACCTCTTCTGCACTTGAGGGAGAAAAGAGATCTGGGGAAGGCATAATTAAGGCTAACAGCCTGGTACATGGTACAGAGATGATGAGGGTCTGACACGCCTGGCCCTCTGTGTATTGAGAACAGTACACTTGAAGCAAAATTTGTATTCTCTTGCAAACTGGCTGACAAAGGAGGTTCAACTCGGGCAGAGATTACCTGTATGACTGGGGACGGGGAGTCCATTCTGTGGGTCAGATCCACCCCCGGGACAGTGCATTGGCTGTTGTGTTGTCTGCCAGATGAAGTGCCATTAGAGTGACGGTGTGCTGGCTGCTCAGGGTTCTCATAGAAATCTTTAAATGAAATTCACTTGTCCAGGCCAAACTTCGGGCTTTCCAATACCAATTTGTATTTTGGGATCCTGCTGCTCTAGAGGCACGGGACACCATTCCCTTACAGTCTTCTAGTTAGATACAAGACCACTCATTACCACAAAACATCACAATGGTGCATTGAGCATATACACTCATAATAAGGAAGTACATGTATACAGTACACTGGACTGCAAATTGGAAGACTGCCATGGCCAAATATAACACATCATCATGTATTGGTTGTGCAGGGCTCCATGACTTTTCCATGACTTTTTTTCTTGGAATATCAATTTTCCAAGATTTTTCCATGAATGTGGGAACCCTATGGCACCACTGGAGTAACTGTTAAGTTAGAAAGCAGAAACTTGCAGGTGACCGAGTCCCATCCTAAACATCAATTTACAAGACCAAAATCATGGTGTCGCAGCACATAAGAATAGTTTGGCCCAATACCACATGTTGAAAATGGTGAAAAACATTACAAATCACTGTCATGTCCAGGATGTTAATGTGGCCATCAGCTTCTGCTGGAGTCCATGAGCCTGATGCTTGGTAAGAGACTGTGGTGACACAAATTTTGTACTGTTTTGCCTCTCATGGCACGCCACACCACATCAGTGTGAACACTTTCAGTGTGAGTATTAAATGAACATTATTTTAATCAACAACTGTACCCCACAAGACCATTACTGCACCCCAGCCCTACATGGAGGCCTCCATCATGACAGTCACTGTGGTGGGGTTAGATGCAGGAGAGGCCTTGTTTGATATTGTCCGGCTGGTGCCGGACAGAAGACTGGATGGGATCAAGATTAGAAATGGGTAAGATGGTAAGATGGTGCAGCTGGAGCAGAAAACACATACAATGGAACTACTTCTGATAGACTTGCCAAAAGGCCAAGAAACCATAGCCATGCAAGAGCTGGTGTGGTCGACAAACATTGGCTATTCGCTCTGGATTAAGTAAGCAATGCCCCGTTGTAAGTCGAATATGCAGGGGCGGATCCATGAATTTTTAATTTTTAATCAGCAAATCAGTGCTGAAATGTAGACAGTTTGTCCATAAAATCAAAAAGTGTGGGGGGGGGGGGGGGGGGGGGGGCGGTACCATTCTTCCTATGGGGGCGCTGTTCAAATCTGACGATCAAGCACACAATATCACACACTAGTGTACAAATAACCCCCTTATCCCCATTGGCTATGCCTCTGTGTCTGAGTGTTGCAGACAAGCAAACATATAGGTGATTATTATTAGTAACCCAAAGTGTGGACCATATAAAGACTTGTTTAATTAAAGGTGAGAATGCCTATATAGAATGCCCAGAAACTATCAGGGAACCCTTTTTGTGAAAAATTACATGATGCAGTAACAGTAAAACAGTTATGTCAAAAGAGCAAAGTACAAGTTTCCGAGGCAGGGCATGTGTAAATGGGGTAAATAGCAGGAATAACGTGGGTTGATGCCATGTAGCCAAAGTAGCACAATGGGGTTTGCAAATTGCCAAAGTATGGCAAGCACAACTGTGCTCCACAACTAACTGGTTGTCAGTGAAGGGGGTGCACGTTCAAATGCAGCTCTGCTTGACAAGTTAATGGTCACAGGAAGAGGTAGTATGTATTCCCGAGGTAGGGCAAGTGTTGCTCCACTGTCAATTATGGGGAAAGCGAGCTGCCAAGGTTGGGCGGGCGCATCTCCTCTTGACAAGGCAGGGGAATAGAGAATCAGATACTACCTTTTATGTTAAATCTTCCTGCCAAATTACACAAAAAATTACAATTAATGTAGCATAACTAATGGCTAAAGAAGATGACAAGAAAAACGCAAAAATGCAGGAGATCTTAAAAACACGTCTATTCTGTATCGTCTTTTCTGTAGCAAAGGCTAAGAGGAAAGAAGATACATGTATCATTGTGGGTGGGCAGTAAGTACTGTGCAAAATCAATCTTAGTGCCCTGTAGTGAGAATTCCACATATAATGCTCAACAGGTATTGACAAGGGCAGTAGAATAAATCAAGCAAAACTGTGTGTAACATTCTTGTGACAATACTGATATTAATGGCAGTGTTACCTCATGGCAGCTCCCATCAACTTCATAGAAGCATCCAGTGCATTCTAGAGAGGGGCAAATTGAAAACCCGCATATGAATTTAATACATTACAATAAGTAATGGGCAAGGTGACAAACTTTATTGAGCTATGATATCATCGCTTCATTTACATACGGCCAATTATAGCGCACAGCTGTTTGGGAAGTAACGAATAATCGTTTAGCGATCGTTTAGCATTTAGCGAGTTGGATAACAAGTATTTCTTCAAGCAAACTTAATGCAGAGTCAGTTAAAATGGAATATGAACCATGCGCTGTACAGCAGTTATCCCATTATTCATGCGTGATGCAGGAATGGTGCAGGCATCTTGGAATAGAGAGATACATATGCAGTAGGTTGTTAAAGATATTGCATACAGTAAATCCCATATAACTCAAACCTCAGGGGAATGGATAACATATGTGAGGTATCTCGGATTGGAGTTAAGCTCCAATCCAGTCCGTTGTTCAAGTACTGTACAGTACATGAACTTCCACTGTAACTTGCTCTACCTGGCTAGACTCAAAATGAACGCGTTATTTGATAAACTTTCCTTCTTTTAATTCATTCTAATGGTGTATTTTTTGAAGTCTCAAAGCATCATTTTACTAAGATTTTATATTGTTCTTCCCTAAAAATATCTGCTGTATTGATAAATGTAACAATTACCCACTCAAATTGTGTAACTTTGTGTGACAAATCTTTCTTTCATATCATTTGTCTGGCAACGCACCGCGCTCACTCAAGGTTTTCCTATGTGTGGTCACATGACCGTTCCTATTTAATCCCTTGAGGGTGCACAACTGGGCCAGCAGTACTGGTCAGGCTTAACACACAGCGTGCACGAAGGTTTGCAATGCAGTAACATGGCAACCACAAAGAGCAAGCAATTGGACTGCCAGCGTGTAGGCTTTTGGGTTAGTAGATGCAGTCAGGCTAATTCAAAAGCCAGGATCCCTGCGTTTACTTGCTGGTTATTGTGGCTAGTATGATCACAATGGCAACGTGAGCACATTATGTATTCCAAAGTGAAAAGACGAAGTGCATTCGGCAAAAATGACTCACAAAAAACGTTTTCCGATCATTTACACTTTTCTTGTGAACGTTTCCAGTGGCGGTTTCTTTTGGATTGGCCGAACATAATTTGAGGTAAACAGAGGTACCGTTGCAGGCATTTTGAGTGACGGAGGTATTTATGGCAATAATATCCTATCCTCTTGACGGGAATGCACTATGACTTCCAGATATTAAAGCAGAGATTCAAGTGTTCAAATTACTGGGATTTTACTGTACGTATATCTGATAGCATTGTAGCTGTTGTTTTTTTTTTTTGCATTTTTTAGTGTGATAAACATAGGACCCCCCAAAATACAAGTGATCCGGGGATTGCATGTGTCACCTTTTTCCGCAGTCAATTCCTTTATGTTTTGTGTTCTTAAAAAAGTTAAATTTTGTGCATTTCTAAAACAATGACCCCAAAAGACCCTTAGATGACAGGTTCTACCAACATTAAAATCCATCAAATTCTGTAGAAAAAGAAACATTTGAAGCATATTTGAACAATGACCTCTCATGACACTACATGACATTTGACCTCAGTAATCCAATGAAGAATTGTGTCTTCCCACCCAATGGTCACTGTATCCAAGTTTCATCACAATCCATGAAGGCATGTACAGGTACAGTGTTGTAAAGTTTCCCCCAAAACTGTTCAAAACTTCTCACTGACCCCTTGTATCCAAGTGTAATGGAATTCAAGCGAACAGAGAATGTAGCATTTCATGTTAAGAGGAACTTACTTGGTTCACAGAAGCAGCATGCTTCACCGTCTGGATTGATCAGGTTTTCATCTGGTTGACATGTTACACCGCAGTGTTTATCGCAGATCACTGTCCTATTAGTGCATGTACAGTTGATACATGTGTTCTTGTTCCAACTTTCCCCATTCTGGAAATATTAAATACAAACATTCTTAAGTAAAAAACCTTTTTAATGAATATGTGCACTTTGTTGAAACTGACCCCTTAATTTAGTATACCGTAAGTTTCGGAATATAAGCCGCAGCAGGCAAAAATCTGCAAATAAAAATTTGATGTTGGCGTATTAGCCGCACTGGCATATAAGCCGCACCGACCACAGCGGTTTCCAAGGCCTCCAAATTCTAAAGTCAAAAAGCTCTGGACCAGTTCCATTTGCACTACGAAAGCTATAACTAGAACGGCGAAGCCGCCATGGCTCGCTGGTATATGCGAATCAAACTATTTGGTTGTTATACAAACTCAAGTTGGGGACCTTGATACAAGCAAATTGCAAATGAGGCTGATATATTATGCAAGGAAATCATAATAAGCAACTAAGTGTGAGCTTTGCCATAATTGATATGAACAGAAAATACAGAAAGGTTGGTTAATGCATCAGTAGCCTATGTATGTAAATTAAAGGGCACTTTAAAGTTTTGGCATGTATTTTTTTGGTATGCATTACGCTACAATCATCATGTATGTGATAATCAACATACATGGCATAGGGCCTACCAGTGATCTCCTCTTACTTATGAGCATCATCCAGCATTCACACTCTATTCTGTTACCGTTTTCCACCCTGACAGCTGATCCCAAAATGTGAATGAAAGTGTGATGTCATTTCAACATCATTTCAATTACAACTGAACAAAATTAACAATGCACCTCATTATTTAGTACACATCCATTTTAGTTTGCACAAATCTGGTCTCAATACAAACTGTTTATGCAAGCCATCTAACTGCTGTGACGTTATCAAATCTGAAGACATAGGCCTATGTATAATAAAACAATTTTGTGCCAGATCAGCTTGAGTTTGAAACTGAAACAAACATGAATCTCTTAATTAATTTATCTGCAAAAAGTATAATAAAAGATTACAAATTATTACTCCTTTCTGTAAAAAGAACAACTAGTCAATGACATGGTCAATGTAAAAAGAACAACTAGTCAATGACATGGTCAATGTAATAAACAAATTATTCCTTATGCACTTCAGCTGAATTTTAATGAATTAAATATTCAATGCAATGTAAACAAAAGAGATTTAACTTTTTAATGATTTAGAAGTACATATTATTGCAAAGTGAACATTTGTGATTACCAAGGATAAAAGTGCAATTTAGGAAAGTAATAATAATCCGTTACTTAACCTCATAAATGGTCATCTAATCTCTAATGGCTATCCACATTGGCTTGTGATCAGAATACCAGCTTTCTAGTGTCCCTGCATGGAGCTTATCTGTATCCAGGTTTGTGAAGATGAGGTCAAGTGTAGAACCATAATCTGTTGTTGGTTTGTGGATGAGTTGATGCAGGCCATACTTGGTTGATATCAAAGTAATAAGTCTTGCAGTGTCATTGTTTCCAGTACTGACATCAATATTAAAGTCTCCACCTAATACTAGTTTGTTGTAGAGAAAATTGTCCAAACATCCTGTAATGTGCTTAAAAGCTTCTCGACGAGTACCCGCAGAGGGCTGATGTCTTGGTCAATAGCTCCTATATTCCTGCACTGGCAAATGGCTGGTCTTCACTTTGTCTCATGATCTGGGTAAGCTCAAACATTGTCACCAGACTTTCCCACAGCACTGGGGCTAAGGATGCATATGGAGTGGCTCCATGTTGAAATATCCACCTGTCTTTAACTGGACGAAGTTGAAAAAGATTTCCAACAAGCAACAGATTTATTCCATCAAAAGGTATGTTGTTTCCCATGACATCCTGCAGCCTCTGATTAATGAAATTAAACATGTTGGCACCAACCATAGATATCTCATCGATAATTACCAGTTTGTTATGTGTCAGTTTTGACCTCAATGTATTCAGCCTACTTTGATCAAGTTGCCTGTATTCTAACTTTTGATTTGTTGGAACAAGAAATGTAGAATGTAGGGTACTGCCTTGTATGTTAAAAGCTGCTTTTCCTGTAGGTGCTGTCAGCAGAACTTTAGTGTCTTCTGGATTTTTTCCGGGTACTGAATCGTAGAACTTCAGTAATGTGTGATATATGGCCAATAAACAACGACTTTTGCCAACACCAGCTCCTCCAGAGAGAAACAAGCAGAATGGTTTGTCTCCTGTCTTCATCAGATGAAGTATGTGGTACATAAATGCTTGTTGATCTGTATTTAAAGAGATCATCAGCTGTTTGTATTCATCTTTAGGAATCCTGTGTGGAATAAGATCTTGTTGTGTTTGCTGCTGGCCAGGACAGCCCAACACTTCCCCAAAGTCAGAATATCCACGTGTTGCAGAGTCTGAATGCAATACAGCCATGCTGCTGGTACTATCGTCATGATTTTCATCTTCTTCAATTTCCGTGTGACGTGCAAGTGGTACCATCTCATCCCAAGCTTTGTCCAATTGCTCTTCTGTCTTTATTTCTTCAAGAGCTCTGTCAGTTTCTTGTGCACTGTGCTCAAACATGGAAGCTGTCGAGTTTACTATCGACATGTGCGGACTGTGTTCAAAGAATGTCCAAAATTTGCAAGACAATATCAGGCAAAACTGTACTAAACCATTTCCCTTTGGTCAGTAAAATCCCTGACGGTGGAAACGTCCTGAGATTAATAGCATTAAGAAGCACGAATAAATACAAACAGTTCAATAATCGGTACATTACTGTAACAGGCAAAAGAACACAAAGGAATCATTAAGGGAAGGCAAAGTACAACGGACTAGGCAGTGGAAAATTACAGTTTGTAGATCTGCACAAATGCATTAGTACACCTGTGTGTAAATTTATAAGATCAATGAACGGCGCATGTGAGAAGTTCCTCATACATTAAACCCAACATTAGCCCCACCCCATCCACCATATGTGGAATGATATGTAACCGAGGGAAACAAACACCCCCCCCTCTCTTTTTGTGTTGGTCATGGTGTTACTGGAATCTCAGGAATTCTTTTGAGGTATCTGGGGGATGTGTTTATAGGTAACAATATTCTAGGGTTTGTATAAGGTATAAGGAGATGGGGGGGGGGGGCACACCTTTCTGTCTCATATCGTGCCAGGTATAATCTCAACCTGAGCCCAATTCCATCATTTTAATCTAAAAAAAGTACCAAATTGGAAAAATTTGGCATGAGAAATGGGGTGACAGGTGGGGCAGTCAGTATCTAATAAATGTACTTTATATGGTACATATACCCATGATGGTATTTGTTTTGATCTATGCAAAAGAACCACCGACATATGTATAACCCCTTTTCCCCTTTGATATAAAAGCAAAGCAAAGTCTACTTTAATAGAGGTTTGGTAAGGTCAACAATGGATGGTACAGTGGTAAAGCATGTACAATAAAAATGTACCCCCATGTGCACCCCCATGCAAAGTTTTGTTCTTGTAATTACACTTGCATATGTGTATGCAAAGTGATGTACAATAATAAAAACTGTAACATTTTAAAATTAATTTCCCTTTTAAAAATCACAAAGTTAACTACAAAGAGTGAACTCTAATTTGAGGTTGTCAAGCTGAATTATGTTCTTAATTAAACCAGCAAAAAGCAAAAAGAACTTTTAACATTTTCATCTGAAAGAGGACGGCCGGACAGACTGTTTTGATTCCCCTGTCTGCTTAAACTGAAAGTGCAATGACCAAATTAATTTATTTACAGGACACCTACCATAGTACTCAATTGAAATGGTTAATACAAAATGAAGACCCAAATCAGATACAGCGAGAAAGGTTGGTTACTCACATTACGGTTATTTGCATCACAATTAGGTTCATTTGGTTGGAAACAAAATCAAATCTTAATCAGGACAGGTCTAATTCAACCTAAATCAAGCTCAGGAATGAATTTCTTTTTTGGGATCATGTCTCTGTTTGCTTGGAATCGCCCATTTGATTGACAGAGTTTTTTCTGTATGAACAGTACTTCATTACATGATTCCATGTGCAATTGTGCTTTGTATTTTTAATTTTAAAAGAAAAAATTTAAGACCACTCTGCTATGAATTAAAATGAAATGTCTGTTAACAGACAGGGTTGAGACAGAAGTCCCAGAGAGTTTCTTGAGGTGTGGGCCATAGTGTCAGAAGAAGAAAATTCTTTAATTGACCTTCCAAGTTGAAGAGGTTGTTCTTAGTTTTACAACCAAAATGCATTCTCGGTTTACCTCATAGCTGTTTCCTTGGTCGTCAACACATGGGCAGTCATCTTGGAGGACACATTCTCCCTCAGATTTCTCCACATAGCCAGGTGGGCAGACACACTCATATTGGCATCCCTGTGGCACACAGTCCCCATCCAGATCAGCACAGGTCCGTATACAACTACACTGCTCCCGGTACTCATAAGGTTCAAAGCACACTTCAAGGAATCACACAGAGAAAAAATGCTGGTCAGACTTGACTCTTACAAACTCAAACTAATAATAATTGCACTCACCTCTCCATGATTTGTATGTTTTTTTCCTTCAAAGATGAGAAATATTACTTTTTTCTGTATTAGTCCTAAATGTAAAGCATTTAAATCTTACCTGGAGAGGTTGTGGTAGGCTTGACTGTTGGTACTGGACGGCATTCGCAACAGTCCCCAAAATAGTGCACGTAATGATTCTATTGATAGAGGCACAAACATTGATATAAGTCTGTTGTAATGAAATTGTGGGGGTTAGGGGGTTCTAACACCACCCCCTTCCCCCCTCCCTCATCACTCCCTTCTCCACCTCACAAAATTAGGACAAGTCAGGTGTATTGCCAACACTAATTGCCCAGCTGAGCCACTGTGCCCTTGACCTTTTGGCCCCAAATGCAATAGGCTTCTTATGATTACCAAGAGCAACCCACAAACCACATTTGAAGTTTATATGTAAAGTATTTGTCAAGTTATCACCCCTACAAAAAAGGTCTATAGCATTCTATACAACACTTCATATAGTTTTATATAACTTCCATATAGATCCTTGTCATCTGATTGGTAGAACTCACATCATGTGACATTCAAGCCGGGGCTCAAAAAGTCTCATTTGCCCATTGGGAATGGGAAATACTATTCAACAGTTAGGATCATTCTTGTTCCATGATGCGGTATTTGTGTGCAATTGCATGCTGGTGTGTGCGTTCAGTGTTGTGTGCAGCGCGTTTTGTTCCAAAGAGCCAGCGCTACAGCGTTGGACTCAAACATTTTTGTGAAGGGGTGGTTGGGTAGAGAGAAATACATTTTTCACCAATTTTATGTTTGAAATATATGTTCAAATATATCAAATGACAAACTTGTCAATTTAATAAAACAAGTAGTGAGTGGCTTTAAACAGTGAAATGGGAGGAATATTATCGCTTGGTAAAATCTGGACTTTTTAAGTCCAGATTTTACCTTGCGATTCCTCCCATTTTACTCTGAGCCACTCAATATTTGTATACTATAGAACTCTACAATGTCACCACTTGTCTATAGAGCCTTTTTAGAAGTGTCTGTAGGAAGTAGCTTACTCTATAGAATTCTACAGACTGCTATAACATAATAATTTTCTCCATGGATTTAGAAGTGTCTATAGCGCATTGACATGTATTTATATTTCAACATGTAGAACCAAGGTCATATATTTTCATGTCTCTCATCCAGTAAAGGAGAATCAGATATTTGAAATTCTAAAAAACAAACAAATCAGATGTATAAAAAAGCGGACCTCTAAAGAAACTCTATAAAATTGTAAAGGAAATTCTACTGAGGACTAGTGCCAGGTCCTCAGGCAGTGTCGGGCCCATTGTTGTCTCACACACCTCATTGTCTCAAGTCCTCAGTCTTAAAGGATAACCTGTACACCCATGCCTACCCACAGAAGGACAAGGTGGAAACAGTATGCCCCTTCGACTTCATCGCAATGCATAAAAATCTTGAACGAAAATCATGCAGAAAAAGAAATGCACTTGCCTGTTAACCCCCCCCCCCTCCAACAAAAAAAGTAAACCCCACCTCCCCAGCCTGTAAAACACCACCTCCCAAGCCTAGTAAATCCCTCAGATCCCCCTGATACCCCCAGATAAATCCCCATCCCTGAGCCTGTTTACCCCCACCCCCTGAACCTTCAAACCGCCCCCATGCCTGAGCCTGTTACCCCCCCCTTAGATAAATCCATGCCCTCTGAGCCCGTTACCCCCCCAAGATTCACCCCCATCCCCTGAGCCTGTAAACTCCCCCGAGATGACCTTCCCCCTCCCCAGATAAACCCCCACCAATGCCTGAGCCTGTTACACCTCCCCCCCTCCCATAGATAAATCCATGCCCTCTGAGCCTGATACCCCCCCCCCCCCCCCCCCAAAGATAAACCTCCATACCCCCAAGATAAACCACCACCTCCTGAGCCTGGTAACCCCCATCCCAAGACAATAATAAAATAATCTTAGTAATTGTGTTGCTTTATAACTTTGAGACTTATGCATGTAAATTCAGTTTAGGCAAACAGTTGTCCTGCAAATTTAATTCAAACAAACAATACTGTATATTTACACGTACGTAAACCAATTAAATGCATTGGCATCATCTGAGTTAAAGAATAAACAACTCAACTTACCGGAGGACAGTCCTTTATGTTACAGTGTCCCCTTTGACACTCCAGTCCAGTCACATTGCAGTAACATATGTCACAATCGCCACGATAGACAATTTCATGCAACTGGAGACGGAACGAAAGAGGAACTTGAAGTCTTTCAAACATCAGCCCATTTTTGATTAAGTGTACAGAAGTTTCCATGAATCCTGTTTATGTTATTACATTTTGTGGACTGGTTCACCTGGGCAACCTGATAGCTACCCACAAGTAATTGGCATAAAAAAATGACACATTAACAAATGGGTATAATACAGTAACATGCAAAAGTGGGTATGGCCGAAAGATGTTGCATATGTCTCTCACCCAAGAGAGACGCCACAGTATTATTGTGACTTTTTTTGTAGGGCAGAGAGAACAGTTTTGAATAATGTAGACACCATAATTCTGTGAGTTTTTATCATGTGTGTAAAATTGATTTCAGACTCATATTCATAACACCCATAACATTACAATGTAACACCCAGATTAACAAAAGCATGGTATTTCCACACTTACCAGGAGCTTTCTGTAAAATATCTTAGGTGTTTGTATAGGGGAGTGGCAAAGCATCTGACGGAAAGGGGGCGTGTATATTTCTGTTCAAGTAAACGAACGAAAGAGCCGAACAAAAGCCACAAAAGACGTGGGGCCGTCCGATCCGATGTGAAGTCTACAAAACACACGTGGCCATTGGCGGAAAGATATTGCATAACAAATTTTCCTATTGGCTAACGCGATTTCAACAAAGACTTGCTTTCAGCAACCTCTAAACGTTTAGTTTAAAAAGGATCATTAGGACACTTTTCTTCCATTTCTCCCACAATTTCAAACAAAAATTTCATCGAAAATCGGTTTCCATGATGCATGGCGTCCCTAGGTTCGAAAGTCTGTGCGGCCGTGTAACTCTCGGTCGACCAATAGAATTGCTTGTTAGGCACAGACATTGCTGTGGCCCATGGGGATTTCCCCTGGCACGCAATACTACGGAACATGAGACTTTTTGGACTGCGTTGCAATGACAATTATGTGACAAAGGACCCAAGCGGTCTTGGTATAACGTATTTATTTTTTTAAGTACACACAAACTGATGTTAGACCTCAATGTTTTCTTTCGAATTATCATAATACCAGAGAGAAAAAAATCACTTGCTGATAAATGCCTATAAATCGTTCTGGCGGTCGGCGAGTTTTACCAATTTTGATCGGAAGTCGGTATCATAATATTCGTTTTCCCAAATAACCAATAAAACTTTGTGGGGTCGCATTTTATCGCTTTCAAAATAGGGTCGGTTGAGTGACCCGAACCAAAGTTTTGTTTTTTTTGGCCTAAGGTAATTGACAGTGCTTATGACAGCTAATACTAGGTTAACCATGGAAGCCTGAGCTAGAGCTGTACCGAATATAAAGTTGCTTTCTCTGCCAGTATTTTATGATGCAGTTTTCTTTTGGAATTGGTCAGTAGCCTCTGGATGTTACATCTGTAATGATAAATATGCCCATATACAATGGTAACAAATTACACTGGATAATGTAATCTCCATTAGCGCAGTTACTCAAGTATGCCACACTTACCCCTACATATCTATCCTCCTCTGCAATGTAACAACCGGAATAAACCGTGGTCTGGCCTGGTGTGGTATATACAGACATCGTCGATTCTAAAATAGAAATTGACAACAATTACGCATCAGTTAAAGTGATCACAAGATGAAGCCATTTGTTTATCATTCTTCATTTAAATCTTCATATAAACTACCTAGGGAAACTGACTAGGCGCATTATAATAATTTTAAAGTTTAACAATGAAATAAACTAGAACAAAGTATCCTCTCTGAGTAATTGTTCCGTTTGCCATTTCCTAGATTTGCAAAATTGCTATTGTTACCAGCAATGAGACTATGGGTGCGATCCCTGGCTACATGGCATATGTTTAGCCAGTCTCAAGATGCATCCAAGATGTTGTCCATGAATAGTGACAGAGCCTTCTCATTGGTTGCCCCACAGTACAGGGCGAGTAAAAAAAACCGAAACCCAAATGTCGGGACCATTGTTTTCAGTGAAGTTCTGCATGTAGCGCTTTCAAAATCTAGGATATGAAAGCTCAATTCATGAGCTTTCTTTTAGTACAAGAACCATTCAAATCACTTATGTATTTTTCAAGTTACAGACTTTTAAACACAACCACAGTTTTAAAGTTCTGGCCACGGGTCACAAGAAGGGAAGCATTCTTTCAGCAAAACGAAAACAAATCACATATAATAGGGATGTGGCAGACCATGTGGACACATTTTGAGCGTCGCATAATATGCAATTTGACCCTTTGTGAATTCAAAACGGAGCCTGAGCAAGTGACAGAAATTAAAAATTTACACACAAAATTTTTTTATTTTAAATTTCCTATATTATTACACTTTTCAATGACAGAAAGCATTTATGAATGGAAATAAAAGAGCGATTACTCAGTCTTAATGGCTGTTTAAAACCTTGCAGGGCCTGAAATTTAACTTTAAATGGATCTCTTTATATATATATCACTTCCTGCTCTTGTTTCAAGTAGACCTGTTTATGCAAACAATTTCCATGAAACAAAATGGTTTATTGAGCACAAAGTGATTTATTTTAAGCAATAAATAATTCGGGCAGTAAAAAAAATTCATTAGATGGAATTTTTGTGTCGAGGTGTAAATCAATATAAGGTTTTGCCCTTCACCGATGAATAAACACTGTATACTCAGTGTTTTAGCTCCTGAGTGAAAGGGTCAAAAAAAATCTCAACTTTCTTGATTTTTTTCAAGAAAACATCCTATGGTATTGTGCGCTAGTGTAAATTATATTTAGTTAAATTTATATTTCCTTAGCGTGATAGCATTAAAATAAATTCTATTGCAATTTGTTCTAGGTCAGCCCCGAGGTCAGTTTCCGTGTTAAAAAAAACCCAACCTTTTACTCGCACTCTAAACACTCTTTCGACCCACTTATCTTGATTTCCTGGAGTGTTCCTCTTCATTTTGCGACAAATAACCCTTACCCAAAAAAATCCTATAAAACTGTTTTTCAGAGAGGGGGAAACCTTGTGTGGGTGTGGGCAAGTCCACACAACATCTTCACTATACCTGCAATGTGAGAAAACATCTTTTGCTCCGAGGTCCACACAGTGGCTACACTGCCTGTACACATCCTTTGCTCTTTATAGCATTGCAGTGATATTTTCATCCACTCCGTTTATTCTAAGAATAAGCTATGTTTCTTACCTGGACAATATGGACAGCACTCCCCATCTAAAGTAATGGGCTCCTGCAAATTGTACAAGTATTAAAAAGTGTATCAAATTGTAGCGTTTTCCGATTGTCACTTCTTAATTATCAATTTGTCTTACTTTTTAGTTAATTACCACACTTTAATTATCAATGTTCCTTTTGAACTTGTTAATGGTCATTCCTGTAGAACGAATAATTCTTCTGAATGCATTACTCATTGCTTTCCTTGTATACACCATACACCCTACGCATGCCTACGCAATGTGTAGTCCCTATAGTTTTATACAGAGCAAATGACCTTCACTGCCCACACACAAGTCACTGGTCAGTGTCTCAGTATAACCAAGTAACTAAATCATTGTTTTAAGATACTCATATTCATTCATAGTCATCTTTCTGAGAATCAAGGAAATCAAGACATGACTAAGTTTCCCATTCTTAAGTATTTCTTATTCCCAAGACTTCCTGCATCCACCAGTATATAAGTACTGCCCTGTGAGCACTTCCTCATGCTAGTCATTTTCATTCAACCGATTCTATTCCGTTCTATTTCAACCATTCAGTTCATTCCATTTAATCTTTGTCTCAGTTCGCTTTAACCAGTTCAATCAATCAATGTGTATAAAAATATTGTTGTGGAATGAACGGTCACGGTAAACACAGTCCTCAACCAAAGAATTGTGTATCGACTGACACATTCCTCAACAAAATGCTCCTTGATAATAAATTCATTCAAAAGTGTGCATACTGTTTTAGCTATACCTCTTTAAAATGATCAGAATAAACAAAGATAACATTTTCTTCTGTTGGCAAATGCCCATTTCTTGTTTAATTTAAAAGTGCATCTGTAAAAAAATACTAGGCAATGACACTTTCCGTTTGGTGGCCCACCACATACAGAGCATATTTTGCAGCAAGGGACCATCCATAACGTACAAAATGTACTTACGTACGAAGAGTGAGAGGGGAGGGGGATGTTAACAATGCGTACGGGAAAGGGAGGGGGTCTACGCCAATGTGTACATCAGCAGAGCCATAATTTGATTTTAATAAATGTCATTAAATCATTGAACTTTCTCAAATTTAATACCCACCAGGACCAGCTTTCATACATCGAAAACAGTTATAACACTGTTCTCCTCACCCTTACTATTGATTGATCTTCCCAGGGTCAATCCCAGTACATCAGCGCAATTACTTGATTTTCTTGTCAAATGACTTTCAGTGAATATACGCAAAAAACTATAGGACTATTGGCTTTAGAAGCATTATTTTAAATAAGAAACACAAATAGACAACTAGAGATTTGCGTTTGTTGAGCTACAAATGCAGAGTGGTCAGGCTCGCATCTATTTTTTATATGTCATAAACTTTGCCACAATAATCAACTGAAAATTCAATTTAAATATTTGTCAACCTGCTGCCAGAGGGCGCTCCGACATTTTATGATGTCACCGGTAAGTGCAACCTAGCCAGAGACTTATATCGTTGAAGGCACTTCCGCTTTGGACCAGAAGGAAGGGTCACGTGACTTTGTACATAATATCAAAAATACTGCAAGTAAAACTAGCGGGATCCCCTTCTGACCCCCTGGCAGTTTGTATGTGTAATTGTCATAAAAAATTACAAATCAAATTTGTCTAAGCTGTTGCCAAATAGCAGAGTTGTAATGACTCGATTCAATGACTCGACTCAAGTCTGACTCGAGTCACATTTTTTGGTGACTCGACTCGACTCAAGTCCCTGAGGGCAAATGACTCAATTTGACTCGAGTCACTTCGAGCAAATGACTTGACTTGACTCGACTCGAGTCCCTCATCAGAATGACTCGACTCGACTTGAGGAACGCTGATAAGACTCCAGTCCCAAAAATAAAGCAAGTTTTAGTTCACGTCACGTTAGAATGTATGCAAATAATGTATACATATACAAACATGGTTTGATCAGTAGTCCCATAAGTTGTATGGGGATCAGCTGGCATCCCCATTGTATTTTCATTAAGAGTCAAATGTGGTGTCACCACATGCAGAGTAGCCCGAATGTGAAATAAAAAAAATAAAAAAAATGACCTTGTCTCTTGTGTTTATTTATTGTATAGTGTTCAAATACTTGTGATTTGACTCGAGTACACACTGTGACTCGACTCTACCTCCTTGACCCTAATGACTCGACTCGACTCACTCCCTTCTTTAAAATTACTCTACTCAACTTGAGTCACAAAAATCAGTGACTCATTACAACTCTGCCAAATAGTGGCATTCAGAGAAATCCAATTCATCTCATATCGATCAATTTAAAACTGGTGATAAGTAAATAAGGTCACAGTAGCCACAATGTATGCTGGTAATGCGTGACCTGCAGGTCAATATGTTAGCTATCAGTCAGGCGGCCCTGACTAGCTATCAGTCAGGCGGCCCTGGCTTCATGCGCCATTCCCTGTTCATAACCGATGGCAGAGGTGTGAAGGCGGGTCTCTGGCGCCTTAAAACCAGATAGCTCTGGGCAGGTGGGGTTCATCAGCCGTAGGAGGCAGCTCACCTAAGAGACGGAAAACTCTGATTCCAAACCCGGGCAGGAGGAGCTCGTCAACCAACCTCACTCCACCAAGTCCCCCTTGAAGGACATCTAACCTCATAGGTGTTGGTAGATCGGCAGATCTGGCGGACGAGCAAGTTATCACGCAACTTGCCAACGGCAGAAAAGGCGTACAAACAGCAATTGGTTGTGCAAACCACAGGGCGCATGGATAGATGCAAGCAACATGCGGCCATGCACTACGCTGGTGGAGGAGTGGTGACACGCCAGCGGAATCCATTCACCAAAACCTCCAAAAATGAATCACAACACTGAGAATCACAGCCATACCCTATTGAGCGTGGGGACCCCGAGCGCGCCAACTGGGTCTGAAGCTACTGGGGATGAAGGTGATCATGCTCTCTACTACCCACGCTGTAATGACGCCTCGCACTCAAAGCCTTCACTGGACGGTGCGCGGTTGAGTTTGCGTGAAGAACGAAGCACGGGCACCTTTAGCTTAGGATGCTGGAATGTGACCACACTGAACTATAGCCTAGCACCTGAACATCTGATGGCCACTTTAAAAGCCTACCGCTATGACGTCATTGCTCTTAGCGAAACTCACAACATCGGTCAGGAAGTAGCATGTAATGGACACATAATCATGTCGGGTGGTGAAACTCACTACGCAGGTGTGGGAATACTGTTGTCAAAACGGGCAAAAAACAGCTGCTTGCCGTCTACTACATCTCTGATCAGATCATGGCTGCCCGCTTTCGTCTGAGGAAAGGCTCCCTGCTGTTTGTCTCCGTCTATGCACCTACATCCACTGCAACGGATGATATTATCAACAACTTCTACTCACAACTACAAGATGTGATCAATTCAAACAAAAAGAACTGTAACACACTTGTTGTGGCTGGTGACTTCAATGCCAAACTTGGAAACCAGCGCATCCCTCTTGTCATGGGACCCCATGGCCATGGTGACAGAAATTCAAGAGGAGACAGACTTGTTGATTTCTGCATGGTTAACAACCTCACTGCCGCACACTCCTGGTTCCCCAAGCGATCTTCTCACAAGGTTACTTGGATCAGCAGGGCAAGAAATGCAAGAAACGCCATTGATCACATCTTAATTAGCACAGAAGCAAGGAACCACCTGACTGACTGCCGTTCCTACAGTGCTTGCTTTGATACTGACCATTGGTTAGTAATCTGCAACCTGAAGTGGAAATTCCGTCGTCATGCTACTGCACGTGGACTACGACCTCAACATCCAAACGTTGAAGCCCTGAAGTCGGAACAATCGTCTGAAGTCTTTCGGCAGCTGGTTCGATCCCGTGTTACTCAAGGTGACTCTCTTGAAGCTGTCGCATGTGTCATACACGAAGCATCTCTCAAGACCTGTGGTACACAAATATCCCAGAAGAAACAGCCGTACCTGTCTGAATTAACTCTTCATCTGATTCAGCGCAAGAGGAAGGCTGTAGGCACTCCAGAATTCACAGCTCTGAGGAATGAGGTCAAACATGCATGCCAGAAAGATCTCAACGAATGGTTGGTAACTAATATCAACACATTGAACCAAGCATACCAGAATCACAATTGCAGAGCTATGTTCAAAACTACTGATGTTCTCCTTCAGAAAACATGTACGCCTGTGGTGAACATCAAAGATGCAAACGGTCTGGTATTGGAGACAGCTGAAGAAGAAATACAGCGTTGGCATCAGTATGCTGTAGACCTATTTGAGTCAAATCGGCCACGTCCACCCCATCACACAACTGAGGTTGAATGAAACCCGCCGTCACCAGAAGAGACCAAGAAAGCCATACAGGCACTGAAAAACCACAAGGCTCCCAGAGTTGATTGCGTCACATCTGAAGCTCTTAAAGCTGCGACACAGGACCCAGAGATATTCAAAACCCTTCATGGGGCCGTGTGTAACATCTGGAACTCTGGGAAGTGGCCACAGTCGATGACCAAGTCAGTGTACATCCCGTTGCACAAAAAGAGTGACCGAGGCTTGTGCAACAACTACAGAACACTTGCACTAATCAGTCATGCCAGCAAAATTGTTCTGAATGTGATACAACGCAGACTGGAAAGAACCGCTAACATCGAAGTGAGTGACACCCAATGTGGCTTTGTAAGCGGTAAAGGCACAATTGATGGAATCTACCTCCTGAAAGGTGTGGCGGAATTGCACTACGCAGGAAAACGCCCTCTCCATCTGGTCTTTGTTGACTATAAGAAGGCATTTGATTCAGTTAATCATGCACTTCTGTTTGCAAAGCTACGATATCTTGGCGTGGAGGAGGATGTGATGCGGCTACTTGAGGATCTTTACATCAACTCAAATGGCAAGCTCCGGTGGAAAGGTCGGATGACAGACGAGTTTGAGACACCAGTGGGAGTACGCCAAGGCTGTCCATTGTCACCAACACTCTTCAGCCTCTACACTGAGTGTCTCATGCGAGAGTGGTACAATCGCACAGCACACCTAACGGCTCCAGATGTCAGTGGTATCCCCCTAAAGGAGATCAGATATACTGACGACCTGGTACTGATGGCGCTGTGCAGAGCTGATGCTGAAGAGATGCTTACTACCCTGGGTGATATATCTGACGGGTATGGGTTAGCCATCCACCCAGGTAAGACTGCATATATGATCATCCAGCCAACAACCGATGACAGCACCATCACATACCGCTCGGCGCAAATACCTCGTGTCACATCTTTCAAGTATCTAGGAGTGTTGATCAACCACACACTAGACGACAGCAAGGAGGTTCGGATGCGGTTAGGTATGGGCAGATCCACTCTTCGGCAGTGCAAGTATCTGCGCTCCCCCCGCGTCAGCCTTGAGGTAAAGGTACAGCTTGCTCGGGCCCTAGTCATATCAAGGGTACTGTATGGTGCCACCACCCTGTCGTTGAAGGCAGCTGACATCAAACGCCTAGACAGTTTTGGCCGAACCATTTGACAAATGAAAGACTGATGGAGATGATTGGCGACCGGTGGTGCTTCAGCAGTAGCACTGTGATGGAACGAAAGACATCGTGGTTGGGCCATGTGGTTCGGTATGGCGGCATCTGTTGTGGATGGGATGCCAGTGGGATGTCGTCACTCCGTGGGCCGGCCAAAGATGCGCTGGGTGGACAACATCCGTGAATGGTCTGGGTGTGACACCAACGAACTGAAAGCAGCAACACTAGAAAGACGGGCTGTGGTGGGAGCGGCGCCAGTGATCCCAACTGTGTATAATTTGAGGAGGAGACCACGGGCAAATGCCTATGTCTAACGAATGAATTAATGAGGCGGCCCGTTCAGCAGAGAGGGGGGGAGGAATTGTTTTGAACCATTGCATATACCATGCGTACCAGGGGGGGGGGGGATAAACAGTCTTCAATTAGTGCAGACATACTTTATGGATGTCCCCCAAACACATCTACATGTACATTCTTTGACATAGTCTTTACAAAACACTTACCTGGCAAGTCACTGTTGGGCAGGTCTCAGGAAAACAGGGGATGGAATTATTGAAGCAGATACACTCACTGCAGTTTAGATTTGGGTCATCCCACTTATCACCAGGCTAGAAGAGACAAATTAAACCACACCAGTGATTAAAGAATGATAAAGTGGTACTGCAACAGAATCTTCAATTTTGAGAAAGAAACTAAATGTAAAACTGTCAGGATTTATGTTGTGGGGATTGTGACAATGTATGTAATACATTTCTTGGCAAATGACATTATGTTTTATATGGGTATTATTAAGCATAGTTATATTAAAAGAATTGCAATTCTTTTGTCGCTTAAGAGTGTCCTTCAGAAACCTTCTGCTGTGACTTCAACCAACATCAATCTTATAACAGAATGACACCAAATAATTACTCAGCTTTAGTGTTGCCACTTGCAAAATTGGAAAACCCTGGATCTAGCCATAAAAATATCTAGATATTAAAAACCCTGCTACATCAAATATATTTTATCTTATTTTACACAGTGTTCTGCCATCCGAATGTATTATGCTTTGATTTACTGTTTATAAAATGTGGACTTGGTGATTGGCTTGCTATAGTTTGGTCATCATCTTGGTTTTGTGTTTTGGCAGTCTTGGGTCTGGTGTGTTTTGGGGTTTTTTTTGCCTTTGGTTTATTGGGGGGAGAAGGGGAGGCGCTGCGGCATATTGTGGTGGTCATGGGTATGAGTTAGTTTTGGTTTTGTTGTATTTTATTACCTGTTGTTAAGCATTTTGGGTGTGTTTTAAAGTATTCTGATATGCAATATTAATCTTTCAGCTCGACTTTTTAGTTTTCCTTAATTGTATGTGTTGTTATATTTTCCTGTTTACATATAGTTCTATTTTATTTCTTTGGCCATATGAGGGACTCCAAGCTTTAGGACTAGAGTGACTTTTTTACTTTTGCTGATGTCTCCTACCCACGCAGTCATAGATTGTTTGTTTGTGTGTATGTATTTGTCTTACAAAATCGTACTGTTTGTGGTTTAATGGCAAAATAAATGATAACAATAGTAGTAACAACAATAATAATAATTACTGATACTGGGTCATTAGGGGGACATTCCCTTAGAATTGAGCACAATTTTTTCCCAACTTTACTGACCCCTAACCCCAATTTTACCTTATCCTACCCCAAAGGAATTTTGGAATTTTTAATAATAAGCCATTTGCGAGTGACCTATACACTTTGAGATTTAAATTTGAAAAACATCGGACAAACTGACTTGCTCAGAATTTAACTTTGAATTCTCAAGACCAAAGACACTGTTGCTAATCACATGATTTGGGGCAAGCTCTTGCATAGCTACTTGAGAGACGCTTAGCACCAATACATTGTTCACAATGGGTGAGAATGGCACAAAGACAGACTATAAACTAGAAATGTGTTTGTGGACAAACACTGAGCTGTTTCGACCGTTTTATTAATGACTGCCGTAAAAGGAGTTTCATCCAGGTCGAATGAACATGTACATGCGTATTCTATACAAAAAAATGTCTATCCTACGTCCCTGACTATGCATGAACATAAAATCTGTCAAAGTTAGCCGGAAATCGGCTAAAACGGTCACTGTGGACAGGATTTGACCTCAGCAACACGTGCGCTGCGCGCGGGCTGACTGACATATGATATGTACAACGTACGTGCATGTACATGTACATGTACATGTACATTCTGGACTGTGCATGTTTTAAAGCAGAGTTATTGTCAACCTGAAGTTTTAAGCGTGCGCAGGGCATGTCCAAGTTTGCTTATTGCCTCGAAGCTTTGAAATATTTTAGACCTACCCTTCAATAGACAATTAAAGTAAAAACTAATATTAAAACTGCCATGGTTGATTTTTCAGGATTTTTTTAAGGAAAGAAGGTCTATTCATTGTAACTTCCGGTCTGATGACGTCATACACCTCAAACTTCTCACACGTCTTAAGGGGGGTCAAGGTCATCATATACACCAATATTTAGGCGATTCCGACAAATTTCGCCACAGACATCTATTGAAAATACATTTTTGAAAATTTTAAACCTGTCGCTAGAGGGCGCTCGAAGATTGCATGACGTCATCGGTAGATGATTTGAAGAATACTATCAGCCAAGAGACTAACACCGTTAAAAGCAAGTTCATATCTATTACCACTTTTAAATAATAAGCCACTTCCGGTTTTGGCCTTTTTCGACCGAAAGCAAGGGTCACATGATTTTACGCACACTGAATGAAATAAAGACCTCAACCTACTCTACCACTTGCCGGCAACAGAATGCTGCGGACGCGTACGGTTGATTTCTTATGCATTTTTAAATATTAAAAGTGTCACAATTTAATTGCCTATAAATAAACACCGGATGACGTCATCATGACGTCATCATTACACAATGTTGTTTAAATTAGGGTCATTGCTTGGACAAAGATTGGTGTAAATGAATTACTGGCAAAGAGTCGAAAATGCCCTCTGAAAATTGACATTTTTTTTTAAATTTCTGTGTACAAAGTCTATGGGAAAAATTAAATATTCTAAATTCTATAATAAATCCCATGATGACGTCAGCATGACGAAAAGTTTCAGCACACATCTTCAGATGGTGGTCTAAGTGTGTGCCAGGTTTGAAGTCGATCGGATTATAAAAAAAGTCAAAAGTGACTTGTAGAACGAAAACACGTGTTATCCTATGAGAAAAAAGTCTGAAAAATAAAAGAGAAAAAAAAAAATAACAGAAACAAGAGCTGTTTTGGTGTGTACACCGAAACAGCTAAAAAGGAAACCCAACTTCAAAGAATGAGTATAGACAGACGATATGTTTACTGGCTATAAAACTGGTATCATCTGAAAGCATTATCTCTATGCTTTTCAATGACACCGTGTTTAGGTTTTTTGAGTCATGCATCACTGAGCATCATTGTCTTGAAAACTGGATGCAAAAATGCAATTGGTTCACTTAATTCATAAAAAAAAACCACTGGCACGGTGTGCCTATTGTTACGGAAATGTCTGTGAAATGGCTTGAATGTTAATCCTTGGGAAAATGTCACATTGTTTTGAACGTGGCTTGGTCAAAACGAGAAATTCATGACAAATAATAAATTCCAGTTTTGAAACCAACTCGACTTGTTGTTTTCTTTGGGTTTCTTTTTATGCACTCTTGTCTTCTTCTTGAATACTTATTCTTATGCACACCATGCCTATTGTGCTTAACATGAAAGTGAACCAACTGCAATTTTGCATCCAAATCTCATGACAGTGGCGCTCAGTGATGCATGACCCTGGAAATGTAAACAAGGTATCATTGAAAAGCATAGAGATTAGGCTTTCAGATGATACCAGTTTTATAGCCAGTAAACATTTAGTCTGTCCATACTGGTTCTTCAAAGTTGGGTTTCCTTTTTATTGAAACACCCTGTAGTAACAGTCTCTTTGGTCCGGAGAATGCAAAGTTAAAACGTGTAAAGCATTGGATTAAGTCAGTGTCCCAGATTTTATTCCAATTTAACTCGCAAATGGCCTATTGGACCGTCAGCAATCAATCCAGCCTATTTGTGATGATAAAATTATATTATATATTATTATATATTTAATAAAATAATACTTGTGGTTGTAATAGTAGAATAATAATGAGGCTAACCTAGTAACCCTGGTCCTTATAGGAGGATTTGCTCGCTCCCACTGCTCCACAACCTAAGAAAAAAGCTTTCTGAGTGTTGGTACTAGTGCATGTGCCCGACTTCTATTATCATTTTTCTTTTAATAACAACGCTAAAAAGGGCAAAACTATATAATAAAAAAATACAAAAATACAAAGTTCTATTTCCAAACCCCCCATCCAGGAAAACCCCCATCCCCAGTTTTAAAAACCCATTAATAGATGTATTTTGAAGAAAAAAAAGGATGTTAGAATCATGAACTGGAGCTTAATAAACAACAACATACTGTAATTTCCTGCGGATAAGACGCGTCTTATCTGACTTTCTAGACCGCAAAAACATCGCTGCGCCTTATCTACAGGTGCGCCTTATCTGGTGTCGCTTGAGTTCAAAGTGACGGTCTTTGTGTGAAGAATTCTTTCAATGCCGCAATCAATAATGCGGTCAACCAAGGCTCAACTCTCCAGACATTGTGACCGTATTTTCATTCCAACAATGCCGCGATGTGTTGATCCCCCATGATCGTGCTTTCATTCCAACAATGCCGCAATGCGTTAATCCCCCTTAGTGATCGTGCTTTCGTTCCAACAATGCCGTCATACAAACGTTTTTCTTTGTGGCCGTTTTTTCATTCCGAAAATGCTGCAATCAGAATTACTTAAACGTTTGGAAATCGCATTCACTCAAGTTCTATTGTGTGAACGTTGAGGGTGTTTATTGTACAGGATATCTTCGAAGTCTGCTTTAGACTTAGGATAATATGAAGTACTAATGTTTATTTGTTGCACTTTCGTTTGTTTCATTAAACGTTCAAATTGTTCATTTATTAATTGCCTCTTTTTAGACGTTTGTTTTAAAAAGTATTATGGGAATTTGTATTATCTTATTATAATAGTAGGTCAGGATTTATATTTTAAATATGGTAATAAGAGTTTTGTTTTAAGAAATTTTCATATTTAGGATAATATTATGATAAGACTTATCAGGACGACCAAACGAGAAAAGAGATGGTTTATGTGTCTGTTTCGTTTATTTTATTAGTAAGATATCAAATAAGTTTAATGATCTTGAAAACAAAACTAACACTAAGAGAAGCGATGTATTAAACAAATATCTTATGAACGTGATTAACAAATTATAGGTTTGAAATAAAGGAAAAGAACTTTAAATACAAAAAAACATTACAATAATTTTTAAAAAATATAATAAAACATTTTTGTTACGTCTCCCCCGGTGTGACGGGATTATTTTCGTATGGTATATACATATAGGCGACGCTTGTTTTTGTATTAGTCACCGGTAGAGGGCGCAACATCTGGCTCGGAGGGACTGGGCAAGTCTACGAATCTGATCCAGCGTGCGTGTTGCAATATCTTCAGACAGCGCGTGGACCATCGTTTCTGGCCGCTGATTGGGCCCAGGAAGGCCAGGATCGGAAACCGCAAGCAAGCATGCACAGTGCGCGTTGGCTGAATGGATGAAGGTCGGTATCAATTTACATTGGTCTTTTCTTCATGGCTCTACATGTGACCAGCCAATGTGGTTACGGTTTAATTCATCCTCCGAATAGTGTGATCGTTCTAAGGCAACACAATGGCCCCTTTGTGGCGATGTACCGACACCGGGTGACACCTGGTGTTCTTCTGTGTGCGGTCAAACATGCGTCTTATGCGGCGGTGCGCCTTATCTGTTGGCGTTTGAATTTTTTTGGGTGATTTTAGGGACCTGCGCCTTATCCGCCGCGCGCCTTATCCGCAGGAAATTACGGTACTAACAAACAAACAATAATGAGTGTAAACATGTTAACAATGCTACCACTGAGAGTGCTTGGACAGTTGCAGTTTCCTACAAGATAGTTGAGGTTTCATTGCTTGAATGGATAACAGAAATGTTGTTTCACCTTGTGATAACCACTTTCATCATAGCAAAGGCATTCTGGTGGCAGGACGCAATGAGTACCGTTGAAGACCTTGGGTGGTTTGCAGGCATTGCAGTATTCTGATCCTGAGTACACAGGTGGAACTGTGCACACCACAACATGCATGCAGCATGTAGGCTCACCATGATGGTATGGGTCCATGCACACTAGAAGTGCGGGGGGAAAAAATGCTACTTTAGAGCCAATCCTATCACACAAAGCTCAAAATAAAACACTTCATATTTCCTTTTATTGTTTGAAGGGCCTGCATATGAATAGGCATACTGTAATATGTGTGTGAGAGTATCTTGGGTTATGAGGAGGAAATGGACAAAAGCCTTCAACGTAGGCCTAACTCTATTAAATGCATTTATTTTATTCACACTACAATAATTCCATACACATGAATACAATTAGCCACAGGTGTCTGTTACAAAAGTTGGCATTAAAAGTTTGTTGCACTGACAACAAATACATGTACTTTAGGTCTATATGGAAAAACATATTATTGTTCCTCCAGATTGTTGATTATATTCAGAATTTGATTTAGAGCCCTCCCTATCATTGCCTCCTTCCCAGGTCTTACACGTATGAACAAGCTCCAAAGTCCTACCCTCCCTTGCCCAATAAATGTCAATGTTCTGATTTGGAACTAATGTCTATATCGACTTGTTACCAGATTAAAATGTAAGAGGAAAGAAAGGTTCAGTGAGGCCAGTGCGGTTTGAAGGTTGTATGTGTGTAATGTTTCCCTGGTCCTTACATCAAATACTATCTGACACTACATGTACATACTAAATGATTAGTTGGTTCCCATGTAGACAACATGCAATGTGAACATGTAAATCATACATGTCTCCACATGTGTCCAAATCCGTGTGCACATAGGGTCCAGTAAGACATTTTAAGCTAAATTTTGTCATCTTTTTAGATAATGTCATATCCCAAGACTGTTGGGAATAATCCTGAAAGGAGGCACTATATTACAAGAAAATGAAACACCAAAATTGGGCTATCACATGGAAAATATAGTTCTATTTCTAACATTGCATAGAAGTGTTATAAAACAAAATTACTGCTTTTTAAAATTTTATTACAGCTACACATTAACAAGCATACCTTCTGTTGTGCTAATTGGTATTGTTGTCAGTATTGGTGCTGTGAAGAAAAGGGGGAAAAAAAGCAATATTCCTGAAACAAGTACAAAAAAACTATTCCAGTGCCAAGTTAATCAAAATCAAATCTGGCACAAAACAATAGACAACACGTCCATTGACATTAAAAAAGGCAAGAGTATCACCTAATCTTAATTGTGCGTTTTCTGAAATATTTTTACATACAATCCAAACTGTGGATCTTTTTGTTGATACTGAAGTTTATGAGAAAATTATTAGTTGGAACCTACTTGTTGTTGGTACACACTCACAGCACCTATCAGGATCATCATATTCAACACGTTGTTCTCCCTACAACAAAATATTTGGGAAAGAGTTAAGTTTACCACTTTCATCACAATTAATGCACTACATTTAAAGGTACAGTCCATCATTTTGTTTGTTTGACATGTTTGAAGCAACAAAAGTGCTCAAAATCTAAAGAAGGGAGCTGACCTGATGAAGTTTCAGCTCAGCTTCAGCTGTGTATTTCGAGAAAACCAACATTCTAAAATCTCAGTTCTCACTGAGCCGATTGCAGCTACGCAATGTCACACACTGATCTGACGAAATATAGCAACCGCATGCGCCTGTGCATCCTGTCAATGCTTGGGCACGCTTCGCCGAATAAAAAACGAACTACTAACCACCCCTATCCCCTTACAGAAAATGATACTACAGCAATTTACATACCGGCTGACAGGTCTTGTGGCAATCTTTGTAGCAATAATATGTGTTGTTTTCACAGACACAGGTTTGGCATTCATTTGGTATTAGAGTGGATCCAGTCTATAAACAGAGGAAGTAAAGCAGAATATTTGTTTAAACTGCATGTTGTACCCCTGATGCAGATGCGCAATATACACTCATATGTTCTTGATGCACCACTCTGATGCACACTCTTATTACAGAACTCTAAGGTCTATGCAATATGAGTCTATGGTTGAACATAAAAGATAAGTTCTTTCATTGCAAACAATGTGATATTGGTGCATGTACATTCTCAGCATAAAAATGGAGTTACATGATCTATTGTAAATTTCATCATGCTCTTTAATGTAAAAAAAAAACGCTTATGCAATCAACCTAATCATAATTCAACGTTTAGTTGTTATAAGGCTGAGATAAAAATCTACACAAGAGACATATACCTGACAATATTGTGTCACTGTTGTGCTATAGGGTGTCACTGTTATCTCAGTGGTCGTTTGCTCAGCTGTTGTAGTGATGACCGTGGTTACAACTTCAGTTGTAGTTACAACTACCTCTCTTGTTGTTGTTGGTTGTGCTGATGTCGGTTGAGTTACTGAGTGAGTAAATACAGAAATACGTAACTTGCTTTTTTATTTTGTTAAAATGTTCTTACGAATGCCTGTTTATTCTAGAAGACTGCCTAAGCATTTCAATTATTTCAAGTGCCGATCACAACCTTGGTTTCTATCGTAACCATGGAGCTGCAAGGCAAAACAAATGTTGGCAATTTACCTTTCTCTAATTATGCTGGAATGTCAATGTCGAAATGGCAATGTTTGTCATATAAGATTTTGGCTAGTGAGCTGTTATGCTCATTTTGATCTTGACTAAATCCTCGCCGTCTGTGTTGGGCAACATCATTCAATAGCTCCTGTTTAATGTGGTGTTTAAATCTCTTGTTGGTTGTTGAGATTGAGAGTTGGCCCCGGGCAATAAGAAACATTAAAAAACACCTTTGGTCAGCAAACAATGTATGATATACTACTATCCAATACAATAATATATCTTAATGTCATCCACCTTGAAGTAGGTGACATGAATTTTGCAAAGTTCATATGTTATATATGTACATTACCATTTGTTGTTTGTATTTGCCTACTGGTACATGGAACATTAATGCTTTTACTGTAGGTCAACAAACTGACAACTTACTGAGTGGGCATCCATAAATCTCGACGCGCACTTTTGGAATGTGACTTGAGTTGTAGATGTACACATATACCTCATCCGTAACCACACTGTCTTTAAACTTTTGGACTGTTGGTGTCTCCCGATCCACTGAAAAGGTCTTTTAGAAAATAAAGTATAAGTAACAAGCTTATGATTTCTTTTAATATCTTAAGCACTTGTATACAGTGTATTCAAAACCAATGCTATTTTTTTTTCTTTCCAGTTCTTTTAAAATGTCAGGTGCCATTTACATGAGATTCATATTTTGATACTTTGCTGTATTATTACAGTATGTATGGTATTATTCTAACAAGTTATAGAGGAATAACATCAATAATTTTATGGCAAAGAACAAAGCATCATATTGCTGACAATAACGAAGACTAAATTGATTAGTGGTGTTTTTTTCAATGGAAAGGTGTTGAAGACGGAAATTGGAAAAAAAACCTGGAAAGAAGAACTCATTGACCATTTTAATTTATGTATGTCTTGGCACTTAGAAAAATGGGAACTCACACAGACATGCATATGGATGAGAGTCTGAACACAGATCCTACACACAAGGATTAATGACTCCGCCAAAATCCTGGTTAGACTGTGATAATGGCTCGTACTGGTGGCAAAAACCATGAATACTTGTTAGCAAAGACCCCTGCGCATGGTGGCTTTCAGATTTGCAGGGCTCTGCACCCGATCTGGTGTCGAACTTACTCTGTCAAGCCAGCTAATTATAATTTTGAATATTCACGAGTCTACGTATTTGGTCTTTATTATTTGACTCTGATAAGTGATAACTACATAACCATGTTAATGCCAAGCACAATATCTTTAGCTTTAAAATGAACCAAAAAAAGTTACTTTTGTTTCATCGGTTCGGGATCACTCTCTCTAAAACTTTTTAGTGAAAGCCTAATTAAAAACGAAATTTGGGAAAACAGTGTTCTCCTCGAAATTTGAAGTTTATTTCCCGGGTAAATACTTCATCTATGATGACAAAACCATCTGTTATATCCTGAAGTATTTATTTGTTAACAATTTTGGAATAATTATATCTTACATAAGGAGTAGTTTTGCTTGCAGTTTACATTTTAGATGTCGTGCAAAAACCCCAACACAATGGCACACCTGCAAAATTCGCGATTACGCACCAACGGGTATAAATGCCTGCTATCACACGTCTAACCAATTAAGGAAAGTCCACTCAGTGCATTTTGTACCAGAGCTCAGAACAGTCGTTTATCCTTGTGTGTAGGATCCGTGGTCTGAACACGATAAAAGTGATCACTGATTTCACAGGAGTCAACATTTTATGTGACACCTTACCTCATCTCCATCCAAGGACTCCACATACTGTAAATTACCAGAGACAGTATTTCTGTATATCAAGTGCACTATTAAGTCCTCCACTTGTTGACCATCTCCCGTATCAATAACAGTGACAGCAGTCAATCTACGAAGCTCGTCAAACTGCACCTATGGGAGTCAACATATATATACAGAAGCAATGTTGGTTTTTAAAGATCTGTGCAGCCATGTGGTTGCGTAGGCCTAAGCGTCACCGTTGTTAAACAAAGTTAATCCGATTACATACATGGACACTACTATCAGAGCAGTGAAATTCATGCAGCAAAACACATGGCCTTTTGAATGTTATGTTTTTCTGGGGAAACAAATGCTAAATATGACTGAAAGATAAATTATAATGTAAGAAAAAAAATTCTAAATTTTATGTCAGTGAACAAAATATTGATGCCAAAACGTCATTACTGGAACGTGCATGCAGTCAAGTTGGCTGACTTGGGGGCAACAATGATGAAGCTCACATTAGCATTTTCATTAGCGTGACTTGGCATGACTTTTCGTGGGTCTCGAAATGGACCAATGGAAGCCGGCAAAAAGGGTGATATTTATTAATAGCTCGTTAAGAACGCAATACTCCACAATTTTACTGCACACCACAATGGATAGGAACCTTATTACTATTCATGAGGCTTGACAAGATTAAAAGATATTGCAAACACCAGTGTAACTGAAAAATAAACGTACCCAAGCATATTTTTTCAATTTCAATGAAAAATAATGATCATATCAAAATGATGTTTAGCACTTAGTTGGATCATTATAAGGAGAAAAACCCTAAAAGTTGCATGAAGATATGGTCTTCCCAAGTAAAAAAATTACTTTGCAAAGATTTCTCCAGCAAACATCCACATGTCTGTGTGCATGTTGTTTCATTCAAAATCAAGTATTACGTATCATGGCTGTGTGGACTGACTTAAAGCGATGACGCTTTTTATTGTCATCTTTTTCTTTAACTGCAGGTTTCAGTATTAAAAAAATATCTAAAAAATGGGAGCAGTAAGGCAAAAAATACTGCAATTAATGAGACTTGCGCAATCCCCCTGGCATGCTGGCAGTTTTTTGATAAAGTCAGTGTTGTAGTTGAGTACTTTTTGCCGAGTACCAAGTACCTAGGTTGCCGAGTATGAGTTCGAGTACTTGTGCTTCCGAGTACAAGAACAGGTCTCCGAGTACGAGTACTTGAACGTCCAAGTACAAGTACGAGTACGAGTACTTGTACGTACGAGTACGAGTACGAGTACTTGTATTTTCAAATACGGCACCAGGAACATTGTGCTTAAAGCTTAAAATTATATGTACTGTTAATCACTTGCAATACAAACTAGGGTTCGTCTTTGTAAGCTTTTTCAATTATTTGAAATTAATTTGTTTTTTAAATCGGCAACAGCAGTCTCAAATCAATGTACACTGTAAATGCATTTTCCAAGGAAATACTACACAGCTGAGACACAGACATGAAAGTTTAGGTCAACTGTCATATAATACAATTAATGTACAGTGTTGTGCATTTAATTGGCTTCGACTGTGTCTCTTTCTCCATTCATGTGGATTGGCAATGGGGCTGGACCCGTATTACAAGACCAAAACCAGGTTCAGAAAACTGCTTTGCTCCAATCACCCAAGTTAATTGTACGCCCATTTTGAGGAACACCTCGACGTACAATGTGTACAATGATTGGCCAATGTGCTCACATACAGCAAATCATCATTGTGCGTAACTGGCCCAGGCCCAGTCAGACCTACATACAGACCCAGCCACGGCTACCTGTTAATTGTGTTTGTCTGGAGAAAACTCTCGACTTCTCCGCAAACGACCAATTGAAACTGAAAGTATTGATACAATAAGGCCGTGGTAACGTAAGTGATATACTATTTTTTTTTATCAAGTACCGCTATTTGAGTACGAGTACTTTGTTTTATCGAGTACTGTTATTCGAGTACGAGTACTTTGATGATCGAGTACAATTTCGACACGTGCGAGTACGAGTACTTCACTGCTCAAGGAAGAGTGCCGTCATATCGAGTATGAATACTTTGACATTCCAGTATGAGTACAAGTGCCCCAAAAAGTACTTGAGTAGTACTCCAGTACAAGTAACGAGTACGAGTACTACAACACTGGATAAAGTCAGTGTCCCTAACCAAAATGGAAGATTTCCATTGTTTTAGTAAGAGTGACCTTGACCTTTAAACTCTCAGCCCAAATCAACAGGCGTGATAAGACTACCAAGAGCAACCCACAAACCAAATTTGAAGTTCCTCATGCAGCAAAGTATTGCTCAAGCATTTGTGCTTAGCTGACAATATTTCCATTGTTTTAGCAATATTGACCTTGACCTTTGACCTGTCAGCCCCAAAAGGAAGAATCTTCTTAAGACTTTCAAGAACAACCTACAACCCCAATTTGAAGTTCCTCGGTTAAGTATTTCTCAAGCATTCGTGCTGAATATTTTTCCATTGTTTTAGAAATATTGACCTTGACATCTGGCCTGTCAGCCCCAAATCAATAGGCGTGATAAGGCTATCTTCTTAAGTTACCACGTTGACAAGATTTCTATTGTTTTAGTAATATTGACCTTGACCTTTGACCTGTCGACCCAAAAGCGATTGGCTTTTTAAGACTACCAAGAAAAACCCATAAACCAAACTTCAAGTTCCTAAGTAGAGTATTTCTGAAGTTACCATGTTGACAATGGTACCGTTAATTTTATACTTTTTTTTAGCAGTATAGTGACCTTGACCTTTGACCTGTCAGGCCCCAAAATCAATGGGCTTTGAAGAATATCAAGAACAACCAAAACCTAACCAAAACATAACACACACACAAACAGATACATACTGAAATTTGTATCCTTGTGGAGTCATTTCTTTGTTCTCGTCTACTAAATTTTTTGAGTTTGAAATTGCCCTATGGAGATACAATCTTTTGTTTCCTATTGTGCACATGTCACTAGAGGGTACCATGTTACAGATCATACATACAGACACACGCATACACACAGAAGGAACACGCTATCGCAATATCCCCCTCCGGCTTACAGCCAGGGGGATAAAAAGGCAACCTCCCACATAGATCGTGTAGAATTTCTCGAACCTGTAAATAACTGAATGCTTTCTAGTCTACTTGGGACGTGGCCAGAGCAAAATAATCCATTGAGCCACTCACACATGCCTACTAAGCCCCAAACAACCATCGAGTCATTTATACCAAATCAACAACATTGTGAGACGACATGTTTGAGCTGTGCAATAGAGTATCTGTTGACAATATTCTGTTGACTATGATAAATGGATGTAAAACCCTCTCCAGCAGTAAAGATTTGACTTACTTTAATCAAACCATGTTCTGCAGTAAAAGTCCATGCTGTTCCATTGAGCAACCCCAGTGATGGGTCATTGTTGTCCACTGGTATGTTGCCATCGGTGAATGAAATATTTCGTGCAATCTGCCCATCCGGATCCATCAGCAATGGATACTGACAAACTTTGATAAAATTAATTGCAGTAAGAATGTAGTTACAGACATATTTTGAACTCTGTAAATGTTACAAATCACAGAATTGACAAACTGAAATAAGCAGCCCGTTTTCTTTTATGTAAAGCAAAGTAAAAACAGAAAACAATATTACTCTTATTACTATTGTAATTTTACAGTGCGAAAAACAAGAAGCTGACAATCATAACTTGAACATAAAATCAAAAGTTCAGAGACAATTTCATATTTTTCTTCAAAATTGTATAGATGGTGATAAAATAATTGCGACTGCTTAGGCTACTTTTTTTGCAGCCTCTTGTATGTAAAATAGGTACTTTTATTATTTTGTTGGTTCATGTAATGAATGCAACTTGAGGTTACACTTGTTCCTACCTGGTGATGTTGTAGTGGGGCCAGATGTAGACGGGGCAGTTGTTGTAGTCCGCTCTGTTGAAAAATATGTCACGCATACATGTACAAATAGCTGAAATCTTTTCTTTAATAACACATTTCATACAACAAATAACACAAAGAAGAAGATGCCATTTAAACTTCATTGAGATTAACTCCATTTTCATGTTTTATGATCGTGCAAAGTTGAAAGAACACATTAAAGATACATGTAGACTTATTTGCTAAAATCTCTGGTGTTAACCTGGCCTATATCACACAGCTCTTGGATCCTCTCTTATCTGGACTGTAGGCCTTATATCACCCAACAATGATGACGACTATTCCCTGGTAGATAAAGATCTATCTTGGATCCTCTCTTGTCAGTATTCACATGTTTATCTTTGATGGTTGAATAAGTGAATGTGCTGTTGATCCCCTTAACCCCCCCCCCCCCCCCCCCACAATCCTAGTTTTCATTACTAAGATTACACAGTGACCATTCCTTTACTGATCAGTGGGGTAAACATTGAGATTGTGCAAAATTACAAATCCTTGGGAACAATGATTGACAGCAAGCTAGATTGGAGAGAACACTCCCTCACAGCAAAGGGAAATCAGAGGTTATATTTCCTGCGTGAGCTACTTTCTATTCGGGTCATTATGAATCTTGTTTACACCTTGGTCAAATAGAAAGTGTCATCATTCACGACTGTGCAGTTTGGTACAATGGAGCAATGAAACAACTATCAAATATTGGGGGAATGGAATTTGGGTGAAGTCTGCAGGGAGAGGATACTATCTAAGGCTCTAAGTGTGGTGGAAAATGGTGTGCATCCCCTCAATACATATTTCAAAATGCTTAGTAGTGGTAGGAGATTTCAGTCAGTAAGGGCAAGAACAAACCGGTATCTCAATTCATTTGTACCGTTTCAAAACATCTCCTCAATGATCAGCATCGATGCAACTAACATCTTTAACTACACGTATCTTATCAATATTACCCTTTCCAAAACAGTCAGGTTTTCAAATTGTTTTTCCACATCTGTAATTTTGACAAATATGCTTAAATATTTATTGTCATAGTATTTGTAAGTATATTGTAAGTTACTTACTTAATTTTCTGGATTTTATGTATTGCATGTGACGGAAACAAATTTCCCGGAAAGAACACTAAATTGAAGTTGAATTGAAATTGGAATGTAAAGGCCCTTTGCATACAGAAGCAATTTTAGATTCAAACCAACCATGGAGTTATAAAACGGATGAAGCAACTCAGTCGTTCTCCAACTCATCCGCTGTGCCAACTTGACCATTCCGACTTGTCTGTTGACCAACTTGACTTAAAATAAGGAGTCATCTCGAACATTTGCCAACTCGTCTGTTGTATAACTCAACTTAAACCATTGCTATGACGTCACACTATTGTTAAAAGTGTGGATTCGGATCTACGAATCTCTTACACTGGTCACAAAGTGTGGATTTGGAACGAAGAATCTTTAGTAAAGTGTGGATTCGGAATTACGAATCCACACTTTGAAAACGTCGGACAATTGTTCTCCATAATGAGCATGAATAGGACCGTCTGCGTGAAAATTTGCTTTCCGAAAATTACCAATGCATCTTCACTGTCAGCTTTTCCGCCGTCACTGCAAAATTTACTTTTAAATTAGTCAGAAAGAAATCGTCGTCTCAACTATCCATTTTGACGTATGTGGCGATACACATGCTAAACACGCCAGGAAACAATGTTGCAACCTGACGCCACTTCCGCACTTGTGTACAACGTTTATGGAGAGTCATTTCAAGTATTTCCTAACAATTTTGGAAACGTTTATCAGTCCCAGATTCATGTCTTATTATCAATTTTGCAACAAATGGCCTTCATTGAGATGATATATGAAGAAAAAAGTGGCGTCAGGTTGCAGCATTCTTTCTTATACTTCTGTTGACGCAATGGTTTAAGTCGAAGAATACACTCGCAAGTGTGGATTCTTAATTTACGAATTCACACTTTCTCGTGTATTCTCCTTAACTTAAAACATGGAACTAGTCAACTTGACCAACAAAATAAGTTTGAGTTTTGTGTCTTTGATTCTTCCAGTTGTAAGAGCTGCATTCTTTTGCGAGCTGGGCAATATGTGAAGCGAGCAGCTTTATCTGGGACAATTTTGTTACCAACATTGTATATGCAAGATAATTGTCGCTTTGGTGCATGACAATTATATTGTTTTGTTCTTGGTAAACCTATACACTTACACAAAGTTGGAGATAGTTCTTTCAGTTTATACAGCATTTCCAATAAGAGTCTGTCAATCAATTTCAGTCATCATCACTGATTGATCAGATCCTTAATCAATGGGCCAGCAGCCATGCATCCTCCACAGACACACCTGCTCAATATCACAGAAGACCAATCAACTTGAAGTAGAAAGTTGCTGTCTGTCAACTTGTCATGTCAACGGCCTAACCCTTTGGGGGTTTAGGGCCGCACTTAAGTAAAAACAAGAACTGATATGAAAATAAAAATATAAAAATTATTCACTTTCGAATAAGCTATCCAACAAAAAATCTAGCAAACATACGTTATTAAATTGTTTCTTTACCAAATTTGAAATATTTCAGGGCCGGTCCTACTTCAGGATTGAATTTAAATTATCTGGACTGACTGTAGGCCTTAATATTTATGTTATTTTTGTTGCTTTTTCATCTGTTTCTTTATTATCTGTTTATTAAATGAAGTTTTTCTCCCTTTTAATTATTATTACCTTTGAATTTTGTCTATAATAAATTTTATAATTGTTATTATATTGATATTGCTTCTTAACATTTCCTCCGCACCTTAAAGACCACCGCACTCTTCACATTACAGCTACAAACAGATCCAGAACAGCATCTCTGCAAACATCCATTCAGAAAGCAAGAATGATGTGAATAGCCACATCGTAAAAATAAAATGGGCACATGGTCTGATCTGGGGAAGTCAGGTTGGCGTAGCGGTACTTTCCCCGCTCTGATTCGAATCCCGCCTAAGCCAACATATGGATTGGGTTTTCATGGGTTCCCCCCAGATTATTCTTCTGGTGTTTCCTCCCACCTCTAAAACTGTAATTGCTTCTCATTGTCTTCTCTCCACAGATTTTTCAGGCTTGTGAGCTTCAGTGCCTAGGGTGCTTTTGAGAAACCCTTGGTTACCAGAAACAAGTAAAAATAATAATAACAATAACCAAGCAGACGAGTGCTTTGCTGTTCCTGTGCTGCTATACAGTTTTGGCGTTATGTAATGGCAGATAGATGAGATACGGCTTTTGGACAATATAACAAGTAATTCTTTTAGACTGGGGGGTTGGGGGCTGGGCTATTGAATCATCCATCCATGGGCTATTGAATCATGATGAAAAAACAAATTGAGGCATTTCAAAGTATTTTACAACCAAAATGTATTCAACAGCACTGAAAAACAGAAAACACTTTTTAAATGTGCCATTTTGACGTAAGCGAGAGTATACATATTGATATACAATTATATCCTGAAGAGCGCCACCTAGTGTAATGTGGTGGGTCCCCCCCCCCCCCCCTTAGATCTTCCAAGGCCGGTCAATTTTGGATTTTGGTCACCCCCATCCCCCCACTCGCCTGCAAAGATTTACGCCACTTCCTCAAAAAAATTTAACATGACAGCAGGCTCATCCACTTCATAACCAAACAGGCGAGTGCAATCTGCCAGAAAGCTGACATTGGCGTCCTCTGTCCTTCATCAAAACTGGAGTACCGTCAAACAACGCCGTGAGGCTAAAATCATTGAAGTCAGCATTCCTGCAGACGGCAAAATCAGAACGAAGTTTGCCAAAAAACAAGACAAACACCAAGACCTGAGAATGGAGATCCAGAAAATGTGGCACGTCAAGGCCACCATACATCCTGTCATCATCGGTTCAACTGGTCTCATGCTGAAGGACACAGTCCAACAGGCTGAACACCTTGGGTACAGACACACCTTCTCCAACGGACAGTCATCCTCCAAACATGCAACATCACCCGTTGCTTCCTAAACCAAACCATTTAGCTCCTGGTGCATCATCAACTGCGATGCAAACCTACAGCGGCAGAGTAGCTAAAATGTTTTTCTTTGGACTAATCATAGTCTTGAAAAACTGTATTCCGCTGGCTGATAAAGCTTTGTTAACTAGAAATAATAATACTTATAACTCTGGATTGCAGGATAGGGCGACACTTCCATAGAAACGTGCACAAAATTTTTCAAACTTTAATGTGACCTAACCCAATTTTACCTAATCAGATCCCAACCAAGTTTGATATGTGTACATTTTCACGAGCAATCGATCTAGCCCAATTGCGACCATACAATTCCTTTGCTAAAGGGTAGTTACCTCAAAAAAGGGACACCCAAAGTGTCGCCCTTACTAATAATAATTATAAATATAAATTCATGCTAATAATAATTATCACCCTGGATTAGACATTTGGGAGACATCCCCATAGACTTGTGCACAACATTTTTCAAAGTTAAATGTGCCCTAACCCAATATTCCCTTGTCCTTTTTCCACAAATTTTGGTATGTTTACTAATTAGACAACGAGCAACAAACAGGCCTATAATCTAATTGCGACAGTAAAATTTTGCCTCTAAAAGGGAGCTGTGACATTAGGGAGACATGAAAAAAGTCAATTTCAGGTCTCTCACGATTGATTTCATATTGATTTTCAAAGATTAAATCTAGAAATCTGTAATTGCTTCATTTGCTTGTAATTTTATAAACGATGAAGTCACAATGACGTTGTTACATTTTATGCATCTTCAGTTGGTTTTGCATTTATGTATTCAAATTGAAGTTGGTATCAGTTTTCATGTTGACAAACAGTTCTGGAGACGCAGTGGCTGAGGAGAATAATAATAATAGTGAAGTCTTACATTAAAAATAGGACACCGAACAAGTTGGACAAAGGAGGATAGAATTTTCAGTGGGAAGCACGGCGGTCCAATTGGCACAATGGTCACAATGTCAAATGGTCCAGTTGTTTTGAGTTGACGAGATACCTATAAAATGTCAATGCTGTTACCGATTAGCTGGTTCCCAATCCCTATTCTTTAGTTATCATTTCATTCGGCAAGAACCTGTCTAGTCTATAGCTAGGTGCTAAGCAAAGATGCTACAGGGCCGTAGGCACTGTAGTCAAAATCAACGTCAAAATATTTTTCAGATGAGTTTTTGTAAGTCATTTAAGGGCAATGTGAATATGTTTTTGCCATACACAACTCAAGTCTCATTTCAAAATATGACTTCAACATGTAAACAATTATATTTGTATTCACTCTGTAAAGTTGCAGCAGTGTGGCATGGCTGGGTTTATTCTCGCCTATGACTGAGTCCTTCAAAGGTTCCAAAAAAAGACTAGGTTATTATCTCCCTCAGCTACTCATTTTGAGGATCAGACATTCATGTCTGCAGAGCCACGGTTCAACGTCTGATATATCCTAAAGTACCAATTTTATGCACCCCGAATGTTAACCAATCAGAGTTCGATTTCAAAACTGTGACTACAGAAATGTGGACTAAGCTGTTGATTGGTCAATTGAATGCTCAGAATCTTACAGTATTTTCGGCATAATTAGCTGCTGAATCTGCTCGCATATCATAGACAGGCATGCAACTGGGAAGTCACACAAAAAAAGAGGAAATTCAAATCTTTCCAAGACTTTGTAATGTTTTTTTACTTCTAATGGCACACATGGGAAGTAAAAATATAAGGAAATCAGATGATCTGAGGAAAAGTTGCATGCCTGCTTAGATCCTTGTTGTGTAAGGGGCAATTCCATACACTAAACTGACCCATTGTGCGGGTAAACGTTTCCAAATCTGAGGGCTAACTTGCAGCATTAGTTTGTATTCCCAAATTATAAAAGGTTTGGCGAGACAATTGATTTTGAACCATCCGACGGTAAATGAACCATTGGGGCCTAACAACGAATGCACTAAAGGTCCATTTAGGAAATATCCTTGTGGTTCAAAAGCACGCATCTCAAGGATGTCAGCAATGCAAAGGATGTTTTCTCAGAAACAATTCAAGCAAGCTCTTACCAGGAAGTGCACAGCCGTTAAATACCACAAAGAAGTTGTCATTGGCGTCTGGATTGATGATGTAGACTTCCACCTCCACCATGGATAGCGGGCCATCAGAAAGTAGAATCTTTTGTCCAAAAGTGCCCACAAATACCGATGAACCTTCTGGGTTCAATAGGGGTATCAGGTCAGTCCTCTCATATGGTTTGAATTTAAATGCCACCTCAGTTAGTCCAGAGTTTCCACTATCCTTGTGGATTGTGACAGATGTCACATTAACTCTTGGAGTAAAAGTCACCCTCAAGGAGGACCCTGAGTATGGCATTGATGGGTTAGGAGGGCTGCTTGGCCTCCATGCGTCTTCTGGACCAATAGAGGCACCACTCTCAGTAGTTCTGCTCACAGACACTTCATTGGATCTGTCCAGGTTTTCATCACACACCACCTCAGTTGTTGTTTCAATGGTTGTGCTTGCTGCTAGGAAGAATAAATATGGCAATATCAATAACTTGAAATAAAGGTGAAAATATCAATACATAACTTGTTATTATGAACCATCACTCGGGAACAAGCTGCAGTATAATATCCCCGACTCCAATTGGATTGTGGTTTTCTTTGTGCATTTTGACCATTTGTTGTAGTGGAATAACTGGTTATTCAATGTTTACCACCATTCAGCAATTGTTGTATAGGTTTCCGTATTTCACGATATTTTCTCCAGTTTTCTAATGTGGACTTTTCAGTGTGAATAAGGCAAGTCAACGTAACAACTGTGTTTTAATGCTAGCCTTTACCCTTACAAATCTGCATGGTTAACATGTTGTTTTATACAATTGGAATAAAATTTGCCCTTTCCAGAAGGATTCAGATAAAAAAAACTGTTCAATTTCGATTTCATCTAACACAGACATATGTGTTATTCTAAAACCTCTGAATATTATTCTTAAAAATTATATTGTTTCCTCACTGCACAATACCATACAGTATCAAATGTTTTAATGCTAGTATAAGACAAGAAATCCACCATATCATTTGAGTAGGCTTATGCTACCTATTGAGTAATCTTTATTTCAGATCTTACCTGTAGTTGTTGGAACAGCTACTGTAGTTGGAGGGACTATAGGAAAATTCAAAAGGCAACAGTTTTACAAAAGTTTGCTAAAAACACTGAAAGTCTAGAATGACAGTTAGATAATTGTCAAAGGCGAGTTGATTTCTGTAAAAAGGCAAAATCAGATCCATCACAGTTGATTTTCAATTGATTTTCAAAGATCAATCACATGCTCTCACTTTGAACATACCGGTATATGCACACCTACTGCATTGTAAACTGATCAAGAGCAATCATTAAAAAAAAAAAAAAAAAAAAATAGCTCACATTCCTTAATGTAAAGGTCGCAGACAAGTAATTTTTTTTCAAAATGTACAACCTAGCCAGAGACAAACTTCATTGAAAGCAATTTCACATCTTTTTCCACTATCAAATTATGAGGCACTTCCAGTTTGGTCTGGAAGGAAGGGTCATGTGATTTGACACACAAGATAAAATAAAGATCCTGGATTATTCTATCGATTCCCGCAAAAGTCAATTTCAGGTCTCTCATGGTTGATTTTATATTGATTTTCAAAGATTAAATCTAGAAATCTTTAATTGCTTCATTTGCTTCTTATTATATAAATGATGACGTCACAATGACATTAGTACGTCAAAATGTTTTTTAGATGCGTTTTTGTAAGTCATTTAAGGGCAATGTGAATATGTTTTTGCCGTACACAACTCAAGTCTCATTTCAAAATTTGACTTCAACATGTAAACAATTATATTTGTATTCACTCTGTAAAGTTGCAGCAGTGTGGCATGGCTGGGTTTATTCTCGCCTATGACTGAGTCCTTCCACTGGTTCCAAAAAAAGACTAGGTTATTATCTCCCTCAGCTACTCGTTTTGAGGATCAGACATTCATGTCTGCAGAGCCACGGTTCAACGTCTGATATATCCTAAAGTACCAATTTTATGCTCCCCCGAATGTTAACCAATCAGAGTCCGATTTCAAAACTGTGACTTCAGAAATGTGGACTAAGCTGTTGATTGGTCAATTGAATGCTCAGAATCTTACGGATTTTTTGGCATAATTAGCTGCTGAATCTGCTCGCATATAATACAGAGATGAAACTGGCATATGGCAAAAAAATCGGAAAATAGGCCAAACAAAGATATGTGTCCGAAATCTGGGCCGCTCTGCCATTACACACATGTACATGTACATATACAATACACTTCATGCCCAATTTCCGGACACCAACACCTGCTTTATTTTCGATTCAAACAAAATTTTACGATGAAAAAAAAAAGGTCAGTGGTTTCATTGCATAAAATGCCTGAATTACGGTAAGAGTAATGGAGTCATCAATAAAGAAGTTCACTTCTTCCTTGAGAAAGTCAAGGGAAAAGTCCAAAAGACAAGGGCACCGTTCATGGTGCTTCAATCATGTCCATGATTCAACCACACAACTCCACTACTCCACTTGCATTCATACGTGGGAAAAAATCAGGCATTATCGTCTTTCTCTTCCAACAAATGCCAGTGAAATGTTTCGCTAATGCTCTCTTCGCTATCCTCGAGATAATCATCATGATTTTTAAAGCACTGCATTTTGTACAACTAAATCTGAAACCTCTGGAAATCGCACAACATAATGATTTTATCCACTGGATCGTTCACAATTAAGGCTACCCGTTCCCTACCGGCCATGTGCTAGTGGTACGGTGTGGTACGTACGCTGTACCATTGCATATTCGCACGCACATGCTACACAGTGATTTTCCATGTCGCCCGTCAATGTTTAACCTTTTGTCCAGCCGGAGAAGGCTCCAATCAGTGTTATGCCCTGTGTTTCTACCGTTGAAACACTCCAATAACGACTGGTGAAAGAGATTAAACTACGTTGGCGATGATTTTAACGTGCCATTTCCATCGACTTTTCTTCAAAATTATGATTGAAATAAAATGACTTTTTGTGAAAAAATCGTTAGAAAATCAAATTTTCTGGGACATACTGTAAAAAAATCGGAAATTTCGTTGGAAAATTTAAAAAGTCAGATTTCCGATTAAAATCGGAAAAGTTTCATCTCTGGTCATAGACAGGCATCCAACTGGGAAGTCACTCAAAAAAGAGGAAATTCAAATCTTTCCAAGACTTTGTCATGTTTTTTTACTTCTAATGGCACACATGGGAAGTAAAAAAAAGAGGAAATCAGCTGATCTGAGGAAAATTGCATGCCTGCTTAAATCCTTGTTGTGTAAGGGGCAATTCCATACACTAAACTGACCCATTGTGCGGGTAAACGTTTCCAAATCTGAGGGCTAACTTGCAGCATTAGTTTGTATTCCCAAATTATAAAAGGTTTGGCGAGACAATTGATTTTGAACCATCCGACGGTAAATGAACCATTGGGGCCTAACAACGAATGCACTAAAGGTCCATTTAGGAAATATCCTTGTGGTTCAAAAGCACGCATCTCAAGGATGTCAGCAATGCAAAGGATGTTTTCTCAGAAACAATTCAAGCAAGCTCTTACCAGGAAGTGCACAGCCGTTAAATACCACAAAGAAGTTGTCATTGGCGTCTGGATTGATGATGTAGACTTCCACCTCCACCATGGATAGCGGGCCATCAGAAAGTAGAATCTTTTGTCCAAAAGTGCCCACAAATACCGATGAACCTTCTGGGTTCAATAGGGGTATCAGGTCAGTCCTCTCATATGGTTTGAATTTAAATGCCACCTCAGTTAGTCCAGAGTTTCCACTATCCTTGTGGATTGTGACAGATGTCACATTAACTCTTGGAGTAAAAGTCACCCTCAAGGAGGACCCTGAGTATGGCATTGATGGGTTAGGAGGGCTGCTTGGCCTCCATGCGTCTTCTGGACCAATAGAGGCACCACTCTCAGTAGTTCTGCTCACAGACACTTCATTGGATCTGTCCAGGTTTTCATCACACACCACCTCAGTTGTTGTTTCAATGGTTGTGCTTGCTGCTAGGAAGAATAAATATGGCAATATCAATAACTTGAAATAAAGGTGAAAATATCAATACATAACTTGTTATTATGAACCATCACTCGGGAACAAGCTGCAGTATAATATCCCCGACTCCAATTGGATTGTGGTTTTCTTTGTGCATTTTGACCATTTGTTGTAGTGGAATAACTGGTTATTCAATGTTTACCACCATTCAGCAATTGTTGTATAGGTTTCCGTATTTCACGATATTTTCTCCAGTTTTCTAATGTGGACTTTTCAGTGTGAATAAGGCAAGTCAACGTAACAACTGTGTTTTAATGCTAGCCTTTACCCTTACAAATCTGCATGGTTAACATGTTGTTTTATACAATTGGAATAAAATTTGCCCTTTCCAGAAGGATTCAGATAAAAAAAACTGTTCAATTTCGATTTCATCTAACACAGACATATGTGTTATTCTAAAACCTCTGAATATTATTCTTAAAAATTATATTGTTTCCTCACTGCACAATACCATACAGTATCAAATGTTTTAATGTTAGTATAAGACAAGAAATCCAACATATCATTTGAGTAGGCTTATGCTACCTATTGAGTAATCTTTATTTCAGATCTTACCTGTAGTTGTTGGAACAGCTACTGTAGTTGGAGGGACTATAGGAAAAATTCAAAAGGCAACAGTTTTACAAAAGTTTGCTAAAAACACTGAAAGTCTAGAATGACAGTTAGATAATTGTCAAAGGCGAGTTGATTTCTGTAAAAAGGCAAAATCAGATCCATCACAGTTGATTTTCAATTGATTTTCAAAGATCAATCACATGCTCTCACTTTGAACATACCGGTATATGCACACCTACTGCATTGTAAACTGATCAAGAGCAATCATTAAAAAAAAAAAATTAAAAAAAATAGCTCACATTCCTTAATGTAAAGGTCGCAGACAAGTAATTTTTTTTCAAAATGTACAACCTAGCCAGAGACAAACTTCATTGAAAGCAATTTCACATCTTTTTCCACTATCAAATTATGAGGCACTTCCAGTTTGGTCTGGAAGGAAGGGTCATGTGATTTGACACACAAGATAAAATAAAGATCCTGGATTATTCTATCGATTCCCGCAAAAGTCAATTTCAGGTCTCTCACGGTTGATTTTATATTGATTTTCAAAGATTAAATCTAGAAATCTTTAATTGCTTCATTTGCTTCTTATTATATAAATGATGACGTCACAATGACATTAGTACGTCAAAATGTTTTTTAGATGCATTTTTGTAAGTCATTTAAGGGCAATGTGAATATGTTTTTGCCGTACACAACTCAAGTCTCATTTCAAAATTTGACTTCAACATGTAAACAATTATATTTGTATTCACTCTGTAAAGTTGCAGCAGTGTGGCATGGCTGGGTTTATTCTCGCCTATGACTGAGTCCTTCCACTGGTTCCAAAAAAAGACTAGGTTATTATCTCCCTCAGCTACTCGTTTTGAGGATCAGACATTCATGTCTGCAGAGCCACGGTTCAACGTCTGATATATCCTAAAGTACCAATTTTATGCTCCCCGAATGTTAACCAATCAGAGTCCGATTTCAAAACTGTGACTTCAGAAATGTGGACTAAGCTGTTGATTGGTCAATTGAATGCTCAGAATCTTACGGATTTTTTGGCATAATTAGCTGCTGAATCTGCTCGCATATAATACAGAGATGAAACTGGCATATGGCAAAAAAATCGGAAAATAGGCCAAACAAAGATATGTGTCCGAAATCTGGGCCGCTCTGCCATTACACACATGTACATGTACATATACAATACACTTCATGCCCAATTTCCGGACACCAACACCTGCTTTATTTTCGATTCAAACAAAATTTTACGATGAAAAAAAAAAGGTCAGTGGTTTCATTGCATAAAATGCCTGAATTACGGTAAGAGTAATGGAGTCATCAATAAAGAAGTTCACTTCTTCCTTGAGAAAGTCAAGGGAAAAGTCCAAAAGACAAGGGCACCGTTCATGGTGCTTCAATCATGTCCATGATTCAACCACACAACTCCACTACTCCACTTGCATTCATACGTGGGAAAAAATCAGGCATTATCGTCTTTCTCTTCCAACAAATGCCAGTGAAATGTTTCGCTAATGCTCTCTTCGCTATCCTCGAGATAATCATCATGATTTTTAAAGCACTGCATTTTGTACAACTAAATCTGAAACCTCTGGAAATCGCACAACATAATGATTTTATCCACTGGATCGTTCACAATTAAGGCTACCCGTTCCCTACCGGCCATGTGCTAGTGGTACGGTGTGGTACGTACGCTGTACCATTGCATATTCGCACGCACATGCTACACAGTGATTTTCCATGTCGCCCGTCAATGTTTAACCTTTTGTCCAGCCGGAGAAGGCTCCAATCAGTGTTATGCCCTGTGTTTCTACCGTTGAAACACTCCAATAACGACTGGTGAAAGAGATTAAACTACGTTGGCGATGATTTTAACGTGCCATTTCCATCGACTTTTCTTCAAAATTATGATTGAAATAAAATGACTTTTTGTGAAAAAATCGTTAGAAAATCAAATTTTCTGGGACATACTGTAAAAAAATCGGAAATTTCGTTGGAAAATTTAAAAAGTCAGATTTCCGATTAAAATCGGAAAAGTTTCATCTCTGGTCATAGACAGGCATCCAACTGGGAAGTCACTCAAAAAAGAGGAAATTCAAATCTTTCCAAGACTTTGTCATGTTTTTTTACTTCTAATGGCACACATGGGAAGTAAAAAAAAGAGGAAATCAGCTGATCTGAGGAAAATTGCATGCCTGCTTAAATCCTTGTTGTGTAAGGGGCAATTCCATACACTAAACTGACCCATTGTGCGGGTAAACGTTTCCAAATCTGAGGGCTAACTTGCAGCATTAGTTTGTATTCCCAAATTATAAAAGGTTTGGCGAGACAATTGATTTTGAACCATCCGACGGTAAATGAACCATTGGGGCCTAACAACGAATGCACTAAAGGTCCATTTAGGAAATATCCTTGTGGTTCAAAAGCACGCATCTCAAGGATGTCAGCAATGCAAAGGATGTTTTCTCAGAAACAATTCAAGCAAGCTCTTACCAGGAAGTGCACAGCCGTTAAATACCACAAAGAAGTTGTCATTGGCGTCTGGATTGATGATGTAGACTTCCACCTCCACCATGGATAGCGGGCCATCAGAAAGTAGAATCTTTTGTCCAAAAGTGCCCACAAATACCGATGAACCTTCTGGGTTCAATAGGGGTATCAGGTCAGTCCTCTCATATGGTTTGAATTTAAATGCCACCTCAGTTAGTCCAGAGTTTCCACTATCCTTGTGGATTGTGACAGATGTCACATTAACTCTTGGAGTAAAAGTCACCCTCAAGGAGGACCCTGAGTATGGCATTGATGGGTTAGGAGGGCTGCTTGGCCTCCATGCGTCTTCTGGACCAATAGAGGCACCACTCTCAGTAGTTCTGCTCACAGACACTTCATTGGATCTGTCCAGGTTTTCATCACACACCACCTCAGTTGTTGTTTCAATGGTTGTGCTTGCTGCTAGGAAGAATAAATATGGCAATATCAATAACTTGAAATAAAGGTGAAAATATCAATACATAACTTGTTATTATGAACCATCACTCGGGAACAAGCTGCAGTATAATATCCCCGACTCCAATTGGATTGTGGTTTTCTTTGTGCATTTTGACCATTTGTTGTAGTGGAATAACTGGTTATTCAATGTTTACCACCATTCAGCAATTGTTGTATAGGTTTCCGTATTTCACGATATTTTCTCCAGTTTTCTAATGTGGACTTTTCAGTGTGAATAAGGCAAGTCAACGTAACAACTGTGTTTTAATGCTAGCCTTTACCCTTACAAATCTGCATGGTTAACATGTTGTTTTATACAATTGGAATAAAATTTGCCCTTTCCAGAAGGATTCAGATAAAAAAAACTGTTCAATTTCGATTTCATCTAACACAGACATATGTGTTATTCTAAAACCTCTGAATATTATTCTTAAAAATTATATTGTTTCCTCACTGCACAATACCATACAGTATCAAATGTTTTAATGTTAGTATAAGACAAGAAATCCAACATATCATTTGAGTAGGCTTATGCTACCTATTGAGTAATCTTTATTTCAGATCTTACCTGTAGTTGTTGGAACAGCTACTGTAGTTGGAGGGACTATAGGAAAATTCAAAAGGCAACAGTTTTACAAAAGTTTGCTAAAAACACTGAAAGTCTAGAATGACAGTTAGATAATTGTCAAAGGCGAGTTGATTTCTGTAAAAAGGCAAAATCAGATCCATCACAGTTGATTTTCAATTGATTTTCAAAGATCAATCACATGCTCTCACTTTGAACATACCGGTATATGCACACCTACTGCATTGTAAACTGATCAAGAGCAATCATTAAAAAAAAAAAATTAAAAAAAATAGCTCACATTCCTTAATGTAAAGGTCGCAGACAAGTAATTTTTTTTCAAAATGTACAACCTAGCCAGAGACAAACTTCATTGAAAGCAATTTCACATCTTTTTCCACTATCAAATTATGAGGCACTTCCAGTTTGGTCTGGAAGGAAGGGTCATGTGATTTGACACACAAGATAAAATAAAGATCCTGGATTATTCTATCGATTCCCGCAAAAGTCAATTTCAGGTCTCTCACGGTTGATTTTATATTGATTTTCAAAGATTAAATCTAGAAATCTTTAATTGCTTCATTTGCTTCTTATTATATAAATGATGACGTCACAATGACATTAGTACGTCAAAATGTTTTTTAGATGCATTTTTGTAAGTCATTTAAGGGCAATGTGAATATGTTTTTGCCGTACACAACTCAAGTCTCATTTCAAAATTTGACTTCAACATGTAAACAATTATATTTGTATTCACTCTGTAAAGTTGCAGCAGTGTGGCATGGCTGGGTTTATTCTCGCCTATGACTGAGTCCTTCCACTGGTTCCAAAAAAGACTAGGTTATTATCTCCCTCAGCTACTCGTTTTGAGGATCAGACATTCATGTCTGCAGAGCCACGGTTCAACGTCTGATATATCCTAAAGTACCAATTTTATGCTCCCCGAATGTTAACCAATCAGAGTCCGATTTCAAAACTGTGACTTCAGAAATGTGGACTAAGCTGTTGATTGGTCAATTGAATGCTCAGAATCTTACGGATTTTTTGGCATAATTAGCTGCTGAATCTGCTCGCATATAATACAGAGATGAAACTGGCATATGGCAAAAAAATCGGAAAATAGGCCAAACAAAGATATGTGTCCGAAATCTGGGCCGCTCTGCCATTACACACATGTACATGTACATATACAATACACTTCATGCCCAATTTCCGGACACCAACACCTGCTTTATTTTCGATTCAAACAAAATTTTACGATGAAAAAAAAAAGGTCAGTGGTTTCATTGCATAAAATGCCTGAATTACGGTAAGAGTAATGGAGTCATCAATAAAGAAGTTCACTTCTTCCTTGAGAAAGTCAAGGGAAAAGTCCAAAAGACAAGGGCACCGTTCATGGTGCTTCAATCATGTCCATGATTCAACCACACAACTCCACTACTCCACTTGCATTCATACGTGGGAAAAAATCAGGCATTATCGTCTTTCTCTTCCAACAAATGCCAGTGAAATGTTTCGCTAATGCTCTCTTCGCTATCCTCGAGATAATCATCATGATTTTTAAAGCACTGCATTTTGTACAACTAAATCTGAAACCTCTGGAAATCGCACAACATAATGATTTTATCCACTGGATCGTTCACAATTAAGGCTACCCGTTCCCTACCGGCCATGTGCTAGTGGTACGGTGTGGTACGTACGCTGTACCATTGCATATTCGCACGCACATGCTACACAGTGATTTTCCATGTCGCCCGTCAATGTTTAACCTTTTGTCCAGCCGGAGAAGGCTCCAATCAGTGTTATGCCCTGTGTTTCTACCGTTGAAACACTCCAATAACGACTGGTGAAAGAGATTAAACTACGTTGGCGATGATTTTAACGTGCCATTTCCATCGACTTTTCTTCAAAATTATGATTGAAATAAAATGACTTTTTGTGAAAAAATCGTTAGAAAATCAAATTTTCTGGGACATACTGTAAAAAAATCGGAAATTTCGTTGGAAAATTTAAAAAGTCAGATTTCCGATTAAAATCGGAAAAGTTTCATCTCTGGTCATAGACAGGCATCCAACTGGGAAGTCACTCAAAAAAGAGGAAATTCAAATCTTTCCAAGACTTTGTCATGTTTTTTTACTTCTAATGGCACACATGGGAAGTAAAAAAAAGAGGAAATCAGCTGATCTGAGGAAAATTGCATGCCTGCTTAAATCCTTGTTGTGTAAGGGGCAATTCCATACACTAAACTGACCCATTGTGCGGGTAAACGTTTCCAAATCTGAGGGCTAACTTGCAGCATTAGTTTGTATTCCCAAATTATAAAAGGTTTGGCGAGACAATTGATTTTGAACCATCCGACGGTAAATGAACCATTGGGGCCTAACAACGAATGCACTAAAGGTCCATTTAGGAAATATCCTTGTGGTTCAAAAGCACGCATCTCAAGGATGTCAGCAATGCAAAGGATGTTTTCTCAGAAACAATTCAAGCAAGCTCTTACCAGGAAGTGCACAGCCGTTAAATACCACAAAGAAGTTGTCATTGGCGTCTGGATTGATGATGTAGACTTCCACCTCCACCATGGATAGCGGGCCATCAGAAAGTAGAATCTTTTGTCCAAAAGTGCCCACAAATACCGATGAACCTTCTGGGTTCAATAGGGGTATCAGGTCAGTCCTCTCATATGGTTTGAATTTAAATGCCACCTCAGTTAGTCCAGAGTTTCCACTATCCTTGTGGATTGTGACAGATGTCACATTAACTCTTGGAGTAAAAGTCACCCTCAAGGAGGACCCTGAGTATGGCATTGATGGGTTAGGAGGGCTGCTTGGCCTCCATGCGTCTTCTGGACCAATAGAGGCACCACTCTCAGTAGTTCTGCTCACAGACACTTCATTGGATCTGTCCAGGTTTTCATCACACACCACCTCAGTTGTTGTTTCAATGGTTGTGCTTGCTGCTAGGAAGAATAAATATGGCAATATCAATAACTTGAAATAAAGGTGAAAATATCAATACATAACTTGTTATTATGAACCATCACTCGGGAACAAGCTGCAGTATAATATCCCCGACTCCAATTGGATTGTGGTTTTCTTTGTGCATTTTGACCATTTGTTGTAGTGGAATAACTGGTTATTCAATGTTTACCACCATTCAGCAATTGTTGTATAGGTTTCCGTATTTCACGATATTTTCTCCAGTTTTCTAATGTGGACTTTTCAGTGTGAATAAGGCAAGTCAACGTAACAACTGTGTTTTAATGCTAGCCTTTACCCTTACAAATCTGCATGGTTAACATGTTGTTTTATACAATTGGAATAAAATTTGCCCTTTCCAGAAGGATTCAGATAAAAAAAACTGTTCAATTTCGATTTCATCTAACACAGACATATGTGTTATTCTAAAACCTCTGAATATTATTCTTAAAAATTATATTGTTTCCTCACTGCACAATACCATACAGTATCAAATGTTTTAATGTTAGTATAAGACAAGAAATCCAACATATCATTTGAGTAGGCTTATGCTACCTATTGAGTAATCTTTATTTCAGATCTTACCTGTAGTTGTTGGAACAGCTACTGTAGTTGGAGGGACTATAGGAAAAATTCAAAAGGCAACAGTTTTACAAAAGTTTGCTAAAAACACTGAAAGTCTAGAATGACAGTTAGATAATTGTCAAAGGCGAGTTGATTTCTGTAAAAAGGCAAAATCAGATCCATCACAGTTGATTTTCAATTGATTTTCAAAGATCAATCACATGCTCTCACTTTGAACATACCGGTATATGCACACCTACTGCATTGTAAACTGATCAAGAGCAATCATTAAAAAAAAAAAATTAAAAAAAATAGCTCACATTCCTTAATGTAAAGGTCGCAGACAAGTAATTTTTTTTCAAAATGTACAACCTAGCCAGAGACAAACTTCATTGAAAGCAATTTCACATCTTTTTCCACTATCAAATTATGAGGCACTTCCAGTTTGGTCTGGAAGGAAGGGTCATGTGATTTGACACACAAGATAAAATAAAGATCCTGGATTATTCTATCGATTCCCGCAAAAGTCAATTTCAGGTCTCTCACGGTTGATTTTATATTGATTTTCAAAGATTAAATCTAGAAATCTTTAATTGCTTCATTTGCTTCTTATTATATAAATGATGACGTCACAATGACATTAGTACGTCAAAATGTTTTTTAGATGCATTTTTGTAAGTCATTTAAGGGCAATGTGAATATGTTTTTGCCGTACACAACTCAAGTCTCATTTCAAAATTTGACTTCAACATGTAAACAATTATATTTGTATTCACTCTGTAAAGTTGCAGCAGTGTGGCATGGCTGGGTTTATTCTCGCCTATGACTGAGTCCTTCCACTGGTTCCAAAAAAAGACTAGGTTATTATCTCCCTCAGCTACTCGTTTTGAGGATCAGACATTCATGTCTGCAGAGCCACGGTTCAACGTCTGATATATCCTAAAGTACCAATTTTATGCTCCCCCGAATGTTAACCAATCAGAGTCCGATTTCAAAACTGTGACTTCAGAAATGTGGACTAAGCTGTTGATTGGTCAATTGAATGCTCAGAATCTTACGGATTTTTTGGCATAATTAGCTGCTGAATCTGCTCGCATATAATACAGAGATGAAACTGGCATATGGCAAAAAAATCGGAAAATAGGCCAAACAAAGATATGTGTCCGAAATCTGGGCCGCTCTGCCATTACACACATGTACATGTACATATACAATACACTTCATGCCCAATTTCCGGACACCAACACCTGCTTTATTTTCGATTCAAACAAAATTTTACGATGAAAAAAAAAAGGTCAGTGGTTTCATTGCATAAAATGCCTGAATTACGGTAAGAGTAATGGAGTCATCAATAAAGAAGTTCACTTCTTCCTTGAGAAAGTCAAGGGAAAAGTCCAAAAGACAAGGGCACCGTTCATGGTGCTTCAATCATGTCCATGATTCAACCACACAACTCCACTACTCCACTTGCATTCATACGTGGGAAAAAATCAGGCATTATCGTCTTTCTCTTCCAACAAATGCCAGTGAAATGTTTCGCTAATGCTCTCTTCGCTATCCTCGAGATAATCATCATGATTTTTAAAGCACTGCATTTTGTACAACTAAATCTGAAACCTCTGGAAATCGCACAACATAATGATTTTATCCACTGGATCGTTCACAATTAAGGCTACCCGTTCCCTACCGGCCATGTGCTAGTGGTACGGTGTGGTACGTACGCTGTACCATTGCATATTCGCACGCACATGCTACACAGTGATTTTCCATGTCGCCCGTCAATGTTTAACCTTTTGTCCAGCCGGAGAAGGCTCCAATCAGTGTTATGCCCTGTGTTTCTACCGTTGAAACACTCCAATAACGACTGGTGAAAGAGATTAAACTACGTTGGCGATGATTTTAACGTGCCATTTCCATCGACTTTTCTTCAAAATTATGATTGAAATAAAATGACTTTTTGTGAAAAAATCGTTAGAAAATCAAATTTTCTGGGACATACTGTAAAAAAATCGGAAATTTCGTTGGAAAATTTAAAAAGTCAGATTTCCGATTAAAATCGGAAAAGTTTCATCTCTGGTCATAGACAGGCATCCAACTGGGAAGTCACTCAAAAAAGAGGAAATTCAAATCTTTCCAAGACTTTGTCATGTTTTTTTACTTCTAATGGCACACATGGGAAGTAAAAAAAAGAGGAAATCAGCTGATCTGAGGAAAATTGCATGCCTGCTTAAATCCTTGTTGTGTAAGGGGCAATTCCATACACTAAACTGACCCATTGTGCGGGTAAACGTTTCCAAATCTGAGGGCTAACTTGCAGCATTAGTTTGTATTCCCAAATTATAAAAGGTTTGGCGAGACAATTGATTTTGAACCATCCGACGGTAAATGAACCATTGGGGCCTAACAACGAATGCACTAAAGGTCCATTTAGGAAATATCCTTGTGGTTCAAAAGCACGCATCTCAAGGATGTCAGCAATGCAAAGGATGTTTTCTCAGAAACAATTCAAGCAAGCTCTTACCAGGAAGTGCACAGCCGTTAAATACCACAAAGAAGTTGTCATTGGCGTCTGGATTGATGATGTAGACTTCCACCTCCACCATGGATAGCGGGCCATCAGAAAGTAGAATCTTTTGTCCAAAAGTGCCCACAAATACCGATGAACCTTCTGGGTTCAATAGGGGTATCAGGTCAGTCCTCTCATATGGTTTGAATTTAAATGCCACCTCAGTTAGTCCAGAGTTTCCACTATCCTTGTGGATTGTGACAGATGTCACATTAACTCTTGGAGTAAAAGTCACCCTCAAGGAGGACCCTGAGTATGGCATTGATGGGTTAGGAGGGCTGCTTGGCCTCCATGCGTCTTCTGGACCAATAGAGGCACCACTCTCAGTAGTTCTGCTCACAGACACTTCATTGGATCTGTCCAGGTTTTCATCACACACCACCTCAGTTGTTGTTTCAATGGTTGTGCTTGCTGCTAGGAAGAATAAATATGGCAATATCAATAACTTGAAATAAAGGTGAAAATATCAATACATAACTTGTTATTATGAACCATCACTCGGGAACAAGCTGCAGTATAATATCCCCGACTCCAATTGGATTGTGGTTTTCTTTGTGCATTTTGACCATTTGTTGTAGTGGAATAACTGGTTATTCAATGTTTACCACCATTCAGCAATTGTTGTATAGGTTTCCGTATTTCACGATATTTTCTCCAGTTTTCTAATGTGGACTTTTCAGTGTGAATAAGGCAAGTCAACGTAACAACTGTGTTTTAATGCTAGCCTTTACCCTTACAAATCTGCATGGTTAACATGTTGTTTTATACAATTGGAATAAAATTTGCCCTTTCCAGAAGGATTCAGATAAAAAAAACTGTTCAATTTCGATTTCATCTAACACAGACATATGTGTTATTCTAAAACCTCTGAATATTATTCTTAAAAATTATATTGTTTCCTCACTGCACAATACCATACAGTATCAAATGTTTTAATGTTAGTATAAGACAAGAAATCCAACATATCATTTGAGTAGGCTTATGCTACCTATTGAGTAATCTTTATTTCAGATCTTACCTGTAGTTGTTGGAACAGCTACTGTAGTTGGAGGGACTATAGGAAAAATTCAAAAGGCAACAGTTTTACAAAAGTTTGCTAAAAACACTGAAAGTCTAGAATGACAGTTAGATAATTGTCAAAGGCGAGTTGATTTCTGTAAAAAGGCAAAATCAGATCCATCACAGTTGATTTTCAATTGATTTTCAAAGATCAATCACATGCTCTCACTTTGAACATACCGGTATATGCACACCTACTGCATTGTAAACTGATCAAGAGCAATCATTAAAAAAAAAAAATTAAAAAAAATAGCTCACATTCCTTAATGTAAAGGTCGCAGACAAGTAATTTTTTTTCAAAATGTACAACCTAGCCAGAGACAAACTTCATTGAAAGCAATTTCACATCTTTTTCCACTATCAAATTATGAGGCACTTCCAGTTTGGTCTGGAAGGAAGGGTCATGTGATTTGACACACAAGATAAAATAAAGATCCTGGATTATTCTATCGATTCCCGCAAAAGTCAATTTCAGGTCTCTCACGGTTGATTTTATATTGATTTTCAAAGATTAAATCTAGAAATCTTTAATTGCTTCATTTGCTTCTTATTATATAAATGATGACGTCACAATGACATTAGTACGTCAAAATGTTTTTTAGATGCATTTTTGTAAGTCATTTAAGGGCAATGTGAATATGTTTTTGCCGTACACAACTCAAGTCTCATTTCAAAATTTGACTTCAACATGTAAACAATTATATTTGTATTCACTCTGTAAAGTTGCAGCAGTGTGGCATGGCTGGGTTTATTCTCGCCTATGACTGAGTCCTTCCACTGGTTCCAAAAAAAGACTAGGTTATTATCTCCCTCAGCTACTCGTTTTGAGGATCAGACATTCATGTCTGCAGAGCCACGGTTCAACGTCTGATATATCCTAAAGTACCAATTTTATGCTCCCCCGAATGTTAACCAATCAGAGTCCGATTTCAAAACTGTGACTTCAGAAATGTGGACTAAGCTGTTGATTGGTCAATTGAATGCTCAGAATCTTACGGATTTTTTGGCATAATTAGCTGCTGAATCTGCTCGCATATAATACAGAGATGAAACTGGCATATGGCAAAAAAATCGGAAAATAGGCCAAACAAAGATATGTGTCCGAAATCTGGGCCGCTCTGCCATTACACACATGTACATGTACATATACAATACACTTCATGCCCAATTTCCGGACACCAACACCTGCTTTATTTTCGATTCAAACAAAATTTTACGATGAAAAAAAAAAGGTCAGTGGTTTCATTGCATAAAATGCCTGAATTACGGTAAGAGTAATGGAGTCATCAATAAAGAAGTTCACTTCTTCCTTGAGAAAGTCAAGGGAAAAGTCCAAAAGACAAGGGCACCGTTCATGGTGCTTCAATCATGTCCATGATTCAACCACACAACTCCACTACTCCACTTGCATTCATACGTGGGAAAAAATCAGGCATTATCGTCTTTCTCTTCCAACAAATGCCAGTGAAATGTTTCGCTAATGCTCTCTTCGCTATCCTCGAGATAATCATCATGATTTTTAAAGCACTGCATTTTGTACAACTAAATCTGAAACCTCTGGAAATCGCACAACATAATGATTTTATCCACTGGATCGTTCACAATTAAGGCTACCCGTTCCCTACCGGCCATGTGCTAGTGGTACGGTGTGGTACGTACGCTGTACCATTGCATATTCGCACGCACATGCTACACAGTGATTTTCCATGTCGCCCGTCAATGTTTAACCTTTTGTCCAGCCGGAGAAGGCTCCAATCAGTGTTATGCCCTGTGTTTCTACCGTTGAAACACTCCAATAACGACTGGTGAAAGAGATTAAACTACGTTGGCGATGATTTTAACGTGCCATTTCCATCGACTTTTCTTCAAAATTATGATTGAAATAAAATGACTTTTTGTGAAAAAATCGTTAGAAAATCAAATTTTCTGGGACATACTGTAAAAAAATCGGAAATTTCGTTGGAAAATTTAAAAAGTCAGATTTCCGATTAAAATCGGAAAAGTTTCATCTCTGGTCATAGACAGGCATCCAACTGGGAAGTCACTCAAAAAAGAGGAAATTCAAATCTTTCCAAGACTTTGTCATGTTTTTTTTACTTCTAATGGCACACATGGGAAGTAAAAAAAAGAGGAAATCAGCTGATCTGAGGAAAATTGCATGCCTGCTTAAATCCTTGTTGTGTAAGGGGCAATTCCATACACTAAACTGACCCATTGTGCGGGTAAACGTTTCCAAATCTGAGGGCTAACTTGCAGCATTAGTTTGTATTCCCAAATTATAAAAGGTTTGGCGAGACAATTGATTTTGAACCATCCGACGGTAAATGAACCATTGGGGCCTAACAACGAATGCACTAAAGGTCCATTTAGGAAATATCCTTGTGGTTCAAAAGCACGCATCTCAAGGATGTCAGCAATGCAAAGGATGTTTTCTCAGAAACAATTCAAGCAAGCTCTTACCAGGAAGTGCACAGCCGTTAAATACCACAAAGAAGTTGTCATTGGCGTCTGGATTGATGATGTAGACTTCCACCTCCACCATGGATAGCGGGCCATCAGAAAGTAGAATCTTTTGTCCAAAAGTGCCCACAAATACCGATGAACCTTCTGGGTTCAATAGGGGTATCAGGTCAGTCCTCTCATATGGTTTGAATTTAAATGCCACCTCAGTTAGTCCAGAGTTTCCACTATCCTTGTGGATTGTGACAGATGTCACATTAACTCTTGGAGTAAAAGTCACCCTCAAGGAGGACCCTGAGTATGGCATTGATGGGTTAGGAGGGCTGCTTGGCCTCCATGCGTCTTCTGGACCAATAGAGGCACCACTCTCAGTAGTTCTGCTCACAGACACTTCATTGGATCTGTCCAGGTTTTCATCACACACCACCTCAGTTGTTGTTTCAATGGTTGTGCTTGCTGCTAGGAAGAATAAATATGGCAATATCAATAACTTGAAATAAAGGTGAAAATATCAATACATAACTTGTTATTATGAACCATCACTCGGGAACAAGCTGCAGTATAATATCCCCGACTCCAATTGGATTGTGGTTTTCTTTGTGCATTTTGACCATTTGTTGTAGTGGAATAACTGGTTATTCAATGTTTACCACCATTCAGCAATTGTTGTATAGGTTTCCGTATTTCACGATATTTTCTCCAGTTTTCTAATGTGGACTTTTCAGTGTGAATAAGGCAAGTCAACGTAACAACTGTGTTTTAATGCTAGCCTTTACCCTTACAAATCTGCATGGTTAACATGTTGTTTTATACAATTGGAATAAAATTTGCCCTTTCCAGAAGGATTCAGATAAAAAAAACTGTTCAATTTCGATTTCATCTAACACAGACATATGTGTTATTCTAAAACCTCTGAATATTATTCTTAAAAATTATATTGTTTCCTCACTGCACAATACCATACAGTATCAAATGTTTTAATGTTAGTATAAGACAAGAAATCCAACATATCATTTGAGTAGGCTTATGCTACCTATTGAGTAATCTTTATTTCAGATCTTACCTGTAGTTGTTGGAACAGCTACTGTAGTTGGAGGGACTATAGGAAAAATTCAAAAGGCAACAGTTTTACAAAAGTTTGCTAAAAACACTGAAAGTCTAGAATGACAGTTAGATAATTGTCAAAGGCGAGTTGATTTCTGTAAAAAGGCAAAATCAGATCCATCACAGTTGATTTTCAATTGATTTTCAAAGATCAATCACATGCTCTCACTTTGAACATACCGGTATATGCACACCTACTGCATTGTAAACTGATCAAGAGCAATCATTAAAAAAAAAAAATTAAAAAAAATAGCTCACATTCCTTAATGTAAAGGTCGCAGACAAGTAATTTTTTTTCAAAATGTACAACCTAGCCAGAGACAAACTTCATTGAAAGCAATTTCACATCTTTTTCCACTATCAAATTATGAGGCACTTCCAGTTTGGTCTGGAAGGAAGGGTCATGTGATTTGACACACAAGATAAAATAAAGATCCTGGATTATTCTATCGATTCCCGCAAAAGTCAATTTCAGGTCTCTCACGGTTGATTTTATATTGATTTTCAAAGATTAAATCTAGAAATCTTTAATTGCTTCATTTGCTTCTTATTATATAAATGATGACGTCACAATGACATTAGTACGTCAAAATGTTTTTTAGATGCATTTTTGTAAGTCATTTAAGGGCAATGTGAATATGTTTTTGCCGTACACAACTCAAGTCTCATTTCAAAATTTGACTTCAACATGTAAACAATTATATTTGTATTCACTCTGTAAAGTTGCAGCAGTGTGGCATGGCTGGGTTTATTCTCGCCTATGACTGAGTCCTTCCACTGGTTCCAAAAAAAGACTAGGTTATTATCTCCCTCAGCTACTCGTTTTGAGGATCAGACATTCATGTCTGCAGAGCCACGGTTCAACGTCTGATATATCCTAAAGTACCAATTTTATGCTCCCCCGAATGTTAACCAATCAGAGTCCGATTTCAAAACTGTGACTTCAGAAATGTGGACTAAGCTGTTGATTGGTCAATTGAATGCTCAGAATCTTACGGATTTTTTGGCATAATTAGCTGCTGAATCTGCTCGCATATAATACAGAGATGAAACTGGCATATGGCAAAAAAATCGGAAAATAGGCCAAACAAAGATATGTGTCCGAAATCTGGGCCGCTCTGCCATTACACACATGTACATGTACATATACAATACACTTCATGCCCAATTTCCGGACACCAACACCTGCTTTATTTTCGATTCAAACAAAATTTTACGATGAAAAAAAAAAGGTCAGTGGTTTCATTGCATAAAATGCCTGAATTACGGTAAGAGTAATGGAGTCATCAATAAAGAAGTTCACTTCTTCCTTGAGAAAGTCAAGGGAAAAGTCCAAAAGACAAGGGCACCGTTCATGGTGCTTCAATCATGTCCATGATTCAACCACACAACTCCACTACTCCACTTGCATTCATACGTGGGAAAAAATCAGGCATTATCGTCTTTCTCTTCCAACAAATGCCAGTGAAATGTTTCGCTAATGCTCTCTTCGCTATCCTCGAGATAATCATCATGATTTTTAAAGCACTGCATTTTGTACAACTAAATCTGAAACCTCTGGAAATCGCACAACATAATGATTTTATCCACTGGATCGTTCACAATTAAGGCTACCCGTTCCCTACCGGCCATGTGCTAGTGGTACGGTGTGGTACGTACGCTGTACCATTGCATATTCGCACGCACATGCTACACAGTGATTTTCCATGTCGCCCGTCAATGTTTAACCTTTTGTCCAGCCGGAGAAGGCTCCAATCAGTGTTATGCCCTGTGTTTCTACCGTTGAAACACTCCAATAACGACTGGTGAAAGAGATTAAACTACGTTGGCGATGATTTTAACGTGCCATTTCCATCGACTTTTCTTCAAAATTATGATTGAAATAAAATGACTTTTTGTGAAAAAATCGTTAGAAAATCAAATTTTCTGGGACATACTGTAAAAAAATCGGAAATTTCGTTGGAAAATTTAAAAAGTCAGATTTCCGATTAAAATCGGAAAAGTTTCATCTCTGGTCATAGACAGGCATCCAACTGGGAAGTCACTCAAAAAAGAGGAAATTCAAATCTTTCCAAGACTTTGTCATGTTTTTTTACTTCTAATGGCACACATGGGAAGTAAAAAAAAGAGGAAATCAGCTGATCTGAGGAAAATTGCATGCCTGCTTAAATCCTTGTTGTGTAAGGGGCAATTCCATACACTAAACTGACCCATTGTGCGGGTAAACGTTTCCAAATCTGAGGGCTAACTTGCAGCATTAGTTTGTATTCCCAAATTATAAAAGGTTTGGCGAGACAATTGATTTTGAACCATCCGACGGTAAATGAACCATTGGGGCCTAACAACGAATGCACTAAAGGTCCATTTAGGAAATATCCTTGTGGTTCAAAAGCACGCATCTCAAGGATGTCAGCAATGCAAAGGATGTTTTCTCAGAAACAATTCAAGCAAGCTCTTACCAGGAAGTGCACAGCCGTTAAATACCACAAAGAAGTTGTCATTGGCGTCTGGATTGATGATGTAGACTTCCACCTCCACCATGGATAGCGGGCCATCAGAAAGTAGAATCTTTTGTCCAAAAGTGCCCACAAATACCGATGAACCTTCTGGGTTCAATAGGGGTATCAGGTCAGTCCTCTCATATGGTTTGAATTTAAATGCCACCTCAGTTAGTCCAGAGTTTCCACTATCCTTGTGGATTGTGACAGATGTCACATTAACTCTTGGAGTAAAAGTCACCCTCAAGGAGGACCCTGAGTATGGCATTGATGGGTTAGGAGGGCTGCTTGGCCTCCATGCGTCTTCTGGACCAATAGAGGCACCACTCTCAGTAGTTCTGCTCACAGACACTTCATTGGATCTGTCCAGGTTTTCATCACACACCACCTCAGTTGTTGTTTCAATGGTTGTGCTTGCTGCTAGGAAGAATAAATATGGCAATATCAATAACTTGAAATAAAGGTGAAAATATCAATACATAACTTGTTATTATGAACCATCACTCGGGAACAAGCTGCAGTATAATATCCCCGACTCCAATTGGATTGTGGTTTTCTTTGTGCATTTTGACCATTTGTTGTAGTGGAATAACTGGTTATTCAATGTTTACCACCATTCAGCAATTGTTGTATAGGCTTCCGTATTTCATGATATTTTTCTCCAGTTTTATAATGTGGACTTTTCAGTGTGAATAAGGCAAGTCAACGTAACAACTGTGTTTTAATGCTAGCCTTTACCCTTACAAATCTGCATGGTTAACATGTTGTTTTATTCAATTCTATTCACAGACATATGTGTTATTCTAAAACCTCTGAATATTATTCATGAAAATTATACTTTTTTCCTCACTGCACAATACCATACAGTATCAAATGTATTAATGTTAGTATAAGACAAGAAGTCCACCATATCATTTGAGTAGGCTTATGCTACCTATTGAGTAATCTTTATTTCAATTCTTACCTCTTGTTGTAACAGCGACTGTTGTTGGAGGAACTACAGGAAAAATTCAACAATAATATTACAAAAGTTAGTGACCACTTTAAACTAAATATCTGTTTTAAAATTAGAATCTACCAAGTGGTTGGTTTGAGTTTTGTTGCAGATCAGAATGAAAACTTTAGAATACAAATGACTATTTACAGCAAATGTTTTCAAGATGTTGAAATCCTTTAATAGCAAGACTAGGCGCGCATAGTAAGCTGGCCACAGAGCAAGAGCAACAAATTCTATGCAATTGATTCAGAAATCCTATAAAGCTTGTTAGAATACAAGGGTGAGGTGGGGGAAATAAACAAATCCATGAAATAATCAAATGGTTGGAAGTTTACCAAGGGCTAGAGCATCATCGGATCTACAAATTGCATGTGCTTATACATTTCATTCATTCTACATGTTTCATAGGTAGAAATACCTTTAAAGTAAAACCTGAGAGTTTTCAGATTTTAAAATTGATTTCATAAAAAAGAAACCAAATCAGAAAAAAATCCTGACAAATTACGTTCCAGAGAATGAGATGCAGTGGTAATGTGATGAAAAAAAAAAAAAGCCTATTTCACTATCTGCATAGGGACTTGACTTACTTCCAAATACATGCATCACCAAAGTACATGAAACAAACAGCGCCAGCACTTATACTAACAATTTTCATCATATTTCAAATGGATTTTTCCCCCTTAGTTTGAACCTAATTTTAAACCCACTGTTAAATAATCTCTCTGATCCTCCATTAGCTGACAAGACTTGAACTCAAAGTGAAGCATAAGTTTACATTAATAGACATTGTTTCTTCAATTCATTCAAAAAGAACTATCCTGTATTCTTGTTAAACATACTCACCCGGTGGTTTGCATTCGCAGCACTTTGTGGTGTCATTTTCATTTAAATACAAGTCTTCGCCCTGTTTTGAAAATTAATGCACAAAGTAATGAATGATTATCTTGCGTTGAAGCCAAATATGGACGTCACTGTTCACTGAACTTTCAAATATGTATTTCATAGTTGCGTATTTCACAGACAATGTGTTCTCCAATGAATATTACTGAACTTGATGGGTAACATGTGAATTGTTGATAAAAATGGTGATTGGAACTGTATCATTTGATGACTGAGAAGTAGTCACTGATATCCTACATTAAAAAAAAATCAGCTAATTCTGTAAAAAAACATCATTACAATTATAACAGGTTAAAAAGAAAAACAAATGTGGTACATGCATATAAAGATATGACTGATAAATAAGGTCACATTAGAAAATTCATACTTAATTTTCCCTGGGTTAATAACCTTTTGCGGTGCTGGGGCTGTGCCAATCAACCCTTTGTTTTTATACATCATTTCTTTCTTCATTTTATATGTTTTTTTGGCACTCTGTTTTATGCAGCACAAAGCGTGAACTTGAAACTTTGAACCCATGTCAAGCGCAATTCTAAGGTGCACATCCTACTGTGACGTCATGATGACAGCTGAATACCAAATAGCAAGCGATGTTAGTTCAATGTGATTAATGTCAAGTGAATGTAACTAGATCATGTAGAAGAAATAATGACTAGAACAAGCCAAGAATGGTATGGTATAGACCCACATAGTGCAAAACATGAGGTACACTATAAATTAATCACAAACTTCACATAAAAATAGCCAATATTGAATAATCAAACCCTGAACCGAATACATCATTAAATGTATTCAATGAGTAGATGCAAGGTAACTATATCAACCATGACAGACTACCCGATAAGTCAAACATGGATTGTCAACACACTCCTGCATGCACGCACCAAGCCTTACATTCATTTAGTTGTGAAGAGGTTTGTTTCCCTTCTTTTGTTCCCCGTTTGTTTCTATTGAAATTTCAAACTGCAAAGGATTTTCCTGATGGGATAGATGGATTTCTACAGACTGACCAATGGGGTACCATGTGTATGTACACACTGATTGACGAGGTGGAAACAGTGTGCAAAATGAGTATCATTTTTCATAAGAAAAATGTGGTGCCTGCAACCACACATTGGTGCCTTGATCTCTAACAGTTTTCCACTGGATGTCAGTCTCCAGAGAAGGTTTCGCAATTGTAGCAATGCAATTTTAATATCTGGAACCTTGTTTTAATGCTTTTAACTCAGCCCTAATTGGGAGGGTTGTTTTTTTTCTTTAAACGATCCATATATGACCCCCCCCCCCCCCCCTCCGTCTTAATGGCAGCCATTTTAAAAACAACATTTAGGGTTGTTCTAATTCTTTTCTACTGATTTTTTGCCCAAAATGTATGAAAAACAAACTGGTGGGAGACTTTTGAATGCATAACTACAAAATCCAATCACGTTTCACAAGAAAACAACTCTGAAAGCAATGGTATGCATTGATGGTCATCATACTAACCAACCAAAAATTACACAAACATTGCAGGTTTGGTGCAAAATTTATGAAAGTGAGGAACTTACTTGATATTTCATTTTCAAGCAATCCATGCAATCACAGTATTCCATGAGATGGAAAATGTATTTTTTTACAGAAATATATATGTCCTCCACTGAGTTAATGCTAAATATTTCCTTGCAGAAATTATGACAAAACGTTTAGAATATTATTCAAGTCGTGTAATGATCATTATGGCTTTTATGCCATCGAAAAATACTGGAAAAACATTATGTACACATCAGTGTACAATGTACATGTGAATATATAGAAATACAAGTACATGTCATTCAAAAGATCTGCATTGCTGTCTCGCTATTTCCTTTCTTGTCACTTTTGTTGCCCAAATCGAGAAGATTTAAACATCTTTGTCAACCTAAAGTTCCTCTTGAATTGTTCTTGTTATCTGCAATTTTTGGTAGGAGTTTCCCCAGGCAGATTTCAGCAGGAATTAGGGCACGCGTGGCAAACAACAGATGTCTGGCCTCTTTCTCACTTCACCTATGAAAACGTAATGCTGCCATACATAAACAAATGACACCATTGGTAGCCAGTCTATAAAGCTAAAAAATGGTTATCAAACATGAGTCAAAAGAGGGCAGGAAACACAAAGTACAATATTCTGAAAATTGTGACCATTGGTGATCAATTTTACATAGGGCTGAGTTGAAAGGGTTAACCTGAGAAATGTGTCGATAAAGCTGAACTGAAACAACGTATAAAAAAGGTGTCCCACCCCATCACCCTGCATAGACCCCAAACAAACACCAAACCTCTAGTTTCAAAAACAAGTATATATATGCATTATGAACATATTTTGGGCTTAACTTTTATTGCTGTTGTTAAACTGGCTGTTACTTCACAATTGGTTAGGATGTGCTGGGGGTTGAAGGGAGAATTAAGAAGCTCCATCCTCACTGAACTATCCCATTTACAGCACTGCTTCTCAATATTACCTCTCGCAACCAAATCCTACTGTCTGGCTTCTCGTGCCAACCCTGTTTCTACTGAATGACAGAGGGTGTCAGCGTGTTCCTGGCACTTTAATCAGATTGCCCAAGTTAGGTGAAGCTCATTAGTCTTGGTTGTCAGTCCACCTGAGAGGACAATTATGATCACAAACCTGGGTAGATACGACTCGTTAGCTTAGGTCAACAGCCCGTTTTTTCCAAGCTTTGGCAAATAGCCAGGGAGTAAATCTGTCACAGAATCTGGAGTGGAGCCCCACAGGCAGTCAGCTGGCTATGTCAACTGTCAACCTTCCAGCAGCTCCTGCATTCCTGTTTATCTCTTACTTGTCTCAACTCTGTCCTTCCACTGGATTCAGATGAGCAAGGATGAGAGAGTGAGGCTGATGGTGTGCGACTCTTCCTCAATTAAATTAATTTCTGCAGCGAAAGTCGCAACTTCATGCAAAACCCTTTGGCGATGGGAGAGTGATGAACCAGCAAGTGTGGATTTCTGCAGTCACAACCTGCACACAAGTGGCTCAGGCCATATAATCGTCTTTCGCTGGATAAAGGCAGCGGTGGAGCCCTGCATCCCCCTGAGCGACCAAGCAGCCCTTTTCAGGATCGCTCTGCCTGTTTCCATAGCAAGAGGATGAGGCTAGAAAAGGCGCCTTAAAAATAGCCTGCCTCAACATCACCAGACCAGCTTAACGCTGCTAGAGGGGATCCCCATATGCGGTCGAAATAGAAAGAAAGAGAAACATAAGGTGACAACACTCACCCTAGGCACGTGGAACGTGCAAACCTTAGCGATAAACGTTAAGGCTGACAGACCTGAGCGATGGACAGCCCTTGTGGCTAGGGAACTTGCACTCTATAATGTTGATGTCACTGTCCTGAGTGAAATGCACAACCTGGCGTGGGAAAGCTCTCCGAAGGGGAGGCTACACCTTTTTTTTCTGGAGTGGACGCAGCAGTAGGGAACACAAAGAGGCAGGAGTAGGCTTTGCAGTCAAATCCCACACTGTCTCCAGGCTCACCAGCTTGCCGAAGGGGCTGAACGATCATCTCATGATGCTTCAACTTCTTTCGGGCCATAACAAGTGTTTAACAATAATTATCAGCGCCTACATACCCACCAGGACTAACTCTGAGGAGGTGAAGGACAAGTTCTGTGAAGAGCTCGAAGCCCTCATCACAGCAGTCCCAAAGTTGAGAAACTCATCCTTCTTGGCGATTTTAACGCAAGAGTTGGTGCAGACCACCAGACCTGGAATGGAGTCAATGTTTTTCACAGAGTGGGGTAATGCAATAGCAATTGACGGCCTCCTCCTCCTGAAGTTGTGTTCCATGCATGACTTCCTCATCACCAACACCTTTAACCAGGAACATGACACACCATCCAAAAGGGGACTCAGAAAGTCTTCAGTCAGCTGACCAGTGGAAAGGCGCCCGATGTTGATGCAATATCTGCTGAGGTGTACAGTCAGTGCAGGTTCCGTGCTGGAAGAGGAATGGTGGACATGATCTTTGCAGCAAGACATCTCCAGGAGAAGTGCCAGGAACAGAACAGAGATCTCTATACCACCTTTATAGATCTTACAAAGGCCTTTGACACCGTCAATAGAAAAGGTCTCGGGAAGATAAAATGGCCAAGTTCAGCTGTTCAGGCCAGTTAATCACCATGGTGCGTTAGTTTCATAACAACTTGATGGCTCATGTGCAGAACGAGAGAGAATCATCAGAAGCCTTCCCAGTGAAGAATGATCTAAACCAGATCTGTGCATTGGCTCCAATGCTCTTTAGCATGATGTCTTCAACCATGCTCTCCAATGCCTTCAGAGAAAGTGAGGATTAAGTCACATGGGACACAGGTCAGACAAGAAGCTGGAGTTGCACTTGAATAGATGGCTAAATTAATTAATGCCAGATGTGTAAAGTGTTACTTGCATTGTTTATTGCAATAAGATTACTTTGATTTTATACAGTGATGAAACTGGCTTATAGGAAAACAATCAATAAATAGGCTGGAAGTCCAAACAAAAATCTGGGTCCAAAATCTAGGCTACACCGCAGTTACACACGTAATGTGGGATGTAAAATAAACTCTGTGCAAAATTTCTGGAAACTACCTCCTTGTTTATTTTAGCTCCAAACAAAATTTTACGATGTGGAAAATGTTCAATGTTGCCATAAAATTCAAATTGTGATTTAAAAACCATTGTATTTTGTACAACTAAATCTAAAATCTCCGAAAATAACACACCATTTTACTGCAGCCGAACTCGAACTTCACGTGCAAACGTCTTAACATGCTGTAAGCTCCAAACATAGTTTCAGACATGTCTCGCAGCACAGATATTGGAGCACCATTTTCATCAAATTCATTGAAGTTTAATTTTAAAATTTCAGATTTTGCGGGGAAAAGATGGTCAGAAAAATCTGAATTTTTGGAAAAAGATTTTTTTTTTAAAGTAAGAATTCTGATTAAAATTGGAAACGTTCCATCTCTAAATTTCTAACAAAATAATTAAACCATCGCTTGCAAGATACAGTTGACTTCATAATATCTGCACCATGCATGCAGCTCACTTCAAATGATTCAGCTGTAGTGGCAGCCATGACACAACAGTGAAGAAACTACAGACCCTGATATGATGCATGTGAGAGGCAACACCACATCTTATGGGACTGCATTGGTTGCTATACACCGTGCTTCAAATGAAATTTCAATGTAATTTTCCATGGCTTTTCAAACAACTCCAGAGCCTGATTGCCTGATTGTGATATTAATTTTTTTTCTCTCATTTATTACATTTTTTGTTAGTTGGGATATCAGATGGGCACAGGGTTGGCGATAATAAAAAAGGTGTTTTTTTTCCTGGGTTGGGAGTCCAAAATAAGGTTCGTTGGTATCAACATTGTCCAAGCAACAGATCATTCAACGCTTCAGTAATTTAGCAGTATCCCGTGTCTGTATAGTCTGTTGTCCTATATGTAATTGCATATAGATGATCAATAATGCACGTTGGCTCATAGATATTCATGTTGCCATGGAGGTCTTGGCATGAGGATTTTGCTATTAACTTGAATATATATTGCCGGCTTAGTTTAGGATAATTCATTGTTCTTTTTATTAACCCTAACTCCCTAGGGGGTGTGCAAAATTGGAGGATTCAGAACTGTTAGGGCTATTAACTTGTTATAGGTTATCTTATTAAGATTACTTAGGTTAGGATTAAATTAATGTTCGATAAATTATCTAATTCCTATAAGGTATCATCTCATTACGTTTTCCTACATAAGAATTAATTTATTGTTCCAGCAATTAATCAGTTATTCATAAATACCTCAGATAGTTTAGCTATTCCTATTGGTCGAGAGCCCGTCACGTGGCCGGTCTTAAACGGATGATAAAGACATGGCTAGCTGGTCTTAAACACTTTTCCAGTGTCACAATAAAATGTGGACTCCTAAAAATCCAGTGCCTCTTACCGTTTCATTGGTTGAACGTTCACAATCCTCACGTAGGCATGCGCAACACTACAAGCGAGTCAGAATTTTTTAGTTCTAAATTCAAAACGCAACGCCCCAGGTACGTTCTGCGTGACATCGCGCAGAACATGTTACGCGCGCGTCAATCTCCATAAAAGGGTTGTTTACATCTTACTCGCCAGCTGAACACTCCATTATTTTGCTAGAGGGATGTTTCAAAAAGCATGAAGTGAACTTGTTGAACAAAATCGCGATTTTTTGAACGAATTATTTGATATTTTTTTACGGATAAGGTATTTATGAATGGGAATAAATATGTGCTCGGTCGGTATTTATCACTCTGTTTAATACCGCTTAGAGTCTGGGTGCTGATAATTACCCTCGCCTCCGGCTCGGGTAATTATCAGCACCCAGAATCTAAGCGGTATTAAACGAGTGATAAAAACCTCCGGAGCACACATTTATTCCCTTATTATATTATTGTAGAAGTTGCTTAGTGTAGGATTCATTGCGAGAGCATTTCAGATATTGGGCTAATTGATTAACTTAATTCCTAAAGCAGGCAGTTTAATGACTAAACCCACATAATAATTTAGTGTTACTCGTTCTGTACATATTATTCTGTAAATGTCAAACAATAGGCCTACCTGTAAATAACTAAGAAGAAGCTGTACATATTAGATAATTTGTAGATATACCTCAGACAATTCTGGACAATTAATTTTGAAGTATTTACAAAGTTGTCGGGTGGGAAATCAATCCCTAAATTTATTCGGCCTTGTCTGGGGCAGTTGTGAGGGTCGCAAATGAAAACCAAAGAATAAAAAAGGATGCCCTAATACAATTACTGTGGATGGTCGTGAAACCCTTTGAAACAATATCTGTACTCACTGTTGCGCAAGTGATGGCACATATTTTCTCACAATTTGGTGTGGATGAACCAATGTCACATTTGCAGACCTCACATGAACCATTTCCTGGAAACTGCTGGTTCACCTAACACAGAAAGAAAGACATGGTATGTTAGCTGTGCTACGTTAGCTATCATGGATGGCAGTTCCATGTGGCGCAGTAAGCCTACAGCCAAGCTACCTGTCACAATCAGGTGCTCTGAGGTGTTACAGTGAGTATCATCTAAAAGTTGAATACAGAAGCAGTGAAAAGAAATAGCCAAGAATATGTTGTTGCCCTTTTTTTTATCTAACAGAACATAATGGTCCTTCAACTTTTGTTAACATGTTTTTAGAAAATGGTGTGTGCTGAATGCCTGAGGTTTAACTTCTTAGAAACAGGTTCAACAACTTACGGTATAGTTTTTGCCGCCATAGAAACACTCACAGCTTTCTTCATCTGAAAAATCGTCGCAATTGTTTATGCCATCGCACACATCATCGATAGATATGCACCTGGAGCAGTCGTAGCATGTGAACTCACCAGGAAGGCAAGAGCATGGCGTTGTGGAACGCAATGGCGTTGTGGAACGCAATGGCGTTGTGGAACGCAATGGCGTTGTGGAACGCAATGGCGTTGTGGAACGCAATGGCGTTGTGGAACGCAATGGCGTTGTGGAACGCAATGGGGTTGTTGGAACCAGTCTAGTTGTGGAACCCAATGGTGTCGTTGAGACCAAGGGAGTTGTTGACACAAACAAAGTTGTTGATGAAGGAGTGACTGCAAGAATGAGCAGACAGTGAGTCAATTCATGTTCAGGACATACCACAAATAAATTCAAACTTCCTACACATACTACAGACACTTCTAAATTTACAAGTCTTCCAGGCATGAAACAACAAGCAAAAAACTACACTGTTTTTAGACTAAGTGTGGCAAAACGACTGTATTTAAGCACTGAGTAACATAACTTACAAAATTTACAGACTGCTGTTATTAAGGGAATAACAGTGTGGGGAGCCGGTCTTCACTGCGGTCACCCCCACACCCGGTCATTATCACGCAGTGAAGACCGGATCCTCACACTGTTATTCCCATTAATAAATACCTTTATAACGAAATAAACAGTTAAAATGCTCCAATTTTGTGACTTTTTCCGGCAATATTTCCAGACTTTTTTGTGTTCATGTTCATGGGCCATATTTTAGCTTAACAGTATAACGACGTAAACTCAACAGAAACTGCTGCCGTATCGAAACAAATTACAACAATGTTTTCGTATCTTTACCTGATGGAGGAAGCTGAAATCTCGTTTACACATTCCTTGTGTCCGGAATTACAAAAGGTAAATATGTCGGTGGGTGAAGTGTTTCAAAGAAAATAAATCGTAGATCTACGCTTTCGTCGTAAACATCCTCAGTATATACAAACAATGTACGATTCAAAATTTCCTTACGCGCGCACAAGTGGGTACGCACGCATCCCTAGCAACTGTGTTGCGTACGCGCGCGTCAGTCTCACGCGATGGGGGTTGAGCGCATGTGCAGTGCTCAATTGTTAAAAGCTACCGCAGGCCTGTTACTATATTTTGACCAATCATTGGCTTGCATGGGGCTGAACAGGGTTTGATCAATGCTGGTTCAGGGGCCATTTATTCGCTTGATCTTTGAAGCCGGTCCATTATCACCGTTAATGACCGGCCACGTGATCGAGTCTCGACCAATCAGAAACCATCAACTCTCCAAGGTATTTATTAAATTCAATTAGTGAATATGAAGTTTTACTGTTCAGTTATATCACACCTGAAATCTATTCTATATGTTGGAAGATCCAACTCAGGATACTTACATGGTGTTGTACAAGTAGACCCGCTGCATGTCATGTTGCCCTCAATGCATTCACTGAGAATAAACCACCCCAAAACAAAAAATGAAAAGGTGCTTATCGTATATTCATATTGTTTTAATATTTCCACTATCACAGCAGTGAAAGTCACACTCATCCTTTGTAACTATAACCTGAGATTGTCATTGAGTCACCACTGATCTTTACACCTTAGTCAAAACCTTGATGCATAAGGCAAAAACAAAAAATACATCACCAATTACATGCCGTTTCAAAAATAGGGTCAGTAAGGTTGGAATTATTTTGTGTGCTGATTCCATGTAATCAAGGTGTAAAGCCTTCATGTAGTTACCACCCATGCATATTTTCAGCTCCATGTATTTCCATTTGCTCTTGGAAAGCTATCAATACTGGTCCCCAAAAATGATAAAAACTTGTCTTAATAAAAGGAAATGATATTCAATTAATAGAGAATTGAAGTCTTGCACACCACTACGCATGCACTGGTGGTGGGAAATTTGGAAAATGTACTATATCACGCCAAGTACGAGTAATTCCATGAGAAAGTGCAACCATTATGGATTTTGGGTAGTCATTTTGCCACCTTGTTTTTATATGCAAAATTCTAATGATAGTTGTGAGTTTTTAACTCAGGGAGCTGAGTTGGTATGTTTCATTGGCCCAATGAATATAGGGTAACAATGATGTAGTGCCTTGAGCATTGCACCAATACTGCTGGATATGTGCGCTTTAATACAAATATGCATTATTATTATTACAACTTCATTGCACTTACCAGGTTCTAAAATAACCATGCAGAATCAAAAGCTCACAGGTGCATGTATGACCCATGACTTTGAGAAAAATAGTGTCATTTTTGGAAAAAAAATCTTATGTACATGCACAGAATTACATCTGTTTTCCTGGTTTGTAACCAGATAATGCATAGCCAATCCCAAGAGAAAAACCTGTCTATATTTTAAATTAAACAAAACCACAATTTTTCAGGAAAGCTCAGTATTTCAGTCACATACAGGGTGAGTAAAAAAAAAACGAAACCCAAATTTCGGGACTATTGTTTTATTGAAGATCTGCATGTAACACTTTCAAAATCTAGGATATGACAGCCCAATTCATACGCTTTTAGTACAACACATTTTACCATATAACTGGTAAATTTTATTATACTCAGTGCAAAATCCTATTTGATTGTTACTTTTGGGAGTTCAATAACTGTTCAGCATACAATGCACAAGAGTATCTTGATTAAGGAAGGTTGTATGCAAATTGGGATTCTGAACACCCTTGGGCAGCCAATAAGAGCAGAACATCGCTTGCAGGACGTGTGCAAACTTTATTGCGGACGTTGTATGAACTCTCCCTTTATTTTTGCCGCGCTAGGATTGCGCGGCAGCCAATCAGCGTATTGTTTTTTATTGGGAGAGCGTACATAGCCTGAGCCCTTGCAGTGAGATTCACTTTTAGTCACGGCTTCAAACTAAAAACATCACACTCGATTGAAAAATGTTCCCACCTCCTCCCCTACATTCCTCCATGGTAGAAGAGAGGGGGATATTCTGTATTTAGTCTATCACTATTGTTTGGGCACAAAAGTGATTATTTGTTGGCATTTTTATTGGTGCCCCAGAAGAGAACGAGCCCCATAATGCTGGTTTTGAGTGAACATTTGACTACTTAAACTAAATTCAACTTGTTAACTCAATTCCTTGTGGCCCGTGATGTGCCTCATGGGCTGATCCAGTAAACAGAATTACTAACATGTTAATCTTGAATCTACATGTATAGCCTATGATTTTCCACAAGGCTATACCCCCACTACATGTGCCTGATGTGGGGAATGTGCACTACAATTTTATAATTATTTGATTAACCGTCAAAGGGGGCAGGTGTTTTTAATTAAGTGCTGAAGTTATAGCACCTTACTTGTTAATTGGTTTTATCGCTTGATTTAATAGGCTTTCACAACGGCCGTTGTTGGTGGGTAGTGGTTACTGGGTACCACCGTTATTGTGGTCTTGGGTATCACAATCAGTTTTCTTGTGAGCATCAAACTACGCAAGGGGGTCATGGGTACCTCCTAATTTTTAATGTTAATGTGCTTTATGTAGCCGGTTTGCCCTTAATCTTTGGTATTCCGGTTGAATAAGGTTTATTAAAAAATTGAATCTGTGGCGAGAGACACAACAAACTTATCTCCTGCGTGATTCCTTTTTGTAGTACGAGTATAAGAATCATTCAAATAACTCATGTACATTTCAAGTTACGGAATTTGAAACACAACCACCCGGCGTTTTAAAGTTCTGTCCACGGATCACAAAAACGGTGTGCGTTCTTTCAGCAAGACGAAAACAATTCACACACATCCCTATGTGATTTGTTGTCGTTTTGCTGAAAGAACACTAACCTTTTTAAGATCCGTTTTTGTGATCTTTGTTTGTGTTCTGATTTGTTGGCTTCTTCTTGTTCTTCCATTCCAAATCTCATGGACTTTGTACATGTTTCACTTATATACATAACTTTTTGCAAAATGTTTGACATTATTATGACATCATCAAAATGTGAATTTTTGAAACACATATGAGGGAATGTGCGAACGTTATGAAACTTGGTGGGTAGGCAGATATTGATAATAGTGTTCAAAATATGATGACGTCATCAATTGATTTTTTTCTAATTGCAAAATTTGACATGAAATGAAATCAGATCGACTTCAAACTAGGCTCAGACCAAGACCCTAAGGTAACATTGTTCCTTAACAGTGATCTAGCCAGGGTGAAATTATAGCGGTTAGGGAAAATCAAATTGCCCTGAAAATTGGTGGGTACATTGACTATGTTACTTGTATGCAAAATCTGAAGTGAAGAACACGCATTTGATTTTGTATGAGACTTTTTATATAATTTTTCTCCTTGCAAAATTTGAAATTGCATGTAAATGCAACCAGATGGACTTTCAACTGGACACAAAGACCCCATAATAAATTTGGTCCTAGACAAGTTACGTCGTCATCATGTGTCAAGTGACGTCTGCTTAAAGGTGCATATCTCATAGTCCAAGGATGTAAGTGGACGCTGACATTTAAATTTGAGGTATAAAGGAAAAGTATACACTCAAGGTCTTGTGCCAATATGTTATTTATAATTTGAAAAAAGCCTGAAATTGTGATACTAAAGGGCTCCCTGAAAGTCTAATTTCAAGAGAACTACAAGTTTGCACAAATTACAGCAAGCCATACTCATTAAATTAAAAACCAACAAAGTGGAAAAGCCCTATGTTCTTTCTTGAACAGACTTAGACCTCTAGGTTTCAATTGCTGATTTTAAAAAGCTTGTAGTGCCCTTTCAACTTTTGCCCTATGCAAATTAGTGTGCTCCATCAGTCATCCTCTTGACATATGTGAGGTGAACACCAAACTATAGTCATCGAAATTTTCACATTTTTTGTTCTCCATTTCAAACCTGCCGGAAGTATCAGCACTTGTACAGTGGTGTTCCTTTTTAACTGTTCATTATACCAGACCATGCAGTGTTGGTTCTTGAATGATCTCACCTGAGTTGAGGGAGTCTTTTGTACCCAGTATCGCGAGTCAACTCACCTCAAACTCTGTACACGTTCTCCCCCACTTGGATACCACAATGCACGCGGCCAGTTCCCACTGGGGGCGGCCAGAGGATGAACTCTAGGGTGGGTTATTGACTTATATTGTTGTTGATTTATTTGTAGCAAACCTCTACAAGATAGTAAAATGTGATCACCAGGGCCCTCGGATAGGGAAGTAGGGAGGAGCAAAGACCAAACAAGTGAAAACTTACCATCTCCTACAGTCCTCGATGACAACGAATCCTGGCTCTACCTCTTGGTTGTTGTACATGCATGGGCACTGGATGTCATCCACACACTCGCCCTTCCACAGCTTGGTGCCTTCGGGGCAGTGGCAGCCCTCCACGCAATGCATTTCACAACCATAATCTTCCTCCTCTATTCTGGGGTTTTCGTAGCATGTATCAGCACAGACCTTCCCGCAGGCTTGGTACTCCATGCCATTTTCACATTGCAAACCTTTTTTTTATATTGCAAAGCAGAAATAACTGTCAGGATTGTATTTGATGTGGTTATGGTACATACTATATTTAGGAGGCTAAAAACATATCCGCTGTCTTACATCCTTTGCTTCCTTCAGAAGCCATGTGTATCAGAAAAAGTAAACAATAAAATCCCACCGCCATGACACTGAATCATGATCTTTTCAACCCTTCAGACGAATCATCAGATATTGTACTTTAAAAGGGTTTTATCGTGGATACCAAGTAGGTGAGAAAAATCACTCTGTGCCTTTTCATTTTGCCTTGCATGAAAATATTTCTACAGGGTATTCAAGTTTCTTTTCAGTTTCAATGTGCTACCTGCATCCCAAGGTTGCAGTTTCAAGACCCAATGTCAAGTACTGATCAATCAATCAACCTAACATAACCAATTCAGAATCTGAGATGCAGTAAACAACAATGACAAATCTTTTGAAAGTTTGAATTAAAAAAAGAAAATTACCGCAGTTGCCATCGGATCGCCAAGGTACTGGCGCATTCAATGAGTTACAAATATCAGCATAATTAGTGATGGCAGTACACAGACACTCGCAATCACCACCACGGTCACAGCCACAGCTATCGAAGACACAGTTGTCGTAGAAGGGTTGAGGGTCCACCTTTAGTGGTAATAATGAAAAAGTAATTCACATAAACCGCAACACATTATTGCAAGGCTGTTGTGGTACTAAGGACTCGTACATTATTATTGATGAGGGGTCTTCAACACTAGGGCAAATTTAAATAATATGGTGCAAATGTGTATGGACACAGGATTGTGGTTTCTTGTACAGTAGTTACTGTTCTTATGATTCTTGATTGGTTCATTTTCTTTAGTTTCTTGTAACTCGCTTTTTCTTCAACCACAATCAGTAGTTCAGAGCACAAGTCACTTGGTTTTTTTTTACAGCTTGGCAGTCTGCACTGAACTGACAATCTTGCCACTAACTTCTTACACGCAGGCCAATGCGCACACTGGTTGCTGAGCAACTTGAAAACTCGGTCACGTATACGCTACATGTACATCACACCCCATCACATAATCCAGCTGCACTCACTACAATATTCTCAAGGTAACCCTGACAATCACAATCTACTTTATATTGTAGATGAGGCTTCGACTCGCCCACTGGCTTCGCAGTGTGTCACTCGCTTCGCGGGTGATCAACTTGTGTGACTACACACCTGTTCAGCGATGGTATCATGGAGACCAAAGACACTATGGGTACAGCAAAAAGTCCCCATAACTCGGTTATAATTTTCCTAACAATAAAAAACTTCCCCATAACACGGTGACGGCCTGCCCACATACACCACTGAAAAATGCACACACTCACGGACGAACAAGGCAGAAACAGTATGCCATTCGGGTTCGTTGGCAGGGCATAAAAAAAATATGGTCACACACCCCCTTATGGTTTAATCACCAAAGCGCAATAAGTATTCCCCACTTATTCGCTGATCCTTAGGTATGTCTACACATTTAAATGTACTGAATAAGCCTATTCTTATTATACTGATGTTTGGACTAGTTATGTACTTAACAAGGTTTAAAGTTAAGATTGACTGGTTTGGAAAATTTCTTTGGAAAGTTTCTCTGAAAATCCTTTTTGTTTGTCTTAAAATAAAGAACTTGATTTCATTGAGTTTTATATTGCTTTAATTTTAGTTTGTTGTACACAGAATGAGAACAGGTTCATCTTTGGTAGGAAAAATTAAGATTTCTTCAGGATTATTAGTTTTATTAAGTTTTCTGTTCAACCCTCTGAATCCAAGTTGAGTGGTGAGTAATTTTATGGTATTCATACAGTTTTATCTTACTTTTTTGAAACTCTGTGTAACTTGTTTGGATCTCAGTTAGGGGTGTGCATTTACGGGTAGTACAGGAACCGGATACCCTATTGAAAAAAAATACGGGTACCCGGGTACCCGTTAAAGAAACTCAGGCCCCAAATTCAAATCTTGGAAGTTGCTGTTCAGATTGTTTGTAAAGGTCCGAATGATAATACTACCACATCGGTGTGGCAATACGGCTAGATAGGGTGTATACAGTGAGCTCTTAAGCTATGTGGTGGAAACTGCAACTTTTGCAAGCAGCATAAAACTTGAAATTGGTTTTGGTTTTCCATGTATCGTGTTTTTATTGTGAAATTTTCCCACTGATATTCGAAACATTTCTTTTTCATCGACTGACAAGTTACTAAGTAATTTGCAAAGTTGGTTACCGATACTCGATTCCATAATCTGGAACCGGTTCCTGACATTAACGGTTGGGTACTCGGGAACCCGGTTCTGATGCACAGCCCTAATCTCAGTCCTGAGCTTGTAGCTGCGCTGACTTTGCTTTGCAGTGAAGTTGCCAGCTTCAGTAATTTAGTTTTCATTTGTACAGAGTTTCTTTTCCTTTAACTTAATTCTCTAGAGCAAATGTTTATAAGAAGTTATTGCCAAAAATTCTTGATATTTTCTTTATTTCTCTTGAATACTTGAAGTGTGGTAAGACTACTGAGGGCACTTAGTACCAGATTACACCATGTTCCCATTGGACTTTTCTTCTGCAGTTTCATAGAAACTCACTGTCAACATTCATTTGCGTATTTCTACCAGCCATTCCCACTTGGACTTTTTTAACACCAACGGAACATTTATTCGCTGTGTGTTGCTGGCCAAATGTCACATGTTGCACATGATGTGCACAACAAACTTTTACAACAAAATGTTTAACGGCATGTGGCTGTTCCCACAGGATTCAGCATTTAAAAACTACCATGGCTGCATGCATACATACCACACCCACTTACACCTGTAGTTTAACATCATGGTCATAAGTTGATGTTAGTCCTCAGGCTTCCCCACTAGACTCAATATTGTGATCCTATGGGAAAGTTGAAGTAGTTTTACCAAAAAGGGTCCAAAGGAAACACGGCTTTAGTCTCTGAAGGCCAAAACTTCAGAAATTATTGGTTGAGGTTGTACTGCATCAAAGACTTGTATTGAAACCGGTACTATCAAGACTCCGGTTATACTCCCATGAGGAAGTCTTAATCTACATGTACAAGGTACAAGCTTAACCCTAACTTCCTAGCATCTTTTACTAGGAACTGGACCAAGTCCATCAAAATCCATCAATCACTGTGCGTCCAATACAGAACTGTTCATGACATAATGGAATCCACCACTGACGCACTGGTTGACATTCATGGACTTGCTACACATGGTTTTTATCACAATAGCAGTACAGGAAGCTAGGCAAAATCAATCGGATACCACTAGCACTGCTTCAGGCTATTAGGCCCAAGTCCAACATACTCCATCAATATTTAGTCTTGCAAGGCCTTCTGGACCAAGTCCCCCAAAATCCACCAAAACCGGGGAATGGATTTTGATGGAGTTGGGGTGGTTAGGGTTAAGGTACTATCTAAATTGTGGCCAAAGATAATTGATATGTTGTCAATGTACATGTACCATTGCCAGCCCACCAAGGTCCAGCTTCCTTTTCGTGCCCTCACTCTGTGGCAACTTTAACTGCCTCTCTGATGTTCTCAGTCAGTGTGGCGCAGTGCAGCACAAAAGCCCTGGCCACAGCTCATTCTGATCAGTTATTGTTTTGGCAGTATCGTTATGTAAATTGAGGCCCTCCACTAATTTCCATAAATTGTAAATAGTCGCCATGTAATATATTTATTTCCATCTATAGGTACATTTTTTTTTTAAAATATGTTTTTTGAAAAGTACATTTGGGGGATTCTACTTACCGGTACCTACTTACTTAGATAACATGTTTTAAAGCATAACGACTGGATAATAATAAGAATATATGAAAGATCCAAAGTGACTTCACCCTAAAGATGCGCTCATTGACCTTTTCCCAGATATTTTCAATTAGTCTTGCCAAATGTAAGTATTGACAAGCTTCAAATTCACAAAGTTACTTACTGGCATAGTTACCCTAATAAAACAAAATGGAAAATCATGCGAACAATGATAAAATCACCATATTCAGAGCTCCCAACATTCAGATTTCAGAAATAGTAATTTTTATTGAGCCAGTATTTATAGTTCGGCGCGTCAACATTTAAACACAAAGGTTGTCAAATCCTGTCACAACAATATCAAGTAATTCCCACAGAGTGAAACCCATTTCATTAAGTTCTTGTAAATGCTAAACCAACTACATAACAATACTTAAGGGCAAGAGGGAGACTAGAACATATAAATGCTGGGTTAACAGCCATGGAAGTCAGATAAAACGGGGTTGGACTCATGTTTATACTCACCTAGGTTTCCAAGAAGTGAAGTAAATTTCTGTTGTACAAATTGATTACAGGTCCCTGGAGTGTCAGTCACTCATAAATTTGGAACAGTATCTTGAATTCAAAGGGCTAGCACTTTGCTTGTCAGAGTCTGCAGGAGCTTTACATTTAGCTTTCTTCACGTGCAGATCTGTGTATGTTGCACTTTTGCATTTTTTGAGCAACTGAGTACATTGTTCTTGATCAAAGCATCTGCTTTCTGCGGCTGACATAAATTGCTTCTTGACAAGCAAGTCACTCAAAGTTTCTGTACTCATGCTGGCCCTAAATTCAGTTTTGGTTTTTGTGACATAGCTGAACACCCGCTCACAATCAGCATTACTATGGAACACAACCAGAATAGCTTTGACCAAACTAGTGAGTAGAGGATACTTGAGATTCCAGTTTCCATCTTTGAGCTGCCCTATTAGGTGCCACTGCTTGAGCACCCTTGTACAGCTGATTATTTCACTGGAGAAGTCATCAACTTGGTACTGCATAAACTCATCCTGTAGATTGTCCACTTTATCAGGAGTATTGAGTTTTAGACACGTGAATTTCTTGGCAAAGTATTTGACAGAGTCAAATGTGATACTCTCTCTCTTGGAGACATCAGCTAACTGGGCATTGATCAACATTGGGTATGAGTAGGGAAATTTAGCAACCATGTACTCAACTGCTTTGCAGAAGAATCCCTTGAGATGACAGTAGAAGCTTTCCTTGTAAATTTTTTTCAGCTTCCAAAACCTCTCTTGTTTCGCTGCCAATGAAGATTTCTGCATTGTCCCTCTGGTGCTTGGACTTGTGGTAAGGAAGGTGGTGCAATTCGGCTCGGTATTTCTTGATGGAACTTGGTTTCAAAAACCTTGTGAATAATGTTTTCAGCTGATCTAGAAATGTCTGATGAAGCACATGGATACAAGGTTCATCTTTCTGAAGGATAACATTGGCTTTGTCAAATATTGGGAGGGTATATTTAAGGAACATGCAATAAGCCTTGGTCTGTGGGTCACTCAAAAGTTTGACCACCCTTTCTGGCCTTGTGAGTGGCTTCACTAGTTCCTGTTTTTGCTTTGACTGGAGCGGACTTGAAATGCTTGAAGTCTTTTTGCTGCTGGATGTGTGGGTGGTAGTACTTTTTCTCTCAGCTGTTGGCTTTTGTTTGAACAGGTGATCACTCAGATTAAACTGGTACCACCATGATCACTGGAAGTCTTTGCCTTCTTGGGTGGGGGTGGGGGGTCATTGGTACTGGATTCTTTCTTCTTGCCTCCACTGGTACCACCACGATCACTGGAAGTCTTTGCCTTCTTGGGTGGGGGTGGGAGGTCACAGGCACTGGACCCTTTTCTTTTTCTTCACTGCCAGGACATGAAGGACGTCCACCATCACTGGACTTCTTAGACTGGGAGACTGAGCTAGCATGTGTAGGTTTTTTTGGGGGGGCAGTTCCTTCTGGAAGTATTCAAGTAGGGCAGGCCACTGTATCAGAAGTCTGTTGATGCATAACCCCAAAGAAAGCCACCTGGTGCTCACATGTTTAATAATCTTGGCAACAACAACACCATGTAGATCTTGGAATTTCTTCAGGGTGTGCTTCCATTTGCTGCTCTTATCCAAGTAAAAATATATGTCTACAAACAACTCTTCCACATTGAATGGTAGTGTTTTGCCAGCCTTCTCAGCTGCAAGATGCATGGGGTGACACGCACATCCCAAAATGTACATCTCTGGATTTGCTTTCTTCAAATGGGAAGCCAAGCCGGACTGCTTTCCCTGCATCACACTGGCGTTATCAGCTCCGAATGATACACAGCTTGTCCATTTTATATTTCGCCTGGAAATATCTTGATCGAGAGCCTCAAATATCTTCAAGGCAATGGATTGATGGCATTGGACCGTACACAGGAGAACTGTTAAAACTAGGCCAAGACTGTTGTCGAAATATTTGACCAGTAATGGGTAGAGTTTCACATCTTCAATGTCATTGCTTCCATCAGTTGCCATACTGTATGGTTGGGCACAAAGAGGTGAAGTGATATCTTGTTGTACATCATTAAATAACAGCGCACTATGGATCTTGTTTTTGTTTGTCCACACTGATACTGTTTGGCAATTTTGCTATCAGGAAACATCTTCCTGAATAATGGGCCAGCATGATCAGAAGCAGCGATGGATAGGTTGTGTTCAATAAGAAAATCAATAAATTCCCCAGCATCTATTACCGATGTGTCCAAGCTGAAGCTGCTGAAAGTGGTGAGTTTCGGTGTGTTCTTAACATTTTCCGCTGCCCGAGCATGTTTATCCGTTGCGATGTGCTTCTGGCAATCATTTCGGCCGGCGTGACTCACACAAAAATCCATGTTGCACAACGTACAAAAAGTAAAATAATCTGAACGTTTGCTGCACGTTACACACGCCCATTCATCACCGTACTTCTTCAAAAATCTCTGCCGTGGCTTCAGCTGTATTTTAGATTGTTTGGTAGACATGTTTTCAAAATAAATCCAAAATCCACTGACTATTAAAAACAACTCGATGACACGAAGCATTCCACGGTATGAACCGAAACCAAGATGACTGGCGTATACAACTCGACCACGAGACAACTTGACCCGTGTGACAACTCGACTGTCACCGCGCCACCATATCCCTGCAGCCCACGCCGCGATATGTACCTGCATGGCGCCCATCGTGCATGCCGCGCCGTGCATGTCGAGTTGACTCGTTCACGAAAGCATGCCTGCGCAGATTGTCACTGTGCACTTAGTTTCATAGACTGGCTACCAGTCCTTCGGACGTTATAAGCAAACTCCTCACGAGAATATAAGGCGGGAATGGCGCTTTTTTTAAATGAATAATTTTTTGAAAACAATATCATCAAAAATCGTACATTTGAAGAATGAAATAGTGAAAGCGTAAAATGGGTGAAAACTCGTAAAAAGTACACCAAAATCGTTCATGTTGGGAGCTCTGCATATTTAGCCCAGAAAACCAAAAAATGGAGGAAAAATAGGTGTCCGTAAATTGGCCTAAAAATTAGGCGAATGTTTGCCTATAACATGGGGGACTTGAACAATTGAAAGAAATTCCCCAAAATAAGAGGTTATTTATAATAGGTCAATATCAAAATTTTCTTACAGGTAAATTTGGGGATTTCATTGAACATGTAATAATTTAAAAAAATTACTGGAAGAGTGTCTGATAATATCCTGATGTTTATGAGGCTTACCAAATCATGACAAGGCTCAAAGACAGATTTCAGGATGATGCTGCAAGCAAACTGTGCCCAGTCACGTCGCTCAGGATTCAAATCACAAGGGTGGACCGGAGGCGGGGGTAGAGGGCAGCTCTCGATAGTCTTCCAGCTGTGGCCAAAGGCATTAGCCGTGGCCTCCAACTCGCCAGTCGGGGTTCGGAAGTCATTTTGGGCATTGTCATCAAAATCACCGCACAGGCCACAGACACGGCCTTTGAAGGTGCCGTCTACAGTGACGTATATGGACGTGCCATAATCCCATATCACTGTGATCCCTGCAGGTGTTAAAACATATTGAGGTTGTTGTAGTGAAAATACCATTACCGTAATTTTCAAAATATAAGCCGTGGCTTATACGTTGAATTTGCCCATGAAAATGTTTACTGCGGCTTATACACAGGGCAGCTTATACGCCGAGCCTTGAAGAATAAAAATAAGATTCACATGTGAATTTAATGTACTGGTATAAGAAGAGATGTGTTGCTGAAATGAATTATCAATTAAGAAAGTCATTAACAAACCGAAACCACGTCCCACGTAAAGGTACCGAGCGGTAAAAAGTATGGTGAAAGCTGTCTTCGACGCTTGCGACCAGCTGTACATGATACTAGTACAGCTGCATGCCATGCAGCATGCTTTCCCCCAGTGGATCACACCATTTGTGGTAATAAAGGGGTGTACTTTCTTGGGAACAATAATTACCGATATTTCCACTGTTTAAAAAAAAGAAAAAAAACGAGTAATACTTTTTATTGTGTTCGAAACATTTCTTTATTAGATAATCAGTTGTTCAACATCACAATATATACATATTTTTTTTTAAATGTATTCAAGAAAAGATGTAAAACTCAAAACAGGGACTAAATCACCCCTTACAAAATTAATGGAGTCGTCCATAAAAATGTCCGTAATGTTTTGACTATTTTAGAAGAAAGTTACAATCGAAACTTGAATTTTTAACGTTACTACTCATTAGTAATCACAAAAATTTGATAAGTTTTGAGGTAAAAACGGACATGTTTATTCTTAGGACAAAACAAATCAGCATCTGTTGCCACAAAGCAAGACTTGTAGCGCTCCAGTCAAACTACACACGGTGGGTTGCATACTCTCTCATGTGCTGCGGGAAAATGTTGTTATTTGCCGGCACGCGGCGCATGCTGCCGGGCCATGCACTAACTTTTAAGGCCGGGGACCAGGCGGGACAGCCAGCAGCAATTCTTGGTGTTTATTTCTCATCATCAATTTCCATATTTGATGATGAGATCAATTGTAAATGATTTGATATAACTTTTGTGGCCCTTTTATAACTTCTGTAGTGTAAATGGAACTGGTTCAGAGCATTTTGACTAGAATTTAGAGGCCTTTTCAAAATTGAAACCGCAGCGGTCGGTGCAGCTTATACACCGACTTCAAATCTTAATTTGCAGATTTTTGCGTGCTGCGGCTTATATTCCGAAAATTTCGGTAGTTTTTCTTATACAGTTACAACTGTTTACCTCTAAGCACACTTACAAGCTTGCAAAGGAGAATTCTTCCCCATTAGTAAAGGTGTTTTTTTTAGCTTGTTACAACCGTGATGATTGTATATCGTTTGCCTTCAGTACAGGTGCCATGTGGGTATTATATTCCCCCTCACAATACAACATGAGAAAGACAATATAATGTTAAAGGAAGAAAGAGCTTCAAGGCCAAAATTGTAATTTGAGTTTATAATAAACTTTGATAATGAAAAATACCGGAATGGGACTAGATCTAGTCAAAAATACTGGAGTCTGCTCTTCCAATGAACAATCTGGAGTGGGCCCATACTTAAGTTCTGTTCATAATTACGGTGGTTGACAATAAGATTTGGCACGACTCTGTTTGGTGTAGCGGTACTTTCCTCACCTTCAACCGCTGTGACCTGGGTTCCATTTTGAATTTGTAGTCCCTACCTGATCCAGAATATTCTTCTGGGGTTTTCATACCACCTCTAAATCTGTAATTTCTTCTGATTGTCTAGGTTTCTTCAGGCTTGCGAGCTACAGTGCCTGTGGAGTTTTTGATATCACTATATATCAATAAATAAAATAATACTCACCATGCCTGGTATTGATGATGAGAAAGATGCCTGACCGTACAAAGCGGTACTGGGCCTGTGTGGGTGCAGGTGGTGCAGGGGTAATGACAATATCTGAGCCCCTCACCATGGATATTTGCACATCCAGCAGGGTGAACAGGATGGACTTGGTACAGGTCACCCTTCCCAGACCACAGGGAACATTCTCCACGACTACAGTGAAGATACTGGTACTACCATCCTGGCCACAGCCATCCGTTGTTAAGACGTACCTACAATCACCTAGGAAACCATATGTGACAGGATTCCACGGAATGAGACTTAACAACACATTCTCACTTATTAGGTTAAGATGTGCAGGAGAAAGCACAGAATTTTCATGTCAATAAATCACTGACTTTAACATCTTCATTTAAACAGATTCTACTTTTGGGCAATTCCTTCAATTCGGACGTACATGTCAGACACATTAATGAGCTTCTGTTGGTAGTGTGAACGTGATACATTACTAATGTGTGATATCTAATGAAGAAAAAACAATTACAAGCCAAACAAATGCACTACCACCTTTATGACCTTGTAAAAATATGTTGTCGGAGGTACAAAAAAAGAGCTTGAATTTACGGAATTGCCTGTTTGTGAAAAGATTGACTGTTCCTATTCAAATCACAGTTTTCTAACTTGAGACTTGACTTAACTTGAGAAAAAAAGACTGCAGACTTGAATTGACCTGAAAAATAATGACTTAACTTGACAGTTTTGACTTGAAAAAAAAAAGACTAGCGACTTGACTTGGTTAAATTTGAATTGCTGGCAGTATCACATTTGTTGAAATAAACACAAACTTTTGGGCGTATGCAAAAATCAGTTGAAGAGAAAGCCAAGGACCTAATGCACATGTAGCAGCTAGGCATCCAGTGCAAGTATGTTCATGGGGATCGTAGAGGTGGTGTTTGTGTGGTGCATGCCAGTTTATGCCCTGGAGTTAAGTGTCATTGGTTACAGTTGCGTTACAAGGCACCACACTACCGTGCTCCACATATTGATCAGTGTTTAGAAGAATGGAAGAAGCGTCATCATCTTAAAATGACTGGAAAACAACTACTTTCGTCATTCCATGATATAAATTGAATGTTGCAACAATTCTTCATATTCGATGAAAATGATTGGCAAATCAAAGTCTACTGTCCTTCAAAATTCAACATGATTGAATTAAGTTTGTAGATATTCAATCAAAACATATTTTCAGACTATTTTAAATGCAAATAAGAAGTTTGTAACAGCAACTCTGCAAAATGTTAATTTTTTAAATTCTCCCTACAAGATGCATGCTTAATAAACCCCATTGCACACACATACACATAGACTAGTTCCCGTCTCTGCTGCTATAGACTAAATACAACAGTAGAGATGGGAATCAGAATAATGTACACATTGTATTCAGATATTGCAAACTAAGACTTGTATCATCAGTAAAGGGTGTTGGAGAAAGGGTACATGTGACATGTACATTATGATGCAATATGTTCAGATGGACTTGAAAATATTTACTTTAGACTTGTGACATGTTTTGGAAAAAAGTTACTTACGACTTAAATTCACTTGTGAAAAAAAAATGACTTGGTACAACACTGTTAGCAGGAGGTCATGGGTTTCAGTCTTACCCGTGCCAACTTGTGATTTTTGTTCCCCAAAGACAGTAGTACACAGTGCTTAAAATGTTACGTGGGTGGAGGGTGAAACCCTTTTATTGCTTAAACACGTCTTTGAACCATATTACGACACAAGCATTTGTTAAAAGCTTACCCTGAAACTCATACAGCCGACCATCATATGTCATGTAATGGGGGTCTCCGTATCCTCGACATGTAGCTGAGTGAAAACAGATTGATTAAAGTAAAAATCAGATATTTGACAAGGCCCAATTTCATAACCTGGCTTACTGAAAGCGAAACATCCCTTTTAAATATAGTAAACAATAGCAAATTGAGCACTAAATGGTTTGCGTATTACATGGCTTTGTAAGGAATATGCTTTTGCACAACGCGTACATCCTGTAAATAAGGATTCTGTGCTTATAAGACATACCATTTCACAATTTTTGCTACAATATTGCATGCAATTATTGATGGAATGAAACTGGCTGTGTATGTCAGAACCATGATGCTGGAACATACCACCAACCATTTTCCTAGCAAATTACAGTTTACAAAAGAAAGAGGATTCATGCAACTGCAAATTTTGTCAGACTGCACTATGCAAAGTAATGTTAATAAATTCACTAACCTGGGCATACGGTGTTGCCACATATTATCGTACCATGGTAACATAAACTGAAGAAAGAAAAATACAGTTGAATCAGGCATAAGCTATTCTTTTATTGGCAATTTTACATGTAACAATATTTGAATAAAGGCCTAGACTGGTCTAAATACAAATATGTCCTTAGTTGTTGTTCCAATTTGAATCCAGCACAGGGGAGTCAGGTTGGCGTAGCGGTACTTTCCTCGCCTTCCACCGCTGTGACCCGGGTTTGAATCCCACCTGGGCCAGTATGTGGATTGGGTTTTCAGCCCCTGCCTGATTCCGTGGGTTTTCCCCAGAATATTCTGCTGGCTTTTCCTCCCACCTCTAAAACTGTAACTTCTTCTCATTGTCTTCTCTTCACAGGTTTCTTCAGGCTTGCGAGCTACAGTGCCTAGGGCACTTTTGAAAAATCCTTGGTTTCATTACTAGACATGATTAATAATAATAATAATAATAATAATGTGGCTGTAAAATTGTTCTTCTTAATGCACGCTTTTTTGGTTGTTGTAAAACAAGCAACAAAACTTATAAAACTGATAAAATGAAATGGGAAATTGCAAAACTGGAATAGTGGGTCACTATTCCATAACGACAACAAATTCACATTTCATGTCATATGTCCATAGTTTTTAGGTGCGCACTCTTGAATTTTTTCTTTCGGGGGGGGGGGGGAGGGACACCACACAAAGTGTATTTTATTAATCTTTATCAATCACTGGGATATCACAAAACAAAACAATATTTTTGGAAGACATATCATGGTGCTGTGTGTAATTAACAATAATTAGTTGTTACCACTGATTGCAGTCATTATAGAAAGTGTCTAGGTGGTTGTAGCTTCGCCCATTGAAGTAGCAGGGACAGTCAGTCTCTGGCATACACTGGTCGTCGGCGGTGCGGACGGTACCAGTCGGGCAGCCACAGCCCGGGGTGCAATCGGTCTCACTGCAGGCCAGGTGCAGGCTTTGGCATTCACGCTGGCACTCAACACACTCAATGTACTCCTGGCTTCCCGTGCATTCATCACCAGCGGCTACAATTATTGTATCAAATATGTTTTGTTTGGTGAGAAAATGAGGACATATGTCCAACAGATGTTATTAAATGGTCAAATAACTTGAAAATGGTCAAATAACTTTTTCTGCACAATGATTTATGCCAATTATATCAGTTATCATTTTTTTCCGGCCTTTTTGGTCCCCCCCACCCATTTGTTCAACCCTCACCAAGAGTGGCCTTTTGTACACCCTTGTAATGGACGCCCTACAAAAAAACAAGACAAGTTATAGAACCTAATTTCCATTAGGTTGTACAAGCTTATAAATCAGCTTATGCAAGTTAATGAATGTTATGCATAATGAAGGGCAAAACCCCATATTGAAATGAATAGTTAGCTACTTACCAGTGCAAATGTCCTCAGTACACTCAACAACACCATTTTTGCAGGTGCTGCAAACAAAATCAGTGCAGAAAAATGTTTGTACTGAGCAATGTTTAGTACAGGTCAGCCTCGCAAGTAATTACAAATCATAGCATGCAAGACTCAAGTAGTTTCCTGGAATTGTATTCCCTTTGGTATACATTTACTGTCATTCTTGTTCCTTTCTGATATCTCCAAAGAATTGTCAGGTTCTCTTTTTGTTCATTTATTTCAACATTTCATTTTGCAGAAAATAAAGCTTCAGGATATAAATCAGAGTGTTTTGTCATGTAAATGTCTGGTGACATGCACTGAAAATACAGGTTTATATCACTAAGACAAACCAGCAGGCATACATTTAATCCTATCAGCCATTTCTTCTTTTATTTCATTCGACTTGGCACAACATGGCAAAATAGATATGTATAGAGAGCAGACCATTGCTTGTATGGAACATGACAAGACTTTTGTGCTTCAAATGTACCCACCATTTGTTGCAAATACTCTTCCATGATGTCCCAGGCTCGTAAAGACGTCCCTTGAAATGACATGGGCATTCTGGTATGGGAACACACTTGTCTAATCGTTCGCTGAATACCTTTGGTGAGTGCATAAAACAATTGTATGGATCTGAGATAATTATGCACACAACAGATACACTCATTAAAAAAAAAGTGCTACAATAGCCATAAAACATATAGACTTCACTCACTGACAAATGCAAAGTGATTTTGTGACATCAATGGCAAACATTTGCACTTCCAAGTATAACACAGCCTTTCAAGGTGTTGGCTGAACAGCGTGATGAGCAAAATTGACATCATAAGCAAATCCTGTCAAGAGTTCATAGAAGAGCTTCAACCTTTTCAACTTTTGCAAATTGGCAGCAATAACATTTGCCGCTAACATCACACAGTTTAGACACACTGGCATTTGAAGTGAAGGAGACACCTCTGTAGACCTTTTGCATAATTGCAGTCATCTTAAGCAGTATTTTGTTTCACAGTGATACGGCTAAGCACACCTTTTGGTGCATTTGTTGTCTCAGCACAACATTGCTATAATGAGCATGATGGATCCACAAAAGATTGTTGGGTATAGCGGTCATTCCACATATTGATTGTTGGCTGCCACCAGCCACCGCCAGACACTCTTAGCTCTACTTTCCCTCCTAATCACTGAGGAGATGATTCCAGGATATCTCTGATCAAAGCCCATAGTGGGCTAAACATCAATTTTCATTGACTGATAAATTGGAGGAAAATTTAAGCAATGTACATAAATGTAAAGAAAATTTGCCAACATGGTCTGTACTGGGCAGTGTCAGTGCGCATAAACTGTATGGTGACCCGCCATTGAATGTGCACAAACCTATGGCAACCATTGGAAACACACTGTGCTTTTGATAAGAATAGGAGCGTTGAAACCTCCAAAATAAAAGTAATAATATAAAACAAAACCAAAAAAAAAGGAAAAAAAAAAAAGAATTACATACAGGTTCACAGAAAGGAATCAAGGTGAGTGAATATTGTTGCTGAAATCCTTTTTTTTTTTAGATCAAACTCAAATGTTTGTGAGTCATTTTGTTTATGTTCACTATTTGTTAGCAGCATTGTCACCATAGCAGGCCCGTTGCTACAGACCAGTTCCCAATACATGTTCTTTTGTAATCATTTTGACCATTATCGTTATTGCAGCAGGCCACCAGTACCAATTCAATGTTGGTTGAATAGTACTCCAAGAACTCTCATTCTTCAGTGTGAATTAGGAAAACTAGAATAAGGCAATAAATATGTGCTTGGCCAGTTTTAAACAAGTACGTTTAAAAACGTGCTTGGGGCCTGGACGCGGATAATGACCTGAGCCAAATCCCATTCAAACATACATTTTCAGTCAAAACGTCAAAAATTAACAAATTTCCAACACTTTTGTTTGACAATTTTGCTTCATGTTTTTTGGAACACCCTTCTTGTCATGTCTATGGCATATATGTGTGTAGTGCTAAATGTCTTCTTATATGGAAATTGGCTGGTGCGCGGTATGTGTGGCACAGAACGCAGCAGTATTTTATCAGCGGTTATAAAAGCACCCATGCGACGGGCTCTCAACCAATAGGAATGTCTGATAAAAAATTGACAATACAGAATGCATTTTCCGGAAAATTGGAAATGTAATATAATGTAATTGAACACAAATTCTGGAGCCAGAAGTGATGCCCAATATAACATATTGTTTAGTATAGTGGTGTCAATTATAGTGGCATTCTATTGCACTGATTTGAAATGACAAACAAACACCCACAATGCTGACTGCAAACTGTCTATACAAGAATGGGTTTCATACCATATCATTGGGGCATTGGCAGCCCTGGACACACTGTTCTTGGCAGTCATCTCTATTCCCCAGATCTCGACAAGACACCTTGCACATGGAGCCACACTCCTTGTACACCTTTCCGCCCTCACATGCAATGGCTGTTAAAAATATTTTAGGTTTACAAGTTAATTCAGATATTTTTGAATGGTCCATTTATACTATCAACTTAATTTGACTGTGTCTTTGTTAGGTTTTTGATTGTTATTATAATAATAACTGATACAATATTGAAGGGATGGAAATATACACATGGCTAATCAGTTTCCAAAGCTGTGGTGTTAAATATTGATGTGCTCATCATACCTGCTCACAGTACAATTAATTCAATAAGAGGACTCCCATAATGGACAGAGCGCATGCCTGCAGGACTAGAGCCTGGGGGGGGAGGGTACTGGTATTGATGTGCTCATCATACCTGCTCACAGTACAATTAATTCAATAAGAGGACTCCCCTAATGGACAGAGCGCATGCGTGCAGGACTAGAGGGGGTACTGGTGTTGAGTATCAGAGAAAGCCATTTTTGATCGCACACGTGGTGGTGGTGTATTTTTTTTTTGATGCCGACTTATACGGAGGAATAGTTGTGATTTTGAGGAAATGGGACCGAAAGTAACACGCCGACTTAGGCAAAATGGCGGCTTACAAAGGCCAACTTAGAAATGAAAATTTCAATGGAACTGCATTAGAGACAATCGGGACTTTTGTCAGACAGCCAATTTAAGCGATATGACGAGTTATACAATGTCGACTTGGCCGGAGTTTACTGTATTTCACACCACAAGTTTTTTACAGTTAATAACTTACAACAAAGATCTGGGCTTCTCCAGTCAATACCAACACCCATTTTGGCGCACTCTCGAGAGTATGCAGCAAAGGCCAGGCACTCAGTCCCTTTATAGTAAGGGGCCTTGCAACGGACGTCCCTGCACATCTCCAGGTAGGCCTTGGGGTCAACTTTAAGGCCACATTCTTTGAACGGCTCTGTTGTCAATTGACTGCAGGTGTTTTCAGCTTCGTCTCTGCGGCTGTTTTCCTTTTCACAGTAGTCCAAAGTCTCCTCAATCAGGGCATTTGTGCATTGGGAGTCTGACTTCCACCAGGGAGCAAAGAGGTGCGATACCCTCACAACAAATCCAGTGGGTAGTTGGTAATCATCGGCAGTTATTCTGTTGAAGGTTCCACAAAGACCTTCCACCTTTGTGAAGAGCAGATTCATATCATTACTTCAGACTTAAGAATGTGATAACATTCTGTCTAATAAAACAGAATTCACTTTATCATTAAAGCTATAGTCCATCATTTGCAGCTATCCGAAAAGTAACTGGCGTAATTACTGTTGAAAAACAAACTTGGTTGAAAGATAGTAAGGGAACTAAACGCCCTGTGAAATTATTCCTTCTGGGAAGCTGTCATTTTGAAGAAATCAACGAAAGAAGGCATTCCCAATGGTGATTCTTAAGAAGCACCGTAGGAAAATTTAAATTAGTAGTTCGTTTTGTTATTCGGCGCAGTGCACGCAAGCATTTGAACGACGCACCCGCGCGCGGTTGTTATAATTCGTCGGATCAGTGCGCGACGCCGGGTATAGCTGCAATTCAAAACAATTCAAAACATGATTCAGTAACTTTTGATTTGAAATTGAGATCCTAGAATGCTGCTTTTCTCGGAATGTACAGCTGAAGCTTAGCTGAAACTTCATCAGGTTAGTTGCTCAGTATCCTTCATTAGATTTTGAACACTTTTGTTGCTTCAAACGAACAAAATGCACTAATTACAAATGATGGACTATAGCTTTAAAGTCAATCAGCATTTAATTAGCGTTAATATCAATTCAGCATTTCTTCTTTAGATTTTCCAATTGCCAGTTACCTTTCCAAACAATTTCTCAGAAACTGAGAGATAGATACGGTTGTCACTTCCCAACAAAAGCTCTATACCAAGCATCGGCATGGACACTCGTGTAAAAATGGACGACACGCAGGTAATGCTGATTGTACTGTTGTCGGCTATCCGAAAGTACGGCAATTTCAGCTCTTGTGCTGGCTGGTTGTGGTGGTCCTTTACTGTCACTGCATCAGCTTCCAACAATCTGTTCAGGCACAGACACAGGGGATATTTCATCACTTGATTAAAATTTACATAAAAAGCTAATTAACTAGTCATTATAAATAATAATGCGTAAATTATAAAGCACACATATCCACCAGTACTGGTGCTCAAGGCGCGTACATCATTATTACCCTGCTAATTGCGCCAATGAAACATTCCAAATACCATCTCAGCTTCATGGGGAGTATACAGCTCGATGCTGCCATTTCAGCGCAAAGCAGCTAAAATCAATCACAATAACTATCTCCCTCACAGGTACCCATTTACTCCTGGGTGAAGAGAAGCAATGAGTGACAAAGTGCCTTGCCCAAGGGCACACGCACCATAGCTGCAGGCTGGACTCGAATCCACAACCTGCAGACCACAAATTCAATGCTTCAGACCACCAGAGCACGGCACTCGTTTAACACCAAACAAACTTAGGTCAGACCATAGAGCTATATGAAATTACTAGAGCGCTAACTTCGTGCACAAAGTAATGCCTGCTGGGCGTATCCATGTTTGTGCACAAACCTATGGAGACCAAGAAATTTTGTACGGCTTTTGTACGGCTATTTGCATATCTGCGTTTGTATTCCAAACCGGTGCGTTATCGAAGCCAATACGCCCAAAACCGAAACACACAATCAGCAAATGAGCGTTTCTTTTTTTCTCTACGCAAACAGCGCAACGCGTATTCGCTGCAGATGCGTTTTGCCGTCACGTTATTTTGAACCGTCAATGACGCGCTTTTTTTGTTTGCATATTCCACCCATCACCATCGACAATTCTTCTCTTCAACCAATTCAAAGTGCACGGAATCTTGGCGTAATCATCGATGAACACCTAACTATGGAAAAGCACATCAGTAATATATGTCGTGCTTCTTCCTTTGGCTTACATAAAATCGGAAAAATTCGCGAATTTTTGGATCAGTCAACAACAGAAAGGCTGATCCATGCATTTGTGACTAGTCGCATCGACAACTGCAACAGTCTTCTTTACGGACTGCCAGATTCCCAACTTAATAAACTCCAACGAATACTGAACTCTGCGGCGAGGCTTGTCACAAAAACACGCTTGCATGAACCCATTTCATCAGTTCTGCATGACCTGCATTGGCTACCAGTGAAATCCCGCATAACTTTCAAATTACTGGTTCTGATTTACAAATGCATACACGGATTAGCCCCAATTTACCTCCAAGAATTAATCAACAAATATCAACCACCAAGAACCCTCCGCTCTAGTTCCAAAGATCTTCTCACTCCTTATCCAGTTACCACCAAATCATACGGTCAACGTGCCTTTCAATTCACTGCTCCCAAACTATGGAATGATCTCCCTCACCATATCAAAACCTGTCCCACCTTGGATCAATTCAAACAACTTGTTAAAACTCACCTGTTCACTTGCACAAGCGCATAGAGACTAAATTGTATATTGCGCTATATAAGAACTGTTTATTATTATTATTATTATATGTTCTACTTGCGCGTTGCATTTAGAGTACACTTTCAAAATTCAATCCATCTAATTTCATTATGTTCTACAAACACGCACATAAATTCAAAATGTCTGCGCCCAGGACGGCTTCACAGCATCTCCGCGCACAGAATGAGGAGTTAGCGCTCTAGTAATTTAATATAGCTCTAAGGGTCAGACAAATATCTTTACTTTATACCCAGCTACAAGGATTCTGTTGAACGTATTCCTGAACCCTAGAGATTTTAAACACAACCACCATTTTAAGATTCTGTCCACGGATCACAAAAAATTCAGTGTTCTTTCAGCGAAACAAAAACAATCACATAGGGATGTGTGTGAATTGTTTTCGTTTTGCTGCAAGAATGCACACCTTTTTTTGTGATCCGTGGACAGAACTTTAAAACAGTGGTTGAGTTTAAAATTTCTTAACTTGAAAAGTACATGAGTGATTTGAATGATTCTTGTACTAAAAGAAAGCTTATGAATTGGGCTATCATATCCTAGATTTTGAAAGTGCTACATGCAGAACTTCACTGAAACAATAGTCCCGACATTTGGGTTTCGTTTTTTTTTTACTTACCCTGTATTTCTCAAGTTATCAAGATGACAAGTTTTTTTTTACTGTTTTAGCAATAGTGACCTTGAACTTTGACCTGTGGGTCCCAAAAGCAATAGGCTTCTTATAACTACAAATAACAACCCATAAACCAAATTTCAAGTTTCTTAAGTATTTCTCAGGATAGCACGTTGACAAGATTCCTATTGCTTTAACATTTGACCTGTTGGCCCCAAAAGCAAAAGGCTTCTTAAGACTACCAACAACAACCCACAAACCAAATTTCAAGTTCCTAAGTAAAGTATTTCTCAAGTTATCATGCTGACAATGTTAACCTAACCAAAACATAACACCCAGACACACGGACAGCAGGAATACGTTATTGCAATACCCCCCTCTTCACTAACGGAAATTCCAAAAATGGGTCACTAGACGTACGCATCTTTGGAAATTGCCTTCTTTAATGTTTTCTTCCAAATGACAGCATGTCAGAAAGTACAATTTCACAGGGAGTTTAGTACCATTACTAATTATTATTTTTTGGATAGCAGCAAATGATATACATGTATACTCCCTTAAGGGAGAGAGAAAGGATCATAAATTGTACAATTAACACCCAGAACTTAAAATAAAATGATTCAGTATGTTTTTTAATCATGTATGTGAAGTTGATTTCAGACATCTAAACAAAAACATGATGTATCCATAATATCAAAGTTGCTTTTTGTAAATGTCATTGGTGTCTTTGTAGGGTGAGGCTATCTACCACAACAAACATGTACTTGTTTCATTTAATTCCTGCAAGAAACTGTTATCCCTGTAACAAACTGTTAACATTGCTTACTGAAAGTCATAACCTATGAGCGTCACTTCCATAATAGTCATTACAGGACTTGTATCTCATTGACTATTTCAGTTAACATTACATTCATTAACCATGTCATGTTGTACATTAAATCCTAAGCTGGAGTTCCACCAAATATGTGACCTAGTGAGGCTAAATGAGGAATATTTCCCAAAATCCTGTTGTTTTTTAATTTTTTTTAATTTTTGAGCAGCCAAGGTATTCAAGATTCACACTGTCCATTTTCATTGTGAAAAGATATCCTCAAAAGTAGAAACAAGACGATTTCTGAAGTGTGTTTGTGTTGAGTTTCTGAAAATTGTCAGCACTTTTCTTCTGAATAACAAAGAATGACCCAAATTCACTGTGAAATTTCTAGAGAATTGTTACGCGCATTTAACAATTGTTGACTACCGTGATGTGGGATATGATGTGTTGAACACCCGAGGGCCGCATGCGCCCCGATAGGTGTTCATAACGTCACATCCCACATCACAGCAGTCAACAATTGTGTTGTTATACCTCTGTCTTGGATTATTTGAATTTTGATGTAAAAGTCACGAAAACAAACAGCAGTAAACACAGCAATCAAACCCAAACTCACATGCATGTAGTGTGCTTGAAACACCTGATCGTCTGCTAGTTCGCTGCTCCCACTCATGCGTAAAAACATGGTGAAAATAGCGTGGGTACCAATGATAAAGTGTTACACTCCGTACCCTGTACGTACAAAGTCATAGCACACTCCCTGTGGGATATCATCACGTACGTGATATCCCACAGGGAGTGTGCCATGACTTTTTATAAACTTAACTCGTGATCGTTCTAGGCCAATGAAAATACAGTATTCAAGACAGAGGTATAACAAATACCTTTATGTGATACCATTCCAAAGCATATCGCCTACTCTGTTTATTTAGTGGTGACATCAATCGTCACTTGCCTAGCAGCTCATGATCAGCTGTGGAAGATGGTAAACAAAATGCGCTGCAGGCTGCACGGCTGATGACAATGTCTAGTTCGCTTTACTCAGATATGAGACGTATTGCAGCACTGGTCAGTGGCGCAATATAAACAAAAATACAACAACAACAAAAATTGACAACCTCTTGGGGGAGCCCCCCCCCCCCCCCTCCCAGGCTGTCTTCTTTTCTTTTTTTTGTATTTTTTTTTAGTCCCACAATTTGGCCCTGGTGATATGAATGTTGCATGTTTTTGAGTAGTATAATAGGGGTGTAAGTGGCGCCACCAACGTCACAATTCTGCGGCCAAAAAATTCAACTTTTAACAAATTTGTAAAAAAAACATTTGAGACCCCCCCCCCCCCCCCGAAACCAAATCCTGGGTGGGCCAATGGCACTGGTCCAATCTGTGGTCCAATCTGCTACAGGGTTACTCTTTCACATGGTATACAAAACTCAAAAATCAAAGATGGGATAAAAAATGAACCTTTCTCTCTGTATTACAAACAAAAAATCACAATAACATTTGCAATTAATATGCATAGAAAAATAAGTCTACAAAATCCAAGATATCAGCCCACACACAAAAATGTTTTGGACACCCCAAAAAACCCAATTTGCTTGGAATTGTCCATATATCAATGATTTCAAATTTAAATCCAAAAACCAACTGAAACTTGAACATCATTACAAAAAAAGTTGTATCAATACAAGAATATTATTTGGTTCAACTTCTGACCCACACTCAAATGCCAGGATTTAGAAAATACTCACCCATACTGAGTCCCATCTGGGGTCGTAATGCTAATGTCCGGAATGTCATCGCATCGCGGCTCATCATTGCTACACTTAGTCTTAACCATGAAGATGCTGAAGGCTGGGTCGTCACTGGTTGCATTTTGAAGTAGTACGTGCTCGCAGTTGCCTTCATACTCATAGCTTTTGCCATCAAAGGTGTTAAAATGGCGACCTCCCAAGATGGTGCAGGTGGCAGGACAGGCGTGTGTCGTGCATATCTGAAGCTTACCCTCAAAACAAACACTTCAAGAGAGGAGGAAGAATGATTGTCCAGGATAAGCTGCACCATCAAATCTTCTTAAAGTCCTAAAGAGGCTCTTAGTTTAAAATGCTAGATGTACAAACTATTTTACTGACCTCAAACAAGAAAAGTATTTCAATGATTGGAAAGAGGGAATGAAGAATATTTCCTCCATTTTGTTAATTTGAGTAAATTCCATAACTTGTTAACATCTTGATTTCTCACCAACCACTTGGAACTTCTAAAACAGGAAGAGAATAATTCTTACAACGAGCCATAAAACTTGTCAATATCCAAATTCTATGTACCATTAACTAAAGGTTTCCAAATATTGTCCATTTTGTCTTACCCATAATGTATCTGAACTCAATTTGGATATCACAGAACGTTTATAAATATAGCTCTAGTGTGGAGAAATGATTTATGATAGTGATTTGTTGTTGATCATTCACAAATTTGGCCAACAGAGGGCGCTCGCCTACTCACCGTTAAATTGCCAAAAGCTGGCCTGCCCAGGTGTGTGCACAATATTCTAAAAATAGAGCGTGTATCCATGCAGCGCAGGGATATGTCTGCAAAGACTGGCATTCGGTGTCGTGTAAGATAATATAGGGCCTCATTAATTATTGTTTGGTGCTTATAAAAGACTGCATCTTACATAATTTGGTAGATCAGTATATACTCTTTGAATATTACTAAGGTTCTTTAGAGTGATACAAAAGCTGGTTATTCTAAGGGAAGGGAGAGGTGACCCAGTCAGCGGTATAACAGGCTTCGCGGGGCAGTGCTCCGGAACTAGTGAGAAAACTAGAAGGAGAGAAATCTGTGTCGGTCACGGAGGGAGTCGAGAGAAATGGCCTCCGAATTGGGGAAAATGGAGAGATAATTCCCCCGAATACCGCTGGAAATCATGATGAAAGATACTTTTAGCCGTGCTTAGCCTGGTGCAGCGACTGGCTACCTCCTTCCCTTCAACTCTGAGCAACCAATTGGAGACGAATGAACAAATGAATGAATAAATAATCAGTGATTCTCCGGTGAAACTTAATCTCCGCTGTTTGTGTGTATGTCAACTCGCCCCCAACGAGACTCAAGCCCCACAGCACTACTCCGCGCTCACTACACTATAGCAGTACTATGCTGGTTTTCCTACTATTTTCCTACTATTAGAAAAATGACCAGGAACCAGTCTTCAACATTGGGCTTACAATGGCAAACAGGAAAAATGTAGGCCTGTTTGACAACACTATAAACTATGTCACACACATGCCCCAACTCATTTGCATTGAGTCAAATATGAAGTATATATTGAACAATTTAATTCCCAAAATCTACTTCTTTATCTGTGTATGTATCTTTTTCTTTGGATTAGGAAGAATGAGAACACAAACAGACGAGGGGGGGGGGCTGCATGTTGAGTTACATGAGGGACCAGTGTCTGGTTTGAGCCACCTAACGGGCAGACAGTAAAAACTTCTGATGAAGGGCAACGATGTTGCTCAATATGTAAAAAAAAAACCACAGTACGTATTTCTCTTCAATTATACGTCATTCATAATCAGATCAATCTAATCAAGCATTTTTGTTCTTATACAGGGGGCATGGACGGTGAGAGGACTTTGACTAGCAATCATCAAGTACGCCCATACCACAGGCCACCTCATCAATTGGGAAGCAGCAGAAATCATCGATCCTGTCAAGAATTGGCATGGATGCTATATTGGAAATTGAGCTTCTGGCAGTTGAAAGTAACTGTAACAAATGCCCACTTCACTGAACAATGTCTTATGGACCCCATTGTGTTAATTATAGTGACGTTCAACTGTATTTGTAGTGGCCCGTCTCTACATAGCAGAAATTATCATACAAGTTGCTTACCAGTTTCGGCATTCGTCCTTCATGATGGCACCGGCAGGATTAGGTTCACCATCATGAAAACATGGGCAACTATCTTTGGCAATACATGAATCTCCGGCGAAGTAAGTCTCTAATTATATATCAAAGACAAAAAAAAACACATTAAGCCTGAATGTGACAACACAAAGTAGAAATCATCTTGCAATTCATTTTTTATTGCACAAAGACCTGAAAGACAATTACATTTAAAACAACAATTACATTTAAAACAACAAATTTATCAGCCCAGAAAGAAGTATTTTTAATAAGATTCTCCCTTCAGTGAAATAATGTTATTCTGATTGTATTTTAGAAAGGCTGAATTTTTAAATGTTTCCATCTGTAAGCAAGGTAGAGTGTGTTTTTTTTTTCAATCTTATTAAGCATAATAATTAGCTGTTCCCAATTCAATTGGGAACAGCTTTTGTTTTCCTTTTATTGTAGAATTTTGAATATTTAATTTTTCCCATAGACTTTGTACACAGAAATTTTTAAAAAAATTGTCGATTTTCAAAGGGCATTTTCGACTCTTTGCCAGTAATTCAATTGCACCACTCTTTGTCAAAGCAAAAACCCTAATTCAAACAACATTGTGTCATGATGACGTCATCCGTTATTTATAGGCAATTAAACTGTGACACTTTTAATATTTAAAAGTGCATAAGAAATCAACCGTATGCGTCCGCAGCATTCTGTTGCCGGCAAGTGGTAGAGTACATGTAGGTTGAGGTCTTTATTTCATTCAGTGTGCGTGCAATCACGTGACCCTTGCTTCCGGTCGAAAAAGGCCCAAACCAGAAGTGGCTTATTATTTGAAAGTGGTTATAGATATGAACTTGCTTTCAACGGTGTTAGTCTCTTGGCTGATAGTATTCTTTAAATTATCTACCGATGAAGTCATGCAATCTTCGAGCTCCCTCTAGCGACAGGTTGAAAATTTTCAAAAATGTATTTTGAATAGATGTCTGTGGCGAAGTTTGTCGGAATCGCCTAAATATTGGTGTATATGATGACCTTGACCCACTTAAGACGTGTGCGAAGTTTTAGGCGTATGACGTCATCAAAGACCTTTCCTTTTTCAAAAATTGCTAACAAATCAATCCGTAAGATATAATCTTGAATTGCCCATTAAATGATAGCGTAAACATTTGCCTCAACAGTGCCAAGTTCCCAGCTTGTCAAATTGTTCACACAGTTGACGCAGCATCGGCAAAAAATACCCTTGTGCAAGTTGCGGCAGAGAGAGTAAAAAATGCCGACTCATTCAAAGCAAGCATAAACCGCAAGTGTGTAAGTGTATGTATGACCAGATTCGGCATCGCCTGCTTCCCATACACCACACCAGCACGTGGTCATGAGGGCGCAGACCGACCAAGCGCCACATATTAGTTTCCCTTGTTAAACAACTCACCAATAAGATAGAGGTGCTGCAAGATATTTTCATTCTTTCATTGACAGTTTTTAGTAACCCAAATAGTGGCAGTACGATAAGATAGAGGTGCTGCAAGACGTTTCATTCTTTTATTGGCAGTTTTTAGTACCCCAAATAGTGGCAGTACATATATGTTCATACAATAACAAGTACATATACTTCACGTTCTTCATAGGGCCGGCCCTATGCTCGTTACACTCAGTCCCATTCAAATAAAAACTACAGTGTAAAATCCAAAACGTTCAGGCCTGTAAAACGTGCACACAGCCTGACATCACTGCTGTTTCTAAAACAAATATCAATATATCGCCTGCTCTTTTCACTTTCTATTCCCCTTCCATTTCGGGTGGTTAAACCAATTCCACTCTTTAAATGATCACACCTATTTAAACCTATCCACAGAAAAATGATGTATCCCAAGACCAAAGCCATTTTACAAATGGCATCCACCCACTTTCACAGTCATATACCTGTACCCATTTTCAACCTCTCATTAAATCGAATTTGCTCTGAGATGGGAGCCCAGAAACCGGGCAGTTGATCCCATTCTACACAAAAAAGTATTTACACAATCATATCCGTGTTAGCCAAACGGTCTCCGTTTTTCAAAGTGTGCACGAACACTGAGCTGTTTCGCGTTTCTTATCACATCATAATGACATAAAGTTACAACTTTTGAATAAACTCAAATTATTTTGAATTAATACAAAAGCTTAACATGATGAGGCTCTAAAGAAAATACATATTATCCCATGGCACTTCAAATAAATAAAAATTTGTACTATAGATAAAAATTCATATTACATCCTGATAATATTTTTTTGAGTGTGACGTCACTTATGACGCTATCAAAACGTGATTTTGTAAAAATTGATTTAATTCTTTAAAAATCGATATAAAATTCATTTTATAAGCCCGAAAGTCTTATCTAACTGCTATGGATTCAGAATTCAACATCTTCATTTAATCTTTTTGTGTGAAATCACATGAACCTTCCTTCCCGTCCAAACAGCTGGAAATGGTTTATACATTGCTGTAATTTAAAACTGGACAAAGATAGGAGTTTGCTTTAAACGATACTGGTCTTTACTCGGGTTGAACCTTCAAAATATGTTACTAATGACATCACAAATTGCTAGGATGCCCTCTACGGACAAGTTGAAAAGTACTAAAATGAATTTTCTGTTGGTGTCTCTAGCAAAGTTTACGGCAATCACTTCATAATTGTGCGGCGAAGTAAATTCTCCTACATAAAAGAAAGCACAAAAGCCCTGTGTTCTGTTTTGACAGACATACAGTTCTAGTTATTAGCTGTTCCCAATTTTAATTGGGAACAGCTTTTGTTTTCGTTAAAGTTTTTTTTTCCCTTTTTTTTTTTTTTTTCCACTTTTCCACTTTTCCCATAGGTTTTGTACACTTTTTTATTCTACAAGCCACTTTGGCAATTATTTTAAATCCGTTCAACTTTAAACTTGGCATAGTCATTAACCATCATCTGATGATGTATGCCAAACTTGTTGTCATCGTGACGTCATCAGGGGTCACGTGACATCGATTTGAATGTTAAGTTTTTACAGTCTTACAACTTTTGAACTACTTGACCGATTAGTCTCAAATTTGGTATGTATATAGTCAGGGAAGTGTTACAGATGAAAATTGACATGTAAAGGTCACCTGACCTTCACTTCCGGTTTTACCGGAAGTGGTAATTTTAGACCCCTATATCATATCTCATGAATTATTAATCTGACTGGGTTGAAACTCTACATTTATACAAAGCTATATATTGACAGATGATTATATTGCATTATTATTACTGTGCACTTTATTCTTGTTATGTTATGACGTCATAAATATTTAATGAGGCAATCTTTACAGTCCTGTAACTTTAGAACTATTTGACCGATTGATCTCAAACCTGGTAAATATATAGACAGGGAAGTGTTATAGATGAAAATTGGTATGTCAAGGTCATGTGACCCTACTTCCGGTGTTACCGGAAGTGTTAATTTTATACCCTAATTAGCATATCTAATGAATTATAAATCTGATGGGGTTGACACGTTATATTAGCATTAAGCAACATTGAAGGTTTAATAGTATGCATTATTATTAATGGACAGTTTAATGTTTTCATGTTATGACGTCATGAATATTTAATGAGGCAATCTTTATACATGTAGTCTTACAACTATAAAACTATTTGACTGATTGATCTCAAACTTGGTAGGTTTATAGACAGAGAAGTGTTATAAATGAAAATGTGTATGTCAAGGTCATCTGACCCTTACTTCCGGTTGTACCAGAAATGCAATTTTTAAAAGTAATAATTTCAATTTATTAATTTCATATAATTTTTAAAATCATTATACCGGTATCATTTTGTTTACAGTCCAATAGAGAATCAAAACTGGGAACAGCTCTGTGGTTGTTCACAACCACAACCTCTAGTTACAAATTGTTTTTCTTTATGCAACATGTAAGTGACAACATCACCGTTATACTATCAAGTGCAACACACATGGTACCTCATCAGGCAGCAAGAACACGGAGTAATAGGGAAAATAGACCTGTAAGTCAGTCTTTAAAATCTATGTGCCCCACAAGGAAAACGTGAGGGAGTTTGAGACTTCAAAAGAAACAAAGGTGAACAAAAGGAGGGAACAATGGTCTTCCCCACAAGTAAGTCTGCTCTTGTATGGCTTTACGATCGAGGATAGACACACAAAGGGAGAACAAAAGATCCTTTTTTAGTCCTCCTGCGTTGGGTCTTTTGTTGAAAACGGTCCTTGATCTTACAGTTATGTCTATGGGAGAGTGTTATGTTACAGGGACAAACGGAAACACAGAGCATTGTTAGAAATAAACAACTGTGTGTGCAGGCAGGTGTGTGTTCAAGAATTATTCACAGTTGATTGTGAATAACCTGCCTAACGAGCGTTCATCTGCAAAGTTGGCAACTCCTCCATTTTAAATTTCTGTAATTTTTCAATTGAAGTACAGCTGGTACTCAATAAATGAGTTATTTCTACTGTTCGTTACAAGACAATGGTACTATCACACCCTCATTGGCTGAAGAAAATATGGCCTATTTGGGAATTTACCTGATGGGCACTGACAGCCTGGAATGCATTCATTTCCGGAGTCCCCTGGAAAGAAAAATGTCTCGCAGGTCTGAGGGAAAGCGGATCCACACTCCGTGTACACCATGTCATGGTCACAAGAAACATCTGGGATAAAAGAAAAAGATAAATTATATGATATAAATTATTAGATAAATCAAGCAGAGATAAACTATTAGAAGTACATACTTAATACAAAAATTCCATCAGACGACAATGGGCCTTATTTACAAGTTGGCCATTTTTGTTGAGTTCACTGAATTTATTTCATTAATTGTTAACTGTTGAATTGGATGGCACCAGATTATTTATGCAGGCACAATGCAGCCTTATTTTACTGTCTTTTTTTTAAATATGGCTTTAAACATTTGGCAATGTTTAATTACAAATTCAAAATTATTTCTTGAAACAGACTGGAATTTATTATAAATTAAGTTGCTTTCATTTCTCTTCGCAAATTCAACTTTCAATTCAATATGGCCAACTTGTGAATAAGGCCCATGTCACGTGTAGTAGCAGCATACATGCTTGTTATATTGTACCTTAGATTGTGACTGTCAGTACCTTTGTTTATGTGAGACTTTTTTTTGCTCCATGCATTTTTAAAGGAAACCTTAGAAGCATTAAGAACTTAAGGACTTGCATTGACTTTTTAAGATCAACACTAGAATCAAAATTTAAAAATTTATGAAAAACACTTACGACAAAAGTTTTTTGACCTCCACTCCACAGGTACACCATACCGCGAGCATGCCAAGGAGTATTCAGCAAAGACATCACACAGCCTTTGATCAAAGCTTAAGCCCTCCTGCAGAGCGTTTGACAGAGTTAACCAGCAGGAATTGTAGAACGGCTGCACGCTGTGCAGGGACCGGCAATGCTGGAATAGCGGGTCGGTGGCAAACTCGTCACAGGCCCTCTGGACTCTACCCTTGTTAACTGCGTTGAGGTTATCAAACGGATTAAGGAGGCTTGCTCCTGGCTTTGTGCAAAGAACACCGTCTTCTGGAACCATGAGTTTGTCAGCAAATTCTTGGACAGAGTGGCCACGGAGGTCATTTGTGGGATCCTTGTCGTAGTTACCACACAGGCTGTAGGCATCATTTGCTTCCCATGCCGATTCATGGATTTTGTTGACAGCGATGATCACACCATTACTACCATCAAATGACACTCGAGTCTCTGCATATGAACCCGAAACATCAGTAATTAAAAGAAATCTACTGGTGAATATATAATGCAGGGGCTGAGATCATGGCATGGAGTCAACACATTGCAACAGCAGTCAAAACAAAGGCATACTTGTATTGTTAACTGAGCTATTACAAGAAGATATTTAAGTAGCCTAGGCTTGCCATTTCAGCCCCTCTTCTAATCTGACCACGATTTATAGGTCCTTCAAGATCAGACAAAGTATCTTAAAGGGAATATACATCATTTGCTTTTGCTGTAATTTTCAGAAATGGATGGAATTGGGGGATTGGAAATATAAAGCAAATATAGTTACACTGACTTTTTGGAGGTTTTGGGTTCGAAAATGCTATAAAAACCAAGAAAAACGATCATTTACCTGTAGTCTGGTTCCCTGACTCCATATAAGAAGAAACAGAGCAGTTTACATACATTGGGGAATTGTAAGGTCAGGGAACCAGTCTAGCTGGCTCGTACCCGTTCATAGGTTTGTAATCGATTGCAAACAAGTGCAATAGTCAATTGGGGCCAGTATTTGAAAAAAAGCCAGTTGTTTCCAACGCTGATCGGCCGATCAGCGTTGGAAATTGATACAAAAATACCACTTTTCTTGAAAATGACAGTATACCAGGTGCCATAATTTTACAGGATGCTTTAGACTGTCATTTACCAACGTCCTATTAAGGTATTTCGCAAAAACTTGGTAGTTTTATTTTTCGATGTTTGCAAATGTTGTATATTCCCTTTAAAGGGCCCATGTAATTTGAAAATGAACCTTTATAGACAGCTTTTTTCTCTGGACACTTGGCCTCCAAAAATCCATTGGGGGGGGGGGGAGGGGGAGGGGCCTCGTACCATACTTTCAAAGGGGGGGGGCGTTGTTCAAATTCGATGATTATTAACACTATTTTGCATTATTTTTAATGAATTTCTATAAATAGAAAATGTTTACAGGATACGTATTTGAATATTTTGAATATCCGGGGTTTTTTTACCCCAAAATCACCCCCCCCCCCCCCCCGGATCCGCGACTGACCTGACAGCATGCGGTAAGTCATGCAAACTGTGATATTATGCATAAAAGACAGCATTAACGGATCATCATTTCATTCCCATAAGCACAGGATACATGTATGTTCGGTTGAGAATGTCCTGCCTTTTTCAAAAGCTTCCTTATTCCTCTTACCGTCAATCCCACGGCAGACCTTGTACACTCCTTCCTGGAAGATTGTCATACCGGATGCAGTCACAAATGGCACACTCACCCTTCTTTCGTTTACATGCACAACGCCATCGGGTAGCAAATCCACAATTGTTGCAGAATTCCTTTCAGTAAATACGACAGATATTACGTCAAAAAATTTAGAAAATATATCAAAATACAGGAATAACTATATTACACGGCAGCTATTTACGATTTCTGCAAATTAGGGACCTTTCCCAAAAGAGTTTCAGGTGTCAACCTATCTGACACGAACACGAACTACAACATGAAAGAACGAAGACAAAACCAAAGGGTGATGGGAAATTCACCCAATTCCGACCATTTCAAAACAGTGATCAGGTCGTATCCAGTTAAGGGTAACTTCTTATTTGTACCCACATTTAATACATACTTATGTTTAGTTCTATAGGCCTAATAAATGTCTTGTCCTTATGCAAACACTAAACAGGTTTGTGAATATCAAACTTTAATTACTTGTGTACTTTGCACCACACCCCATGCATACCATGTGCATGTAAATGATATGCCCCCTATATGTCTCTCCCATGGAGCTCTCACATGTAACTACACCATCTACTGCTCTGTTTTTACAATTTTGAACATTCTGTACAAAATGCAAATTTTTAACACACTTTTCAGTTCAACAACTTGATGTTATGCAAATAAACATGTGGCTTCATGAATTCACGGTGTGTCGCCATATAGTATTTATGCTGCATTCAGTGGTCTTCATTGTTGTTCTACACAAAACATCCCCTGACAAAAATCAAAACCCTGCCCTCAGATACACTCTTCTTGGTTTTATATTGTAACGAAAATGCAAGTCCGATGATTAATTTCCAGTTAGCACACTTTATTCTTCACTCTGATAAGATACAGGTTCCTTTCATAAACTTAATTGATAGGACTTACGGAAGATAAGAAGATAAGTTTTAAGTTAATAACTTGTATTTCAATGAGAAGAATTAATGCCAATACAGTTGACTGTTAAATGAACAGTTAAATGAAATGACTTGTACAAGTTTAATTCATCGAAGCTTTATAGGTCAAGACGCTATGATTTTTATGAATAAGAATAATATTTGGCGCAGTGGTTTATGGCCAATCAGAGCATTGCAAGAGACATTTTGTTATGATGCGCTAGCTCCTTACGTTATGTACACGCCCAAACGAGCCAAGTCGGGGCTCGGTGTTCAGATCGTGACTGGTTCTGGCCCGGTGAGGAAGTTCACCCAGAATAAGGAGCGTGTCGTACTCAACGTTCGATTGCAATGCACATCCGCCTCATCGTTATCCACATAGACATTAGATTATACGCATCGGGCACGGTGTGTGCCAACAGTATTGGAAGACAATAAAACCGTTATTATTATTTGAAGAACAACACGATCTCTCCAGTCAGAATTCTTGTTTAGTCTCTAGTCATTTAGTACTTGAACTAGTAATTTCGCGCCCGTTACATTTAGTGGCAGTGGTGACCGGACTTTGACGGAGGTATTGTACACGCTACCAGAACGACAAAAGAAGATGAATACTTCTGATCAAGAAATCCAGTTCGGACCCACCGCCGGGGCGGGCCGTTCAAGTACGCCAGAAGATGACACCATACATAGTTCACCGGCATTGGGCGGTGATGGTGACGGTTCATTTCAACGTGAACGACGAGAAATCAACCTGATGAAGGAAGAAAACGAGAGGTTGCGGCGGCAACTTGCGGCAAAGGGCACTGCCGATAATGAACGACAAGAACCGTCACCGTACAACATGGAACGACAAGAACCGTCACCGTACAACATGGAACAACAGAGATCGACACAGAACAACATGTCAGCCCTGTCTGGCAATAAGCCGAGAGTTCGGCCAGCGACGTATGATGGTATGAGCCCCTGGGAAGACTACCTTGTGCAGTTTGAGCTATTGGCTGAGCTCAACGGGTGGAGTGCATGGGAGAAGGCGATGTACCTGGCCGCTAGTCTACGGGGCGCAGCACAGGCCGTGCTGGGTGACTTAGATGTCACTAGATGACGAGATTATAACGCCCTCGTCACAGCACTTGGTCGACGATTTAGCCCGACGGAGATGTTTCGTGTTCAATTAAAGAACCGAACAAGAGGGCGTGATGAGAAACCTCCCGAGTTGGCCCAGAGCATAAGGCGGTTGACACGACGGGCATACCCAACGGCACCCTACGAGCTACAAGAAACACTAGCGAGAGAGCATTTCATGGATGCTCTAGATGATGCTGACATCCGTTGGCTGTGAGAGTTGCCATTGAGCTTGAGGCATTTCATACGGCAGAGAGACAACGGGGCCAAATAAGACGGTCAGCACGGCTGCCAGAGTGATATCCTCTGACACAGCAGATACAACAGCCGCACAATCAGCATTTACCTCTACAATCAGTAATGCTATTACCGAAGGGTTCAACAATCTACAGAAACAACTTAATGGGGAAGGGAAGATGGATAATGGCCAAAAGTTTACCCCCAGATCATCAACACGACGAAGATGGGCACGCCAGAGAGACAAAGGCACCGTGGAGTGTTGGAACTGCCACGAGACCGGCCATTTCCGACGAGAATGCCCAAAAGCCGGTTCATGGAGAAATGATACACGCTCACTTCAGGGAAACGGCAGACAGTCGAGCTTGTGGGCCGAAGATCGACTACAGCACCCAGGCCCGGGCCAACAGACCCAACAACAACAACAACAACAATAAAGCCACGCATCAGATCGACAGTGGGGGCAGGTGGCATGTATGTGGCCGGACATCTAGAAGGGGTTGGTGTGAATTTTCTGGTAGATACAGGGGCCAACATAACGATAGTGAGGCCAGAGATTTACTACGCCATACCTGAATCAACGCGACCACAACTAGAGAATAAAGAAATCACCATGGTAACAGCAAATGGCAAGCCCCTACTCTCCATTGGGTGTGGGAGTTTTCAACTTAAAATCGGCAAGCAGAGCCCTCAGGTACAATATGATGTATGGGTGGGCTATGATTTCATGATGAAATACAACTGTAATCTAGATGTGGGTAAGGCAAAAATGGAACTGCACGACATACCCATAGCGTGCACAGCCACTGCACGGGCACCAGCATCATCATGCCGCATCACTGCAGACACTACTGTGAGCATTCCACCAGACGGAGAGGTATTGCTACCAGGGAAACTGGAAGGAGAAACAGGGCTTACAGGACTGGCTGTAGTTGAACCAACGGCTAATTTGATAGAGAGACATGAGATGATAACCGCCAGGTCATTGGTATACACCGACAGTGGAAAGATTCCAGTTCGCATTTTGAACCAAACAGAGAAACATGCCACACTCTACAAAGGTACCAACGTTGCTACCTGCGAGCTAATAGAAGAAGTGGTGACAAATGTAGACCACTGTGATGTAAGAGCAGCACCTTGTCACACCGATGAACAACCTGGCAGACAACACGGTAATGCAGACGGCTTATCTCACCGGCCATGTGACGAATGTCAACAGTGCGAAAGAATTGAGCACAATGACCATGAAATGCATGATCATGACATCACACCGAAGCCGACAGCCATCATTAACTTAGAGCCAAATGATGTCTTGCTTAATTGCAATGAGAAAGAAGAAGTGATGAGCCACAAAGAGAAGTGTATCGACAAAGAAAAATCGCCATGCAATGGCAATGATGATGAAGTGCATGGTTGTTCAGCCCAACCCGTGTGCACAAATGAAGCTGATGAAAATGAAGGCATTCAAGATGTAAGCACTGACCCCAACGCAAATACCGAGGCACAAGATGTACCAATAACGTACTTTTCCGTGATTAGAACTACCGAGGCCGGAGAAGAAACCCCAGAGGAAAAGTCTGAAGAGGGCTGGAGGTCAGGAGACCTCGGATGGACAGCCAAAGACTTGAGAGGGTCGCAACTGGATGACAGAGACATCGGGCAGATACTCTGATGGAAAGAGTCAAGAGAAGAGCGACCAGACTGGGCAGAAGTCTCTCCCGAGGGCAGAGTAGTTAAATCCTATTGGACGCAATGGGAGCGTTCAGAAGTACGTGATAAAGTGCTGTATAGATGATGGGAATCAGCTGTAGGTGATAAGATGACGTGGCAATTAATCCTTTCTTTGAATATGCGTGAAGACTTGATGAGACTTCTTCACTGTGAACCAACGTCCGGACACTTGGGACGGACTAAGACGTCTGACAGAGTTCAGAAAAGGTTCTACTGGTACGAGTGGCGAAGTGACGTCAGCAAGTTTTGCAAAAGTTGCAATATCTGCGCAACTCGTAAAGAACCGCTGAAGCACCGTCGCAGCCATTATGAAGATGTACAATGTCGGCATACCAATAGAAAGAATAGCCATTGATGTGATGGGTCCTCTGCTAGTTTCAGATCGAGGGAACAGGTACATACTGGTCGTTGCAGAGTACTTCACGAAATGGACAGAGGCATACGCCATTCTAAATCAAGAAGCAACCTCTGTCGCCAATGTTCTCACAGAAGAATTTATCTGCAGATACGGTGTCCCGTTACAACTACACTCAGATCAGGGTGGAAACTTCGAGTCGCATGTGTTTCAGGAACTTTGTCAGCTACTCGGCATCGACAAAACTAGAACCACTGCTCTTCATCCTCAATCTGATGGAATGGTTGAACGGTTTAATCAAACGCTGGAAGCCATGCTCTCCATGTTCGTTTCAGACAACCAGCGTGATTGGGATCAGCGTCTGCCTTATATCATGATGGCATATCGAACTTCGATTCACGAGACCACGGGATGCACGCCAAGTGAGCTAATGTTAGGCTGTGATGTGAAATTACCTGCGGACTTGCTAATTGAGCGACCCCCAGAAGAAAGGTACAGTGAACATACAGAGTACGCAGAGAAGTTACTCGAGCACATGGAAACCACACAAGGGTATGCGAGAGAACACCTGAAAGTAGCGACAGAAAAACAAAAGAAAAACTATGACCACAAAGCAAACGCAGGCGGCTACAACAAAGGAGATGTTGTATGGTTGTACGACCCAACGAAGAAGAAAGGGATAAGTCCAAAACTACAGAGATACTGGGAAGGCCCGTACCTTATTACCAAGAGG